TGGAAAAATCCGATTTTACTGTTCATCGGTACTGTTCATCGGTTACTGTTCATCGGTACTGTTCATCGGTACTGTTCATCGGGTACTGTTCATCCGCGATTCGGCACTGTTCATCGTCTTTCCTTTTTCCTTCAGTTTCAATCATTGTCAAGGTGAGTGCATGACTGTGGGTCCGTGATTTGCTAGATTAGATTTGGTTTGTGGTTGTTCTTGATGAGTTTATGTGTTTAATTGTTATTTCATGATATTTTGGTTGTTCATGTGATGAATTGTGTGTTTGTGTGGTTTAATCTGGTTTAATTGAATTAATTGATTTAATTGGTTTATCTTGGTTTAAATTGATTTGATTCTGGTTATTTGGTTAATTGAATTAATGTTTTAATTCAAATTGTTTGATTTATTTTCGGATTTAATTAATTAATGGTTAATTTAATTAATTAATTGATTTAAAATAATTATTTTAATTATTTTAAAATATGGAAAATTATTATTTAATTATGAGAATTATTTAATAATTGAGAAATTGAGTTTTAATTATTAAAATTATTTAATAATTGGAAAATGGTATTTAATAATTATTGGAGTTTATAAATATTATTAAATATCTAGTAAATTGCGTAAATGGCTCGTAGGCAGAGTGATTGCCTCACTAAGTATTTATTAAATACTTACGCAACTCCATTCCAATGTGTTGCAGGTAAAAGATTTGTGTGATCGCGGAATCAAGGCTGAAGAGGGGGATGATAGGATGTTTACTGTTTTATTGTTTTGCATTATTTTGCTAGACTTGTTTAATTATTATTTGCTTCCGCTGAGCTGATTTATTTGTTATTGATATTTTATTTATTTAATTTATTTTAAAGACCTTCGCTAGAATTGATTAATATTTAAAAAAAAAAAAATGTTGGTTGTTTCATTTTGGTATCAGAGCCTAGACGGTTTTAGGACTGTTAGAATTGCTAGGCTTTAGTATCATCCCCTTCAGCTACAAGAGATTCCGCGGTGAGTTTATGTTTGTTTTGAGTTTTGGTTGCGTGTTCTAGTGTGCTCTTTTTGGTTCCATGAGTGAGATGGACTGAGTAGCTAGAGGTTGTGGCGCGAGAGGGCGCGGTGCTCGAGGCCGTGGTGGCAGAGCGAGAGGCCGGGGCCGAGATTGTGGACTTCGGCGGATTCGGGAGAGAGTGTGGTGCCTAGTGTGGCGACTGCGTCGGTGACCCAGTCGGTATCCGTGGCGAGTGAGGCCAGTGTGGATGCGAGTGTTGGTTTGGGAGCGGGGGCTGCTCCGGGTTGGGGTGGTGCTCCGGCTCAGGGTCTTGATGACTTAGTGGTGGGTTTGCTGACGCAGTTATTGGCTCGTTTTCCGCCAGTGGTTCCACAGGGGGCTCCGGGAGTACCTCCAGTGGCAGAGGTGCAGCAGAGGGCTGCGGGATTTGTTCAGCCGCAGGCTGTGGGTTTGATGGTGCCGCCTATTTGGATATATGGGGCACATGCAGAGGATTGGTACGCCGTACTTTAGGGCGGAGTTAGCCAGAGGCGGCAGATAGTGGCGTCAGAGATTGGAGCGGAATTTCCAGTCTATCAGATGTTTGTTTAGTACCAGGTTGAGTTGGCAGTCCACTATCTGAGTGGAGATGCACATTTGTGGTGGCGGGCCATCGAGGGCATAATGGTTGTTGTTGCTGTGTGTTGTTCATTTATCTGTGATAAAATTGTTGAGGTTCTCAGCGCATGTGTTTCGTAATGACCTTGTTAGTGGGCGGTTTTGAGTCCCACGTTTTATTCGACTCTGCATCGAATTGCTTCATTCATCGAGAATTGCTTCATTACACCGGAGCGTGCCGAGAAGAGTGGCATCCGGAGTAGCGCGGGCGAGAGCGCGGGCATGGTCAAGGTGGCGGGAGGTGGATTCTTGTCTACTTTGGGCCGTGCTAGAGGAGTCGAGATCGAGATTGCGGGGCAGTCAATGCCAGCAGACTTAGTCATCAGTCCGGTGGAGCTGTATGACGTTATTCTCGGGATGGACTGGTTGTCACACTACAGAGTTCATCTGGATTGCTACAGAGGTAGAGTGGTCTTCGAGCGAGATGCAGGGAGGTTGGTTTATCAGGGAGTGAGACCGACTTCCGGGAGTATTGTGATATCTGCTATTCAGGCCGAGCAGTTGTTAGAGCGGGGCTGTGAGGCGTATCTGGCGACGATTTCTATGTCTGAGTCAGGAGCTGGAGTTGTTATGGGAGATATTGAGGTTGTCCAGGATTTTTTGAGAAGAAAACCAAGTAGAGAGTGGGTTGGTTATATAGATTTTCATCGAAATAATGAATTTGTTTTTAGTTTTGGATTCCTTACTTAACTGCCGCATAATTTTTACTATTTTTCCACTAGAGACGAGTTAGATGTTCCACAAGTCTTTTTTTCTTTTTCGTTTGGTAATGTTCCACAAGTCTTTCTTTTGTAATCTGCTATGTGTGACCGATATTGCTACACATAGAGAGTTAGGTCTAAAAGAAGTCTCAGAACGGTGACTTCAGTCAAGGAAATAGCCTCTCTTTTTTCCTACCATACATATTCCTCCTGCAGAGCCTCAACGATTGTCTTTCTACAAGAATTTCAAGGGCATGCTATCCATAACTTTATTTGAAGTATAGGGTAATATACCCAAAAACTTCTCATAAGAATAATATATTTTTTTTTTAAGCAGCGCTCCAAAAGCTTCTTGGAGCTTAAGGGGTATACCGAGACACTTCACTGGAAACACTGTTGGTCTAACTGTCCAAGGCATGCAGCAATATCTATCAACTGCAACTATTCAAGGGTAAAAAGATAGTGAAAGAGACTTGTCTTGAATATGTTGACGGAGAGACCAAACATTCTCCAAAACTTCTCAAGCATCCCAAGAATAATTACGATTGATTAGACTCATTCTTATGCAAATAGTAATATATTTCTGCAAGACTACTATGTATAACACTAACATAACAATGCGGCATTTTAATGGAGGCTTTGACAAGAGATTTCACAATCTATCTTTGTATATGCTGCATAGATCTTTAATGGATGTGTGAAAGGTTTTGACAACTCGTATAAGAATGTGTAGTTGTGGTTGTGGACAAGTTCAGAAGCCTATTAGGGCTTTGACGTCATGAAAGACAAGCAAACTATAGAAGAAATAAAATCATATTCATACCTAATAGTCTAGTAGGTATGAATTTTACTGACTGGTTCTCTTTCATGACGTCAAAGCCCTAATAGGCTAAGCTAATATCTCAAAAGTTGTTTTTAATTATTTATCGCCTAAAGCATGATGAGGCCGAGTCTTCAACCATGCCGCAAGGTCCATCCAATCTTTCAGGAGGTATCTGTTTCGATCTGCCGGAACCCTATCTTCGCCGGAGCTTAATGACAGTCTGCACCATCATATCGCCAAGGCCGGCAATCACAGGAAGGCTTCATTCGTCCCGGTGCTTGAAAAATGGATGAAACAGGGAAATCAATTGAATCCTTCTGATCTCAGGAGCATCGTCGATACCCTCCGCGACTCTGAACGATCTCTCCAAGCTCTCAAGGTTCCTCTTCAATTTTGATTCTCTCAATTCAATGTAACATTCATCAGGATATGTATAGTCGATCTGCTGTCTTAAATATTGGTCGTGATAGGTATCAGAGTGGATGAGTGAGCAGAAAGTTTTCGACCTAATTCCAGAAGATTTCGCAGCTCGTCTTAACCTAACTGGAAACGCTCTAGGTTTGGAAGAAGCAGAGAAGTTCTTCGAAAGCATTGCCGAGAACAAGCAGGGAAGTTCTGTCTACGCAACTATCTTAAGCTTCTATGCAAGATCTGAGAAAAATCTTGATAAAGCTGAGTTCATCTTCTTGAAGACGAAAGAGCTAGGGTTCCTTTGTAAACCCGCTTCGTTTAACCACATGATGTCTCTCTACATTCAGCTAGATAAGCTACAATGAGCTATGTAAGCGAGATATGGTGCACAAGATTCTGAAAGAAATGGAGGATAACAATGTAGAGCCAGACAATCTCACGCTAAACTCAAAACTTCAGCTTTACGCAGCGGAATCCAATATCAAAACAATGGAGAAGCTATTAGCAGAGTACGATGCCAATACAATATTCACTTTATACTGGCGCACGAGCTGCAAGATGGCAGAAGCTTGCCTGAAACATGGTTTAGTTGTGGAGGCAGTAAAGAAGATGAGAAGAGCCAAGGAATTAGTAGATCCCACGTCAAAGAAGCTAGTTTACGAGTCTTTAACGGTGTTGTATGGTGATGCAGGAAAGGGTGAAGATGTTTACCGTATATGGGACCTGTACAAGGTCGACGTTAAAGACAAAGAATGTCGATCAGTAATTAGTGCCTTGTTGAAATTAAACGATATCAATGGGGCAATAAAGGTTTTCAAGGAGATGTATTTTGGCGACTTATTTGAACACAAGTATGATATCCAAAACGTGGCTATGATTGCGTCTGCTTGTTGCGAGAGCGGCCAGACAGAGGAAGCCATGGAGATCATGTACATGATCATCAGAGCCCGAGCCGTTTTTAAGATGATGAAGCTTATGGCTGTGTCTTTGGCCGTAGCTGTGGTTTACATTTCGTTTAACCTTGTCGGTCTGGTGATCTTTATTTTGAAGATGGCTCTAGGGGCAATATAGTGGGCACACGTTGTTGACAAGAGGAGAACCTAAATCCACACATTTGAAGAAACTCCCACGGTACAAAGTTAAAGCCATTTCCTTGATTAGTTTCTAATGTTTTGCAAATAATTAATTAAACTGATTGCTCTTGCTCTCTAGTTTGATAGGACATATATAACTATGTATTCACCTTCTGTTTTCCATGATGCATAATATCTTTCCAAGTTTGTAGGAACGTAGCGTACGTTAAAAGAAAAGGCAGAGAAATTTGCCTAAAGCACTTGTGTTCTTTTGTTTTTTTTTTTGTTTTTTTTTTCATTGTTTTTATGAACATATTATTGTTCTACAACCAGGCGGATATCCAAGGGAAGGAGACAATGAAGAATCAGAACAATGTACGCCCAGTAAAGTAAGTAGTAGCTTTAGGCTGTCAAATTCAATCTTGAAGGTTTCCAACTAAACTAAAGGATGATGCATTGTTCCTTTAATTATGTAGTTTGATTAGAATAGAAAAATAGAGAAGCCAAAAAAGCAAAAATAATCAATATATGTTCAATTCCGTTGAGTAGTATACTCCAAAAGATAAATCACCACTAGATGTTTCTTCATGTGTTTTGTTTTTACTTGCACAAAACTGAAAATCACTTTCAAATAGTTCATATCCATTTTGAAAATATCTTAATCTTGATTCTTGCCCTTTTTTGCCCTTAATTAGGATCATATATATGACCGGCTTTCATTCTTTTTTTACTGTTCTTTTCGGGTTTGATTAATTTATTCTTAATCGATCTTTTTAACAATCAATATAATTAACATTGCAACATATGACACGTAGAAAGGCAGGCAATGAACACTCACGTCTTCACTTGGACACGTGTACATCACCCAAGCTTCACGTGGAACTACGTTAACAAGAGATCCGCTCTTCATAAATTCTACTTCTACAGCGTCTCCGTTGTTACAAGTACTTATCCGTTTGAAACTTTGAAAACGAAAAAAAAAAACTATTAAAAGAACAGAAATAATGTCAGGCGTGTCTCTTGCGGTGGGCCCAAGAACCGACAAGGACAGCACGTCGTCGTCGTCGTCGTCCGGTGAGAAAAAACCGTGGTCAGGGATGACGGCAGCCGGAGGTGGCGGCTTGATGGGATCACTGAGGGTAATAGAGTTACAGCTGGTTGCGTTCATACTAGTCTTCTCAGCGAGCGGTCTCGTACCGATACTCGACATGCTCTTCCCAGCGTTTGCGTCTCTCTATATAATAGCCCTCTCGCGTTTAGCTTTCCCTTCCCACGGCGTCACCACCACTTCCCCTGAAGTCTTCCACGGCAGCAAACTCTTCAGGTTCCAAATCCATCGCCAGAAAGAAAGAAAAAAGAAACACATCTCTGTTCACTTTCTTGATAAAGATTCTTAACCTTTCTTATAATTTCTTGATAATGCAAGGATTTACGTGGTTTCGGGGACAACGATTGGTCTCTTCTTGCCTCTAGCTTACGTGTTAGGTGGTTTCGCAAGAGGAGACGATCATGCGGTAAGATCAGCAACACCACACTTGTTTCTACTGTCGTGTCAGATCCTGACAGAGAATATAATAAGTGGGCTCTCTCTGTTCTCGCCGCCGGTAAGAGCTCTCGTGCCACTGCTCTACACAGTCTGGAGAATCTTTGTCATCATTGATTGGACTAAAGATGTTTGGTTCAACAAATCCTTACCGGTCAATGCTACACCCAATGTAACGGCTAATACCCCTCTTGTCTTGTCGATAGTAAGTTTCATTTTTTACCGTCTAAGGTGAAAGTTAAACCTTTGAAAACGTTTTGCAGGTGTCTGCTTGGTTCTGGTTTGGAAGGTATTTGGCAGTAGCAAATTTTGCCTACTTTGGAGTGAATCTACTCTGTTTCTTGATCCCTAGGTTCCTACCTCGAGCATTCCAACAGTACTTTAGAGAAAGAGACGAGGTATTGGCGAAGAGCCAAGAGGACAAGCCGGTTCATGTTCCTAGACCAAGACCTTCTGAATCTGACCACAAATCTGATTGATCATCTTTTTCTCTTGTGAATGTGTAATGTTACAAACTAAGTTGTTTATTATGATATTTTAGTAAAGAAAATTAAACAATGTGGTTGTGATTGTACACAAAGTCTTGATGATGCTCTGACCTTTAAAAGCAAACTTAATATTGACTGTCCATGAAACTAACAAGAAGCTCATTCACCATGCCTCGATCCGGCATCTTCCCAGCTGCTCCATATATTGGAGCCAAGCCTCCAGTGATGGGTCCTGGGTTTGCTTTCACCTGACCAAAACATATAACAACGAGAGATCAGTTGAGGAAATATGAAAAGACTAGTCTGCCACTAAGAACATCAGAGGGACTTACAGTTTCTACAGCTTCACGCAGGTCTTGGAGGAAGTCATCCACAATGGGGACGTGTTGAAGAGTAATACATATGTGAATGCTGATCCAAAACACAGACATGAATTGTTTCAGAACATTGTGTGGCCTTAAAACTAGTTTTTAAAACAAAATTTTTGGTCTTTAAGATGTTATTACCTGTTGGGTCTCTGTAGTGCATTCAGATGCCAACCTTTTGAAGACATGATGTCATTAACTTCGAAGATATCTAATTCCTTGGAGCCAAACGCTACGATTGTCATGTCTGGCTTTCCAATGACATATACTTCACGGATTTCTCTTACTCTGTAGATTAGTGTAGTCAAACACATATATAAGACTCAGAAACGATAAGGATCATATTGAATTATGATGTAGAGTGAAAAAAGTCAATACAAACCCCTTTTCTAGTCTCTTTGATGCTTCCATTATCTTTCTTGTGTTTTCTAGGTAGCCTGTGAAACAACAGAAGCATACCGTTTAGAGGCTTTAACACACTCTTTAAGGCTTGAGAGAGAGTGTGATATAAAATATTGTGGAAACCTTCTTCGCCAAGAGACATCATTGCAGCCCAAGCACCAGCAACCAAAGAACCAGGCCTACTCCCAGCTATAGTTGGAGACACGTATAGACCTCCTGACCATTCAGTTACTGCATCAAGAAATGTTTCATACCCAAGTTAGGATTTTGCAAGAATTCAACAGTTTTCTTGCTACTTTCATTTCCCCTGTTTTCTTAAAAACACACTTACCAGCAACAAACTGGTGCTGTTTTTGTAGAGGTTTGAAGCAGATATTTTTGCAGGCAGAAAATCCACTTGTCAGGTAAGGCAAAGATCATTTATGTAAAATACATACAAAACTGAATAGAACTTTCAAAAGGTTTGTGTAGATGAATCATGATACAGCAGACATATCAGAATCAGAACACAGGAGGTGAGTATAAATCCAATGCATATCTGCATGGTAATGATAAAAACAAGTTACCTTTCTGATCTCATGGTTTCTGTAGAGAACTGTGCTAGTCCCTTTAGGAGCCAGACCATATTTATGCACATCAACCGAAATTGAAGTAATTCCTTGTACAGTAAAATCAAAAGCTGGAATCTGGTACCTGTGTAAAGTGAGGAAAAACAAAAATTCATAACTCTTTTTTATCTTGTCATCTAAAATAGTACAATGTAAGGCAAAAACCTGAAAAGAAGAGTTACACATACCCAAGTTTACGAGCGAAAGGTAACACAAAACCACCAAGGCAAAGGTCAACATGAAAGCATATTCCGTAGCTAAGAGCCAGCTGACCAAGCTCCTGTAATGAAACAAAAAAAATAAACAATATGGCCTACACATTCATAAATGTCCTCTTCAAAAAGTACAAGAGACAGAAGACAAAAAAACCAGTTAACCTCAATAGGATCAATGATGCCATGAGGGAATCCTGGTGCTGATCCAACAATCTGAAACAAGATGGTTTAAAAGATCATGGAAAAACATAGAACAAGCCTTAACTTTAAAGCTGCATGAACATATCATCATATAAAGAGTCTAAACATATACAATTATAAAGAGCAACTCAAAAACATTACCATGATGGTGTTTCTGTTAATATACCGCCTCATTGCCTTCACATCAGCTCGGAAGTCTTTGTCTACCGGAACACGCCACAACTTGATGTTAAAATACTGAGCCGCCTTATCATAAGCCGAATGACCCGATTCAGCTATAATCCTACACTTATTTAATATAAAATATTGTTCCATCAATATTTCATAATTGATCAATGTAAAAATGAGGGTAGAAAACATACATTTCCGGCCGTTTGATCCCCTTCTTGTACTTCATGTAATCACGAGACGACTTCACAGCCAACACTATACTCTCTGTTCCTCCAGACGTCATGTTTCCGCATACTTTCCCTCCTGAAACCGTTTCTTTACTCCCGAGTAACGCAGCAGTCATTGCCACTACTTCTGACTCAAACCGTACCACACTCTGGAATACGTCTATGTGCAATGGATTCGTATGCGCAAACCTTAAAAAACATCATCCATAATTACAGTTTACACATAAACAAGAAATAGCAGAAAAAGCACAAGTCATATAGCTTACATTGAGCAAGCTTGATTTATCAATGCAAAATGTCCTTCAGACTCACTTCCACCAATGTATCTGTTAGGAATGGTTGTAGAAGTTAAAACAAATCTTCACCATGACCACAAATGAAAATTTGGAGGACATAAAGCATCAACTACCACAAACATACACAGTGCCAGAGCATTTTCCTTGCCAAGTAGCATCATTCCTCTTCTCAATCTCCATTTTCTCTAGAACTTCAACTCCTAGACCTTTTACTGGCAACTCTTCAGCTCGGTTCTTTTTCTTAGAACTGCCACCAGATTGTAACTGATCAACAACCTGAAGAAAAAAAAATCATAAACTAGTTAGCAGTAGCACCAATGCTAGTTATCCATACATAAGAAGACACAGTGAGATATTAAACGTCGGCGACTAATACAAGAAACAAACATGTACTTTTAAAAAAGAAGCTAGTACAGTTCCAGTCTCAAATCCCAAGTAATTTTCTATTCTTGAGGACTTTAGTGAGATCTTTAACTCATATCTCAATGCTACAAATAACCATGGGACCAATATTTTCTGCTGCTTCTCTGCCAGATAATATTTAAATCCTTACTACTGATGCAGACATTTACAACAACAACAACAACAACAAAACTAAAAACATTTAAAGGAAGAGAAAAGCATTAAATGGACTTGTCAGGCACTTTTTCTTTAATTGTTTTGAAATGGCCATATTACACGAACAATCTGTAGATTCAAACACAACATACCTTTTGTTTCTCAGCATCTATGTACTTTTGAACACCAGGAACCATTCTGTTTCATTTTCCACAACAATCGTTAGTCTCACACATCAAAAACCCAACAAACAGAAAAAAGATTGGGATCAAAGAAAATTAAGCATTTGAAAAGATTCTCACTTGAGGAATCCCATGATAAAACCAACGAGACATGCTTTCAGGCCTTTCTCGTGAACAACGCCGAAGACAGATCCGATAATCTGGGCGAGAAAGAGAGTGAGAAGCGGGGCTAAGAGCAGAACCAGAGGCTCAAACTCCGACAAACGCGAGTTTAGAAAGCCTCGAGCTTGAATCAGCCTGGGTTTCATCGAAGAATATGACAAATACTCCATTTTTCTTTTCTATCTTTCTTGAAATCAAGATGGGGAGAAAAGTGAAATCGTTTTAAACATAGAAAAAGGAATATCGAAAGTGATAGAGATGATGATGATCAAGGATCTCGTTGAGGTCATCGCGTGCAAGGTACAACGATTAGTTTAAGAGATTGTGTCAAACTTTCTTTTCTCCTTTTGGCGCTTTGTGTTTGGTAACGTGTCTAGTCACTTTTTTTCAAGAGAGTTACTTTCACATGTTCACACTCTGCTGGCTGCAGACAGAGTTTTAACTTTTAACCCAGTTAAAAAACGAAGCTTTGATAAACATATCTCTTTGATTTGCAGAGCTCTCTTTGATTTACAGCAAAATCGTATTAATCAATCTTAGGATAAACGAAATATATTCGGATGAAAAGCATATTTGCACTAAGAAAAGGTGCCAAAGTGACATTTGAAAACCACTTTAAATTGTCTTTAACAAGTCACTAGATTGTGATGACAAATTTGACAAACCATCATCATCTAGGAATAAAGAAAGAAAAAAAAAAGACAAAGAGGGATAAATATGATAGAAGGATTTGCTCAAATAGTATAAAAATGCAACATTTGATAATGTAAATGCTAACAATCTGATTCTTCTCAGGCGTAGTTCAACCTGAATATATCGTTGTACACGTAAAAGCTTCCTTGTGGCGTCGGCATCAAGTGAAACATCTGCAACACAAAAATGAAAAATGGTTTTGTAGCTGCGTTAGACACAAGATCAAGAATTCCCCAAACAAATGAAATCAATATATGTCATGTGTATATGGAATTTTTAGGATATATACATAACATTGACAGAAAAGTCTTCAGCTCAATAAACTGGACAAGAAAAGATTAAACTTTTCTCTTTCAATCTAATCCACAAATGTCAAGTTTGTCATCCACAAAAACGCAATTCCTTAAGCTCAACCAAAACACACGACAAGGCGCAACGAATTTGCAATTTTGCATCTTTTACTTCACATAATTGCAAGTAAGTCCTTGTGAATAGCCAGACTTACAGATCTATCAGCGAATTGAAACCCTAGCGATCTAATTACTGAAAATCGCAAAGCACAGGCAAATCGACAAATCCAAAACAATCAAACCATATATAGATCAATCCAGAAGCGGGAGAGAGATAGAGATAGACCTGGCTGAACTTGAGGAGGTGTTCCTCGCCGGCGAGCTGGAGGTTGCCGGAGACGAAAACGAGCATACCGGAGGCGGGACCAGAAGGCTGGCAATCAACGGTGGAGATGTTGTGCTTGCACTGCTGGAAAGGGAGAGAGGTGAGCTTGGCGACGATGCTCTGGACTCCTTGGATCTTCTGACCTTCGAAGGTGAGCATGGAAGCTTCCTGGTAGAGACCGCCGAGACCGACGCGGTTGTTGTCGAAGGTCGTATAGTAGTGCTCGACGAAGGCCTTGGCAACTGCGTCGGGATCCATCTGCGCCGCCATTAGAGAGAGGTTGAGAGAAGAGAGATTGAGATTGAGATTGAGATTGAGATTGAGATTTGGGGAAAGTATTGAAATTGGGAGCCGGAAAGGGTTTTGGTGTGTTGTATTTATTCAGATGGAGACTCTCTCTGACCTGTATACCTCTGCGTCGCTACGACGCTGCTTTTTCTCCTTTTTCTGTTTTTCTTTTTTCCTCTTGTCATTTTTTTTTTTAATTTGTCAACTTGTCAAATTTTGTTTTTTTACCATTAATATCGATATGCAATCAGGATACACAAAACACAAATGATTAAATTTTATAATTAAGTTTTTTAATCAGTTTTTACTTTTATATAATATTGTAGGTACGGAAAACCACACTAAAAATTTATGTGTATTTTGTAAGGGGGAAATTGCCTATGAAATCAAATGTTAGATTCTGATGTAAGTCGAACAAGTGTAAACAAGTATTTGACGAAATCGGATTTAGGTTAATCAAATAAAGCAGTTACAAAATCGGCCTGAAAAGACCATGTAAAACATTAGGATTCGACTAAGCTAAAGAGATGGAAATGAGATGGTGGTTGTGCTTGTGATCGAGCTGCCTACGTACCCTGTTTTAGGGATCAAGTCTAAACGTAGTTTGATTGTAAGTTGTTCTCTATTTCGGGTCATTTTCTGAAGAGAAATGACCACGAAAAGAGCTAAATGGGTGTGAAGATGACGATAAATTTTATGTTATCGAAGATAAGAGATTATGTCGAACTTCTGCCGAAAGTGATTTCCGGCTAGAAAGATCAGAGCTTTATGGAATTATCTCAAAGATCAAGGATAAGATCGTAGAGAAAAGATATCATAGTATCTCAAGACGATGAGGAAGAACTTCACTCTGTTTCTGCTGGGAAAAGATGATGAGAAGAACTTCAATTGTGATTTTCGATCCAAAGAATTATCTCAACGTAAAGAGAAGCTGTTAAGACGTGAAGAACATGCGTTCTCAGATGTGAGAAAGATAGATATTGTCTTAGATGAAGAAAAGGAACTAAATGAGAAAGAAGATAACTCCCCAAATGAGAAGGATCAGACCAGCCCTTAAGACCAGAATCGTCCTCCTTTTATAACTCCTGAAATAGATCGCAACCTCCTCCGCGTATCTCGTCCACGTGCAGCTACCGATCCCGCTATATCCTGATCCGAACGGTCGAAGCGAGATTCTCGTTTGACTCGTTCAGCTTGTCTTACGGACTTAACTCCATCAAGCTAGAGCTCGACTTCGGAGGTGATTGGTAAGTGCTCTGCAGAGCAATTATTTTTTCTAGAGCACTAGTGTTAAACCAATCAAGCTTTGATTTCATTTTTTAAGTTCAGACCCATAGTTTTATTTATAGAAATATTTTGGCTTTGCAGAGCAGATTTTTCAGAGCACAAATTTAAGAACTCTATGAATTCTTTCTCTGCTCTTTCCTTAATCTCATTCTCTATATTCCTTTTTTCATATTTCTTTCCTATATCTCTTTTATTTATTTTTAATGCCACATGTATGATATTTTTTAATAAATTATTTATCATAAAAATCCTATAGCACTAAATCTACAGCCACATGCCCACAGAAAAAAATCTACAACATAAATTCTACAGCAAAAAAATCCATAGCTACAGACACAACCAATCAGGCCCTTCGTCTTCACAAGTAGCTCGGATAGTAAACAATTGGATTTGGACAAGGATATTTGGTGGACTCGAGGTCATTCTACTAAGCATGGATAAACTTATCTTATCTTTAAGGTTGAGTTGATGGGTCTTATGGGCCAGATTTTTGGAGGGAAATCCAGATCCAACAAATACTAATATTTTTATAACTTGAAAACAGTTAAAAATGAAAATTATGTCAAATTGGCAAATTGTATTTTTTTTTATTCTGTTTTTATTAGATCATATTTTACTATATTGCATGAAAATTGTGTCACGTTTTCGAAACATAAACTCGTATTTTTAAAAAAATATTCAGTTTGAAAACACAATGAAAAAACGCATTTCTATTTTAGAGATTTGCCGAAATTCTATTTTAAGAAAAAACATAATAAGTAAAAATATAAAATAAAACAGAAATAAGTAAAAGAAAAAACATAATATGTAAGAATCAAATAAAAATATTAAATAATTATATCTTTTAGAGTAAGTTAATGAATTTAATTCATTTTATGAGATTGGTTTTAGCATTATTGAGTTTGAGTATCTATGTCTCCATAAACTAAATTTCAAGATAATTGTGGTTGATGGAGCTCATAAAATTATTAATAATAATAAATACCTTTAAATTTTTACATCAAACGTTAATATTTAAATATTTTATATATATACACGTTTTTAAAATGTTTAAAGTTATATTTTTGTAAATAGACGTTTTCCATTTCGAAAAACGATTTGTTTCCATGTTTCGGAAATATTTTGCTTCCAAGTTTTAGAAACATTTCGTTTTCACATTTATGTTGAAAATGCTACATAAATCTTTTGTCACTAGCATAAGAATACATAGAAACTTTTTATTTTGGAAATGTAATTTCCATTATCTATGATTTTGCAAACATAATCTCAACCATATATCAAACAAATACCATTAGAAGAATCAATTGAATAGATATTTGTGAAGGAAAATTAAGTAGAGTTTCATAATTCACAATTTGTCTCCAAAATAGTTGAGAAATTATTTGAACCACGATTTTAGTAAAAATGAGTTTGAATTGTTTATTAACCAATTTCATTTTTTTTTTTAGTTCAAATAGCAAAGTTCATTTCGATGACTTTTATTCCTCTGCAACTATTTGCACCACCCCAAATTCTCCTACATGCACCCTAACCAATCAGATCAAAGAAATGAAGCTAGCTCATTAATCAATTTTATTTTTAATTTCTAAATATTTATTCTTATGAGTTTCCATGCGTCACCCAAACACTCCCTAACTCAAAAATCGTCAAAATTCGACTACGATTTTCTTCTACACCTTCTTCGTCTCTCTCTCGACACCTTTGTCTCCATTCCGTCACAGATTCTCTCTTGTCTCTTACTTATCAACACTGTCTCTCTCTCCCCCTTCGTTTTCCCTCCGATTGGGCCCTACCTTACTGAATTTCCATGGCCGCTTATTACCGAAGCACCGACTATTCTCCTCCCACTGGTAAGCCTCGTCGATTCTCCTCATAGATAAAAAATGTCGAAACCTTTTTGATTTTATTCTCCTGTGGCTTGAAGTGGGTTTCATTGTTTCGTCACTCAAACGAAGAAATTAAGTTGCTCATTTGATTAATTTTTCCCTTCTCCAAATAAAAAAGCACTGTGGTTGTAATTCGTAAAGCTAAAGTCTTTTTTGGGATTCGTTTACTTTACTAGGCTTGTGTTGGGTTCCTCCTCTTTACTTTTGACTATTCATCAATGAAATGAAAAAAAAAGTTCATCATTTGGATATTTAGGTTCACTTGAGGCCTTGAAAATGATGGAGAGGCTAAATCCTGACAAGAGTGTTCTCCATGATCAGGTTACTGATTTTGTTATGGCATTGCTCGTCTTATTATGTGATTGTAAGCTAGTTTCCAGTTTGACAATGTTGAGTTAAGATTTTACAGGACACGAATAGCATTCGCCCTTTCTTTGGTAATGCTTTTCCTTCAAGTTCCTGCGGTTTTAACACAGAATCATTTCACATTGGAGGTTAGACTTGTATTCTACTTATAATTACTTCTCTAACAATTCTCTGTAGTTTTGTGGTTACTGAACTAATCTTTGTTATAATATTCCTAGCTGATTTATTTTGGCACATTTATATGCAACTTGAGTATGGTTTTTTTGTTTTTTCTGACACTGAAGTCCACCTACTTATGAGGGCGATTCCAAATTGCTATCTTTGAATTGTTATACCATCATTCTAGGTGAAACTAGAGTGAACACCGCCACATGCGCATGAAAAGTCTTCATCATTTTTTTTGTTCCTGCTTCGCTATGTTTGTCTTGTGACCAATGTTGTGGATTTTGTTGCTTCTTGGCTACTAGTTTGAGATTTCCCTTGTTGCTCATTAATGCCGTCGTTTCTCACAGGTTATGAAAATGCAGCTGGTACTCCAAGGTCGTACCATTCACAGTTGGATATTCTTAACTTCGATTCTCCTGTGCGTAAAAAATCATCTAACCTACGCCATTTATTCTGACTTGCTTTTAGATTTCTGATGCTCTTGGTGTGTTTCATTTATTTCCTAATTCTTATTCAATTGATATAGGGCATGAGAAGTGAAATGTTTTACCACGGTCATGGTTTACCATCAGATTTTCAGAGGTCATCTAACTCTACCAGAAACCAATCATCACCGCAGCATCATGGTCTTCTCTATGCTGATGAGTCAAGAAGACAATTCCTTCCTTTTGACTCTTTGAATCAGCAGTATCTAGCCTCAGAAGATGTTTATGCTTCGCCAGAGTTTCACATGTTTCAGGCGAACTCTAGACATTTTGATAGGCATGCGGATGAAAGAAGCACTAGTGAGACTGACTATATGATGCGTTCTAGGGGATATTCTGGCTTAAGAAATGACATTTTTGGAGAACCTAGGGGCTTCAATGGAGAAATGATGTTCCATCCAATGGCATCTACTAGAACATGTACGAAGACTTTTGGTTCCGCTAAGTTATCTGCAAATGATTTCGACAGGGTTAGTTTCTGTGATCTCTACCATCTATCTGGTTCTTGCGTATGCCTGACTTCTTTTAACAGACAGACTTCTGATTGATTATTATCTACGCAGGGTCCACCACATGGAGTTTTAGGCAAAGCTTTTGAATCTGGTGCAAGCTTAAGTTACAGAGAGCAAGCTGGCATAAGAGACTCTTTCTCTGCATCTTCGTCTTCTAGCCCAACTTGGGAGATGGATTATAACTTGCCACCACTTGATGAAGTAAGAAGTGGAAGCTACAGTGACTTATACCACAACGCCGCCATGCTTGATATGCTTGCCGAGAGAAACAGAGGATTTGGGGCATCCTGGCTAAACGGTAAAAGTAATATGGCAACTTATGATCACGTTGGTCGTTTTTGTCAACAAGATCTGCTCTCTCAGCTGAGAGACGCAAAGTTCTTCGTTATCAAGTCATATAGCGAGGACAATGTCCACAAGAGCGTAAAGTATAGTGTTTGGGCAAGCACCAAAAACGGAAACAAGAAGCTAGATGCTGCTTATCGTGAAGCCAAGAAAAGAGAAGTGGCATGCCCAGTCTTTCTTTTGTTTTCGGTAACTTGCCTCTCTTTTTTCTTTTAATTCATCACAAATAAAAAAATTGCTTGGAAGCTATGAATGTTGAAATTACATCAGCTTGTTTTATTCAACCATGAAACTTCATTGTCAGGTGAATGCGAGTGCCCAGTTTTGTGGAGTGGCCGAGATGGTTGGACCGGTTGACTTCAACACAAGCGTAGAGTACTGGCAACAAGATAGATGGTCAGGACACTTCCCGGTCAAATGGCTTATTGTTAAAGATGTTCCCAACAGTCTCTTTCGTCACATCATAATTGAAAGCAATGACCACAAGCCTGTCACTAACAGTAGAGACACTCAAGAGGTATATAACTCTTCTTCTCTTGTACATTCATTTGGCTGACATTCAAAAGTGTAAGATGTGAAATAGTATATTTGTGTGTGTGTATCTGCAGGTGGGACTAGAACAAGGTGTGGAGATGTTAGAGATATTCAAGAGCTGTGAGATGCGTTCTTCGATCCTCGATGACTTCAGCTTCTACGAAGAGCGGCAGAGAGCGATTCAAGACAGAAAAGCCAGGCAACGTGCTGTTCTTGATCTCGCACTCTCTGGAACCTCTGTTCCAAGACGACATCACCCCGCGAGCTCTTCTCTCCATGACGACTTTGTAAGGGAAATGTCCAAGAGCTTTGCAGAGGCTTTGGCCTTGCAACACAAACTCATTTAGTTTTTCTAAAAAAAGTTAAAAAACTTCTCTTCTCTTCTCTTTTGGGATTTGGATTGGATGGGACTTGTTTATGGCTATATAGTATGTACTTTTGATTTTGTGCTACTGACCACAGACTTAAGGAACATAGTTTGTAAGATAAATTCAAGGTTCTTCCCAGTCAAATGGCTTACTGTCAAAGATGTTCCCAACAGTCTCCTTCGTTATAGCGTAACTGAAAACAATTACCATAAGCCTGTCACTAACAGTAGAGACACCCAAGAAGTATACTAAACTCTTCTTGTCTTGTACATCCTTTTCTTGAACGGTCCGTTTTATGCATATAGATTTGAGCGCATTGTGACCCGTATTTTTAATTTTTTTATTATGAAACTTTGCTGTAACTGCACCAGGAGATTCATACTTCTTTTGAATCGTATGCGAGGGCAGTTATACCTCCACTATGTGTGGATCTCTCTAACGTGGAACATGTCTTCTTTTAAATCAAAGAATGGCTTTATTACACATATACTAAATTATACAAGGTAGTAAAATGTGTTAAATATTTGGTGGATACATAAGATCTGAGGTGGATGCAAGCTTGTTTAATAAAGTCATACAAATATTTTCAAATGTTATATGAAAATGATAAAATCAAAAATAGAAAAATCTTTAAAGTAGTTAGCAAATGAATGCTCAAGTAACTCCTTTTTGAACGTTGGGTAAATTTAGTTATATGCGGAAAAGGATCCGATTAAGTGGGGGAAGTTCTCACTCATTACAACTATTGTCCGAACGAAGGAACAACTAAAAGGAAACAACACACTTGAAAGATAGTCTTCAAATTTAGAAACAAAAGCACAAAACACAATTAAAAAAGAAAAGATTGCATCTCTAATGTCATGTGCCTACCGTGCCGTGCGTCTAGGCCAAACCCATCCTAGGCATGGTTGAAACGAAGGAGAGGGCCATCATAGCGACGGCTAGAGCCACGAAAACGTGACTATCTCTTATGGAAGCTGATCCTGCCTTATCCGTAGCCGTCGTTGGAGTCGCCGGAGACTTCCCTGACGGTGCCCCCGGTGCTGCTGGTGACGTGGCGTTGCTTGTGAATACGGCTGCGTCTGGCGAGCTCGGCGAAAGCCCTAGAAGCTCTGTTCATTTTATGAAAATTTTAAAATTAGCGTCACTTAACAATGTCAACTGACAAAATGTGATTTTACTACAACAACTATATCCTCGTACATTCATCGGAAATTAAAGCTTCTTATTTCCTTATATAACCCGGCATTTTTATTGTTAGTTAAACTTAAAACTCGATTTGAAATACTTACAAGCAAGTTACTTTATGAGTAAATAAAGAAGGACCGGACCAGCAGAATTTCGTACTAATTTAATTGCAAAGATTATTAAATAGAAATTGGCTGTATGTTGGCTGTATTAAAAAAAGTAGGTTATATTTATAAATGTGGTACAAATTAAATGCGTTTCTCTGTATATAGGTAGGTGCAACCCGAGGCACCTGTCGCATTAAAGTTTCTGGTTCTCCAATATGCGTACGATATGTCCAAAGAAAGTAAACTACTCCTACTGATTAAACAGTCACTAAATTAGTTAAACTTAGTAACAGTAAGGATCAGTCACCTTGGAACATCAAAATTTACAAAACTCATGAAAGCAATTTTTGTGACACGCACTCAAGAGTCATGGCTTCATTAAGATATCATATAACCAAAGAAATGACTTCATTGATTAATACTTTAAAAAATCAATAAGGTTATAATTTCAGTATTATGTTTTTAACTGTCCTCATATATTTATAAACATGCATAGTGCATTATGTTGAGTACTCGAAAATCTGAACGAAACTCTATTTCAACAACATACATTTTTGTTATATCTGAATCCAAATGATATATCTTAATGATGATACATCGACTATACTAATACCTATATCTGTCTTTGTTGAAAGTTGAAACCATATGTATAATATAGATATGTTTGACCAACAGGCATCAATATTTTACTGCTCACTTGTAGTTGTCGGCATTTTATGATAAAAAACCCTCCTAACATATACTATTTCTCTAAGTAGCCTCAGTGTCTCACTAATCTACATGCCTGGGGTTGATCGGAAAGTAAACGCATAGAAGGTACCAAAAAGCAGATCGAGATAAGAAAACCACGTTATGAACTAAAAATAATTAAAAGAAATAGTACTAATAAGAAAAGGATCCCAAATTAACGGAGGAAACGTACTTGGACAATTCGAGATGCTAGCGTTCTTGAGCTGACAAGAAGTTGGAAGTTGAATGAGTTTGGCTTCTTGAACACCTAGATCCTTTAAGGTTTGTCCTCCTGACTTCGCTTGTTGTATCACAAAACACAAACACTTTGGATCTCTCTCTTTTATATCTTCCACGGCGTCACAACATTTCTTAGACGGAGTCGGTGTCTTCCCGGTAGCGAAGTCCAAACACAAAGTCACCTTTTGTAAATCTTGACTACATTCGTCCGCCAAAGCTCCACCGGCCGCTGGAGCCGCCAGTGTAGCCGTAGGGATGGAGGCAACAACCGTCATGGTGACTAGGAAGAGGTGGAGATGAAGACCCTTCATTATCAATTTCTTTCTTTCGTTTTCTGTTTTTGCTTTCCCTTTTTTCTTGTTGGGGATTTTGTTTGTATTTAAAAGCAAAAATGACTTTGCATGAGGTGTGTTGTGTATTAAATGCCTTTGTGGTGTGTGTAGTTGGGAGCTTAGACACCTACACATGTTCACATTAACGACGCTGATATAATCGTCGACTTATTGTTGATTTTTTAAAAAAACATTTGTCTGCGTTTAATATTATCAACGCGAGTGAAATAATGCTTCGTTAATCATCAATTTTTTATATGGGCCATTGTCAATCTAGCTGTCTTATGTGTAATTAAGCATATATAGTAGATCTCTTTTTCTTCTTTCCTTTTCTTTGCATCATTATATTTTACAGGAGGTACCGAATTACCGATGCCATTCCTTAACATAGTTAATGTAAGGTACCATCTCTTTGTCGATCGACTGTTTCTTAATTAATTAATCCAAATTATCTATAACTAATTATCCAACACGCTTTTTGTGTGTCGAATTAGGATTGGATTATTGCTGAACTCAACTTCATATATAAATAACATTAAAACCCAAAAAAATAAACTTCACATATAAATAATTGTTGAAGAATATATTCCACAAAGTAAAGAAAGTCTTTTTTTTCCGGTTTAACACATGAGTTGTAGATTTAGATTATAATTTGTTTGTATGCAACATAGTTGTTAATTTATCTGTGTAATTTGATATTATCTTTCCTAAATAGTTAATGAATAGTTTATATACCTATTTGATATTCATACTATGCTTTTTCAAGAGAAAACAAATACATTTGAGATAGAATTATAAATGATTTTAGTACTTAAGTCGGAAGGATAATACGTGTATAACAGTACAACGTGTCCGGAATGAGTGCAATGGAACGGGGAGTAGTAAATGCATCCACACGAAAGTTATTGCTTCAACGCGGTTTACGTATGAACAAAGAACGGAGTCTTGATTTCTATCTTTGTCGCTTTCATAAAACGATTCAACGGTAGAATCTTGTCAGCTTCTTCTTTTTCTTTGCTTTTTGATTATAGTATTATACAAAAATATCTTGCGTTATAGAGTTTTTTTTTGTGTGTGTGTACAACAACAATGGATCTATCTTCTTGATATGTATGAGTTTACTATTTGCATGTGACTTTTTACGTTGGGTCCATTCTTAATCAACCTCTCGTATTTTTTTTTTTTTGTTAAAGTCAACCTCTCGTATTGGTACGCTAAATCCGTAAATCATGAAAAGATTCTTAAAATAGGTGTTCACAATTGGTGGAAATTATGTTTCGTTGTATTGCTTTGTTTATTCATCTTCTTTTCTTTGTTTGCATTTCTAAATGGTACCTCTTTTGAAAGGTCAAGAAGATGAATAAAAGGAAATTTAAAGGGAAAACAAAAATTGTTGGAAATTATTGTTATGCCATTTCAACATTTACCAATAAAACTTATTAATGGACAGATTCTCATCAGCAATATATATACCGGATTACCAAAGATCATTGATCTAATGTGAAATAAAAATATGGAGTATGGTACTCGGGAGACATAACTAGTCAGATATACATAACTTGGTTTTTTAAACTCAATCGTTGCCAATGGCATACAAAAAGATCGTGTTCTCAATTGACTCTCCCTTGCCCTGCAATTTGAGACAAGTATTAATATCACACTTGTATTTCAACGGCAGTTACTGCTGGGAAATTTGGAGGGCTATAGTATTGGCCTATTGCCTATAATTGGGGAATGCTTCATATGCATATATAGTTTCTTCTAACTATGAAAACTTATCAAAATCGAAATATATTGTTAGTTGATATGAATATATAGAGGATAAAATCAAACACTATAAGTTCACTAAATATTTTGGTTATAGTAGTTTTTATATATCTACAAAAAGGCTTCATTTAAAAATCGTCTCTGTATTATTATTTTTTCTACCTAGTTCTTCAAATATGTTAAACTGTACAGTCTAAGACAAATATCATCTTTAAAAACAATTTTACCTTGGAAATTAATCGTTTTTGTTTGTAATATCGACATATACATTTGAAATTAGTCATTGATACCATGTTAAAATATAGAACGAAAACTAAATGTAAAAATACAATTTTATATACGAAAGTAGACTACTAATAGTCTAATACTAATTAATAAACTGTAATCTCTGTAATTGTTTCTTCATATGGAAATTTAGCTTTTGTAATTGTTTCTTGATATGGAAACTTGGCTTTCTACTCTCCCACATTTATTTCTTTGTGGATCTTACACTTTCTTTCGGAGTAGAGACAATATGGTCAGTAAACCTTGCCTGCCATCAGGACTCGAAACCAAATTCTACACTCTCGGAAATAGACTGATACAGCTACTGACACCGGATTCCACACTTAATTATCTTTTTTCTGCAAATAGTAACAAATCAAGTCTTCCACTCATTATCCACTGCGAAACATGTAATACATTTTCCGATTTTCACCACACAAACTGATAGAGTAATTACAACAATAAGGAAGACACAATAGTTCCAATGCATCACCTCACCAGCCAATGAAATTTACAGATTTCCTAAAAATAAGACCATGATTTTCTTTATCTAACGTGGGCATATAGATAAAGTATTGCGTTTTAACAAGGAATTCACGAAAATCTAGGAATTGAACAACAAATTAGGGTTTCGATGATTAGCAAATTATACCCACAAACTAGTTTGTGACTTTCCGACCCGGACAATTATAACCGAACCGAAATATAAACTCTAGACTTCTAAATCCGAAAAATAAAACCGAACCGAACTGAAAACTAAATGGGTACCCAAAAATATGAATTATAATATATATATCTTATTATATAAAGCTGGATGCGCACGACGTGGTTGCGACACGTAGGATTTTTATAAAATTCAGGATCGCGACATGTGTCACTTTTAAGTTTATGTCCGTTAAGATCGTGACACGTGTCTTAGGAAAAAAAGAACTTAAAAAAAAAATTCCAGAAAAATGTTAATTAAAAAAACGAAATTTAATTTAATCTATTATATCAAAAAGGAAAAAATAATATTTGTCATATCCAAACAGAAAAAGGTTTCCCATTCATCAATTTTTTATTATATAAAGTTGGATGCGCACGACGTGGTTGCGACACATAGGATTTTTATAATTTATAAGATCGCGACATGTGTCACTTTTAATGTTACGTCCGTTAAGATCGTGACACATGTCTTAGAGAAAAAAAAAGAAAAAATAATAATAAAAAATTAGATAAAGGAATTTAAAAAAAAATCCATTACAGTTAAAAGAAATAAAAATATATTTGTCATATCCTAATAGAGAAAGGTTTCATTCATCAAATTAATATTATCCAAACAAATAATAAAATCAAAATAATGTAATAAATAAAATCCTATTTGTACATGGAATATGTTATGTAAACTAAATTTCCTATAACTGCATGTAATAGGTTACTTGAACCCCTATAAAAGAGAGTCAAAGTTTCTCAATCATAAATTCATCAAAGCAAATTCATCAAATCCCTTTGATTCTATTTCTCCAATTTAAAAATCATGTTTTTGAAAGTTTTGCGATACATAGGATTTTTATAACTGACAAAATTGCGACATGTGTTTTAAAAAAAAAATTCTGAAGTATGAAGATCGTAACATGTGTCATGGAATAAAATAATAAAAAAAATTAATATGTATAAGACTAACTAAAAATTAGAAAAACAGATAACAAATAATTAAAATGAAAAAATAATACATCCATTAAAAGTAATAAAAAAACAGGAAACAAATAATTTAAATTCTTTTGTTACATCTATTAAGAAAAGGAAAAAAAATCCATTTCGAAAAGGAAAAATACCAATATATAGTATTTATAATGGTCTGAGGCAAAAACAAAATTGAGAAAGAAAAAATATAAATAGAAAACTAACAAAATAATTATCAAGCAATTAACTAATATTAAAAAATTATAATTGATATTCTAATTTTAAATAGTTTGATTTTCAATTTTTGTTAGGTAAAAAAATTGAAATAAAGATTTCATCAATTAAAATCTCTTGAATGGAATAATAAAAGTTTGATTAATTAATCAGTTGATCAGATTTAGACATGTGTAAGTCTTTCTGTATTGGATAAAAATAATAGTAAAACAAATTAATTCATTTTGTCATATCATAAATTCAAAAGAAAAATCAATTACAATAAAAATGTAAAAGTATTACCAATCTTATTTTATTTAAATATTTTTTATCGGGTTTTCAATATTATTTTGTTTACGTTTAAAAATGATCAAATTTTGTTTAATATTTTCCATGCTTTTATTATAAAATCTTAAAATATACCCGCGTATACGCGGGCCTTAATCTAGTATATATATATATCTTATTATATAAAGTTGGATGCGCGCAACGTCGTTGCGACACTTAGAATTTTTATAAAATATAAGATTGCGACATGTGTCAATTTTAATGTTAAGTCCGTTAAGATCGTAACACGTGTCTTGGGAAAAAAATAATAATAATAAAAAATGTTAGAAAAAGGATTTTTTTTTTTAAATCTATTAGAATAAAAAGAAAAATCTATTTGTCATATTCTAATAAAAAGGTTTTCCATTCATCAAATTTATATTATCTAAACACATTAAATTCAAAATAATGTAATAAATAAAATCATATTAGTACATTAGCAAAAATCAGAAAAAAGGAAATAAACAATTAAACTAAAAATATAACATCCATTAAGAAAAGTATATAAAAAATATAATTCTATTACAAAAAAAAAATAAAAAAATAAAAATCAGGAAAACATGATGAAATAATTAAAAATTATTACATCGAGTAAGAAAAGGAATAAAAAAACATATTATCATTAAGAAAAGGAAAAAGAAAACTAATATATAACAAACTATATTTAAAATAATTTCTTTCTCATTAAGAAATAAAAAAATCATGTGTAATATTTAATCAGGTGATGAAATGTGTCAACAAAAGAAAATTGAAAAAATGGAGAAACATAAATAAATAAACTAATAAAATAATTGCAAAACAACTAACTAATAATGAAATTGAAAATTTATAATGGTTAGAGGCAAAAAAAAAATTGAAAAAGAAACAATATAAATAGAGGACCGGCAAAATAATTATCAAGGAACAAAAATATTAAAAAGAAAATTTTATAATGGACCAATATTCTAATATTAAATATTTTATTTTCCATTTTTTTCTTAGGTAAAACATTTTTAAAAATAAAGATTTCATCAATATTTAAAATAAATATTTCATCAATGGAAGACTCAAAGTTTCATAAATTAATGAGTTGATTAGATTTAAATACATGTAAGTTTTTAATTTCTATTACATATAATGAATTCAAAAAATGATCAAATTTTGTTTAATAAACCCGCGTGTACGCCGGACCTAATCTAGTATATATATATATATATATAGGTTTAATATAAAAATACATAAAATTACAATTATAAACTCAATATATTATTTATATTTATACAGAAATAATCTAAATACTCCAAAAAATCCAAAAGCTTTAGTTATATGTGTTAAAATCAAATTTATTTTTGCAAAATTTAACTAAATTTCATTTAGATTAAGATTGATATTTTGTCTTCTAGTAATTTATTAATGTTAATACTTAAAGATCAAACACAATGTGGTTAAATATATTTCTATATATTTGATTCGAGTAGTAAAGAAAAAGTAACTTCTACTAACAATGTGGTCTGATAAATAGAATCATTATGAATCTTATCCACGTGAGAAGATCTCACTTCAACGACAATATATTAGGATAAATTATTATTTCTGCAGCTATTTCAATTATTTTAAGAAATAAAAAGGAAAACAGATAAAGAACAACTAACAAAAAAGGAAATTAAACATGATAGCGAAAACGAAAACCTATCTCATTATGGAAGAAAAAAAAAGGAAATAGAGAGTGAAGCACCGACTCAATCCGCATTATAAAATAGAGCTTCACACTCCATAACGAATCATCACCTGATTTGGATATCTTATTTCTTCTTCTCAACCAAAAAAAGAAAAGAAACAGATCGTTCGAAGCAAAACCCTAGAGTAACTATGGCGAAGATGTTTAGAGAAAGAGAACCACAGATCATTGACGAATCATCACTGAAGTTTGTCTCTGTTCTTGGCAGAGGAGGTTACGGCTCTGTAACTCTCATGAGAGATTCCAACCTCCGCTTGTTCGCAGAGAAGTCTTCTTCGTTCGATGACTTGAGGAGTCTCGAGAAAGAACACAGAATCATGAAACGTTTCCGTGGTCATCCACGCATCGTCCAAACCAGGAGCCCTAATCTTCACATAGCGACCAATCCCGAAAGATGTTACATCTACATGGAGTTTGCCTCCAAAGGCACTCTCCACAACATGATCTCCGAGTTCCGCGAGAGAGGAAGACCGATGCCTGAGCACACGATCGGACATGTTGCTCTCATGATTCTACAAGGACTCCAAGCTCTTCACTCGCACGGTTACGTTCACTGCGATCTCAAGCCAGCGAACGTCCTCGTGTTTCCTTCTAAGGCCGTTGGAGAGCCGTGGGATCTCAAGCTTGCTGACTTCGGTATGTCCAAGGAGCCTTGCACGGATTCTAAGTATTTGCTCGCTGGTACGAAGCCATACATGCCGCCAGAAACTTTGGGACCAAACAAAGTGATTGGATCAGCCGTTGATGTTTGGTCGCTAGGATGTGTTGTTCTGGAGATGTTTGGAGGATGTCCAAAGAAGATGGGACATTGCTACACGTGGAGGCTTCCGAAACTTGTGTCTCCGATGGCTGACGATTTCTTGAGGCGGTGTTTAGCTTTGCTACCGTCACGTAGAGCCACTGTTGAGGAGCTGTTGAAACATCCCTTTGTTTTGCAAAAAGTGATCGGTGTAACACCACGGCGAGAGTCAATGCCTCTATGTCCTTCTTTCCTTAGGTTTCTTTCTGACGTGAGGAACAATGGAATGGAAGAATGTTCAAGAAGACAAAGAGGAGGACCGGCGATGAAGATGATGCCAAGACCTCAAGATTTGATCTACTGAGGTCAACGTTGGAGATAGAGAGGAGTTTCCGGTGGAGCCGGTTGTTTCATTAGGGTTTGGTTTGGTTTGGTTTGTTCAGAGTCGTATTTAGGGTTCAATTGAAATTGTGTCTTAACTTGTTGTCGAAGAAAACAAATTGTTAAGCGGTTTCTACGTGAGAGTTTTCGTTTTCTTTGTTGTCCGACGTTTTTTTTTTTCTTTTTCGCAGTGACAACAAACTTTGTCTATTGATTTAAGCCATTGCTTTTATCAGACCATATTGGCTCTCTTTTTTTCCTCTCTCTTTTGCATTATTTCATTTGGGAACTCAAAACACACAACATATTAAGTAACAAAACAAGGTTACTACAGAACAAAATCAAACGATTCCTCCAGAAATCAAATTCTCAATAGTATTTCTTTCGAACTGAGTATAAAACGATTGTTAATCATGTCTCGGAGGAATCAATTTTTATTTTTTTGTGTAAAGTTTAGTTATATTGCTTAACGTCGAGCAATTTAACATTTTGTACATTTTTAATATTTTTTTTAGCAATTGCTGAACAGTTTAGTAAATGTATTATATCAATTTTCATATAATTGCTTAGCATTTTGTCATTTTGCTCCATCTTGCAATATATTGAATGTAGTCTTACTTTTTTTTTGTAAATGTTAATGTTAGTCTTGCTGTCTTAGTTGTCTTAGTGTGCAACAATAAGCAGATAATCCCCTTCTAGGATTCACATTATATCATGTAGATTTCAGATGGATTGTTCAAACTTGCTCAAGAGAATGGAGAACCTATATGGATCATACTTGCTTCAAGTTGGATTTAGACTATCTTTGTAACTTTATAGGATTTTTAAGAAATTTGGCTTGAATATACATAAAAGATTTGCGTCATTCGGTACCCGAACCGAGCCCAACCCAAAAAGTTAAAAAAAATCTGAATAGGGATTTATAGTCACAAACCCAAAAATCCGAAATCCGGACCCGAACGGGTACCGAGTCCCATGCCTAAGGCACAAACCTTGTCAGTGTTAAAGTTCCTCCTGTTTTTAAAAATCGGTTTAGTATACTTCTCAGTTCTTTAGACATGCCTGGCTAGTTTGTTCATCCAAATCTTCGTCGTTTCTGCTTTCTTTTCATCAATTCCATCAAACCGCAAATCGTATCAAAAAGAAATATTTTCATCCAAATCATCACAAAACTGTAAAAATAGCTTTTTTTATCCTTATAAAAATAACAGCTCAAACATATTTGCGATATTCTTTTTTAACAACCATTATTACACTTGAAATATATACTCACAAATCATAACTAATGGATTAAAAACAGCCGCGTATTGCGTTCGTATAGCACCATTAGTTTGAAACCAGTCACATTCCTGTCATAATTTCATTTGTACCTAGTAGTGGAAACCATTCTTATATCATTCACCATAAATATGAGATGTTACTATATCAATCTAAACATATTTCATATTCAGTCATCCTAGGGACCCCCTTTTATCAATAACTACCATACCATTTACCCTATAAATAAAATGAAACGTTACAATATACGAACATATACAAATTTGAGCATTGATTATGCAAAATATGTATATACGCATTAATATGATCACCTAGGCTACCTATTATGCTCACCCATAGCATCCCTTTTAATATGAATTCTAAAGCTCTAGTTATGAGCTATCAAAAACAGATAGAAACCGCGCTTTTTAGGTGAGATTAGAGTTATCTATTAACATTTTACATTAAATAAGCGAATGAGACGGCTCTGTTTTTATAAATTCTCATATTATCCTTCTTCACCTTTCTTTCCCCACAAGAAACCCAACACTCTTCATCTATTCACTCTCCACCTCTCTGTTTTTTTTTTTTTTATCTCTCTTTTCAGTGACAGAATGGATAATGTAGAGGCATCATCCTCTAGTGGAAAGATCAACACCGAGACGGAAACGAAGGAGGAGGAAGAAAAGAAAAAGATGAAGAAGGAATCAGTGTCTTTGATGGGTTTGTTTAGCGCAGCAGATAGAGTTGATTGCTTTCTGATGTTCCTAGGTGGTGTAGGTGCGTGTGTTCATGGCTGTACGCTTCCGCTCTTCTTCGTGTTCTTCGGGACAATGCTTGATTCTCTCGGCAATCTTTCTACTGATACTAAAGCCATATCTTCCCGCGTTTCACAGGTTTCTAAGAAATCGCTATCAATGGGAGTTACTATATATAGTTTTTTTTTCTTGATTCTTGTTCTTTAATATAATGTTATTTGTCTTTTACAGAATGCTCTGTATTTGGTCTACTTAGGACTGGTAAATTTGGTATCAGCCTGGATTGGTACGTTACACCGATTGATATGCTATCAAGTTTTAGCATTTCTCTTCCATGTTATAAGATTGGAATGATTTTACTGGCTGCAGGAGTTGCTTGTTGGATGCAAACAGGGGAAAGACAAACAGCAAGATTGCGTGTAGATTATCTAAAATCAATCTTAGCAAAAGACATAACTTTCTTCGACACAGAAGCTAGAGATTCAAATATCATTTTCCACATCTCAAGTGACGCCATCTTGGTTCAAGATGCGATTGGCGATAAGGTAAACTTTCTAGTCTATGAAGTAATACTAAGGACGAGACAAAACAAAAAAAATGCATGTAACTGATAAAATATGTTGTTCTGTTTCAGACAGGTCATGTTTTGCGATACCTATGCCAGTTCATCGCCGGATTTGTCATTGGTTTTCTTTCCGTATGGCAACTTACGCTGCTCACGTTAGCAGTTGTCCCGTTGATAGCAATAGCTGGAGGAGGGTATTCAATAATCATGTCAACAATCTCAGAAAAGAGTGAAGCTGCTTATGCTGATGCTGGAAAAGTCGCTGAAGAGGTTTGTTTATACTTTATTCGCCAAGACTGAGACTGTTTTAAAACTTATTTTTGCTTGTGTAACAAGTTATCTATACTAAGGTTAAATATTGTGGTTTCACTGTTAAAAAATAATAAATAAATCCCTATTGGCTTTTCAGGTTATGTCACAAGTGAGAACAGTGTATGCATTTGTAGGAGAAGAGAAAGCTGTAAATTCTTACTCAGATTCTCTCAAGAAAACTCTGAAACTTGGTAAAAGGAGCGGTCTTGCTAAAGGTTTAGGAGTTGGATTAACATATAGCCTCTTGTTCTGTACTTGGGCTTTGCTTTTGTGGTACGCAAGTCTTCTTGTACGCCACGGCAAAACTAATGGTGCAAAAGCTTTCACTACGATCCTTAATGTCATTTACAGCGGATTGTAAGTTCGAATACATTCCTTGATATATCATCAAAACTGCATAATATAAATCATTTTGTTCCATTTGCAGCGCGTTAGGTCAAGCCGTGCCTAGCTTATCCGCGATTTCCAAAGGCAGAGTTGCTGCTGCCAATATATTCAGAATGATAGGGAACAACGATCTTGATAGTTTTGAAAGATTAGACGTTGGAACAATATTGCAAAACGTAACTGGGAGGATTGAGTTTCAATGAGTGTCTTTCGCATATCCTTCAAGACCAAACATGGTTTTTGAGAATCTTAGCTTCACAGTACGTTCAGGCAAGACTTTTGCATTTGTCGGTCCAAGTGGTTCAGGGAAAAGCACAATCATATCAATGGTTCAACGTTTCTATGAGCCCAAGTCAGGGGAGATTCTCTTGGATGGGAATGACATTAAGAGCCTGAAACTGAAATGGTTGAGAGAACAGATGGGACTAGTGAGTCAAGAACCTGCATTATTCGCCACAACCATAGCTTCCAACATTCTTCTTGGTAAAGAGAATGCGAATATGGATCAGGTCATAGAAGCTGCTAAAGCAGCCAATGCAGATTCTTTCATTAAATCATTACCAAATGGTTACAATACTCAGGTATATTATTTGAATTTTCATAATCACAATTAACTCATCAATAATTTCCACTTTCTTATTGGTCAATCCACGATTCTAATTAGGTTGGAGAAGGAGGAACTCAGCTCTCTGGAGGACAGAAACAGAGGATTGCGATTGCTCGGGCGGTTCTAAGAAATCCAAAGATATTACTCTTAGATGAAGCAACGAGCGCTCTTGACTCCGAATCAGAGAAGGTTGTTCAGAAAGCACTTGAAAATATCATGGAACAAAGAACAACAATCGTCGTTGCACACAGATTAACCACCATCCGAAACGTTGACAAGATTGTTGTGTTGAGAAATGGCCAGGTTATGGAAACCGGTAGCCACTCAGAACTGATATCTAGAGGAGGAGATTACGCAAATCTTGTGAATTGCCAAGAGACAGAACCTCAAGAAAACCCTAGATCAATTATGGCGGAAACTTGTAAATCTTCTAATTCAAGAAGAGTTTCAAGCTCAAGGAGAACTTCAAGCTTCAGGGAAGAACAAGAGATCAGGACAGAAGATGATTCAAATGAGGAAGGTGTAAGCTCATCTTCAATGATATGGGAACTTATAAAGCTGAATGCTCCAGAGTGGCCATATGCATTACTTGGCTCAATTGGTGCAATTCTTGCTGGTGCACAAACTCCACTATTCTCCATGGGGATTACTTTTGTGTTAACCGCATTTTATTCTCCTACTCCTAACTTGATAAAGCGTGATGTCGAAAAGGTAGCCACTGTCTTTGTAGGAATTGCAATTGTAACAGCTCCTATATATCTCCTCCAACATTACTTCTATACACTTATGGGAGAGCGTCTTACTTCCCGGGTTCGCTTATCCTTGTTCTCAGGTAAGCACAAACAACTTAAACATCTTTATTTTGGGATTGATTCATTTCTTGAATGTGTATATATCTTTCTTTTCAATAATTGCAGCAATTCTTTCGAATGAGATTGGGTGGTTTGATTTTGAAGAGAACAACACTGGCTCGCTCACTTCAATCTTGGCTGCTGATGCAACTTTGGTGAGGAGTGCTTTAGCGGATCGTTTCTCCACAATAGTCCAAAACTTGTCTCTTACCATCACAGCATTAGCACTTGCCTTTTTCTACAGTTGGCGTGTCGCAGCCGTTGTAACTGCTTGTTTTCCTCTTCTCATTGCCGCTTCACTAACCGAGGTAACGTGTAATCAAAGATTCTTTCAACCATATTATAAATCTTGAAAACTGAAAAAGATTGAAATGTAATATGTCACAGCAACTGTTTCTCAAAGGCTTTGGAGGAGATTACACAAAGGCTTACTCTAGAGCAACGTCAGTAGCACGTGAATCTATTGCGAATATAAGAACTGTCGCTTCGTTTGGTGCTGAAAAGCAAATCTCGGAACAGTTTTCTTGTGAGCTAAGCAAACCCACCAAGAATGCCTTTCTCAGAGGCCATATCTCTGGATTTGGATACGGTTTGTCTCAGTTTCTCGCGTCCTGTTCCTACGCTCTTGGTCTCTGGTATATCTCGGTTTTGATTAAGCAAAAGGAGACGAATTTCGCGAATAGTATCAAATCTTTCATGGTGTTAATCGTCACGGCTTTCTCGGTAGCGGAAACGCTTGCTTTAACCCCAGATATCGTGAAGGGCACGCAAGCACTCAGTTCAGTTTTTAGGGTTTTAAACAGAGAAACTGAGATACCTCCGGATCAGCCTAACTCAAGACTAGTCACTCAGATCAAAGGAGATATAGAGTTCAAACACGTAAGCTTTGCGTATCCTGCAAGACCCGACATCGCCATTTTCCAAAACCTAAACCTCCGAGTTTCACCCGGGAAAAGTCTTGCGGTCGTGGCACCTAGTGGTTCGGGAAAGAGCACGGTGATCGGACTGATTATGAGATTCTACGATACAGAAAACGGTACTCTCTGCATCGATGGGCAGGATATAAAAACCCTAAACCTACGTAGCTTGCGCAAGAAGCTAGCGTTAGTACAGCAAGAACCAGCTCTGTTTTCAACAACCATACACGAGAACATCAAGTACGGGAACGAGAACGCGTCGGAGGCAGAGATCATCGAGGCTGCCAAAGCAGCGAACGCGCACGATTTCATAAGCAAGATGGACGAAGGTTACAAGACGCACGTAGGTGATAAGGGCGTGCAGTTATCAGGTGGTCAGAAACAGAGAGTGGCTATCGCTAGGGCGGTTCTGAAAGATCCTTCAGTGCTTCTCCTTGATGAAGCAACGAGTGCTTTGGACACGAGCTCGGAGAAACTGGTCCAAGAGGCGCTAGACAAGCTGATGAAGGGACGAACAACTGTGTTGGTGGCTCATAGGCTCTCGACCATAAGAAAAGCAGACACCATCGCTGTCTTGCACAAAGGAAGAGTTGTGGAAAAAGGAAGTCATAGAGAGCTTGTCTCCAAACCTGATGGCTTTTATAAACAGTTGACAAGTCTTCAACAAGTGGTCTGACTTTTCCCGTTGAAGTTTCTCTTGCTTCCTTTTTTTTTTGTTTCTTTCTCAAATTATACATACCATATAAATATAGACTTTGTCAGGAATATTACTCGATTTACCATGAAAAATAAAAAAATACTAGATGGCGATGCAGATGATCTGTTATTTTATAAATATGATAGTCATCATGGACGACAATCTTGTTAAATGTTATCTTTCTGAAACAAAAGTGGGCACGTAAAACTATACTCCAATTAAATATTATATGTCCACAGTCCACAACTTCACACTGATATTTTTCAAATTCGAATAAGCTACAGCTACGTGTCTTGTTCGCATCATCCACTTTAGCCAAAAGCTAATTGAATAGTACTATGTTATGTACACGTGTCATTAGATCATATGCTCTCCTCCAAGAAAAAATTATCCCAATCCTTTCTATTTTCTCCATCCGAGTGGTCTCTGACCAAAACTCAAACGCGAAAACGAAAAAAAAAGAGAGATTCAGATCTGAGATTTAAATAAAGAAAGATGAGCAACTTGATCCCATCGGAGAAACGATGGATCATAACAACCGTCTTACTCGCCGGCCTAGTCGGCGGCGCTCTACTCTTCACAAGCTTCATACGAGCCGCCGACGACGCTTTCTTCCTCTGTTCCACCGCGAGCGCCAAAAGCCGAGCGATAGCCGCGGCGGCGGATTACGAAGCGACACCGATCCAGCTCCAGTCGATCCTCCACTACGCGACTTCTAACGTGGTCCCACAACAGAACCTCGCCGAGATCTCGATCTCTTTCAACGTCTTGAAAGAGCTAGCTCCGGCCAACTTCCTCGTGTTCGGACTCGGCCGTGACTCGCTCATGTGGGCTTCTCTCAATCCCCGTGGCAAAACCTTGTTCCTCGAAGAAGATCTTGAATGGTTTCAGAAAGTGACCAAAGACTCTCCGTTCCTCCGTGCGCATCACGTGCGTTACAGGACACAGCTCAAAGAAGCCGACACGCTTCTACGCTCGTACAAATCGGAGCCTAGCTGTTTCCCGGCGAAAGCGTATCTCCGGGGAAACGAACGGTGTAAGCTCGCTCTCACGGGACTTCCCGATGAGTTCTACGATACGGAGTGGGATCTGATTATGCTCGATGCTCCTAAAGGTTACTTCCCGGAGGCTCCGGGAAGAATGGCGGCGATTTTCTCGGCGGCTGTCATGGCTAGGAACCGGAAGAAATCCGGAGTCACGCACGTGTTCTTGCACGACGTTAACCGGAGAGTGGAGAAGACTTTCGGCGAGGAGTTTCTATGCCGGAAGAATAGAGTTCACGCCGTCGGGAGGTTATGGCATTTCGCGATTCCTCCGGTGGCTGCGAACGCTACCATTGACGGTGGTGATTATAGGTTTTGTTGAGATTGCGACACTTTTTTCCCTTTTTTCCTCTTTTGCCCTTTTCATTTTTCTTTTTTTTGTGATGGGATCTTATTACATAGGGTTCACTTATTATCTGATTTAGTGCCGACAGTTTTGGATCTACATCTCCTATTCACTTGTTTTAGTTACGTGGACTTTTCCGTATTGCATAGGTCATTTATATATCATACCTTTTGATCATTTATGGTAATTAGGCATTTATATTTTATAGGAAACAATTGTTTGCAGAGAACGTAAAATAGCAAATCTAGTAACTTAAACTCTATTAAGACCTTTTTATCAGCTGATGTCTAATTCGTCAAAGATCGTTATCTATTTTTTTAACAGTCTAATTTCAACTCTAACATGCCAAGACTTTTCTATTTGGCCGAAAGGTGCTATTGCACATTTATTTCCAACGAGTATTTTGTAATTTACCTTTGAAAAAGTAGTGAAAAGGAAAATAGATATGACGACAAGAATCTCTCGTTAAATTGAGTGTTGAATTTTCATTAAAAATTAAAACCCAAAAGAAATTATTAAATAAATGTACAAGTTGCGATGTGGACGCTTACCAATATCATTATCAGGTCTTGCGGAAATACAAGTACATTTATTTAATAACTTCCTAAAATCAATAAGAATTGTCTACTGCAATCAACTTATATTATTCCATAAATTTTAACTTTTACGTATAGCCCAAACAGTCCCCATATTCAGATCGTGTCTTTTTTAATAACGTATTAGGACTTTTACCCGCGCATGCGCGGATCTGTATCTTAAATCAGTTTAAAATATATTTTTAAATTTTTCTTTTTTAAACTGCAAAAATCAACAACTAAAATTTAATAATATTTCAATATCAAAATCTATGTAAAACAAAAGTTTTTAAATATATAATATATCGTGTTGAGATCAAATCTTGACATACAAAAATATTGTTTTGATCAAATCTTGAAATATATTTTTAAATATGTATAGTGAAATTTTTAAAATTAGATGTCAATAGTATTTGTATGTAACACGATGTTTATTTAAAATAACTTCAATTCGTTATGTTAGACTTAAAATGCTATAAACAACATATAATTTATTTTTCAGTACATTTAACTTACACATCGTGTTATTAGTTTATAAACTTTGATCATAATAGTATATATTTAGCTTTTATATAATATAAATTATGTATATTCTTTTTTATGGCTTAAAGAAAATCTTAAATATTGTTTGTTCAATGTTGATTTTTTGTCACATTTTTTATGCGTTATGGTATACATTTCTTTTTAAGTAGTTTTATATTAATGTTTACTTGAATATTTCCGCCTTAAATCTGTTTATAAATACATTTTTGTTCAAAAAATTTGTTAGTTACATATTTGTTTAGAAATTGCAAAATTCAGTTAGTGTTTATTTAATTGCAAAAATGGTTATTAACTCACCTTATCATGTTTCTAATCAAATCGAGTAATCATATTTGGCAATTTATACTACACCAAAATAAAATATTTCCTCTTGAATTTGATGGCAAAAGCTTTGTCTTGACCGATCAAACTCTGGCTGCTCATGAAATTGATACACCTCCTGCAATCATTGTGATCATCAAAGAAACAGTCTCCATATCTTCTTCATATGTCTTTCTACAGTATGAGTCTTGGATCAAGCCTGCTTCTCAATAAACTTATGGCAAACTCACACATTTTTCATGAACTCTTTGAAGATGTAGAAAAACTGATTATTCTACCCCTAATAGGTTTATTGCCTATATTTTTTATCCTTATATATTTTGCCATTTTTGGAAGGTTCGTGATTTTCTCTTATTTTGAAAATCGTTATTTACATGGAGATGAAATCTTCTTAAAGGATGTGAAGGATGCCAGACATCAACCTCTTCTTTCCTCTCTGTTGACCTCCATTATCCTCCCGAATATGAACTCTTATTTTGTTGATGTAGGGTGGAATGCTTTCTCGAAAATTTGTTGTATGGGTTGCACTATTAAATCTCCTTTGAATTCTTCTGCTCCATAGTAATCCAAACAAACTATTTACTTTTTCGACCATTTTTTTGAAGCTACGATGAACTAAATATTATATAGTATGCTATTGTTTTCTTGATTTTTTGTTTTAGCTCCCAAAGCTTGATCTCTCATCACCTAAATGAACTCATATGTCTTCTATACGACATTATGCATTTTTGTTTCTATCTCCATTTTTTTATTCATAGATTATGTAATGTTGAGATCGATTCTTTTGCAATGTTGGCTTTGTTTGTTTAGAACAATTCTTCAGTTATTGTGGTGTAACCTACTCTTTATTTGTAAAAACTTAAGTTTGTCAAAGATAATTCACCTTAAGGTTTATTTAATTCTTTATAACTAATATTTTAGTTATACAAATGTTTTTTATATAATTTTAAATTTTAGTAAATTATATTTTTTAACAATAATTTTTAAAAATATTAATTTAATTACGTTGGACTTGTGGAGTTTCTAATTTAAACCAGTTTTATTAATTAATTTTCTTGAAACATAAAAGAAGTTAACTAATTTTAAAAATATAGCTAATTTTAGATGACGATATAGATTAATATTATTGGCTGTTTTAAAATTTGAGAAACATGAGATGATGATATAGATTAATACTATTAGTTGTTTATGTGGACCAGTAAGATGCGATTTTATAATCCTATGTGGACACTCTTAAATGTATTTAGCCTCAAATTTTATATTAAAAACATATTTATTAAAAAATATTAATTAATCACTTTAACTTGGGAATTTCTAATTTAAACAGATTATACTAATTAATTTTCTTGAAACATAAGAAAGAAATTAACTAATTTAACAAATATAACTAATTTTATATGATGATATAGATTAATACTATTGGTTGTTTAAAATTTGGAAATTTCTTAATTTTATATGATTATGTGGAATGATACTATTGTTGTTAAAATTTGGAAAATTTCTTAATCTTAAAAGATGCTTATGTGGACCAATAAGATTACATCTTAAAATCCTATGTGGACGCTCTTAGAGGCTTATAGCCTCAACTTTTATATAGTATAGATTTAGTATGCAATGCATATGTCCTTTTTATCTCCACCTTTTTAGTTAGGCAGATAGCAAAAGATGGAATTTAATTAGAGAACTAGTAAACAAAAAACTTCTCAAGACTCTAAAAGCCTCAAGATAGGTTTCATAAATAAAACTATAAAAGTGATATACAAAATAATACTTTATTTTTTTCAGTCTGAAAACATAAACGAAATTAAAGTCAAGGAGACAATGGACCTGAAAACAACGATACAACAGAAGCTGTTTCATCACGGTGATGCGAAGCAAGACTGTGCCTAAGGCCATGTGTTCTCGATGCCTGGTGACTCTTTCTGCTTTCTGCTCTTAAAGATGTGCCAAGAGCTGCGTAATTAGTAGTATTGTTGAGTCCTCGAGAAAGTGATCGGTTTAAAGGACTTCCACCATTGATGCTTCGGTTTGAGATACGGCGATTGCTAGTAGCTGGCCTTGCCACATAAAAGTTATCTGTCACAGCTACAGGTTGTGGAATGATCTTCTTCATTTCCTGCTTATGAAACCCATTTTATAGTCAAATAATATATATATTTCATTTCACAGTTTTGGTTATTCTATTAATTTTTTCTGATTTATGAGAGACTAACCCTTAGCCTTTGCTTCTCCACCTCTTTTTCCTGCCTCAGCTTATTATAATCTTGTAACATTGCAACAAGAGGTATCTGTAAGAAGCCACATGTGAGTGTTGAAAGAATCTTAATCCACACGAAAAAGGCATAATTGAAGTTTGTGTCACCTCATCGTACAAGAAGACTTTCTGTCTTTCTGCTTCCCAGCTTTTAGTCTTTACCAATATAGAGTCCACTAGTCCTGTTGTTAACTGTGTCAGTGTGTAGTTTCTTTATAACTTAAGAAGATATCCAAAACGTCATTTGTACCTGTGATTTTGCTGACTGCAATGCGTGCCCGTTCCGCTCGCCTTAGGTTCCGATGAGCATTTCTACTTACTGAGTAACGATTCTCGTCCTGTGTTTTGCTGGATAGAGTTAAGAGATGAAAATGAACAGCTAATATTCTTTTGAGTCAAGATAGAATTAGAGGAAACCTGGTCATATTCTTCTAGCCAACGCTCTTCATCACTTGCTAACATCCACCTATCCACTTTCTCAATTATTCCTTTTCTACTTGCTGCTTCTTCCTTTGCTTTTGCTATCTTTTCATCCATGGCGGCGAGAAGGTCCATGTGATCAATTTCCCCTTTTGAAACAGAGTACCAAAACTCTGCTAATGAGTTTGACATAGTTGCCAAAAAAGGTTAAACAGTTGTTAGTCTCACCAGAGTCTACAAGGTTGGTTATATTTCTTATTTCGGTTGATGGAGTCTCCATATGTGACATGTTGCATGTATTCTCTAGTTCCTTTTGCTTCTTGAGGAATAGCTCTTTGGTTTTGCTCGCTTTGAGTTGATCTAGTCTCTTGACTTCAGCCTCAGCCTTTTGCATAAAAGAAAATGATTGCATCATTTACATCATCTATCATTTGTATGAAACCTTTGTATTACATTATATAGTTACCTGCTGAATTATGTTCAATGTAATGCTACCAGGAGCACAGACATCGGATGGTTCAAACGCCAGTAACTCAACGACGTGAGAAAACTTTTGACGATCTTCATTAGATGCATCCATTAGATTCCACAGGTTCGTTAACTCTTTACCAAGATGGTGAATCTGCAATTTTTTTAAAGATTGTCTTAGAAGGTAGGTCAGATGACAATATCTTGGGTTCCAAGTAATATTCACCTTTTCAAGGCGCCTCTGTTTTTCTTCTTCCATAGAGACAACAGTGGCATTGAGCTTTTTCAAGATATCATCACTCATGTTTTTGGATATTCCATAGAGGTCATTCAGGCTCGGGTGAATCTTTGTTATGATCATCGATGCTTCTGTTCCCAAAGTCGCTGATAAATCTCGAATGGCGCATATATAGATATCAACCTTCTGTAGTCTCTCATTCTTGTGTTACAAAGAACAAATGAATAAGCCAAAACACAAAACATCAAGAACATTGTACGTTCCTCTCAGATTAGTAGTGTACCTTCTCATCATGGAGCCTACGCAGCTCGTTCTGATATTCCTCGAGTTTCTTAACAGAAAGTTCCTTGTCGTGTATGGTTATGTTTGTAGTAGATGAGTCTTCATAAGTTGATCTACCTTCGATTTCTGCTGATATTTTCTGAATCTCCCCTTTGACAGATCGGACCTGCTTCGCTCTCTCGTCTTTCTTCAGCCTCATCTCACGCAGTGCAGGCGCAATCGAATCCAGCTGCTCCCTCAGCATTCCTCCCTTTTTCTCCGGCTGTATGTGTAGATGAGAATGACAAGAACATTATCTATTGTTAGGTTATCTGAATAACTTCTTTGTTAACATGATGGATGTTAATGAATGAAAAATGAATACCCTTCCAGGTATTGAGCTTTCACCGAGGCAGAGAAGAAGATGGGTGAGTTCAGCTTCAGATTCCGCAAGCTCTTGATGTAGACGAGACCTCAAGATATTGGCGTGGTCGACTTTTCTCCTGTAAGCCTCTACACATTCTTGCTCAATATCAAGCAACACTTTCTCTCTCTCAAACTTATCTTCTCCAACTTCATCCCATATCATCTGTGCACAGAACATCAATCACATCACATGAACCATTTTCTTGAAAGAAAAAGGAAAAGAAACTTGCCTGTAACTCCCTGAGCAAATATCCGCAGGATGTATCTAACAGCGAGGAGCTTCTCATTCCTATTGGTGTCTGAAGGGAACCCATTCTTCTGATTGATGATGATTCTCCAATGTTTGGATTGAAGGAAATTGAGGTCTATGAGCTCAGTGCTATTGGTGGCTGGTTTTGCTTTGAAGACAAGTGTGAAAGTGACACATATTCTGCTACAGAAGCTTCTTGTTTAAGTGAAGGCTCATCCGCATCTCCCTCTTTATCTCTTTGATTCTTCAGTTTCGGCTTCTTTCTCTTTATATCTCTCAAACTATTTGTATTCATCCCAATTTGGTAAAGTTTATGAGTCGCTTTTTCTGCTGATGCGTTTGCTTCTGCTGTATGAAAAAGCCAGGGAGAGCTGTCTTTTTCTTTATACCATTTGAAAACTTGATTCCTAAGCAAGCTCTGCTGGTTTCTCTCCTTTTTGCTTATTACTGTGGGCTTTGTCCAAACCCAAAATCGAAAAGCCTGTGGGCTCTACGAAATTCAATTTTGTAGCAAAAGTTGTATATGTTGGCAAGATTATAAATCAGAATCGAACTATGCCTAAAACTTGTTTCCTCAAAGCAGTTTCAAATATCTCATTGAATGATCAAAGGAAATCTTACAAAATACATGAGTCAGAGACTTAAGCACCAATCTGTTTGGTTAGTTCTCCAAAACCTAATCAATTTCTACAGCTGAGACATCATTCTTCAGGACCTGCAATTTCACATAAACAAAATCTTAGACCAAAGCAGAGAATAAGATGGTTATAAAAATCAAACAAAGAAGATGAATGTTCTTCATGAGGTACCTGTGAAATATAATCTTTTACTTTCTCACTAACTTGAGGATCTAACGCTCTCTCAGCAAGATCATAGAACAGAGTGGTTCCCTCTGGGCCACTTACTTTCTCCTTCTGCAAGAACCTATCCAAACGAAAAAAAAAAGCATTAACTACGAAAAACCAAAATCTCTTAGCCTCAGGTGTTAAAGAAAGGTCTCACCTTTGTTGGACTAACGTCTCCAAGGCCTGCTTGTTGTTACCAAACACAGGATTATGCTCATCGTTTTCGTTCAGTCCCATTCGCCTCAAATGATGCCAAAGCGTCTCTAACGATGTCGACGCAAGAAGAAAATATGTCAACAAAACAAATTCTTGAGAACAACAAAGACTCTACAAGAAGATCATACATACCTTCAGGGATTTTACCAGCTGCGAGCTGCACAATCGCAAGAACCGCAAACGTGAAGCCAGTAACAGGACTCGAAGTCTCTTCCACAACGTGTTTCCTAAACACATCAATCGGCAATTGACTCACAAGAACATACGATTTCGATTCAACAGAACCTGACACACAATTGCAAAATTAGCTAAATCTAAGAGCCAAAGGAAAAAAGGATAATGCTGCGTTTAAGTCAAAAAACGAAAGTCTCACTCTGTGACTGAGGAAGTCTTGTTTGATTTGTAGAGGAAGGCTTCGAGCGTTGAAGCTCCTTCAAATCGTAACCAAAAACTTTCGAGAGCTTGCTTTTAGCTTCGTTGATCACATGAGTCGCGAGATTACGCTGGCGATAGTTTTTTGTGACGATCTGCGTCAGATCTTCTCTTTTAATTGGGCATCCTGAGTTTTGATGCGATTTGAAGAGCACGAATCTAATCACCTCCGAAACAAGCTTATCCGTTTCCTAATTTTCCAGATCCCAAAAACCATTGACAAATTCACAATCTCGAACATCGAAATCAAAATTACCCAGAAATAATTGCAACTGTGTACCTCTTTCGATATATCGAATTGAGAGAGCGGATCTGCTTCATCCGCCATTCTGGAAATGTAGATTGACGAATTTGAATGTTTTGGAGAGCGAAATTGATTCACCTGGAAGAATCTGGGAAAGCTTCGTAAACCCTAATTTATGGTAGAATCTATTGGCGGGAGAAGAAAAAGGTAGAAGGCGAAAGAGACTCTGATTCGGAGAGAGGGTTTGGGGACATGTTGATTCGCACGATCTTAAGCCAATGAGAACACAAGACGTGTGGGGACCATAACATCCGACGGCTGAGATTTCGTCATTATCAGTAATTGAGGCTTTCCACTATCAGACGCTGATTCTCAGCCGTTGATTTAGGTTTTCTCCTGTCTGAAACCCAACCGCCAAAATTTCTTTATATTGACGACGACGACAAACGCAGTTTCTGATCAGAACGAAGGACTCATTTCTAGAGAGAGAGAGAGAAGCTATGGAGAAGGAGAGAGAGAAGCATGTGTACTTGGCGAAACTAAACGAGCAAGCCGAGAGATACGATGGTAAAAAACCAAAACCTCATTAGTTTTTTTTCTTTTCGAAATTTCTCTGTAAATCCTCTTAGATCTTTGTTTCATTCTTCGTAACATTGGATCTTATTGGGCGTTTAAATGTAAAATTGTACTGATTCTTCTAGTTTTGGTGGTAATTAGAAGAATTAGATTAATTTTTATGCTTTTAATTCAATATTTGGACCAAAATTGACTTGAGTTAACCAAGTGGTTGTATCCAAGTGGTACTTGAGGGAGGTAATTCCCAATACGGACCCGGGCTCAAAATCACTTGGCCACAACGGATTTAACATCCCTTTTGTTGGGGCCCTGGACCCCTATCGAAGGAATAGTCGGTTTTCCACTTGGGTTAGATCCTCGGAATAATTGGATACAGCTTGACAAAGCTCAGACCACCGGTTTGGGGCCCAGGATTGGCCGTTGACTGTTCCTCGGAGCCGGATACCAGAGATAAAAATAAAAAATAAAAAAAAATTGACTTGGGTTTGATTTTGATTTTGATTTTGGTTTCGGTTTGATACAAAAACAGAGATGGTCGAAGCAATGAAGAAAATTGCAGCGCTTAACGTGGAACTCACAGTGGAAGAGAGAAACTTGCTATCAGTTGGTTACAAGAACGTGATCGGTGCAAGAAGAGCCTCGTGGAGAATCCTCTCATCGATCGAGCAGAAAGAAGAGTCGAGAGGAAACGAACAGAACGCGAAACGGATCAAAGACTACAGAACGAAAGTCGAAGACGAGCTCTCCAAGATCTGCTACGACATTTTAGCTGTCATCGACAAACATCTTGTCCCATCCGCAACTTCAGGAGAATCCACTGTCTTCTACTACAAGATGTTAGTTTATTAGTCACTCATTATCATCATTTTAAAACCGAAAAAAAAAAAGTTTATTAATCTGTTTTTTTGTTGATAGGAAAGGAGATTATTTCAGATACTTAGCTGAGTTTAAATTTGGCTCTGATCGTGATGAAGCTGCTAATCAATCACTCAAGGCTTATGAAGTATGTTCTCTAATCTCTACTGTTTCTTTAACATTCTCATTTGTTATGGAGATTGACTACATTGTTTGTGGTTTTTCGTATAGGCTGCAACGACTTCTGCGAGCTCGGAGTTGACTTCAACACATCCGATTAGGCTCGGCTTGGCTCTCAACTTCTCGGTCTTCTACTACGAGATCTTGAACTCTCCAGAAAGGTAAGAGATCAAAATCCGTAAAGCTAGACTTTGTTGTATGTACGTTCTTAACATGTTGGAATCAATTTTAGGGCGTGTCATTTGGCGAAACAAGCGTTTGATGAGGCTATATCTGAGCTGGATAGTCTTGGTGAAGACTCTTATAAAGATAGCACACTTATCATGCAGCTTCTTAGAGATAACCTCACTTTATGGACCTCTGATCTAGAGGAAGGAGGTAAATAGTAATCATAATTCATAACACACGTGACATAACCAGTTAACTTGCTTGCATTGAATGCTTTATAAAACCTTCTTTTTTTTTGTCTTTGCAGATGAACAATCTAAAGAGGACAAGACACAATATGAGGTAAGCAAACATGAGAAAAGCTTTTACACCTTTTTCAAATAGTTTCGTAATTTAAAATGTTTCTACTAGTATTGAATTCTGCAGGATTAAATGAAGACATTATCACACTCCTTTGGCAGCACCAAATGGTGAAAACTTGTGTTCTTGCAAGAAGGTTTTGAGTTGCTGAAAAGATTTGCTTTAAAACACTTTTTATCTATCATTTGTTACTCTCTTTTCGTTTGGTTATTTTGATTTTATTTGAAGATATTGAAATGAACTTATGTGTCGTCACTTGTTGTCTTGAATTGTAACCCCTCAGAATCTGTCGTTTACCGAAATGATCGTCTTTCTCATTGAGATATCAAGAGACAGTGATCACACTACTCACTACAAATGGTTACTATTTCAATAGTTGAATAAATGAAATAAAGGAATTAGAGGAATTAGAGGGAGTTTTCATTCCTCTCATTTTCCTGCAAACTAATAGAAGAATGCTTTCTTTATAATTTGCTCATTGTTTTCAGTTGACTGAGGTAAAGGAGACTTTTGTTTCCCCACATAGAGTGTAAATGGTAACATTTAAATCTAGCTGGCTAGATGAAGTATTTGACATATTACAATATCAAAAATTTCAAATATTGTAAGTTTATAACTAAAAAATTCCATGACAAGAGAGAACATGAGAGCTGTCCAAGGGCAGAGACCATAAGAAACACATAAAGCTTATATACACTCTCTGCCACTAGTAGTACTAGTAACCATCTCAGTTCAAAGAAGAAAGATAAGTTGTTTTTATACACCAAACCATATGATTCTCACTTGCACTTACACAAACCACAAATCAAACCAATCAAATTACCAAAACACCCGGGGAAAAAAAAGATAAAAATCATTCATATCATCTTCTCTACTCTTGAGAATCAAACATATTTATTCGTTTTTTCTCTTTTCACCTTTCATTCATCACCTTAACCTGACGACAATGCAAGAGATATCATCTTTGCTGTCTCTTCTAAGGGCTTCCGTAGTTAGTTCTTTAGCTGCTTTCAATGGATCTTTGATTCTTCTCGCGATATCAATCGCCTCTTGGTTAGCCATCACCTACATTACCATTTACACATCAAAACCGTATTAAACAAAACCGCTAAAATCACTTTCAAATGGAAAAAAAAAAAGAAAAAAACAAAAAACCATTTTTTTGCTTTACCTTCCATAGACCATCACTAGCAAGAACAAGAACATCAGTGTGATCATCTATCGACGAATCTTTAACATCTGGATCCGACCTTAAATGTGTTTTGAGGCTCTTGTCTCCAAAAGCACGGGAAACAGCTAGCTGCCCGTTAACTCTAGGGACATCTCCTGAAAGAAAAACCAAAAAAACATGTTTAGCGATCTCATGTTTTGGATCTTGAATTGATCTGTTTTGTGTTCATCATATGAATTGTGGTAACCTGGCATGTTTGACACAAAGCCTCCTTTATCCTCAATGCTCAATCTTTCAGTGTGCGGCTCGTGATCTACAGTCATCTGTATCGCTTGACCTCCTCGAGACAAAACCGCCCTTGAATCACCAACATTCGCAACCCACAAACGCCTCCCGTTCAACAGAATAGCGGTTACAGCGGTTGAGCCACCACGTCCTAGATCAGAATGTGACAGAATGGTTTGGTCTGTTTTCTCATAGGCAGCAACTAATGCTCTGTGAGGATCAAACCAAAAGTGCTCCTGAACAAAAACACATACACAAATGTTTTTAGATCATGAGGAAACAAACTTGAGCTAGATGCTAAAATTTTGCAGACCTCTTTGAGGATATTGGAGAAGAGATGCTTCTGTAGATAAGCAGGGACACGTTCACCCAAATGACCATCGTAGATAGCAAACAAACCAAGCTCGTTACCGTCGATTTTCGTGAATTTGGACACGTAATAATCCTCCATTGGATGATTAGCTTTCCCTTTCACTAAGCTGTAACCAAATTTAATCTCTCCTTCACTGTTTCTCCCTTTCCCTGAACTAGTTGACGCCTTCCCAACTATCAGCTACAAAGCCAAATTGTAAAGAAACAGAGAAGAAGTCATAAATAAACAGTTTCACAAATTGAACAAGAATTAGTGAAGAAACTGAAGAGAAAAAGCAGAAGGAGGATATGAGATTTGAGTTTGCATACATCGTAGTCTGAAGAACCGAAGCAACATAACCTCGCCATGAGAACGAACAGATGTCTGATTTTAAGAATCCAAAACCTTTCAAGTTTTTGATTTAACTAATTCTGCAGGAAAATCTGCTCCAAGATTTTCCAGAAACCTGCAAACGATTCAAGACCTTGAAATGTTTCATAAATCAAGAAACCCTAAATCCGAGAAAGAGAAGCCCTTTATATTAAAAGAGGAGAAATCAGAGAGAACCCAGTAGAGAATTACCTCAGAATCGGAGAACCCAGATGCCAAAAACCATAAAGAAAGGATATTTTGGAGTCTACCACTACGCGGTTTGGGAGTAATACCGTGACGAAAGGGTTATTTGCAGTCTGCAATGTACTTCTTGAAAAGTCTTCGATAAAACCAGAAAATTAGTGGAAGACGACGACGAAGGAGACTTCAATTTTTGCTGTTTGGTCTTTCTTCTCTTTTTTGTTTTTATATAAAAAAAATCATCATCTCTTTCCTTGTATTGGGCTTCGCTGGTTGACTTTCTTGCCGTGTCTTAAAAGCAGAGTCTCTGTGGCTTTTTCCTCTGTTTTTTTATTTGGCATCTTCCTTTTTCTTTGTCTGAAAATATTAAAATTTATCTCATCTGATTTTGTCTCCACCATAAACAAAATTTTAAAATATTTATTCCTCATGGACCAGTTCTTATGTTTTATTTTGTTTTCTGGACATCTGGAGTGGAGTCTATATAAAATTATATAAATTCAGACGTAATAATACAAATATTAATCACGGAAACTTCAGAAGCTAGTTTGAAAAGTATACCTTTTGTTAGTCTTTTAATCAGAAAATGAAGGATATAAAATTATGTGGAGAGAAATTTCCAAACCTTTTTGTAGATATCATAATCATAAAACAAAATAGCTACATAGCAATGGAAAATTGGGTTGTAGTCTTGTAGATGCGGCTAAGTCAAAAGTATCGCGATTTGTTTACCCGAATTCGTACACTGGAAAGTGACTAATATCAGTACCAGCATTAATCACCTATGTAAAGTGAATGTGAATGTGGATGCAGGATTCAGGAAGTCAAACCTTAGCTAGACCAATATTTTTGTAGGCCTGCCTTAGAGGCCCCAAGCTATACCCAACAGGCCAACAACATAGAAAGCACACGTGATACAAACCGCGTTTGATCGCAACCGCGTTTCGGCTAAGTCCTAAGTATCACGATTTGTTTACTCACATTCTTACACTGAAAAAGTGACTAGCTAGTAGTTTAGTACCAGCAGTGTTCTAAAAGGCCATCTAGGCGGCCGCCTAGGCAGTGCCTAGGCGCTAGGCGGTCATAAACCGTAGCGATTACCTTTCTCGGCATCTAAATATTTATATACGGTGATTTTATCTAAATTTTTATTTATAATTTAATAAAATTCATTTTATATGCATATTTTTATCTAATATGAATATATTATACTTTTTTAATAAAATTTTAATACTCTTTTAATTTTTTGAGTGAATTTGAACTTAATATATTTAAAATATGTATAATATATAGGTTTATTTTGTAAACTTCAAAAACGCATAGCAATCGCCTAGGCCCCGATTAGGCGTTCTAGGCGCTAGGCACTGGCTCACCGCCCGCTTAGCGCCTAGCGCATTCTACTGAGTACCAACATTAATCACCTATGTAAACGTGAATGTGAACCAGGATTCGGGAAGTCAAACTTTGCTATTTTTGTAGGCCTCTCCCTTAAAGGCCCAAAGCTATACCCATCTACATAAAAAGCACATGTGATTGAAACCGCATTTTATCGGAACCGAGTTAGGTCGCACTGATTTAAACAACGATGCGGTTGTGAAGTCGCACTGATTCAAACATTGCGGTTTCGGTTTCGTCAATCTTTCTCTTGATATAAATCTAGGCAATTTTGTTTAAATTATCGTATGTGTGATACTATCTAACGATGTCTAGACTATCTTATGGAATGAAATGATAGTAAATACACTAGTTGGGATCCAAGTCTCTATCTACGGAGGTAGCCAATACAAGATGAAAAATTTGAAGAAATACATCTCATGTAAATTTTTAAAACTACACTTATGTGTAACAATTTTCAAAAAATTATTTTTTACTAATTTTAATTTATATGTTTGGGTTCACTAATCATTGATTAGGGTTGTCATATATTCAATACACCGTACTAGATAGATATCATATTTATGGAGATTGCTGTTTCATTTTTTAATAGTATTATCCTTTTTTCCTATTTTCACAGAGTCATTCGGTCTAAATGCTACATGAAGAACATAAGCAAGATGACGGAACATGAATAACTAGAATGATCTTAATATTTGTAGCTCCAAAATGTTTGAGTTTATGCTCCTACCTATTATTTGGATATACCAAGAAAGAACTATAATAAAAGATATAATCAACCAACATTTATTGAATTTGAAAAAGAGTCAGAAGAAATTGTTCGATCCATAGATTTTGGGGTTTAGGCTTTAGATTTAAGGATTTAAGGTTAAAATTTAGGGTTTAAGATTTATTTTTTAAGGTTTAGAGTTAATTTACTTAATGAAAAAAATATAGTTTTGATAATTGATACTAAAGAGATGTATTTTGAAAATTGACACCTAAAAATGTGTAATTTTGAAATTTCTCCGTACAAGATTATTGTCCTTATATGGAAGATCGGATTCTAATTACTTTTTTACATATATATTTTTTTATTTGTTTTATATTACATACTGGTGTTTATTATTTCTCAAACTAATAGATACAAACATAATTGTTGAATCGGATAAGCGAAAATATGATGATTTTATAAATGTGTAAGGGATATAATATTTGATTTGAATGCATAGAGTTTATTAAGTTTTGGTGGAGTTATATTGCTCTTGCTTTTAAATTTATATTTTATTTTTGTTTTATTTATAGTTTATTTATGTTTTATTTCTATTTTACTTACATTTTGCTTAATTTTGTATTTTCATTCTGAAAAGACATATTAAGATAATACTATGTAAAACACACAAATAGTGTTGATGATATATCAGTAGACCACAAATTTAAAATATATATATATATATATATATATATATATATATATATATATATATATATATTACATAAATACATAGTTCGTAAGGGCAATTAATCAATTACCATGTTACATTATTGACACTTATGAGAATGAACTATTGATTTTGAGAGAACCTGAACGATTTGAAGCAATTTGAAACAGTAAAAAATGTTTACAATGATTATTTTCAAATGTCAACAACCGCTATCACTTGTAAAATTTGTATTTGCGAGTAATAGCGGATGAACCAGTCAAGCCCTTATTCTAGTTTTGGGATTTTTGGTTTAAAAAAATAAAATAAAAATAAGTTAGTTTGGTTTATGTCATTCTTTTTAATAAATTTCGAGAGTTGTAGATAAGTTAATATAGAAATTACTATCTCGTTATTTAGAATTTGGTTCACAAGTTCATAAATTTTGGTTCGGTTTGAAACGGTTATGTTTGATTTGAAAATGTTCGACCCTATTTTCTAATCCCAATTTTATTTTTCTTTTTAAATACACAAATTTGCGGGCTTCTAAATTTTTTTTTTTTTGCAACATCAAAAAGAATGAATGATAACATTGATAAGTTTATTACATCAACAAGTCAATTTATGAAGCGCACAATATATAATGCAGTGTTAAGTTAACCTAGTAAAAAACAAAAAATCTTAGAAATCTACATAACTAATAAGGCTTGGACAATCTCCAGCCTTTGACACGTGGCACTCTCTTTTTTTTTTTTTTTTCGCCTAACACCAAAACGACGTCGTTTTGGCTTTATTTTTTTTTTTTTTTTTTCGTCTTACACCAAAACGACGTCGTTTTGCGCTTTATCTTTTTTTTTTCGTCTTACACCAAAACGACGTCGTTTTCGTATTAAAAAAAAAAAAAAATCTAAATCAAAATTATGTGTAATGCTGTTCGTTTTGATGGGCTTGATTATTTATCGGACCTCTTCGTTTCCATGGTAGCTTTAAATGGGCTTACTGGCTAATTAGCTCATTTCATTTCCTTTTAAAAAGGATTGCAATTATTATTATCTATGAGTCTGTAGGATAATAATCAATCTATAATGATTGTTAGTATAAGGAAAATTAGAAGAACTCAACTCCAGTCGATAAATTATTGTATAAAAGAACAAAAAACATATGAAACTATTCACTATGAGTCTATATAAGATTTCACGTAAATAACAACTAAATTTTAAAACTATATGAAAAAAAACAAAATGCAAAACTTACAGAATCTAATATATTCGAGTAAAAAACAAATGATATATTCGAATCTAATGTTCTGAATAATTAAATTAAAAATATTTGGTTTAATAAACCCGCGCATAGATAATTAAGAAGATAAGAACATCATTAAATCAATGCTTGAAGCAGAGTCTTAGAAACATATTTGGAGATTAAGAAGATAAATGCATAGTTTAGAACTTATAGATTTGTTTAATCAATCATGCAACATATTTGAACTCCTTCGGCGTCAAGAATATTGATTCGTCCCAAAACTGGAATTCTAACATATTATGTCGTGTATTTTATGTTGGATTTCTTTTATGGATAATCTGTAATTTAGACTAAAAGAAGTTGATCTTCAAATTTCTAGGATAAATGTTTATTTTAATCTATAAGTCTTATTCTATTAAAAAAAAATTAGATTATGAATTTCTTACAGGTTTTTTGACATGCTCATAAATTTTCTCCTGGATTTTCTCTCAAAAAATAAGGGCTGCGTACGTACGTTCAACTAGCAGCCAAAAACGATGTTCGAGTTTAAGATAGTCATAAGTTAATTTCGCGCGGATGATTAGGGGTCATAATCTTGAAAGACAAGCATGAAATAATGTCTAACTACCCACGCAGGAAACTCGATCGATGCCCCTCTCAGAGTGGTTGCAGAGTAGATTAGTTATTATTCTATAAACTTTACATAATCTTCATGAGTTAGTCGTGCATATGTGACTTTTATATACATAATAATAACAAATATTTATCATATACTCTCTCTCTATCTATCTATGGAATAAAATGGCAAATAATCTTATAGCAGGAAATAATTTTGATGTAAGAAAACTAGAGTATAAACATATATGTCGTGTCTAATTACAAAAAAAAAAAAAAAAAAAAAAAAAAAAAAAAAAAAAAAAAGTAGAAACAGAAAGGAACGTATAAACGAACCACGTATTACAAGATACTAAAAAAGACGAAGAAACAAATAAAAGATTGAAAAAACTCGACTAGACGTGCGTATATGATTAGAGCCCTATAACATGAAATATTTATAAAGTTGAGTTAAGAAATATCATTGATGAGGCTTTCGTCGAAACAAAAGTCAGGCCAATAAAGCGACGCAGCGTCTTCACCGCCATAGCTTGAGCTGCTGCTTGCATCCGCCGGATTGTTGTGAGGAAGAGAAGGCGTAGCATTGTTAGGGTTGTGGTCCAGAAGAGAAGGTAGTATCCATGAAGATGGATCATCATTATCATGATTAATTGGATGTTTGACCAAATGGTCTATAAAGTGATCTTCACTATTCAAAGGTGTTTGGAGATTGAAAGGGACATGATCAAGAAGTGGGTCACCTTGTGATGGTAGCTCACTAGGATGACTATTGTTTAAATGGTATTGTTGTTGTTGGAGTGGTTGGGTGGTTGGATTGTCGATGGACCCGGGTAGGAATAAACCTTGATTTTGATCATTAGCATGGAGTTCAGAATTCGGGTTTTGGTCTTTATTCCAAGAGACCATGGAGTTTAAGAGGTTCATTGCATGGTTTTGATCGATATCGAGAATACTACTCGGGCTATTGTTGTTGTTGTTGGATAATGGAGCCGAAGAATTAAGCATAGATTGGAGATATTGTAGCTTTGCTAGTTGAGCTGCCTCGGCTTGAATGGATGAGAACTGGGATGTTTGTTCAATGAGGTCTTTTAGGTTTGCCAAAGCTATGAGCTGAGGTAAGCTTGCAAAGAGGTCGGTTCTTGGCTGATGAGTCACGGGATCGATCCCCATTTGGATCAATTTCTTCTTTAGATGTGTGTTCCAAAAGTTCTTGATCTCATTATCTGTACGTCCTTCCAAATGTGTCGCGATAGCGGACCATCTATACATGATAAATAAATTTCGTTGTTCAAATTTACATTAGAAACCCATGATTTGTAGTTTTCAAATCGCATATTGAATACCATTCAAAGTTGGCAAAAAACGACTAATATGCTAAAGTCACTTACTTATTCCCGAGAATGGAGTGAAGATGGAGAATTGTTTGCTCTTCCTCCGCGGAAAACTTGCCTCTTTTGATATCTGGTCTCAAATAATTTGTCCACCTCAGTCTACAACTCTTTCCACACCGGTTCAAATCTACAAAGAAAGTTGAAGTTTCAGATCCATAGGTACATTCAAAAACCACATATATACAAGAACATACAAACCGGTGAACTGAACTAACAGAATATAAAGAAAAAAAAAAAAACCTGCGAGTTTGGGGAGGGCTCTCCAGCTTCCATGGCCATGTTTATGAATGTAATCAATGAGCTTTTGATCTTCTTCAGGAGTCCAAGGCCCTTTCTTTAGACCATTTTCATCACAACAAGGAGACCTCCCCATCTCTCTCTGATTATGTTGTCTTATCTCTCTTTTAAGACTACCAAAGCTTGAGGTTAAGACTTGGTATTTATATACAGTTTCGTGGAAGATTGATGATAAATTGAAATATAGTATAGATGATAATTCTTCGGTCGTATACACTTGGCTTTCTTTAATGTAATGTGTTTGACTAATGTTTTTGTTTTTGGTATTTTTATTAACTAATTTCTTAGACAAAATCTATGTCGTCGCCGTTTCTTTTGATACGGAAAAATCTACTTCTACCTAGCGATGCAGTACATACCATGAACTGATGTGTTTTTCATGCATTTGGTGTAGAAAAGAAATCTTTGGTTCTTTTTAGAAGGAAAAAAATCTGATTAATTTCATTAATTACAACAACCTTTAAGATTTTATACATAGGAGCTTTTGTTAAATTTATCGATGCGTAATAGAGAGAATATCATCCATTTGGCATACGACGTACATATTGAGGAGAATAATGCATGACACTGATGGCTGATGCATCAATGTTAATTTAAAGGCTCGACAGTAAGTCAAAAATAAGAATTAAGATTGATAGGATCGGTAAACTATAGTTGATCAGTCGTGAATTATATTGTTCTTTTTGTTTTGTCAACTTCTTTTAATTTTACACTACGAGAAATTTGATATGATTTTTTTTTTCCTATTGTAAATTGTAGCCAATCAATATATAATATGATGAATTAGATGAATATTATGTTACATCTTTCTTTGATGAAAATTGCATTTGTTAACTATGGTAATTTGTTTGACGCAACTTTTGAGATGAAATACGATATATTTGTGACTGGTTTGCGATTTTGTTTTCAAAATGCAAAAAAAAAAAAAAAAAAAAAAAAAAAAAAAAAAAAAATTCGACCCCATTTGTTGGTTGCTACATTTTATTTAATACTATCTTTTTTAAAAAGATATATCTTCTGTGCATACTTTAAAGCTTTACACCGATATACAACTAAAATCCTTTTCTTTTAACCGCATCTAAATTCTAATTATGGAGCCTTAAATGTAAAAGTATTGATGTGAATTTTATATAAAACTACAGTGCAATTGTTTAAACATTCTAATTATTAAAAAAAAAAACATTACAATACAATGCAATGCAATGAAATTGTTTAAACATTCTAATTTTTTTTCCTTTTACCAAAAAAAAAATCATTCTAATTTAAGAAAAGTGTGTTTTTCTTGGCAGCAATATTACCGAGATTTATATGATCATATTGGGCACAATATCCGTGAAGTGTCTCCCCTGTGGTAATGCATGGTTTCTGGGAGTTTGGTAAATCAAATCTACATAAATAATCTTCTCGTAGACGGATTAGATAAGCTATATTTATTTCGGTAATTCACATCATTTTATTACATACTTAGTCACCGTTCAGATGTGAATGGATTTCAACTTATCTTGTACAAATATGTCGACCAAACGAGCATGCGCTATATATATGAGCACGACTACGGGCACTAATAGCAGTTTTGATTAGACAAATTCATCATCAATTGAAATTATTTTTTCCCCAATAATGGATTGATTGACGAAGATGTTGTGGAAGAAGTTAGGTACTCGCTGCACCATCTTATAATGCGGCCAATACATACGAGTACGACGGCAAAAGAAAATTTAAATTACTTCCTCAATATATATAATGACTTTAAGCAGCATTAAGAAAAGTAATCAATTCACCGCTAAAATAACGTTGGTACTTTCAAAATTACGTTCAAACTTTTTTTGGGGTATGATCCATTATTTCAGGAACTAAATAGTGTATATATCTTGTTTATGGAAGTTTGTTTTTGTTTTTATATAGACGAGAAAAATCATGGAAGTTTATTAATCTGACAAAATTATCTATTACCAAATTGACAAATGAAACTGGGAATTTAGGGAATATTAAAACGAGTTGGTAATGGGGAAACCAGGGTGAAATTATTGAGAAATTTAGTTTTGGTCAACAAAGATGTGAAAGCTAAATTAAAACAAAGGATTACATGGTTGGACTAAAGGAACCTTTCCCATGCACGCAAGACGACGATCATTTTTTTGTCATCTAATGCATGGCCTCTTCTAACTCCATCATTTCTACGTACCAACAATGTATATACCACCTGAATTTTGTATTTGGTGCGTGTGCATCAAAATTAATAAACTTTATTCCACTGTTATTCTTTTCAAATATTTCGGCAAACATTTTTCGTTATTTGAAATGAGTTGAAGCATACAGTCATTGGCCTAACAAGAGATGTACAGATCTAAACTTTTTCGAAAGATATTTAGACTATCTTTTAACAAAAAAAAAACAGAACAACACCCGAAATTATGTTTTCGAGGGTGGTGGTTGTTTTTCCTGATTGTAAGGGGAAAAAGTACATCAATGTTCGAAGATTGTAAGGAGTAGTATATTTTTCCATGTTTTTCTTATGAACATATCTTGGAATCAGCTGTACCAAAAATATGGATACATCATACATTAATACATATATGGGTTGCTTTACGTATTACAGTAGATGTGCGTACGTGTCTTTTTATAAAGTTACGATGTTTTCGATCTACCAAGCGGTTGTATATATTTGTTGGTAATTTAATCTCTGAACCCATATAAACTTGAGTAATTAAGGTATATATTTACGAGTGGCCAAGTAGTAGTGTAAATTAATTTTACGATTAATAAGATTTGATCCCAGACCTGAACCAATATAACTAATTGTCATCAATGTGGAATTATTAACCCACTAGGCCACTACCACTATATGTTATGTATATGTTATATGTTTACATGATCGCTCATCTATAATGATTTTGGAAGATGAATTGAGATAAATAAAGAGATTGATCAACCTAAGCTTGAAGTGTTTGGTAGGATCAAAGTTGGTGCAGCAAACTCTCCAAACTTGCACTACTTCCATCTGTTATAAACACATGCAACACTTGATACTGTTTCATTACTATCATATGTCATAAAACTTGAATAAATGATTCTAGTGTTACAATGTTAATTCCAATTATTAGTTAGATAAAACTGCAAAATGAATGTTTTTCCAAAGAGACCACATCAAACCCGATCCTCTTTAACAAATAAAAAAACAAAAAAAAGGAACCAAACATATCAATCATTTTGCGTTGTATATGGGTACTGCAGGAACAAAATTTTAGGAATCATTTGAATTGTTCTAGTATTTTAAAAGTATATCAAAAAAAATTCTTAGTTAACGTGCTGGATTAACCAAATCCAGTGGATTTGGCATTACAACATTCTCTTTATCTGTTTATTTTTCATGAATCCATTAAGTAAAAACCTTTAACAAAAACAAAATAAAAATCCTCACGCGGTTGCTTGAGAAAGTTATTCTTTTCATCTTTTGAGCTTTTGTCCCGACCTTTGTTGTTCTGTCCGAAGTTTTCTTAATTTGTGCTTCATATATTATGCATAATACATATTCTTTAGATTTTGTTTGTGGAACAAAATGTTAAAGTAGAAGCTCGGTTATATCGTCCTTCGCAAGTCATAGTTTTTTTTTATGTTGATAAAAATCCTTCACAGGTCATAATTTGTTTTAACTGTTATTGAATTATTCTTTAGTTTGAATGAGATCATGAATGTATTTTGTTTTCTCCTAATAAAAGTTAAAATTCATGTAAATTGATTTTTTTTTTGTCCATTATGCAATCCTATAACCTCATACGTATGAGTACTACTTAATTAGCAAACGGTCAATGAGCAAAGCAAAGGAACAGAGACGTCAGTTTCACGAACGGCGATTCTGTGTCCGGAGGGCACAGATATACACGCGTTTTTAATATTTTTGTAGAGCAATCGCATATTTATGAATAAATGAAGGAAAAATGTAGTCACAAATCAAATGCATAAAAATAAGAAAGAAAGAACAAAAAATACTGAAATGGTTGATGGCGAAGTCGTACTTTTCAAGGGTCAGCTAAACAACTGAATTGCTTGTACTGTTAAGTCTCCAACTAAAAAGTAAAAACTAATGCTATTAAAAAAAAGGGGAATTACCATTGGTATACCCAAACATTGTTTTTTTAGGTAACAGTATACCCATATGACATGTTTGACAATTGGTATACCCCAAGGGGTGGTTAATGACCCTTTTATCTTCTACGAACAAACAATAAACGAGCGACGCAATTACCAATTTACCCATGGTGTTGAAGTCTACGTAAGACGTCAACTTAAAGTAGACTTCAAAACGAAGTCTACAACGCCTTAAGATCTTAAATTTAAATTATAAAATTAAAGAAAAATATTTAAACCAAAAACATTATACATAAAAAAGACCTTGTTATTTAGCATCTATTAAAAATATTTTTGCTTGAAAATGTATTAGTCTAAATACACAAAGGCAAAGCATGCCACAAACCTATAAATTTGGAGAGAGTCTACTCATGAAGTCTACTTTTTACGAAATCTTAAATTTTAATTTTAAAATTTATAAAAAATATTTTGCTAACAAATTTTTGTTATTAATCTAAGTAAATACAATGTTCATATATAGGAAAATACAAACTCATGAAAATGTATAAGTTTATAAGTTTCATGAGTATTTGGTCCATCAAGGATAGAGTTTAGGTTTGAAGTATAGGGCTTGGTAGTATAAGTTGTTAGGGTTTAGCCAAATATTTTTTGAAAACCAAGTTTATCGTTGTATAGTCATTTAATGTTCATATATGTGTTGATTATAATGTAATTTGTGTATATTCAACGAAAACTATTTTATTCCATAAGTTTTTTGTGTAAAATATTTGATATAGGGTTTAGGGTTTGGAAGACTTCTTAAGTAGACGGAACATGTAGACTTCACAACAAAGTCTACATAACCGGAATTTTAAACTAAACCGGGATTACCGACCTTCATATATATAGAGAGCGTAACCCTAATTTTGTTAAATCTGCGGAAACGAATCTCTCTCTAAGACGGCGCAGCTTCTCTCTCTAAGACGGCGCAGCTTCTCTCTCTGGTCCCCTCCCCAGTCGTCGTTGTCGTCGTATTTGTGGTAAGCGGGCGACGAATTCTTTTTCTTGAATTGTCATCATGTCGTTTCTTCTATACAGAGACTAAATATCTGATTTCTTGTTCGTGGAAGGGTCGGTCGTGCTTCTCTCTCATACTCTCGTGTCCAGATCTGCGACGGAAACCGGTAACGGGTGAGCCTTAGTATGCAATAGTTGGAATATTTATTGTTTTGATAGTTGTAAGCTAATTTGGGCATGGGGTTCTGTTTTGGCGTACACAGGAATGGGGCGCTACAGCTACAGTCAACCTTCAAGCAGCTCTGTTAGGTTGATTAGCCCTGACGAAGCAGATGTGAGCTCCACCAGTCGACACTATGGAATTCCTAATTTATGCTATTGTGGGTTGCCGACGATGATGAAAACAATGGACAGCACAGATGAGTATCCGGGTAGAATGTTCTTTGGATGCAAAGATTATAAGGTCAATCGAAAGGTGGTAAGTTCCATCAATTGTCATTTGTTTCATGTCTACGCATCTCTATGTATCGTGAGACCCATATGTCGTTTTTATAGGGTTGTGACCTGCATCTAGTAAAGTGGTGGGACGAGGCTATGATGGAGGAATTCGTTCTCCTGCGACGTGCTACTGACAACCAAGGAGATTGCGTTCGTGTCCTGAGAGTTGCTGATCGGATTGAGGCAGAGCTAGGTGAACTGAAACGCCTAGCTCTTACGGAGAACAAGCGTCACAGGGGAGCGGTACTTCACATCGTCATTGCGCTTGTCGTCCTCCTCGCCGGCATCATCATAGCCTGCGGATGCATGATTATGTTTAGATAAGTTAAGGTGTTTTCTGTGTTCTTGATGTTTGAAAAGATGTTACGGATATGTAATGAAGGATCCCGTTGGATCTAGAAATGTAAAACCTAACGATGGAGCTAGAGGACGTGGATATGATCCCTTCGCGCCATTGGACAAGGGGACGAAGAAAGCCGTCATAGAGTACTGCAAGAAGCTTCCGTAAGTTGACTTCACATGAATATTTATATGTAGCCTTCGTGAGTAGACTTAGTATGTTGACGATAAGCTTATAACCTCATTGGCCTTATTGCTATGATTTGTTCCCAGTGGTTCAGGAAAGAGGAAGACCAAAAAACGCCAAGGAGTATCCCATAAGATTTTGGTGGTATGACCTTCTGAATCAGAAGGAGTGGCTGGAAGACACGGTTTGTTACCCTTTCTAAAGTATATTTAACTTCAGTTGTAGACTTTCATTAAGTTATCTAATCCGATATTCTCGAAATGCAGCACATAAACGCCGCAATTTATTTACTGAGGGCACGCTTGATGGATCACCCAGAGTGGTTCAGAAGTGATCGTATCTGCTTTGTGGACACATACTTTGGGCACTACTGGAGTGCAAAGTACGAGGAGTTCAAGCTGGTAGAGGCTAACGAGAAGGGCGAAGGGAAGCCCCTACCAAATCTATCGTGGGATTACTATAAAGGTGCACAACCAGAGCCTCGGCCAACAAACAAGATTTGGGGGGTCGACATTGACGAACTTTACGTCCCTTTCAACGTGAAAACTGACCATTGGGTAGCTCTGCTCATTTCCTTGCCGAAGAGGCATATCACTGTGTACGATAGTCTACCCCATCACGTGAAGCCGGAAGAGTTACCTGCACTCTTAGAACCATTGGCGGTGATGTTTCCCTATTTGATGAGGACATGCGTTGACGAGGACATGAAGTACTTGTGGACTCTGGAACCGTTTACTTATGACCGGCCAATCGGCCAAGAGATCGTGCCACAACAGAGCAACGACAATGACTGCGGAGTGTTCACGCTGAAGTACATTGAATGCCACGCCCTTGGTATGGAGTTCCCGCAGACGCTGTGCCACGCGAACATACCTGACATTAGATTGAAAATTCGCTGGTGACTTATTCCATGAGACAGGGGTTCGCGGACCAAAGGAGCGTGACTGGGCGGAGTTGGACTAATCAGAGTCGATGATGTGGGTGGATGTATGTATTAGGTACAGGTTTAGGCTGACGAGGGTAGGCTTCTTTTGGTTTAAGGTATTTTTTTGGCCAAACCTATCAAGTAACAGGTTTTCGGTGTAAATGGGTGGACAAGTACTCTTCCGATATTACTACTTGTTTTGTAAAGGTATTTCTGGGAAGGGTTAATGTTAACTTCTAATGTAAACTTTGTATGTTAACTTCGTCTGTAGACTTCCGTATCACTTTTCTGCACTATTTCTGGTCATTGAAAATATTTGATAAACCATATTTGAGAATGCCATCAAGTCTTAAACGTCAGTAGATTTGGCAAATTACGCATACCCCGAATATAACCCAAATACACTTACAATAACATACACTTAGAATACCTACGAGACTCGATGGATCTTGTGGAGTTCTTATGAAGACTTATGCGGTAGACATCATTTGCAGACTTCAGTCTGAAGCAGTCTTCAATCCGGAAAATATATGGTTTACCATTAGGACATGAATTTCAAAATCAAGAAATGATATGCGTGAAGGAGATCTAGTATTACAAAATACTTACACATTTTGGCCGTGTATGACCTGGTAATTTGCACTTGGAACACGTGTACTTCTTTGGCATCTTTCTCGGTTTGTTGTTCCTCTTCCGTGCCAACTCTAACCAAGTTTGCCACCTTGATTTCTTTTTCCTGCCAGGGGCCGGTGCAGGCTCCGGGGACGGCAAGGTTCCTTTTTAACGAATGAAAAGTTTGATGCTGAAGGATAGAGCGGATGCGCATAGGTAGCGTGTACAGTGTTTTTATTGTACGCTGGACTCACGTATGAAGAGACAAGTAAGCGCGCGTCGTTAATTGCAGCAATGGCGTGTGAGCAAGGTATCTTCTCAACTTCAAACACCCCACAAGAGCATGTTCGGAGTTCCAAATCTACATTGTACAAGCCTGCTCCAGACTTGACACTGAACTGCCAATCGTCTATGCGCTCTACGTCCATAAAACCGGCATAGTGCTCACGCACGGCCAACAAGTACTCAACTCCTTTGCTGTGGAGTGTGGTGAGAGTTAGAGCATTTTCACGCCTCTTCATGAACCAGTGGCTCAGCTTTTCTCTGATAAACTCTAAGAGAGAAGGTAATGGATATCCCTTCGCTTTCTTGACAGCAGAGTTGATTGACTCCGCTATATTGCTAGTCTTTATGTTGAATCTTTCCCTGGGCAATGCACTCGGGACCATAAGGCCGGGTTGGCTGTCTCCAAGTATGTTGCAAGAGCAGGTTTTGCAGCTCTGATTTGGTCCATATACCAGTTGTATGTATCAAGGTTGTGCGCATATGCCGCACCTTTCACCATATACATGATATCCTTTGCATGGTAAGTTCCGATGATGTTATTCTGCATATGGTAATAGCAAATCCCTCTTGTTGCCCATGGGAAGACAGTTTCAATTGCGTTTGCGATAGCTGGGTGTCTGTCAGAGACAATGACAAGTGGGAAGTCCTGAGTGAAGCAACCCTTCAGGTTATTCATAAACCACCCCCAAGACTCATTATTCTCGGCATCTACGACAGCAAAAGCCAAAGGGAAGACTTGAAAATTACCATCTGCCCGGCTGCGACAAGAAGTGTACCACCATACTTCCCCGTCAGATGAGTCCCATCAACAATAACCACTCGCCTGCAGTACTGAAAACCAACCATGCAAGCTCTAAAAGATATAAAGCAGTACTTGAAGCGATCAAGTTTATCCCGGACAAGGTCGGTAATAGTTCCAGGGTTTGCTTCCTTCGTTCTATGCAAGTATGAAGCCAAGTTCGCATACCCGTCTTCAGGTGTCCCTCTGACGTATTCATGAGCAGCTCTCAAAGACCTGTATGCTGTCGTATAGTTCAGCTTCAAGCCGAACATCACTTTCATGGATATGACGATGTGTTCAGGCACAATTCCCTCGATAATCCCAACCCTCTCTATGAATAAGGCGCCGATATATTTTGGTGTGCAGCTTTTCCGGTTCGCTACTCGGTCTGCGACATAACAAGTATGAGTACTCACATACTTTGTGACGAAAAACGCGATTGCCTCGTTCTTCAGAGACGCCCTAACTCGCCATGCACATCCGTTTACGTTGCAAGTGGCAACAAAGAGAGCTGGTGAGGACTTGAAGACACGAAACGAGAATCTGTGCACTACAGCCATCAATCGACACATATTTAGAAGTTCATCCTTGCTTGCAAAACGCTGTCCAACCTTGATAACGGCGTCCCTATACTTATCAAAATGTCCTCCTTCATTATAGCAGCGTCCTTTGAGCCGGATATCATCAAGCGGAACCTTTTTCTCGCGCACATCTTCGTCTGGGACTCTGCCATACTCACTATAATCAGCTTCTGCTTCATCAATCTCACCATTGGTCCAATCGGTTGTTGGTCTTGGTTCATCTACGGGTTCATCGTCTGCATCATCGTATTCGTTTGCCTGTGCATCCCAATCTTCATCATCAGTAGACAAGCCCCACTCGCTATCCGATCCGACATTATCACCATCTGGTAAATCGCTTTTCGCAGTATTCATCCGCTTGCTCGAAACACTCAGCCGTATAACATGCAGTCGACTTAGTTCTACCAAGACTTGAACTTGCCTATCAGTCGTTACAAACGTAGGAGGAGAATCGATAGGTACCCCCTGGATAATATCAGCTGGAAGTGGGTACGAAACCTCAATAAGCTCAGAATTCGAATCAACCCCATATTCATCGTTTGCCATTTCAACAAGCTCGCCATGGGTACAACCATCTCTCAATGAGAACAGTCTACCGCCCTTGTCGTCATCCACTACGAAGAACCAAGTCCCTTGCTCTCTCCTCTCCCATTTCCCGTAAACAGCCGCTACGTACACCATCTTCTGCGAAACAAATAACACAACGTCAATGAACGATTATAAGTACACTTCGATATGAAATCAACATGTAGACTTCATTGTGCAGTCTACTACATTTCACCTAAACTCCACCAAAAACTAAATATTTGATTACCTTCAAAATATAATGATTAAGCAAGTCAAATTGTTACACAGCCAAATAAACAGATAAAAACAACTTACTGTCCAAGAAAATCTTAAAATTAGTTATTCATGTAGCACAAACACCTAATTTACAAAATTGTAACAAAGTAGACTTCATGTAGAAATCCACATGTGGACTTCAGCAGGAAGTCAACTTAGGGGTATACTTTTGCAAGAATATTTTGGGAAGTCTACAATGGAAGTCAACAATTAGAGGGGTATACTTTTGCAATTGACCAAATCACGACTTTTTGAAGTAGACTTCTTTTTCTAAAAGTAGACTTCCCTCTGAAGTCAACAGTGATAAGTAGACTTCAATAAGAAGTCAACAACAAAAAGTAGACGTCATATCGAAGTCTACTGCCAAAAGTTGACTTCGTAAAACAACGTTTGCAGTTGGTGTACCCCGAGTTACTATTCATTCGTTGACCATTGACTTCTTTTTGAAGAAGTAGACTTCACCGTGAAGTCTACGCTCAAAGTAGACTTCACGATGAAGTCTACACGTCAAAGTAGACTTCGCGGGGTAGTCTACAGACTAAAAAAGAAGTCTACATCAAAAAGTCGTGATTTGGTCAATTGCAAAAGTATACCCCTGATGCGTAGACTTCATATGTAGACGTCATTACCGAAAGTCGTCGTCAAGTCAATTGCAAAAGTATACCCCTCCCGAAAAATAGACTTCACAATGAAGTCTACACATGGGGTCCACCTTTTTTTGTTGTCAAAGGATTACTGTAGACTTCTCAAGGAAGTCTAAAAATCCAAAAAAATTGAAGGCGTTTGCAGTTAGTGTACCCCGCGTTCACATGTAGACTTCTATATGAAGTCTACAACGCGCCGGAGATCTGAAATTCACGATAAACGAACGGAAAATCACCTTGATTTGCTGTTTGGTTGCGTCGACGGCGGATTGGTTCGATTTAAACCTTCAGCGGAGAAGCCCAGCCGTTGCCGTGAACTTCGTGACCGGAAATGGCATCATACAAGAACTTATATTTTTGAGAGATGGATTATAGAGTTTTTGTGATGAAATTGGAGAGAATAAGTTAGAGAAGAAGGTTACAAGAGCACATTGTGTGATTATGGTGGTGTAAAAGGGAAGAAGAAGCATTAAAAACCTTGGATATGGTTGAGAATGGTTGTTGGGTGAATTGAATTTGATGGCATTTCTGTGAATAAATGAAGGAGATGAGGTTAGTTTGGAAATTAGTAATTTCGAAAAAATGGAAAAATAGAAAATATGATGGCATTTTGGTATATATGATAAGAGGGTAAGGATGATATAGAGAGAAAGAGGTGTAAGTATTAGAGGGGTATACCAAAAACATTGACCACAAATTGGGGTCTACTTTTGCAAACAGCCCAAAAAAAAAAGAACAAATTTAAACTTTACATAAGTAATTAAAAAAATATGAGAAAGACTTTTGAGAGGACATGAATGAAACTGGCGAGAGGTTCCGCGACGACATTGTATGTCCGTCTTGTCCAAAGTCTTACTCAAAAGATCTTCCGCTTCTAGTCTTTAAAATATCTCTTCTTCTTTGACTTACAATTTTTATGTGCACGCAAAATATCAAATGTTTGCTATATATTATCCGGAAGTAGATAAAAAAAGGTTAGTAAAACCCTCGTTAAAAAAAAAGTATATAAGATAATGTTTTCATAATTGGATTCACAATGAAGATCTTCATAGTCTCCACATCTTTTTAGTATGCGTTAACGTTCAACCAAAAATTCCTGATTATTCAATAATCACAATTGCGTCGCTTAGTTGTTGCTCTTTTTAACTTGTATGTTATTATCTTTGGCCGTTTATATTTGGAAGTAAAGTTGGAGGTAGATTATGAAGCAACATTGTCCCTTCTAGTGACTATAATTCAGGAAATTATTAGTTAGACTTGTTTTTATCTTGTGAGTTTTAAGTCCCAAATCGTTAACCTACTCAGAGACTCACAACATTCTACTGTATCACAAGAAACCCTTTGATAACTTTTTGTTTGTTTGTTGAAGGACCCTTTGCTTACTTTTCCCCTCGTAGATCAGACTCATTATTATATATATTTATCCATGGCGGTATAAATGTATAATCAATATTATATCATACTTATTTAAATGTTTTCTTTTTTAATTCGTGTAATCTAATTAATTAGGGTAAAATGTCGATATGTTTTTACACTTATTATATCACACTTATTATATCATACTTACATAAGAATTTGATATGTTTTTCAATTGTTGTGGAAAAATTGTAACACCCGCCTCTTGTCTCTGCAATAACGGCCTGCCACCCATTTAACTTTCCGCTCAAGTAAACCACATTTACTTAAAAACAGTATTCTTATTAATAAATCCAATCCAAAAGAGTCGTATAAATCCAACTTTAACTTAGGGATCCAAATTGCTAAAAAACATTTCAAAGTCTCATAGTAAAAACGGAAAGAAAGTGGACAGGTTCCAAGACATAACACATCACACACTTTAGAGTCACTATTTTGAATGGGTTCCATCATTCCACGAAAAGAAGAAGAAAATTATTTCTCGGTAGTGTTATGTTCCAACCCATTATTAGTTGAATTTAATCAGCACAAACATAATTTTGTATCCAAAAATACGGTTGGGGCATCTCAACATTAATTGCGGCATTCAATTGAATTAATTGCCACGCATTTTTCCAAAGTGCCACCGTATTTTTATAATAATATACATTTACATATAGTCCATAAATGAAAAACTTTCTCCTAAATAATCTGTGAATCCTCTTTCCATGTTTCTCTGTTACCATCCTTTTCGTTCCCTGCTAAAAAGAACCTTCAACTAGCCGTGTTTCAAAATAACTCTTTCAAACATAAAATAAGAAATACTTTTTTCTTTTTTAAATGGGAAACGAAGCAGCCCTGAGATCTTCAATGGTAGGTCTTGCAGTGGTGATGGTGGTGGTGTGGTTATGGACACAGTTGACACAGTCTTTAAAGAAGACAGTCGTTACTTACGCAGTTGGTGTTTCTCTGATCGGCGGCTTACTTTTGCCCGATTGGGACTTCTTTGATCGGAGTTTCTCTCGGTGGGGCTATCCAGTCACTGCCGAGGAAAGAGCCGCCGCTTTATCTCGCAAATCCCATCCTACAAGGTTAGTTAATTAGTAATTATTTAAATATCAAAATAATTGTTGTATACAAATAGTTTAATGATTTACATTGTTAGATCCAAAGTAATGGGACATGTATGGTTTGTGTCCTAGTGCTCGACTGAATTTGATTATGTTTATGTAAATTATATGCAGGTTTAGAATATACCCTATGAGGATGATTGGATACGGCACGGTGTACGGATACGCAATGTATAGGTGGTGGATGTTCGTCTCGAGTTAAAGCCATTTTGTAATATTCGTCTGTATGGTGGTTTTCAAATTACGTTAGCTTTTTTTTTACTTCATTTCATATAGTATTTTTTTAAGAATCTGAAAAGAACATGTAAGATCCACTCTATAAACATATATTGGTGTCCACAAAGATATACAAGTTTGTGAAATGGATATTGGTCAAGTTGTACTGAAAGTCTGAAAATCTTGAGGCAAAAAACGTAAACTATAACAACTTTTACTTTAGTTCTTGCAAAATTATACAATCTGATAAGCAAGGTTGTTTTGCCAAATGTATACCAGAAAGTAAACTTATAGAGTCCAGTAAAGTTGGTGCTAGGAAGAAAAGAAATGAAAATGGACCCATACGTCTACGTAAGAGAACGTGTGAAACCATACGCCGACAAAGATTGACCTTATCATGCTTCTTTGGTACGTATCTCTATTTCGCATTTCTCGGCTGGATAGATTGATAAGCTAAAATTATAAATTCTGATCACCAATTTTTTTTCGAAAATCTCATATTTATTTACTCAGTTCTCTTTAAAACGTTGACATATATGATTTTCAAAGTTATTATAACTTCTCGTAAACACTAGTAGAAACTATCAAACTAATGTATTACAAGTTCCAAACTTACAAGGATTTTACTCTAGTTATTGAGTTAAATCTGTTTGGAGTCGAGTAAGATTGATGATTACAAACTGACCAACACAATTAAGTTAAGAGTTAAACTGTGTATCATTATCGTAGTGAATTATTTTAAGTGCATGGATATCTTATTGTCGCAGAGATACAAGTTATAATATGAATGATGATTGTAGAAGTCCAATATCATCAAAGTCAAATACAATGTTAAATCTGTTTGGAGTCGAGTAAGATTGATGATTACAAACTGACCAACACAATTAAGTTAAGAGTTAAACTGTGTATCATTATCGTAGTGAATTATTTTAAGTGCATGGATATCTTATTGTCGCAGAGATACAAGTTATAATATGAATGATGATTGTAGAAGTCCAATATCATCAAAGTCAAATACAATCATTTGTTTCTTGGACAACACCAAAACAGTCTAATGAAACTTAGAATTTGGTGACTTAATTTTCTTTACCCTAAAATGGGGAAAAGGACATGGTTCCAACACTTTCAAGTGAGTTAAGCACTGTGATGACATCGATCTCCTACATTGTTTAGCTCGTTGTGCTAGAGTTAGGAATGTTTCTGAGTCATTTGCCTACCGGTTTGTGTAGTTGACAAAAAGAAAAAAAAAATATCAAACAAACCCAATTAAAGAAGCCTCTACTTTGTGTACTAAATTCTACCACAAAAAAAATCTATATTCCAAATCAAAGACCTGACGTCCATAATTAGAAAACAAAACGTCTCTAAGTTGTTTCACATGGAGAAGGAGGAGGAGGAGGAGGAGGAGGAACACCGAAAACCCAATCCAACACATTCAAGTATTTCGAACGAAACACCTCTCTTTCCTGCGCGTAACAGTGCATAATAATGGCAGTCGAAACACTAAACACGACCACATCCGCTCTTCTTAAACTCTTGGGCGGTCGAATGTATCCTGCATCCGTCATGCAAGTGAAGAAGCTCTCTATCGCCCTCGCTAAGCAGTAGAGCGATATCTCTATCCTCCTGCTCTTCTTCTCAATTGCTAAGGCCAAACCCGTTGGAAACTGCAAAGTGAAAAAAAAGCCTCAGGTTTAGGTATATCACTAACGCTTGCTACATCATGTGAATGGATTCAGTGTTTTGTAACCGTTGCTATCGCCACGAGCGGTATGTTGCATGTCTCAAAAGTCCGGAAAAGTAAACAAGTCCAAGCCCTAAGTTTAGATCATTACAGAGATTAGTATAAGCTTTGTGTTTTTTCAGAGCTTTTCTCGTGATTTTTGATACTAACCAGGCAGAAGTGCAGTAAGTAGAGAGAAACAAACTCGATCTCGCCGTGCCTAGAAGACCCTTTCCAAGTATAGAGTATTGCCTGTATGATTTACAAATGAAAGATTTGGTATCATCATATACCAAAACTATATTTTACTATTCAACGAGCGGTTTAGAGATTTCTGCGCCGAATTACTTTTTTAGCAGGTCTTGACGATGAACTATCAATGCTGGAATCAAGTAGACAGGGATATAAACAGGTAACGCTCTCTTGTAAGCTTCAAGAAAAAATGTAATCCCATGCTTAGTACACGACTCTTTCCCATGTATTATCTGCACGAAACCACATAACTACCGAGTCAAAAACTTTTCTACAAGACTAGCATCATCAAGATTCAAGAACAACCACGTTTGCAAGAATCATTGACTATCGACAAAGATGCACACAAAATAATTGACTATGCAGTTTCAGATTGTCAAGTATCTACAAGATTAGCATCAATAACAACTATGGTTGCAGAATCATTGAAGATACATGCCATCATCAACAATGCAGTTTCAGATTATCACACGTACCGTACAGGGGACTTTCATGCTGGGATCGAGTTTGATATCAACTCCAACAGACTTGTAATATCTCTCAATTGCTCTTAAATTGGTGAACGGTTTGGCGCAGGCGATATCTTTAACGCCTTGTAATATAGAAAGATCTTTCCCACCGTGTTTGTTTAGGAAAGATTTGTACGACGAAGGAAGGCTTTCTTGCTTCAAAATATAAGCAGACCTGAAACAAATTGAAACACACAACCGAAATCAAGAACTTAACTTTACATAGATTTAAGGAAAACAAGAAACTTCCAAAGAAAAGAGTTAAAAACATACAAAATCTGTGAAGAAGAGAGACACATGAGAAACAAGTCTCCATGTTTCCATGTAAGCGGCTTGCAGACTGAGCCAAACCGCTTGCTTTTGATGCCGCACCGCGACGCAAGAACCGCTGCACGCATCAATATGTACACTGCTAAGCTCGTGTGCTGTGTGTTCGGACCTGTGAGAAGCATCGATGGCCCAGCCACTAATCCAGCAAACAGGGCTCTCCAATTTGCAGTTCTTGATTCAGAAGAAGAAAAAAAACACTCTTTTCACTTTGATAGATTGATACTATTTTTGGTTACAAACAAAGAAAGTGTGGGACATAGGAGGAACCTTTGGTTTCCAGCTAGAGCACAAATAGCTTCATCTACGGAAACAAAAGTACCAGCGAAAGTTCCCAAAAACAATCCGTATCTTAACGTCTCTTTGATTCCCATCGCAATAGCTTCACTATTTGAGAAATCACCAGTTTTCCTAAATCCAAAAAAATCGAGAAATTTCCAAACGGTTTTAAGATCAGATAAAGCGAAAAATTCGAATTCCGGTTTTAACAAACACTGTAATACCTCGACTGAGGAGTAGATCTACGGCGGCGAGCGAAACGAGCTACGATTGAGAAAATAGCTAATCCGCCTTTAATCCCAGTACCTATGGAGAATCCTTTGACGGAAGCGACGACGATTCTCCGGAGTTTCTCCTCCGAATCATCCGCCGGAGACGCCGATTTCGACGGAATCGAATCGGAGGTTTTGCAATGTGTGCATGGAAGGTGAAACGATTCACCGGAATCGTCGCCGTCAATTCCATCGTTTTCGCCGCGGATACATGAGCAACGAGAACCGTTCGCCGCCCGGCGAGACGGCGACATGACGCCGGCGATAATAGAGTTTCTCCGATATGTAAAGCTTTTTTGGGTGGGAATTTGAAATTGGCTTTTGAAATAGAAAAATCAAAAGGGAAGAAGAGAAGGGAAAAAACCAGAAAGGTTAAGTATGAGAATGACGAAGACAGCGAGTTCAGATTTTGAGCCACTACGGATTATCCAGTTGTCAGCAATTGACTGACACGTGTCAGTTTTTTTGTTTCGTTTTGATTATTTTTTTGTTTCTGCTTCTTCTTCTGCCTCGGGAGTCATTACAGTGGGAGCAAGTATGGGTTGTGAAAGGTTATGTGGGCTTATATTATGGGCTTGAAAGCGTTATATGCTCTAATGATAATGTTTAAAATCTTGAGAGAAGACAAAACTGAAATAATGTTGTGAACAAACAAACAAAAACTTAACTAATGGAAATGTCATTAACAAGTAGAAAGATTGTTCTTTTTGATCACGTAATCAGAGAGAATTATCAAGCAGAAAATCAACTTTGTATGTAGGTTTATTATTTAGATTCTCTATATGTAGTGTCGTATACAGTTTAATTTAATAATGTTAGAGAAAAAATTACTATGCATATATCCTCTTTTAGAATATCTTTAGGATTGAAATCAATCAAAACAACAATGTATTATATTTAAAATTTTAGTTAGCTTATAAAAAAAAATTAATGTTTTAACCTCAATTAAGATTTTGGCTCAATTCTTCAGTTGTAGTGCTTTGGTTTCTTATTTCTATTTCAGGTTTCTGAAACTTGAATTTTTTTTATGTCCGTCTTTGGTTACTTGGAGTAATGTAAATTATGTAATGGTTTGCTTTATGTCCGGGTATGTGTTGTTATCCGCCGGCTTTGTCTCAAAAAATGTGTTGTCATATGTCCACTGTAAGTGGAAAGTTAAAATAATAATGAAATTCACAGATAGACCAAAATGAAACTTGTTACTATTCCCTCTGTTTTATAATAAATATTTTTTTAACAAAATGAATCTGGACTATTTAATGATGTATCTGGATATATTTTGAATCTTAATACATCTATTAATATCTAGATACATTGGATAAACGAAGAGTCAAAACGACACTTATTATGAAACAGAGGGAATATTGTTTTATTAGTAGTATCTTAATGTTGATTAATAATCAAACAAGCGGGAAGACAAAGTGATTCATGTAATGAAAGTTAATGTACAATGGCGTGATCGCGTGAGAGAAATTTTAAGAAATACATTTTGAGGTGTAAATTTTCAAAATTACACCTATTGTGTGGAAATTTTCAAAATTACATTTTTTCCTAATTTTGATATATATGTCTGGGTTCACTAATCCTATATTAATGTTTAAATTTTGGGGTTTAGGATTTAGATTTAAGGGTTTTGGGTTTATATTTTAAGGTTTAGAGTTCTTTTAAGATTTAAGATTAAGGTTCAATGTTAGATTTTAGGGTTTTGGGTTTATATTTTAAGGTTTAGAATTCTTTTACTCCATGAAAAGAATTGTAGTTTTGAAAATAAACATCATAGAGGTATATTTTTGAAAATTTGTATATCAAGAGGTGTAGTTTTGAAATTTCCCAATAGCGTGAGTGGATACATAAGTGTTAGTTCTTTTTTTTGTTGACAAAAAAATAATGTTATCTTTTTACTATTATCTCTAGTGTTTTCTAGCTATATTGATAACTAGATTAAGACCCGCGTATACGCGGGTTTATTTTAAGATTTTGTAATAAAATCATGGAAAAGTATTAAACCAAATTTGATCATTTTAAAGTAAACAGAATAATATTAAAAACCCGATAAAAATATTTAAATAAAATAAGATCGGTAACCTTTTTACGTTTTTATTGTAATTGATATTTTTTTTGAATTCATGATATGAAAAATGAATTAATTTGTTTTATTTTTATTTTTATCCAATATAGAAAGACTTATATATGTCTAAATATGATCAACTGATTAATTAATTCAACAAAACTTTATTATTCCATTCAAGAGATTTCAATTGATGAAATCTTTATTTAATAATTTTTTACCTAACAATATTGAAAATTAAACTATTTAAAATTAGAATATCGGTTCATTATATTTTCTTAATATTAGTTAGTTGCTTGATGATGTCAAAAAAAAAGTTAGTTGCTTGATAATTAATTTGTTAGTTTTCTATTTATATTGTTTCTTTCTCAATTTTGTTTTTGACTCAGACCATTATAAATTTTCATTTTCATTATTAGTTAGTTTTTTTTTTTCTAGTTTTTATATCTGTTTAACATTTTTCCAATTAACATGTCTTCACCGGATCAAATACATGTAACGACAATAATTTTGATTTCTATCCAACCGATATAGAGTTAGATACATGTATCGACAATAATTTTGATTTCTATCCAACTAATATAGAGTTAAATATTATTCATTGATACCATGAATTTTAAATACATGATTTTTTATGAGAGAAAAGATTATACAAAAGATAGAAGCACATAATTGAATCGCAATAGCTTATTATATATTGTTTTTTTTCCTGTTCATAATGGGAATATAAACACATATCGCAATTTTGTGAGTTATAAAAATCATGATTGCTATCAGTTTGTTAACTTTTTTTTTTATAGGGGTTCATGTAACTTATTCCATGCAGTTATAGGAAATTTAGTTTACCTAACCTATTTCATGTACTAATAGGATTTTATTTATTTCATTAATTTGAATCTTATATGTGTTTGGATAATATAAATTTGATGAATGGGAAACCTTTTTCTATTAGGATATGACAAATATAATTTTTTTTTTTTTAACTATAAAAGATTAAAATTTCGTTTTTTTTCCTTTATCTATTTTTTTTAATTATTATTTTTTTCCTTTTTTCTAAGACACATGTCACGATCTTAACGGACATAACATTAAAAGTGACACATGTCGCAATCCTAAATTTTATAAAAATCCTACGTGTCGCAACCACGTCGCGCGCATCCAGCTTTATATAATAAGATATTATTTACCGTTAAAAAAACATGTACCGCTATATGTAACCTATAAAACCAAAAGTTCTTCCATGTTACGATTTAAGAGTCTAGTTGACACTTGACAGTTGACACCAATAGAGAACACCAACAAAACCACAAGATTAAACATACAACAATAGGAAGATTCTAGTCAACATGTAATACATCTTTCAAATCCTAAGTAAAGGAAATCTCCACATGAGTTTTAACAAAAAGAAAACAAATCTCCACAAAAAGTGTAAACCCTTGCTTCTATTTTTTGGTTTTAATGTTAAGAACCCTTGGTTTTTTGGTTTTAAACCCTTGCTTCTTGTTTTTGTTTTCAAGGTTTTTCAAACCGAAGTCGGTTTAGTGAACCTTCGCCAAAACCAATGCTTCTCCCAAACCTGGTACATGGAATCCACAGGGATTCCTTTGGTCTCCGGCAAAAACAAGACGACAAAACCCGTCATTAACAAGATCCAACCTCCGTAAAACAAGAACGCACCATACTTGAATTCGCAGAGCGTTGCTAGGAACGTCTGAGAGAGAACGAACGTTACGGCGAAGTTCACGGCGACGCTTAAGCTCTGACCTGCCGGCCGCAACTTGAGCGGGAATATTTCACTCGGGACCAGCCAGCTCAGTGGACCCCACGACCATCCAAACCCAGCTGAATATATGCAGAGCAACACCACAACCGTCACGGCGTAGCCCTTCGTCATCTCTCCGTCTCCGGCGGCTCCCACCGTCGCAGCAAGCAACACAGCCACTGCCACCTGTACATTAGTGAGTTTATCGATGGTGGACCTATGAAAAAACAATGTATATATATATGTAACATTACCCAAGCCAATGTTCGCCTATATATTCATATTTACATTCTTTCTTGTCTTAACACTTTTAGTATATAAAATGAAATCGAACCATTAAGAGAAAATGCATTACAAAAATTTATAGCATAAATGTTTAAAAACAATAAATGGGATTAGGATATTGTGCCTTATGAAGAAGTACTGTCGGCACACTCACAAAGTCGGACTTTGTTAAAAAAGAAGAATTAGCATTTAATTATGTACGTTCACATATCATTTGTTTTAAATTGTATTGATATGCATGATTATTAATCCATAATAAATAAGTACTGTATAGTAATAGAAGTATAGAACGTACCTGACAGATAAACATCTGAACACCACCAGCAATGAACAAGAACCGTCTACCGAACCGATCAATAACCATCGTCGAAACAAGAATCGAACCGAGATTAACCAAACCAAGTATCAACGTCGCAATAAGAGCAGGACCAGAACCAAACCCAACCGATCGAAACAGAACCGGAGCGTAAAACGCATTGACCGTGATCCCGGTTAACTGTTGAAAACAAGGTATCGCCACAGCAACCACAAGCTGAGGCCTGTACCGTCTCTCAAGGATCGTCCTAAACGGCTCGGCTCTAGCTTCTAAAGCTATTTGGCTCGACTTAACCAGCTCTGCTAGCTCGGCTTCCACGTCAGCTCTGTTCTCGGTGCCACGTAGTTTAAACAGCGACGCCCGAGCGTGATCGTGTCTCCCACGCGCCAACAAACTAGAAGGTGTGTCTGAGATGGTTAGACATCCGACGGTCATGATCGCGGCTGGTACAGCGGCCAGGCCTAGTGAGATACGCCAGCCGTTAAGGTGGTTGGCCGTGCCGTAGTTTATCATATTGGCTGCTACAACTCCGACTCCGATGAAGAATTGAAAGCCCGAGTTGAAAGCGCCACGCCATTGCGGCGGAGCTACCTCCGATAAATACACCGGCGCAGCCTAGCGTATTTACATTTAAAAATTAGTAATCTATATAGTACATTTTTAATCAAATACGTACAACTGTATAATAATTTAGACGCCAGACAAATGTAAATCCTAACCGTAAAAACTGAAGCATATCACACTAAAATGCGCAAAACGGTAGAAGACCGAACCAAAATTATGTGTATATGGTTTAGTTAATTGTAAAACCCTTGAAAACCGATTTATTTTAGATTAACCAAATTGAATAAAACCAGAATTTAATAAAAGAGTATGTAAAACCAGAATCCAAACCAAAAACCGAAATGAATTTTTATCAAGCTCAACCATAATCAAACCGAAATATATGATTTTGTTTGGTTTAGTATTTGTAATCCGAGCAAAAACAAAATCTCCATACGTATATATTATTATATCCTAATATCCACATATATAAAAAAAATATTATGGAATTTAATGAGATTGAAAGTAGAGCTACTTGGTTGGTGAAGCCAACTCCGAATCCTAGCAATATCCGACCGGAGATGAGCATGGCGATGTTGGCAGCTAAACCGTTGATGACGGCACCAAAGAGGAAAGTGAGACCACCGAGAATCATGGTGGTGCGGCGACCGTAAGCCGCTGTGAGACGGCTAGCTACTAAGGAAGCGACTAAGCCAGCAATGTAAAGGCTTGATGTGAAGGCCGTTAGAACTTGACTATCGTAGACGCAGTACACATTCGTCTTTGCTTCAGAAGCTTTTTTAAGAACAGATGGAAAGAATTTCTCAAGAAACGGCTTCATCGTCGTCACACCCCCTTTTATTAAACAAAAAAAAATTACATAAAATACTTTGTTTCATATTAATTTTCTTTTGTTTGAAATTGAAACCTGAGATTCCGATGTCGTAGCCAAAAATGAGACCGCTTGAGGCGGCCACAACGCAAGTCATGACGACCGCGGCTGTGATCTTGGCGTCTATGTTGCTGACGCCGGAGACATCAAGAGCCAATCCTCCGATAGCCATGTTTTGCTTATGCCAATTACGCATGCATATCTATTTTTGTTGCAAGACCAATGACTAAAAAGAATACATTAAAGAGGGCTTTTAGGTGAGTCTCTTTGGTTAGTTGGCGTGGTGACTTGATGGTGCAAGTGTGCACCCATTTATCTCTTATTTAATGTCATAACCTATAAATGTAACTAACTATTTTACTTTCTTTAAAAAACACTTATGTATTTATATGGAAGGTAACATAGTGGATACTCCCTCTATCCCATATTATAAGCAGTTTGCCAAAATGTATCTGCAAAAAAGTAGATGTATCTGGACATTATTGCATCCAAATATATCCATTTTTTTGCAGATACATTTTGGCAAACTGCTTATAATATAGAACAGAGGGAGTAGTAGCTATTTCCACTTGGCCATACCGAAATTGGACTAGTTAACCTAACCTTATAGATTTGAGATTTACCCAAAATTGTAAAAAAATATATATAGTATAATTAATTAGTTGGGTATAACCACCACTGTTCTTGTGTTTTTTTAGCAAAAACCACCAAAAAGTGCCGATCAAACGTTTAGACTAGAATGTGAAGGTTTTACTTGGGCCCAACCAGCGGATCCTGATTCGAATTGACATTTCTACGTCTAGACATCCGCTTGGATGAGCAACAAGATTCAGACGCTTCAATTTTAATCAAATCGATAAAAAAAATGCAGTGAACAAACAGTATTTTTTTTTTGTCTAGACATCTGACTAATCGTCTTATTAGATCGAATTATCTATTTTCAAATAGTATTATTTTCTATTTTCTTGAAGGGTTTTTGTTTTTATAAAAACAGACAAATTATATTATTTTTCTACAACCAGAGGTGATCCGATCTTTAACAGCCGATTAATCCCTCCCTCTAAGGTGAATGTTGTTGACACACTCACCGGATTTACTTAATCGGCCTAAACTAAAGGATGACACCATTTTAAGTGCCAAAATATATACGTAGCTTGTACTTTAATAAATATACAATATAGCAATAGAAAATCTCCGGTTCTTTTCGAGTTTATTCTCTTGTTAATTGACTACTCGCGCTATATCCTTTATAGATCTCCGATTGGCGTCTACCGAGTTGTGAAACTTTAACATAAAGTCGTTATGATAAAGACGTTAGGGGACAGAAACGGATCCACGCACATCAAGAAAATTGAATGTAAATGAAATTAAATTCTCTTACACAAGACAAAGTATACATAATGGTGGTTGTCACGTGTTCTCCATTTTGGTAGGAAGAACCAGAATACGTAGTTGTAGCCTGCAATGGCTTCTAACTTTTAACTAAACTTATATTTGTATAGCACATGAAGAAACCATTTTGCTGGCGTTTGCACATAAAGAAAGATTTCTGAGATGTATATATTTCTCAATGTGTAACATTTCCTTTTGCATCATTAATTTGTTGCATGTAATGACTAGTGACGAATTAATACTTGGCTTTCCGTTAAAGCAAATTCAAAACAAATCCGGCCCAAAACTACCAACGAATCCGGCCCAAATCAGATGACCAAGCCCAAGCACACTTTCTAAATCCTTCGTTTGTCTTCTTCCTTCCTCCTCATCCCCGACGAGCCATCGAAGCTCTTCGTCATCTTCCCTTTGATTCTCTCACATAAACCGTGTACCTCGTCTCTGTAGCAACCGATGGAGCCACCTGAAGGTTCTTTATATAAATTAATTTCAGATTTTAAAGTTTGAAAAATCCTCCCCTACCATATGTTCGATTAAAATTGATCGGAAAACTCTGCCTCTCTGTGAATTTCTCTTCGATTACAGATGGCAATTCTAGTTTCGCCAAAGAGCTTTACGGAGAAAGTTTGCAGCTTTCGAAACCTCGTGAGTCAAATCTTACCTTCATAGGTTACGCAATTAAAGTTCCCTCTAGGGCTTTGTCTCTTGTGATTTGGCTGATAAAAAAACTAAGATTTTCTTCTTCTGTTACTGGATAAATTACTTAATCAGAATCATCTTTTGGTTTTAGGCAATGATGATGATGATCACAGCCTTGAGAATTTAGATGGATCATTCTTCGGGAGTTCAGATGAAGAAACAAGTGATACTTACCCTCTTAGCAAGGACACAGAGAAGATGCTTGAGGAATTCCACATGGTATATACATTTTCTAAAAACCGATTCGACTTTCATATAATAAGATAGATTCGCATTCTAATTTTGCTGCGACATCGTAGAGCGGATACCGTGATGGGATTATCGCTGGGAAAGAAGCTGCGGCGCAGCAAGGTTACAACATTGGCTACAAAGAATCAGTTCTTGATGGGTACAAGTTTGGTATTGTTAGAGGTGTCTCCAGGTAAATTTCCCAAGATTCTTGTACATATCCGGTGAAGCATAATCGAGTACTAGTACTAGTAGTAGTCTAATACATTTTCTTTTTGAAGTGCGTTGGCTTTCCTCCCAAATGAGCTAAGAGAGAAGCTGGTTGATGAACAAGCAACAAGAGATAAGTTCCAGGAGCTACACAGCTCTGTGCATGGTCTCTCAACGGAAGCGGCGATGAAACTGTTTTATGGAACTCTGACTAGAAAGCAAGGAGAGGAGAAGAGTGGAGAAGACGGGTCTGACTCTGGTCCTAGTCCTAGTCCTAGTCCTAGTCCCGGTTCTGGTTCTGGTTCTGTTTCCGGTTATGGCGTTGGTGCCCCAACCAACTTGGGAAACTATGTTACTGAGCTGAGCTCTCTTCTTTACAAATCTCCTAAGATTGAAGTTAAATTGGACATGTAGAGGACGAGAAGAGTGGAGAAGAAGGGCCTGGCTCTGGTCCTTGATCGCCACAACCGACTTGGGAAGCTACGTTACTAAGCTAAGCTCTCTTCTTGACTAACCTTTTAAAGACTCATAGAGGAGGCTTGGTCCTTTATGTGGTTACTGGCAAGTAAAAGCAGGATTAGTGTCTGGTTACTTGTGTAAGTTCGATTCTTAATGTAAACATTGGCTTATAATGAAGACTTTCACAAGTCTCAGCGATCACCATCTTATGATGATTCATCCAACAAATTTTCATCTTTCTTCTTTATGTCTAGACTTTGCATTCTTTGGTTTGTATATCTTTTTTGATAATATTTCTTGATTCTGATGCTTTTAATGAGCTTTGATGATGCTTCAATGTCACTTTCACAAGAGATATATATATATATCTACAAATATCCAAATTTCCTCCGTGTACCCAAAATTACCAAAAGCCCAGAATAGCGGATATCCATAACCAGACCGGGTCGGGCGAGATCTAGCGGGTCGAGTCCCGTATACAGATCTAAGCACACACACACCACCGTAAATAACTATCTCGCCGGAAGCGCGTCGCCGATCACGCGCAATCATCTGTAATCTGTCTGCCTCTGTTTCATCTTTCTCTCTCACCTAATCTAATCAAAGATGGTTGCTAGTGGTAAAAATCGATCCCTGAAGTAACTCAAGCCAAGTTTTGCTTCATTCGTACTTCACAAATTCCCATTGTCAACAGCAAGCACTCTCTCTCTCTCTCTCTCTTTCTCCCTGCCATTTTTTGTGTATACATACATACGGAACCTTCCCCTTCCCTCTAGGGCGTAGAGAGGGCTCGTTCTCGTCGACAATGCTAGAATGGCTCAATATAGACAATCGGGAACGGAGAGATTCAGCGGTCGCGTCGGCGGTTATCCTCACTATGCCAACAACGGCGCAGCGTCTTCCTCCTCTGATCACGTAGCGATCGGGATCCGAAACGGCGTCGGAGGAGCGAGTCAGCAGCACGGGAAGACTAACCGGTGGAGACGATCCGTACGGCCTGACCGGATTCGTCGCCTTGGAATCGGCTCTGTTGTCTTCGTTCTATGCCTTGTGCTCGTTGTCACGGTTCTAGCATACTATTATATCTCTGGCTTTACTAATAGTGGATACGATGATAAAGGTGAGTTGCTTCTTTGCTCAGCTTCGTTCTCTGGATCTTCTCTTGTTTTTTTTTGCTGAAATCGGATTTTTGCTATATCTAAATATCTATATCTCAGATTGTTTCTGATGAGTTGCATTGTTCCGGCAGGATTTGATTCTTATGACGGTGATTTTCTGACGAACGTGACGAGAATTGACCCTGCGAAAGTGCTTGAGTTTGGGCAAGGATCAGTGGTTCATGGACGAGATTCGAGATACTGGGATAAGGATGATAGAAGACGGGATGATGATTATAATGAGGATGAAGTGGAGCATAAATCTGAAGTCGACGAGGACACGTCAGTGGCTCGAGTGAAAAAGGATCCTGTGAAGGGTGCTTCAGATTTGAAGGGGATTGGTTTGTACAATGAAGCTGGACGAAATGAGTTGAAGAAGTATGAAGCAGAGTATCAAGCTTCGTTTGTGAAAGGTGTTGAGACAACAAAGGAGAGCAGTGGGAATCACGAGGCAGTTGATATGGATCCTGAGGACGATGACGCGATTGATTCTCATGACAGTCAAGGGGATGAGTACGTTGATTCTGGGCATGATGAGGATGATAATGAAGAGGTGCACAAAGATAAGCTTACCGAGGAGGTTCTTCGTTCCGTGACCAAGCAACAGAATATGGAAAATGATGATGGAGCTGTTTCCAAAAGGTCACTTGGGGATTCCTCCCTTGTTAGTAAGGGTGGTAAGTCTGGGAAAACGTCGCGGTCTGATACGAAAAGAAGAGGTCGAGGTCGCAGATCTTCAGGTAGTAACTTGTAGTTAGCTATAGCTGGTCGAGAACTCAAGTCTTGGTACTCGCTGCTCATCATTATTTTCTTGATCAAATCTTTCAGGTGCATCTTGTGAGATGAAGCTATTGAATTCTAGTCAACAAATAGTAGAGCCCTTGAATACTCGAAAATCTGCGAGATTCTCCTTACAGTACATAGAGAATGAAGATAAGCCTGATGGAGAAGAACAGTGGGAGCCTAGATTTGCAGGTCATCAGAGTTTGGAGGAGCGAGAAGAGTCCTTCTTGGTTCAAGACAAGAAAATTCATTGTGGCTTTGTCAAAAGCCCCAAAGGATCTCCAAGCACTGGATTCGACCTGACAGAAGATGATACTAATTATATCAGTAGATGCCACATTGCTGTGATCTCATGCATTTTTGGCAATTCTGATCGTTTGCGGCCTCCTGCCAATAAAATGGTACGAGTCTTTCCATCGTGGATGTATATATTTATGTTGTATGGCCTTGTCTTTTTCCACGTCTTAGATTTGGTACTGTGGCCAGTGAGTTGTGTATCTTAGAGTAGCCTACCTCGCATACATGGAGCCTGACTTTTAGTGGCACATCTATAGGCACTAGCAGAGACTTGCGAGCCGAGGTTTGAGCTAGAAAATGAAAATTGAACAGTTTTGAGCTAGGTCCCCAAATTGTGAGTTATGAATGCTTGAATAGTTAGCATCAGAAAGCTAGTTTTGTGGGTGTTTTAATCAGCAATTGATAGCCATCTGTTAAGATCTCTGCTCATGGCCTTGTTAGGGTTACCAGGATATGGGAGTAGCTCGCCTGCGAACATATCTAGCTTCATTCTAATTAACAAGCAACCTCAAAAGACTCATTTCGTCTTTTGATGATGATATTATGTTGCTCGTGTTAAGCCGAGTGTTTTCTTTTCATCTAGATAAGTCGGCTGTCAAGAAAAAATGTGTGCTTCATTGTGTTCGTGGACGAGATTACCATGCAAACACTTTCTGCAGAAGGCCATGCCCCAGACAGAGCAGGATTCATTGGTTTGTGGAAGCTGGTTGTCGTGAAGAATCTTCCGTACGCAGATATGAGGAGGGTAGGAAAAATACCAAAGCTGTTGCCACATCGACTTTTCCCATCAGCAAGGTGAGTCTCATGTCATACTCTCATTGTGATTGTTCTAAAGCCCAAAGGACATGAGTCATATGTGTAACTTTCATTTTTGAGTCACCAAGGACAAAATTGAAGATTAGATGTTGAAAGTAGTATTCTGAGTCACAAAGACATTTGCCGTTTGTTCGTCAAGGTACTCAATCTGGTTGGACAGCAAGTTGAGACTTCAGTTGGATCCCTTACTCATCCTGGAGTACTTCCTATGGCGTAAAGGTCACGAGTACGCCATATCGAACCACTATGACCGCCATTGTTTATGGGAAGAGGTTGCACAAAACAAGAAGCTGAACAAGTACAACCACACTGTTATCGATCAGCAGTTTGAGTTTTACAAAGGTGATGGGCTGACCAGATTCAACGCTTCGGATCCGTTCAAGCTTCTTCCCAGCAGTAAGACTCTATCAAGGTATTCTGGTAACTGAAGTGTGGAATACACATTACTAAAGTTTGTTCCTCTTGTGTTGTTTTGTTGGTCGCAGATGTTCCAGAGGGGTCTTTCATAGTACGGGCACATACTCCCATGTCGAACCTATTTTCGTGTCTTTGGTTCAACGAAGTCGAACGGTTCACTCCCCGTGACCAGCTGAGCTTTGCATACACTTACCAGAAACTAAGAAGGACGAATCCTGACAAACCTTTTAATCTTCACATGTTTAAGGTAAACAGATCTCAATGATCTCGATAATCTCCTGCTTTAGATCATCTAAAAACATGGGTTTGTTGAATCAGTTTGAACCATATCTTTTTTTTTTCCGAGAGCGAAGATTTTCTAAAATTGCCATAAGTTTTGTGGATTTTTCAGGACTGCGAGAGAAGAAAGATAGCAAAGTTGTTCCGTCACAGATCGGAGGAGAAGCGAAATCTTATACAAGCAGCACTACAACAACAATAAACGACCTGAGCTTCTTTTAATCTCTTCTTTTAATTATCAGTCGTGTATATTACTCACTTGGAGAAAAAGCCACGTTTTCCTTGATCCGATGACTTTAAAAAAGAAAAAAGAAGAAGAAAAACTGCTTACGTTGAGACCGATTCTGTTTTGCTTTGTGGCGAAAACGAGAGGGAGGTATATAGGGGAAGAGTTTGGAAAAACTTTGAAAGAAGAAGAAGAAGAAGAAGAAGAAGAAGAAGAAGAAGAAGAAGTTGATTCGATTTTTCCATATTAATGAAAGGGTCTTCCAGTTTTTATTCAATTCATTGCTTTGTTATGACTTTGGTTTCATGATTCATTTAAATTGTTTTAGTAATGTTACTTCAAGTTTTTTTTTTAAAAAAATTCTTATTGCTTTCAGTGCCCTGCCATCATTTAGTTCAATCAATGATATGTTGTTTCATCTGCTATTTTTGTGCTCTGAAAATAAAATTCCATTTTCCTGGTCTATTCGGAGAATGATTTTGGTGTGATAGATTGTGCACATAGAGAAATCGGTCATTTAAATGCTGAACTTGATCATTTTTGCCAAAAACAAATACAAACTCTTGATCATTTAGTAAAACAAATCACAAACTTGTATCGACCTAGCTAATTGGAATACCAATTAAGTCAACCTTTTCTCTTCTTCTTGAAATGACTATTCCTGTTGTGAGTTTCTTTGTTCCTATGTCCTGTAGGTCCTGTCCATTTAACGTCTACAATAAATGGTGGTAGCGCTAATTAAAGATGAGAAAGTGTTGACTAAATTGGTATTCCAATTAGCTAGGTCAATACAAGTTTATGATTTGTTTTGCTAAATGAAGAGTTTGTATTTACAAATTCTTTTACCTTTTTCACAAATTCTTCACTGATTTAAAATCTGTAGAAATTGTGTAGATCGATCTTTTATTCTGACCAACACTAGTATGAAAAAAATACTATGAATAGATAAATGAAATTAACAATTTAAGACAATTTAAGCGTATGTGTCGAAAAATTACCAAAAACATACTGCTTATGAGTTTTTGCGGTCTATTGTACAATGAATTCTCCACATTCTTAAAGTTTTCGTATAATTTTTATTATTTTCGAAACTGATACAAACCCATCAATCCCAAATCATTATACATTTATACTTGAGATAGAAGAAAAAAATTGATGTCCAGAAACAAATACATAATATATATCTAAGATAACAAAATGAGATATGTAAAATTAAAATATGAGTCGTAGCATATATGATATACCCAACAAAAATACCAAATTTTAATCAATCAATATTGAGTGAATCAATATTTTCAGTAACAAGAACAGAAAACTAATCTACAATTTTATGATCTGAACACGTTTATCACATGAAAGGCTGCGTCTAGCTAGCCTATCGGAATCTAATGTGCATTCGCAAATTTCTTTACCTTTTTCGGTACGTAAATATTTTCCGGAGTGGTAAGAGTATGTGAGAAGGCAAGTAGCTGAACAATTGTCGTGAACATTTTGACCACGGAAGGTCACGTAGAGTAGTAATGTACATGCAGGCGGTGGTGCTGGTGCACGCGGTGGTGCTGGTGCACGTGGAGCCGGTGCAGGTTTAACTGGTAAAAAAAAATGAAATCTTTTTGATCAAATGTTTAAGATGGTAAGTATTGTGTATTTATAATTTGAGGGAGTCAATAGCAAATACAAACGAATAATAAAAAAACATTGGTGAAATGATCATAATGTTTAATACCTGTTGAAATCAACATGGTGATCAACATAAGAGTGATGAAGCAAACAAGTTGTACACGTTTGGCCATTTTCCTTAAATCTCTTTCGTCTTTTTCTTTTTTTTTTTCGTTATGGGATTTTCTTATGTATGTAATCATCCGATGCAGGTTATATATACTGTATATTTCATTTCCTTTTTTAAAGAAATAACAAGAGTAATCCGTGATAAATGCATGTAGAACAGCTACAAATGAGGGAAGCATACAAAATTCCTCTGATATCTATTCATTTGCTACTTTTAGTATAGAAGAAAATTAGCGTGAAAAAGTATTATTGTATACAATATTTTTAATTTTATTTTCTTAACACAATACTAATTTAAGGGTGAGTTTTAAAACATATTTTCCCCTAGATTAAGGCTAAACTAGGATTTCATTTGGTCAGAGATGTGTCCCTTAATACTTTTGGTCACAGATGTGTCAAAAGTCTTCGTATTATTTATTTATGGGAGCTAATAAATAATACTCCACTAAGCACTTATTTGGACACAACGTTTGTTGAAATTATGATTTTTGTTTCAACTAACACCAAATCACTACTCATGTCGTTGTAGTATTTAATATGTCAATCCAAATGAAAGATATGCCAAAAGAAATACAAAGAACAATTTCTATCTAAGCTAAATCGGGTTTTGATGTTTAAAATTACTAAAAGATGATAATTTTAACTAAGGAAAGTAAAGGATAGTAAGAACAAGAAAAGTGAAACTATTATGCAAAAGAGGGATTTTGGAATGAGTATAATCGGCTAAGGAAATCTTAGCAAATGGGGTTTAATCAAGAATTAAGCAAGACTCAACTTTATGCAACAACATTACTTAGATTAGCCTCTTTCGTGGGCTAAACTCTTTGCCAACTTAGATCCCAAGATCTAACCCTTGCTAATGAGAGTAAAGAGGCAAGCTTTCGAGCTTAGGTTCAAGAATGCAATATCAGTACCTCAAACAACCAATCTCTCGGGTTGAGAACACAAACCTCTAGTAATAGCTAGTTTAAGAATTTAACAAACACCTTATAGGTAGGAAATGTTGGATTGTTGTAGATCTCAAATCCAAATGACCAAAGAGGAAATAAGATTTTAAGAACACTAAACTAGAAAGGAGAATGATGAATGACTCAAGACTATCCTACAAATGCTAAAGACCAAACATTTTTCTAACTCATTCCTTAAACCCTAACGAAATCTACTCTCTCCTCATAGAGATAAAACATGAATCAGGAAAAGAGAAGAAATAGAAATCATGCTCAAGAAATGAAGCTTAAACAAGATTAATAAAACTCAAAATACTTCTTAATTATCAAAAAAAATCATCAAGGTCTTACAAAAGATCTCTAAGAACAAAAAAACTTTTTTCCTAGAAAGAACACAATTACATATAAGGGATGCCTAGTAAAATTAAGTCTTTAACTATTTATAGTAGAAAAATAAAATGAAGTTTTGGTCAATGTTCTCCTTTACTTTGTATCCGCTTGGCAACGATTTGCCCTAGAGGTGCAAATTGTTGCTCCAGACCGTTGCCTGCCCAAACACTCAAATTCCAAACTCTTTTCTTACGCATTTCTTCTTCGATCAACTCTCAACTTGCTTTGAACATCACTCTTGCCTGTCTCTGTTGTTAGAGGTAAAATTAACACATGTCTCTGAACTCGTCACCATTAGAAATATTTTAGAGGCCCAGCCCGACTTTAACCCTAGCATTCTCTACAAAATGGAAGTCTTGAGGAGAAAGGCATAATCTGTGGAAAAATGTAAAGAAAGGCTCACGCCGACTCGAAGAATGGAAAGAAATCAAAGACAAGAGGAAGTTTTCCAATTCGCTAAAAAGGAAAATATTCACCAAGGAGCCGACCTATCATCACTATATAATGAAGACCCCCCAATTCCTGGAAAAAGATCCGAAATCAGCTGCAAGAACCCTAAGCAATAGCAATCTTTTCAGTTTACTCTTGTTCTTTATCCGTCGTCTCGTCAAGCTTGTTTGACGAGACCAACTTTCTTTGTCTTCTTTCGATTACTTTCGAGTTAATAGCATCCCAGTTCCCAACAAAAGTCAATTTTGAATACCCATTTCTATGTGTGCTAATCTTGATCTCACAATTGGCGTCCACCGTGGGGCTGTGAACGTTTATCGCTTTTTAGCTCGAAGATATCTTTAAGTTCTACGAAACAACAACGATAGGAAGCTCGAAAGATAACACCCCCACCAGAAGTCCATCCTGCGAAAGGAACTCTGGTGACGAGCACAATCCAGTGACGGTGGAGAAACCGTTGCGTACCAAAGACAAAAGCCGTCCCAAGGGCCGATCCACTTCACCCAGGAGCTGATCCGCCTCACCAAAGAGCCAATTCGCTTCACCAAAAAGTCGATCGACCTCGCCGAGAAGGAGCAAAAGCCCACCGCCTCCTCCCGCACAACGCCGTCATACGAAGAAACCCTCTTCGAACGACCCATCCTCGAAGCCGTAAAAATAATTGTGAAACCGCTGACCGAAAGCCTCGAGTCGATGCAAGCTCAGCAGAAGAAGACTCAGGAGAAGGTCGACGGTATGGCCCGAAGAGACGACGAAGAACCGTTAGATTCCGCTGCCGCGGCCGCTAACGGAACCATGAATCGTCCCACACGAGTTGGCAAGCGAGCCGCTTTTGAGCTCGAACAAATCAACCGTCGTCTCGAAGAGTTCGACTCTAAAGTGCATCACGCCACTAGCTCTGCTCCGGAACTGACAAAAGCACTTGCCGATACCCAGAAGAGCCCGCTCACTCGTAGGATTCGCCGAATCTATCAGTACGACAGTGTTTGATTCAAGATTGAGTCGTACACCGGCGAAGAAGATCCCAAGAAGTGGTTGACATCATTCAACCTCGCCATGAAAAAGGAGAAGTACAACTCTCTTGACGAGAAGGAGGCCAACTACTGCCAAGTATTCATCGAGCACCTGACAAAGGAAGCCCTAGTTTGGTTCTCCAACCTGCCTGCCGAGTCGATTGATAACTTCGACGACTTGACCAACGCCTTCTTGAAGCAGTACTCCATGCACATGATCCGGGTAACCTGGAACATGTTTACCATGACTTAAACCCAAGGGGAACCCTTGCGTCAATTCATGGAAAATTCAAAAAAAGCAGCTCTTGATGTCGGCGACATGCCGGATAGCGTCCTGCTGGAGGCGCTCCGCAATGGTCTTTGGTACGACTCCAAGTTTAAGGAGGACTTATCGCTAAGACCCCCCACCACCTTGGAGGACGCGTTCCATCGATCCCAGAGCTACATCTTCCTCGAGGAGGATTAACGCTTTTATGCCGAGAAGCACGGCGAGAGGAAGACGATCCCGTCAAGACCTAAAGAGGAAGCAATGGAGCCTAGGAGGAGATCTGATGCCAAGAGATCACTCCTCACTGCATTCGCAGTAGCTGACGATGCCGAGCAAGAATCGCAGCTTTTCTCATTGCATTCGCAGTAGCTGACGATGCCGACACCTCCGAACGCTGCCCTTCCCAGCGATGATGACGACTTCAACACGTTCTGCCGGTTCCACGACCTATCATCGCTGCTATATAATGAAAACCCCCCATTCCTGGAAAAGGATCCGGAATCAGCTGCAAGAATGCTAGGCAATAACAATCTTTTCAGTTTTTTCTTGTTCTTTATTCATCGTCTCGTCAGACGTCAAGCTTGTGTGACGAGATCAACTTCCTTTGTATTCTTTCGATTACTTCGAGTTAATAGAATCCCAGTTCCAAAAAAAACTCAATCTTGAATACCCATTTCTATGTGTGCTATTCTTGATCTCACATCCGTCAGCTCCATACCTCAATCACATAGAAAAACACTCTAAATGCCATGCAAATGCAAAATACCAATGCTAAAGCCAAATACTCCTAAAATGTATGCAAAGTACACTAGATGATAGCCTACTAGATGATGAGGAATGTGACACAAAGACTTGCAAAACTATGTGAGAATGTTTACATCATGTTACAAGAGCAACGAGGAAGTTTTAAATCTTAAAATAAGTTGACTGACAATTATTATTACATAAAAAGGAATCTTATAACTCGAAATTGGAAAACAATCTATTTCCCATATGAACTATTACATAATACTCGATGCGGTCAAAACTTTTATCCCAAAAGAGAAATTAAAGACTTTAATCTTGCGGAAATAAAAATCCAAAACTTATGTACCCACAAAGATTAATTTCAGCGAAACTGGATATCAAATCATCAATGTTTTAAACCAAACTGAACCAAAAACTCTAAATCACTATCGTATACCCACAATTCCTCCAAAATCTCCAAATTGAAAAAAAAAAAAAAAAAAAAAAAAATTTACTCCCCTAAGTTTTGTGTAAAACATTTGATTACTATTATCCAAAAAAGACAAAACTGAAAATCTAAGTTGGATGCGCCCGCCAACCAGAGCGACACATATGAAATCTTCTTTTTCAAAAAAAGTAAACACGGACACATGTGATGATTAACATATTTATAGTTTACATATTTAGAAATATATAAAGACAAAATATTTAATAACATACTGGTCAATATATATATATATATATATATTTAATAACATATCAATGTAGGATAAAGAAAAATTCAAGTACGACATAATTTTACATGTTTACAAATATTGTCATAAAAGATAATATTTACTGCTTCCATTTTAACATAATAAAATTGTTAAAATGGGAATGATGCTGGAGAAATTAGCAAATTAGCCATTAAACAAGCAAACTCGTCGAATCTCTTATAACAGAAATTTTGTTACTTCATAATAGGGTTTACTTCATATCTTTTGGTAAATGTTTTGTCGTTAAACCAGACGTCTGTTGTGTAAACCAAGTGAAAACTTTTAATGCCGTTGAGCCATGCACGAATAATGTCAAATCAGTTTGGAAAAACCGATGTTAATATTTTGGATTAGGTTTTGTCCAGAAAACGATTAGGCATGCATTTTCTATAAAGGCCCCTTTAATTCTACTCATTAGGCATAGACTTTAACTACACATACCGGACACTACACTATATTATGAAGAAAAGAAGTAATAATTATTAAGGTGGACTAAAGGAAAATTCAAATTGGGGTGCTTTTTCTTCTCAGTCTCTTTCCTTTTCCACCTACATAAGCTATTTTTGCTGTTAGGCCTTGCAAAATATTAGATGAGTTCATTTGAAAGTGATTAAAGTCGCACAAAATTTGGACGTCCCATAAGTTGTTGTCTGTAAGAATTAATTGAGGCTCTTAGCTTGCATCTTTTCATTATTAAAAGGAATACACGGAAAACCAAAACAAAAACAAAACAAAAGAAACAGCCAAAAAAGTTGCGATGATGACAAGGAGAGTAGCACATTACTACCCTTTCTTGATCGCTTTTCTAATGATCTTGATTCCTCCTACCTTTGGTTTATGGAGGCTGTCCGTAGATAACGAAACCATTATATCCCCGGGGAATGTTTTCGAGCTCGGTGTGTTTAGAGGCACATCAAGTTTTTCAGGGAGCGAGTATTACTATCTGGGAATATGGTTCAAAAGGTTCCCGAGGATAATAGTATGGGTGGCAAACGGAGATACGCCTCTATATAATTCCACAGCTTTTTTAAAGATATCCGGTTCTCATCTCTACCTCCTCAATGTTACCGGTGGCCTCGTTTGGCAAGCTAACGCAACAATACAAGATCCGTTCAGTGGAGAATCGGTGGTTGCAGAGCTTCTTGATAGCGGCAATTTTGTGGTGAGATACGCCAACAACAGTAAACCAGATGGTATTTTGTGGCAGAGTTTCGATTACCCCACGGATACGCTTCTTCCCGGAATGGAACTCGGCTTATTTCTCCAAGGGGCATTCCAACGCAAAAGCTTGACATCGTGGGCAGGTCCAGGAGATCCCGCGAATGGACGTTTCACCTACGGAGTAGATACAAGAAAAGATAATTTCCTGGAGTCTTTAATATATGATGAATATTATGTGGAAACTGCTCGTCTCGAACCGAGCTACGCTAAGATATTCAGAACGTACAGCAATAACCAGAGAGTGAGCTGCAGTCTCCGAACGAGTATTAACGCCAGCTACTACGCAGCGTTAAGATTGTCGTACGACGGTGTATTACGTTGGTGGGAGTGGAGTCCCAAAGCTCGAGAAATGAATTCACTATGGGTGTTACCAGATGAAGATTGTGATAAGTACAATGAATGTGGACCAAACGCACGCTGTTTCATGAGCCCATTAAAGGCTTGTGAGTGCTTAGAGGGATTTCACATGAGTCTGAGTGACGGAAAGGAGATGGGATACGTTCAGAATGGGTGTTTGAGGAAATCGCAGCTCAACTGCAGCGTCAATCATGTATTTCGTAAGCTCCCTAATGCTAAGCTTCCCCGCATTGATGACGATAATATGGTGGAGATGAGTCTTGGTTTAGAGCAATGTCAGGAGAAGTGCCTCAAGAACTGCAGCTGTACGGCGTTCGCCAACATGGAGATACCAAACGGCGGGTCTGGTTGCGTCACGTGGGTTGGAGATTTGAACGATATTCGCACTTACCAGCAGCAGCTGCTGGGTCAAGACTTTTATCTCAAAGTCGTGCCTACCCATCTCGTCGGTTAGGTCTCTGTACTTTGGCTCTTGTTAATTCATAATTTCTTATTAGCTAGTTACTAATGGGAAAGTAGGAGGAATAACGGGAAAAACCCTAACTAACTTTGAATAAGTTGTTAATTTCAACATTAATACTTCATGGTTAAAGTCTAGTTTGTTTTTTTTTAATCTATAATTAAGAACCTCTTACAACGTTTCATTTTACTTTGATTTTTTTTTTCAGGTGAAACGAAGAATACAAGGAAAAATTACATAATCATTGGTTTATCTGCTGGAGCCGCTGGTTTGCTTCTTCTGATTTTAATAACGCTCTGCATGTGCAAAATTAGACGAAAGAAGATAGAAATTAGTACAACTGCTGCTGCTGTTGGTATGATCGTATTAGTAATTTAGTACTGCTCTTTCTCTTAATTAACTCTGTATTTTCAATTATGTTTTTTTAAATAAAAAATTTATTAATGGCCACTCGAACAGCATTGCAAGCTACAAGTCAAAATATGCCAGGGGATTGTCGTCTGATTCAATTTGACGTCATCGCTGAAGCCACTAACCATTTTTCCGAATCGAATATAATCGGAAAAGGTGGATACGGCGTCGTATACAAGGTTAAAAAACCAAAAAACAAAAAATCTAGAATTTATAATTATTATGAAAATTTTACATATTGGTTTTTACGACTCAGGGTGTTTTTGCTGACGGGCAAGGGATCGCAGTCAAAACATTGATTTGTCTCTCGCGACATGGAATTCAAGGATTCAGAAATGAAGTGGCACTAATCTCGCGGGTGCAGCACAACAATTTAGTTAGGTTGCTGGGTTACTGTGATAACGAGGACCACAAAATCTTGGTCTATGAATTTTTAGAAAACTCCAGTCTTAACAAGTATATCTTCGGTAAGTGACTGTTCATAAAAATAGAAACTTACATTTGTTTTAAGAGTTTCGAAACAAATATATTTAATTTGAATTATTGGTTTATTAATTTTTTTTTTTTTTTGTTTTTGCAGACTCAGCCCGTAGCCCTATCATTCTAGAATGGGAAGATAGATTAAAGATTATTAATGGCATCGCTCGAGGACTTTTATATCTTCACCAGGACTCTCGGTATAGGATCATTCATCTCGATCTTAAGCCAGATAACGTGCTGCTCGGCAAGGATCTTGTCCCAAAAATCTCCGATTTTGGGATGGCAGAGACGCTTAGAAACAATGAGACGGAAGCTAATGCGACGACCACGGCCGGAACATTGTGAGGCATTATTGAGAAAGTCTTATCTATATAATAAGTATATCGAGTTTCATTTAAAATGGTAACAAAAAAAAGTAAACGGTTTTGCAGCGGTTACATGGCGCCAGAATACCAAAGCCACGGAATATTCTCAGCAAAGTCGGATGTTTTCAGCTACGGGGTGATGATTCTTGAGATAGTCAGTGGCAAGAAAAACAGGGATTACCCTAAGCAGAACGATGGAGACCAGCTTTTAAGCGTCGTAAGTTTTAAAACCAAATGTTATCTTCTCCATAATCATACTAGTTACTTACTTACTTTAAATGCTTCTTTTTCTTTTCTTTTTTCCTTTTTTCAACAGATATGGAACAATTGGAGCCAAGGAAAAGGGCTAGAGATTGTAGACTCTGTCATCATGAACTCACCATTCGGCTCTAAAACTGAACTCCAGATCATTCGATGCATCCAGATTGGACTGTTGTGTGTCCAAGTAGACGCAGAGGATAGGCCTACAATGTCGTCGGTGGTGCTGATGCTCGGAACCGAGACGGTCGAAATCGGCCAGCCTAAATCGCCTGTTGAGACTGCATCCTCCTCGTCGTCGTCGAGACAAGGACAAGAATTCGAATCTTCCACTATTAATCAGATCACAGTTTCGGTTTTCGACGCTCGCTAGTGCGTGTCACATTTCAGTCTTTTTTTTATCAAGTATAAATAGTACTAATCTATTTATTTTATTTTGCTATTAGTAAAGTTCCTCGGTTTATTTTAAGTACTAGTATTATGTATGCCCCGTGAATTCTACCAAAAAATAAACATATATATATTTTCAATTTAAGATGTAAAGTTGCAAAATTTCCAAATATGAATCTCACAGGACTCTTCATTTTGATGAGATCAATGTGTATGGACAGTGGACACAAAAACTAGTGTTAAACCAGAATATCACCAAGTCTATTTTGGGATATCTTCCCACAAATGTTGCTTGTACGTTTTGTCTCGTTAATGTCTTTGTCTCAACTAATTTCAGCAGCTGACTTGTGAGACTGATTTCAATTAATTTCACAAAGGAAAAAGCGAGCCGATAATAAAAAGGGTTATCCTTTTTCGCACTCTTATTTGAATCTATTGCTAGTATCTATTTTTTGACCCATCATGTTTACAGTTTATTTCGCGAAATACCACAATTTATATGAAAAATTAAAAGTACTAACTTTGCAAACCCGAACCAGAAAAATATATATCCAAATACTTTTAAATTCTTAAATCATACTACTATTTAGATTTCTTAATTGTAGACCAACCAAGGATTTTCTTGTCGGTAATTAAGAAGCAATAACCTAGCTTGCATCTTACGATTATGTTCTCAACTTTTTGTGTATTAAGGATTAAAAAGATGAAGATTGTGTATGTGAATGCAACAAATGCATACACGTGTGTGTGGGTAATAATAAGTTGTAGAAAGTTGCTTCGACAAGAGAGATAATTCAACACCCCTTTACCAAAAAAGATAACTCAACACCCACTAGTTTGTTTCTTGGATCCCTTTTTTTTTTATATCCTCGAGGTGTTAGGCTTGAATTTTCTTATTTTCTTTCTAAATTTAAATAGTCTTGACTTTTTTTTTTCTTTCCAGATAATAGCAAATTTTCTAAATTGTTTAGGTTACGGAAGAAACAAAAGTTCTCCTATTCGTAGATAGAGAGAGTTGCTAATAGATCATCCCAATTTCCACACCCACCACTAGTTTTTTTTTATCCTTTCTTTTTTTTAATCCTGATTAAGAAGTCCCCTAAGATATTATTGCTAAACAAAAACTTAAAACTGTCTTACAGTCTTTTCATAACAGAAAGTCTTTGTTTACACTTTACATTAAAGTTACATGACGCCAGTTAGGACCAAAGACACATATGTACCGAATCACTCACCTATTGAGAGGATACAGAAATTAAACAACAAGCTTTTTCTTTTTCTTTTTTTTTTTGAACAACACTTTTTTCTTTTTCTTAGTCACTAAAACTACGAGTGTTATTAATTATTACAAAAAAGTTTTTTTCCTCTGTCAGTTGTCACAAGCGAGCCAATAAAAAAAAAGGATTATCCTTTTCCGTACACTATTTGAATCTGTTGCTAGTATCTATTTTTGGGCTAGAATCCGCTGCTAAACTTGCTCTGAAATAACATGTAACTATGTAAGGTACGGGTTAAATGATTGGGAGCATGGATTCCTTCGAGTTGTAATGATGTAATTTTGTCTTTGGGGGTTCTACAACATGTCAGATGATTTGGCGGTAATAATATAACAATCGAATATTCCAATTTTTCATTTTCAATACTAAAATAGGAAAATTTAGTTACTTCTTCACAAAATAGATACGATACGACCCATTAGGAATGTATATGAACAATAAATCACTAACACGAAATTTCAAACACAAATTCCACTAACAAAGTCCCGAAATAAAGAAAACAAACACATGAAAAAAAGAGAGTAAAAAGACTGTTTTATCAGCAAGTAATTGTAAACCTTAAAGAAAAGAAAATAGGGTCAGAGCAAACTTAGGAAAAAGAGTTGATGGTTCACGACGTAGGGCCAGGCTCCCACGTAGAGGTCCACGCCTTTGAATTAAATTAAGGAAGATCCAGTTAAATTGGAGTTAAAGAAGGTATTTAGCTTAAAATAGATATGTTTCAATGTGAAATGCATAGAACATTTATAAGGAGGCTCTCTTCTTTATCTTTATTTTTCAAAACATCATCAATTATCATTTCTACCATCTAAGATGAAAAAACCCTTTCAACTCTGGTTTACCATTCTAACCATCTTCACCCTTCTTGTGCTAGGTATGTATATCCATCTCTACTTTTCCTACAAAATACTGGTTTTAAACATTTTACTATTTCTTTCGAATACCAGTTAAAGTAAGTTCTATAAACTTGTATCAAAATTAGTTTTGATTATAGAATTCCATAATATCGAGAATTAATGTGATATAAATTACTTCAAATTATTTTACATTATTTTTTTCTTTCCATTATCAACTCTTTTTCGTTTCTGCATAATAAGATAGAAAAATAAAATAAAAAAATTTCCATTTTGACTACTAAAACTGCGATTATATGTTTTAAATATAATGATAACAGGAGAGCCAAGGGGTTATGGATGTCAGTTCCTTTAAACTACGCCAAACACTGGATTTTGTGTTCGTCCGCAAGATTGTGAGGCTCCGTGTCAGAAGAAGGAGGGGAAAGGGATAAAGGGTGTGTGCGTGTCATATAGTGATCGCCGAGGAAAAGTTTTTAGATGCCAATGTTGTAAAACCCCTTGGTAAAAAGACATGCCAATGCTGTAGTTAATTTGTGCCCTCCTGGTTACTAATGTCGTCGTCAAATTATTTAACAATAATACTCTTTTCATATTTATAATAAGAGCTTTATAATAAAATACTCTTTTGGTGAGGTGGCAACACCAGAAGATAATAACATCAACTTTATATATATATAGATCTTGATGATGTTTTACCGTAGAAAGAAACATAATATTTATTAACATTTAAATCTGTTATTCTACATTGGACTTGATTGATTGATTAGTGAACTAACGATAAAACGTTAAAAACTAATTGCTAGTGTATGGACAGTGGACACAAAAACTAGTGTTAAACCAGAATATCACCAAAGTCTATTTTGGGATATCTTCCCACAAATGTTGCTTGTACGTTTTGTCTCGTTAGTGTCTCTGTCTCAACTAATTTCAGCAGCTGACTTGTGAGACTGATTTCAATTAATCTCACCAAGGAAAAAGCTACAACATACCAACAAACGGATCATCAAAATAACCGAAATTTAGGCAGACTAAACTACATGCAAAAATTGAAACAAGGAGCTAATGATTCTCATGTTTTAGGTCAAGTCGTATACATGAACCAAAACATGACTAAGCATTCGAGGATTAGAATCAAAACATGTGTACTTGCCAATTTTAAGGCACAGCTTTTGTTTGTGTATATATGTTAAAGCAATCTGTTGGACACATTTCACATCATCAAGCACAGCAAACCAAATCAACGATTTTATCAAAGTGTGAAAAAAACAAAAAATCCCTATGCAACTTGTAACAATCAATCAATCATCATCTCTCTCTTTCTCTCTTCTTCTTTTCTTTTTGACTGCTTCACACCGTCTCTGCACCCTCGTGGTATCCATACATACATACTGTATCTCCTCTCTCTCTCTCTCTCTCTAGACAGCTTCAGGACCGTCTTGAGTTATAATGAGATGACGCGCAGGCCTCGGTGACTTGGTACACTCCTGGCGTCTGAGAGTGAGTGGGATCCCTTCTTGCTCGAACCCGTTGCTGTCTTCCATATGTTTAGGAAGACGAATAACCAAATTCCCTGAAGAGGACGAAGAACCTAACAAAGTGGGACAAGACAACATTCGTTAATCCCTGAAACTGAAGGAAACATTCCCAATGGAAAGAGAGCTAGCTCTAACTCACCATCAACCATGTCTTTTGTCTTGTGGAGAAGAAATGTTCCTGAGAGGATAGTCACAAACCCACACAACTCCGTCACAATCTGAGTCCCGTCCTGCCGATCCCAGTCCTGTTTCCACACAGCTTCACACCATTCTTGTCATCTTTCATTTTACCAGAGAAACTAAAAACACCAATAGATAAACAATATAATAACCTTAAACATGATGACACTAGCCAGGATAGTCAGCGACGTGAACATAACGTAGTATATGGGTGAAACTACTGCTGTGTTGAACGTGTCAAGCGCCTGTCATCGAAGACAGTGAAACTTTTCTCATCTGTTTAACAGATATATGTATCCATGTTGAAACTTGAGGCTTACCTTGTTCAAATAGTTCATTTGGGTTATTATACAGGTGAGAACTATGAGTGTGAAGACCCATGTCTGAGGATAAACCAACTGATTCATCCCTGAAAACGTAAGCTTTAACGCTATCCCGAGTGCTTTAACGCTCATGACCTGCCAACACACCACCACACCGCCTTGAAATAATCATTGGAACTCCAAAACAAAGTGAGTTGGGTTAACAATTTTTACGTACCGATAATGATCCCACGAGAGAACAAACACCGATATAGACCATGACATGTGACTGTCCATACAGTGGTATGAACTGAACTATAAGTACAATCGCTGCTCCTACCACTGCTGCAGCGTAGAGAAGAAAAGCTGCACATGACGTATAGAACAAACTAATCAAAACACCGATAAGATGAGAGATGAGATGGGTTTGAAAAGAGGATAGAAATGATACCAGGTTCTGTTGCAAGATCCCATACTTGTAACACGGAATCCATCTCTTGTTCTTGAGGAGCGTGTAAGACGATGGTTATCGAACCAACAACGCATAAGACGCAACCAAGGAGCCCGAAAGTATGCAGCTTCTCGTGTAGGATGATATGAGCAAGAGCAGCGCTGGAAATTTCAACGATATCATCATTGTCAATTCACAAAATTCTGACTATGCCACAAGAAGAAGGTGGTCTTTGATTCAATAGCTACACCCATAAATGATGAACCTTTTTGACTTTAACATTATCCAAACCTGATGATAATGCTGAGAGCGCCAAGAGGAGTCACTAAAATGGCAGGCGCAAAGGCATAAGCTGCAAAATTAGCAATTTCCCCAACAATCACTGCAAAAGAAAGCAAACATTGTCTCTGCCATCAACACTAGTGGAGAAATGCCAATAAACTAGTTTCATTGTTTTCCTCTTCCAAACAGAAACAAGCTGCAGAGTGACCACAAAGCTAATCAATCGAATATCCCAAAAGAGGATAAATCAAACCTTTAAATACGAAGAGAACTCACTCGTTATCATGCCTACCCACCAGAGTGGCTCAAGCAGGTAAGAATAACCTCCAGAACCTACACACACAAAAAAGCCATAACCAAAATCAGACGATGTACTAATGCTGCATTTGAAGCAGGAAACTTCCACATTAGAAACAATTTCAAATCTTTGCCACTTAAAGAGTAACACTAAATAAATGCAACGAATCTTCGTTTCAAGTAACTCCATTAAAACACAGATCTCTCCAGATGTTCTAACCAAATCGAATGAAAGATCCTTGATAAACAAAGCAATCATAAGAAACCCATTTTAGGTAACAACACAAGCAAGAGAAATCAATTAATCACCTGCCCTGAGACCAGAAGCACCCGCTCTCTTAAGACCTTTCTTCTTCACGATGAAACTGGCACCAATGAATAAGCTCGAAGAGATAGCCAACACTAAACCCTTAATATTATCAGAAGACATTCCCTTATACGCATCTCTCCAACTCCCACTCGAACCCGACATGCTTCTCTACGATACCCAGAAGAAATCCAAGAGTAAAAAACCGAGCTTTGGCTACTGGGTATGTCGAAAAAGCTCGAATCTGCTAAGAGAGACGCGGTTGGGGAAGAAAAGGCGGAAGCTTTCAGATCTTGGGTTTGTCCATTGGGGGGAGAGGATCTAGGAGACGATTTAGGGATTGGAGAGGAAGGAACGAGGTAGATCGGATAAAAAGACAAAGAGCATAAAGGAAGAGTGACTGGAGAGAAATGGATTCAAGTGATGAAAGCATCTAAAGGTCAGATTTTTCTGAAAGAATTCAATTCAATATCATACACACATTTTTTAATTTACTTTTTTGTTTCTACAATAGGAGAAACCAAATAATATTTGTAACTAAAAAGGTTTGACAGTATGTTTATTATTATTAGCCTCGTGGTTTGTTCATTTGTAGTTAATTCGGAATCAAATCAGCATTTTTTATTTTATTGCCTTCTAATCGCATGTTCATTAATTCTGTTTTCAAGTTTTGATAATCAAATTGTGTTTTACATAGTTGGTTCAACAACAAATTTCGACTTAAAAAATAATTAGTTCACAGTTGTTGCAAACATTGGCCAGCATTATTGTGTGGACCCACAAGTGACAAATCACAAGACCTTACATTTTAGGCCAAATTGCTTATTTCACCGGAGCTTGTATTATCGAGGTAAATCAGTTTCTTTGATAGATTAATGTTGTACTGTGTTAAAAAAAACGCCGATTACACCCATTGATCGGCTGGGAAATCGTGCAACGGCGAGCCACCGAGGATTTAATCAACATCGGCGATGTTTTTTGGTCAAACGTAGTTGGGTCGAAGTCAACGTTCTCGATCGCAAATCTTGAGATTTGATGCAACAAAACTCACTAACATCTACAAATATGCTGTCTGGGTAATGATAAATGATGGGTCATGGCTTCAATTTCTGTTGATGTTGATGGCAAACTACTTAATGCAGAACGCACACAAGGTGTTTGGTTAAATGCCAAAGAGAATGACTGTGTATTTCATGCCTAAACACAACAAGAGATTTAATCTTTAAGTTGCCTCTAAAGCAACTCTCCTTACTTGTATTTCATGAATCAAAAGCAACTATCCTTACTTGTATTTCATGAATCAGTCGAAGCTATTTTGATCTCATGTATTTCTTAGTGACAAGTTAAAGTCTTCCCCTTTTTATATTTTCTGCACTCAATAAAGCTCCATGATCTATTTACATTTTATCAGCTAGCTTAATATTTCTCAACAAAGCTCTGTGAGCAAATCTATCTTTGTTTTTGTCCTACACAAACTCATGCGAGCATATCACGAAATTAATGATCGCCAAGTTGCTCAAGCTTACAACTCACAATAGTTAGTATTTGCCAATGCCTATGATTAACATTTTATTTGCCAATGCCTATGATTAACATTTCATAATTCAAATAACAATATAATCTCTTGAACTATGAAATATTATATTGATGTTACTTATATATATATAAATATATATGAAAATGTTTTAAAAATATATAAAATATAGTCAAAATTTCATCCCCGTTTCATCCCCGCTTAATTTCCGTTTTTTCAAAAATCCTAAATCCTGACCCGACCGCCCGATTAACGATTACCGATGTTTTGAACATTGTACATATATCATTTCTTTGTTTAAATTATCTCATGCAACATTTGGAGCATTTCTTTCTACTTCTTGGAAGAAGCAAAAAATTTATAGCATCCATCCAATGATACATTTTTTTCACTTAGAGTCTTGTGAGCATCCGTAGGACAAACTTCATCTTTGGCCTTGCCCCAGGAGAGATGTTTATGCAGGCAAGCGCAATACTAAGGACACGCAGCATCTGCTTGGTTGCTACAGTTGATGTCTTACTCACTCTAAGATCAAGAATGTTGTTGCACTCCTCTTGTTGGCTCCAATGTCTCTGCATCACCCACTTAGCCAATTCTCTTCCTTCGCTTACGGCTGGCTTCCCAGTTAACAACTCCAAAAGAATCACTCCAAAGCTGTAGACGTTCCCAGCCGTCGTCACCCTCATTGTGTAAGCATACTCTGTTGAATAGAATCAAAAGTGAAAAAAAAGAAAGATTAAGAGAGCTCATGTTTCTCACAACAAGGTTTTGTATTATATATTGCTTACATGGAGGAATGTAGCCGATGGTGCCTGCAAATGCCGAGAGGCTGCTATTACTTTTGGAAGGATCCATTCCTTTAAACAATTCAATATCCCCTACTAAAGGCTCAATGAGCGACTTGAGCATTATTTTCTTACTAGAGAGATCTGGTAAGAAGATTGGTTCACGACCGTTGGATATGGATCCATGCAAGTAAGAGATCCCCTGAGCTATCCCAACTGATATACTGTACCTGCTCATCCAATCAACCACGTCTCCGGTATGGTTGTGTAGAACGTCGTAAAGGGTACTACGAGTGTGAGCAAAGTCATAGAAGAGCAAGAATCCTTGAGAGTATAGCACATAAGCTAGTGGAACCATTACGTTCGGGTGATGCAGCTTCCCCAACATCTCTAAGTCTAGCTCTAGCTGCTGCTTGCTTGAAAACCCTGTCTCTTGTCTTTAGCTTCTTGATCAAGTAACTCGAACCACAGGGCATGACTATCCTGTAGTAGCTCCAGAACATTGTCTCCAACAAGGCGTTTTCTTGCCGAGCAACACCTTCCACAGCATTGGCGAAAAAACAGATATTTGCAAAAAAAAACGCGAAGTAAATGTTTTTTGCATATTTAAATTTCAACTTAGAAAATATGCAAATCAAACCTCGAAGTTGGAAAGCACCGCCAAAACGGATATATGTGTATTTGTTGTTACCTGTAAACGTCGATTCAAAACATTATGTCATTTACAACATTTTAACTAACTTTTTTTTTATCAAAACGGACCTATGTAATTCTGTATGATTTTGATGCTTATTTAGATAATCTAACATCTAAACTCCTACTCATAGGCAATGATATTTAGATAATCTAATATCTAAATAAGCATTAAAATCACACAAATTATTTTCTCCATACACCAAAAGATCAACATAAAACAAAACAACAATCTAAACTTGATTTTGAAACCTAATTAATGATATCATGAGAAAGAAAATCAGCTTACTCATATTCCCTCTCTTTCATTCTGGTTGTCGTTTGAAAAAATGTATCTGCAATATATTTGGATGTATATGGATGTGTTTTGAGCTTAATACATCTAGATACATTAAATACATTTTCTCAAAATTACAACTAATATGAAACAGAGAGAGTAGAAGATTACTCGAGAAAAACTCATAATGGTGGAGAAGTACGAAAAGAGAGATTGAAGATTTTTGTTTTTGTTTTTCAAATTGAATTTTGATAAAAAAAATAGTTAGTTAAAATATTGTAAATGGCATGATGTTTTTAATCGATGTTTATAGTTAATGAAAAATATACATAGGTCCGTTTCAGCGGTGGTTTCTGACTTCAATGTTTGATTTACATATTTTTTAAGTTGGGTGGTTAAATTTGCAAAAAGAATTTAGTTTGCGGGTTTTTTTGCACAAAACTCTTTAAATTTTGTCACGTATATACAAATGTCCTATATTGCGGGTGACTTTTGAGTTTTGACTTCATAGTATTAATTTGCAGGGTTTTTAATTGAGAATTTGATTTGCAAAAAGAATTTGATCTGAGAATTGTTTAGCACAAAACCCTTATTAGATCTATAGTTTAAGAGACCACATATAGAAGTACTTGATTATCATTAGATAAGAGATTACAATATATATACAGGATCATTGAGGAGTGTTTAGGGTTTATACAAAGTCTAATACACCCTTTCCATATCTACACTTTATACGCCCCCTCAAGATGGAGGGAGTTCGAACACTCCAATCTTGCTAGATAGTTCGACAAACCGTGGACGTGGAAGCGCTTTGGTGAGGGCATCAGCCAATTGGTCATCAGTGGATACATGAACAACGCGGAGGACACCCGACTGAACAAGCTCGCGAATGAAATGATAGTCCAATGCCAAGTGCTTCATGCGAGAGTGGAAAACCGGATTTGCGCATAAATAGGTGTCTCCAACGTTATCACAGTAGATGACATGAGTATGAGTGAGAGTAACACCAAGTTGAGTGAGCAGGGAACAAACCCAACGAATCTCCGATGCCGTGTTTGCAACGGCTTTGTATTCGGCCTCCGTAGACGACCGAGACACGCCTTTCTGTTTCCGTGAAGCCTATGCGATGGGTGTCTTGCCGAGATAGAGAATGTGAGCATTGGTGGATACATAGTCGTCTCTATCTCCGGCCCAATCTGCGTCTGAGTACGCATGGAGATTAAGAGGGGTATCGGCTCGGAGATAAATACCATGAGAGGAGGTGCCTGCCAAGTAACGCAACACCCTCTTTGCTGTTTGCCAATGTGTCTCAGAAGGTGAATGCATGAATTGCGAGAGCCGATTCACTGCATAAGCAATGTCCGGCCGAGTGAAAGCCAGATATTGCAAACTTCCAACTACCATTCTATACTCACTTGGTTTCTCAAGTTTTGGAGAGCCATCATGTAAGATGAGTTGTGGATGAGGAGCGAGAGGAGTGAGAAAAGGTTTTGCATCCACCATATTGGTTTTGACCAGTAAGTCGAGGATGTACTTGCGCTGCATCAGGTGGAATCCCTTAGGAGTGCGAATAGCCTCAATTCCCAGAAAATAATGTAGATCCGCGGGATCTTTTAACGAGAACAGATTCGCCAATGCATTAATGAAGCGAGCTACGAGAGTGGTGTTACTGCCGGTAATGACTATGTCGTCAACATAGACGAGAGTGTAGACAAGGTCAGTACCTTTGATGTACACAAAAACAGAGGTGTCGGCAACAGAGTTCTGAAAACCCAGTTGGAGAAGAAAACCGCGGAGCTCTTGATACCATGCTCGTGGAGCCTGTTTGAGACCGTAAAGTGCCTTGCGGAGACGACAGACGTGGTTGGGGCGATCCTTGTCAACGAAACCAGGTGGTTGAGTAACGTAGACTTCCTCCGTCAGAGTTCCGTGGAGAAAAGCATTGTTGACGTCAAGTTGCTTGATTGTCCAGCCACAACTGACCGCCAATTGAAGAACAACGCGGATGGTAATGGACTTCACAACCGGGCTGAAGGTCTCAGCGTAGTCGATTCCGTACTTTTGTGTGAAGCCGCGAGCTATCCAACGAGCTTTGTTCCTGTCAAAAGTTCCGTCAGCAAGATATTTGAGAGTATAAATCCACTTTGTATCAATCACGTGTTGACCAGGCTGTCGTGGAACAAGATCAAAAGTGTGATTTCGGATCTGAGCATTGATCTCATCTCCCATGGCAAAACGCCAATTTGCATCTCGTGTGGTGAGGATCCGGGATGGGGGACGCCGGAGGAGCAGCTATGAGTGACGATGTCGGAACCGGAACAAAGGTATAGGAATTTGAGTGGGTTGGCGACTCGAGTTGAGATTCGGATGTCGGAATTTGAGGTGGAGTTGCAGCAATTGGGAACTCCGATTTAACAAACCGGATATGACGTGATGTGTAGATCCGGTCAGAGGTTCGGTCCAGGCACAAATAGGCACTCTGTGTGAGGGAATATCCCAAGAAGACACATGGAGCCGACCGGTCATGAAGTTTGTGGTTTGCATACGGACGCAGCCAAGAAAAACAGAGACTGCCGAAGACACAAAGTTTGAGGTAATTTGGTTTTTGATGGAAGAGCTTAGTGTAGGGTGACTCATTTTGCAGAAGTGGAGCAGGCAATCGATTGATGAGATAGATGGCTGCTGCGATGGCATAAGTCCAATAGCTTTTAGGCATGGACGCCTGGTGTAGCAGAGTGAGGCCTGTCTCGACGATATGCATGTGCTTTCTCTCAGCGACACCGTTGTGTTCCGGCGTATGCGGCGGAGACGTCAGATATGTGATCCCGTGAGTTGTGAGGAAGGAACGGAGAGCAATGAACTCACTGCCGTTGTCGGAGTACATCGTTTGGATCTTCTGCTGGAAACGGTTTTCCACCAGTGACTTGAAGGCAATAAACGTTTCCCGAACATCAGATTTTCGCTTGAGTGGATAGAGCCACGAGTAGCGAGTATAGTGATCAACGAGAATTACGTAGTATTTGAAGTTGTCAACGGAGACAATGGGTGATGACCAGACATCAGAATAGATGTATTGAAGAGGTTTGGTAGAAGAGATGGTGTTTGAGTAAAATGGTAACTTGTGACTTTTATTAATGAGATAGTGGGAACAGGACGAGTGGTTGTTTGAAGAATCAGAAAAAGGCAAAGCAAATTGAGAAACAATAGTTTTTAAAACAGATGGAGAAGGGTGTCCGAGTCGAGAATTCCAAGTGTGAGAGGCGGTTTTTGGAGTTGGGGAAGCAAACAGAGAGATGGTATTCTTGGTCGACATCGGCCACTCATATAGCTCATCCTTAGTTCGGCCTTGGAGTAACCGCGCCCCCGTTCTCAGATCCTTCACCTGAAAATGGACAGGAAAGAATTCCACAGAGACTTGGTTAGCGTTACATAAACGGTAAACTGATATGAGGTTTTTGTAGAGATTAGGAACATATAAGACATTCTTTAGGGTGAGAAAATGGGATTGAGTAGGAAGAAAAGCTGAACCAGTGTGCGAGATGGGAAGGCGAGAGCCATTTGCGATGGTCACTTCTTCACCACCGTTGTAGAGTTGATGTAGAGAGAGATTGTTCAGATCGGACGTAAGATGATGCGACGCGACACTGTCAAGGAGCCAGTTGTCAGAGGATGTGGCTGCAGCCATGTTCGCTCTCGGCTGCCATGGAGTAGGAGCACGAGGTGTGAAGTTGGAGGAACTACCATATTGAGGCAGTTGAGGGCACGTGCGTGCGCTGTGGCCATGAACACCACAGATCTGGCATCTTCCTTGATATCCCCTCGGAGCCGTCGAGTCGTGAGACTGGTAAGGTCGTGGGGAGTTCTGATTTGGGCGTTGTTGAAACTGCTGCTGCTGCCATGTTTGATTGTTGCGATTGTTGCCTCTCGACTGTCCTTGGTAGTTGTTTCTCGGCTGTCCCTTGAATGAGACAGCATTTGCAGATATCGGACCATAAGAGCCCACCGTGGAGGTTGCTTGAAGTTTTGCCTCATGGTTCAACAGCTTCTCATGGATTTCAGTGAGGGAAGGCGCAACATCTCGACCTTCAATCTGATCAACAACGGTCTTGTAGTCGTCAGGGAGTCCTTCAAGAACACACTCGACTTGATTCTCATGGTCCATTGGTTTCCCAAGAAGCGCCAATTGGTCAAAGCGAGTGGTAAGTCCTTGAAAGTACTCGTTGATGGATTTGGTACCTTTAGTCCACTGTTTGATTTGATGCTTGAGTTGTTTGAGATGGCCACGGCTCGGTTTCGCATAGGTGGACGAAAGTATCGTCCAGATCTCGGCAGCGGTTTCGGCGGTGGAGAGAAGAGGCTGAATGGAGTTGGTGATTGCACCAAGAAGCGCATTGTAGATCAGCTTATCTTGCCTTTTCCACAGTAGATAAGCTGGATTCTGAGTCACGACATCAGCAGTTGTGACTGTTGGAGACGGTATGATGATCGAATCATCGACGTAGCCAGCCAAGTCATAGCCATCAAGCAAGGCATGAACTTGACGGCTCCACATCAGGAAGTTGGTGGATGTGAGCTTTGTGACGTTCGTCATGTTAACGTTGAGGAGTGATTTTTGTGAACCGGAGGAGACAGTGATGGTCTCGTTAGAGGTGGGAGAAGTATCCATTTAGATGTGAAAAGAAATTTTGAAAAACAGGGAGGCGGCGAGAGAAAAACTCTGTTTTTAGGTTAGGTCTTTGGAGCGATATGCTCTAATACCATATAGAAGGGAATACTTGATTATCATTAGATGAGAGATTACAATATATATACAGTATCATTGAGGAGTGTTTAGGGTTTATACAAAGTCTAATACACCCTTTCCATATCTACACTTTATACCACACTGTCTCTCTTTATTTCTTCCTCTCTTTTGCATTATTTGGTGAGTTACTGACTTAGTATGATAAGATGTTTATGTCTATGAGGAAACATTTTGCTGCAGGAGTTTCGTAAAATCGATAAACAGATTTGATTCATTTCATACCATATAAGGATTTCACTGAAATCCTATACTATAAAAGAAGGCCATCTCTCTCCAGTTGACCGCCATGTCAGCATCGGAGAGATGGCCACGTGACACTCTAATTTTTTTTTTGCATTATTTGAATTTATTGATTAGATTTTATTATTTGTTGCGAAAATAAAGAAAAACGTTGCTTTTGTTTCATCCTCCAAAAAATCTTCTCATCGTCAGTATCCCATTCACATGTGCCGAAGTCTAATCTCTTATGCTCTTGATTTTTTGGCTTCTTTAATTTGTCTGAATCAATCATTACTGGGAAAAAAATCAATCGAACCCATCTACTATACCTTTGTTCCCAATCCCTCAATTTCAATTTTTGTGCCCAGTAATCTCACTATCAATGCAAGGAGAAAGATCGACGCAAAAGAGTATACACTTTCCCCAATCGAATATGCATGCTGGTTGTTTTATTTGGTGAGTTTTTCTTCAATTACATGACGGAAAACTGATTGTTACTTCTTCATATTTGATATATTTCAGGTGAGAAAATGAATTTCGTTTCTCACACTTTCTCTCGAAATCGAAAACTGCCAAAGGTTCGTTTCTCGAAACCTAAACGCTCCTAAATCTAAACTTCTTCTTTGACAATCTATATTGTAAAAATGCAGCCGCACTTGCATCCTCTAATAAATCAGATAAATTCTTTCATAGGTTTCTTTGGTCGTTGATTTGAAGCTGAGGGGAAGGCATGGACTACAGACGATTTAGTCAAAATATTTGTTGTTACATCGCATGTTTCTTCAAACTACTGGTTTAGAATTAGGTAAACATCAAAATATTTGTTTGAATATAACATGTTTCTTCTTTCTCAGTTTCCCATGTTTTTGCGCCAGCCTGATACTAAGATTTTACTATCAATTATCCTAAAGCATGTATCTATCGCTGCAGTACTTTAGGTATCAATCCAATAAGGTGTGACGCTAGCAATCAAGATGTGACATAACTACTTAATTCAAGACAAATCTATCAGGTGGTTGATAATAATTGCTTCACGTCGAGCATTTTGATATTTTGTTTAGTCATAAATGGATTGTGGTCTAAATTTGACATTTGTCACTTATAAATCATATCATCTTTCACTAAAAAGTGTGATGATTTGTATCAAACGCCAACTTTTGCGTTTGTCTTTGTAATTGACAAAATTCTAAAAACTTTCCACAAGAGGCGTGTAGATATGGTGATAGAGTTTGCTCGGTTATTTGGAAAAATCAAAAACAGAGGAGCTAAACCGGATGGTTTTTGGCTTGGCAATTTAGCATTAAACCGGCTTTTCTCTCAGGTGAACAAAGAGCTCAGGACACAATTTTGTTCTCTCGATGCTTTTATTAAAAAGAATAAGATGAAAGCAATTATATTATCTTTACTGAATTTTGTTGAGTTTAGTAGATAAATATTTCTAATTTTACCAAATGTTAATATTTTAAACACAACATTTTCTATACCTTTGATTCGAGTAGTTAAGAAAAAGAAACTCCTACTAACAATGTGGTCTAATAGAATCATAAATCTTGTATATACACGCAGGGCCGGCCCTGAGCATACGCAGGGTAAGCGGCCGAGTAGGGCATCCAATTATTAGAGGCATAATTTTGTTAAATTTTTTCTTAAGGATGTATAAATATCATTTACAAAGTTTTAACAAGGGCATATTTTAGTTACTTAAATTTTTCTTAAAGGGATATATATATATATTATGTATAAAGTTTTAACAAGAACATATTTTTGTTAATTTTTTTTAAAGGGGTTTATATATGATTTACAAATTTTTAAAACCTTTTTAGTGATATTAATTTTTATAGGGCATTTGTTAACAAATACCTGCGATCTACCATGTCACAAGAAAGGTTAAATGAATTGGCTTTGTTATCGATCGAGACAACTATGGTTGAAAAACTCGATTATGTGAGTTTAATAAATTATTTTGCAGCTCAAAATCCAATGAGAGCTATATTTAACTCATAAATATAACCATAAGAAATCAGTTTATATATTTTTCGCAAACTATTTATAAAGTGGGAATTGTTTATTTAGAACTTGTTTATTTTATGAAATTTTAATGATTTTTTTATATTTTTACTGTTTTGTGATTTTGGAAAAAGAAAATTAAAAGGCATACTTTTTAGATTTGAGTAGGGCATTTAAATTCATTGGACCGGCACTGTATACACGTGACAAATACGTGAGGTTAGATTGTGAAAAAATCTCACTTCAACGACAATATATTACGGAAAAATATTATTTCTGCAGCTAATTTAAATTATTTTAAGAAATAAAAAGGAAAACAGATACAGAACCATTAACAAAAAAGGAAACTAGCGAAAACGAAAACCTATCTGATTATGGAAGAAAAAAGGAAAATATATAGAGAGTGAAGCACCGACTCAATCTGCATTATAAATAGAGCTTCACACTCCGTTACAAATCATCACCTGATTTCGATATCTTATTTCTTCTTCTCAACCTAAAAAAGAAAAGAAACAGATCGTTCGAAACAAAACCCTAGAGTAACCATGGCGAAGATGTTTAGAGAAAGAGAACCACAGATCATTGACGAATCATCACTGAAGTTTGTCTCTGTTCTTGGCAGAGGAGGTTACGGCTCTGTAACTCTCATGAGAGATTCCAACCTCCGCTTGTTCGCAGAGAAGTCTTCTTCGTTCGATGACTTGAGGAGTCTCGAGAAAGAACATAGAATCATGCAACGTTTCGTGATCATCCACGCATCGTCCAAACCAGGAGCCCTAATCTTCACATAGCGACCAATCCCGAGAGATGTTACATCTACATGGAGTTTGCCTCGAAAGGCACTCTCCACAACATGATCTCCGAGTTTCGTGAGAGAGGAAGACCGATGCCTGAGCACACGATCGGACATGTTGCTCTCATGATTCTACAAGGACTCCAAGCTCTTCACTCGCACGGTTACGTTCACTGCGATCTCAAGCCAGCGAACGTCCTCGTGTTCCCGTCAAAGGCCGTCGGAGAGCCGTGGGATCTCAAGCTTGCTGACTTCGGTATGTCCAAGGAGCCTTGCACGGATTCTAGATCTTTGTTAGCGGGTACGAAGCCCTACATGCCGCCGGAAACTTTGGGACCAAACAAAGTGATTGGATCAGCCGTTGATGTGTGGTCGCTAGGATGCGTTGTTCTGGAGATGTTTGGAGGATGTCCCCAAAGAAGATGGGACATTGCTACACGTGGAGGCTTCCGAAACTTGTGTCTCCGATGGCCGACGATTTCTTGAAGCGGTGTTTAGCTTTGCTCCCGTCACGGAGAGCCACTGTTGAGGAGCTGTTGAAACATCCCTTTGTTGCGCAAAAAGTGATCGGTGTAACACCACGGCGAGAGTCGACGCTTCCATGTCCTTCTTTCCTTAGATTTCCTTCTGTCACGAGGAACAGTGTGATGGAAGATTGTTCAAGAAGACAAAGAGGAGGACCGATGATGAAGATGATGCCAAGACCTCAAGATTTGATCTACTGAGATCAACGTTGGAGATAGAGATGGGTTTCCGGTGAAGCCGGCTGTTTCATCAGGATTTGGTTTGGTTTGTTCAGATTTGTATTTAGGGTTCAATTGAAATTGTGTCTTGACTTGTTGTGCAAGTTAAACATTATGGGTCAGTTTTTAAGTGTGTTTCGTATTTGCTTATGACTATCTTCATATTGTATCGCTTTTTAGATTTAAAATATATCAAATTTACTCGATCTCTATATTTGTTTGGTATTGTTGTTGATCATGTTGATTGCTTTGTTAAAACTTTTTGTTTGAAACTTTTGATTAATGGGAAGTGTCTTTATCTTCTACATTGTATCGCTTTTCAGTATAAATATATCAAATTTAACCTCAATTACTCGATCTCTATATTTGTCTGATAAGTATTGTTGTTACTTGTTAACCAGAGTTAACTGAAATTGATGCTTGTCATGTATTACTTTTCAAAACATATCATCTTTCATTAGAAAAGTGTGTACGAGATGTTTGTTTCAAACGCCAATTTTTGTGTAGATAGTAAATGTTTGGTTTTACATTTGGATAAAAATGATCTCTACCTATTACACAAGTAACAAAGATTGTTTCATTTATCCCAAGAAATGTGTATGATGATAAGAGTTTGATCGGTTAGTTGGAGAAATCAAAAACAGAGGAGCTAAACCGGATTGGTTTTGGCTTAGCTACCTTAAACCAGTTTTTCTCTCAGGCCAGTTTCTACAGAACAAAATCAAACGATTCCACAACTCAGATTCTCAATAGTAGCATTTCTTTCGAACTGAGTGTAAAACGATGGTTGATATCATGATATGTCTCGGAGGAATCAATTAGTGAAATTGATAAACAGATTTGTTGATATTTCCCATAACAGGAATTTACTGACATTGATTAACGTCAAATATTTTGACAATTTTCTCCATCATTCTGGTCCAAATTTGACATTTGTTACTTATAAGTCTCATACAATTATCATTCACTAGAAAAGTGTGTGTGACGAATCACTGTTTGGCACCTTAATACCCTAAGAGATGGTCTTAGAGTCTTGTGAGCATCCGTAGGACAGTCTTCATCTTTGGCCTTGCCCCAGGAGAGATGTTTATGCAGGCAAGCGCAATACTAAGGGCACGCAGCATCTGCTTGGTTGCTGTAGTCGATGTCTTACTCACTCTGAGATCAAGAATGTTGTTGCACTCATCTTGTTGGCTCGAATGTCTCTGCATCACCCACTTAGCCAATTCTCTTCCTTCGCTTACCGCTGGCTTCCCAGTTAACAACTCCAAAAGAATCACTCCAAAGCTGTAGACGTTCCCAGCCGTCGTCACCCTCATTGTGTAAGCATACTCTGTTGAATAGAATCAAAAGTGAAAAAAAAGAAAGATTAAGAGAGCTCATGTTTCTCACAACAGGGTTTTGTATTTATATATTGCTCACCTGGTGGAATGTAGCCGATGGTGCCTGCAAATGCCGAGAGGCTGCTATTACTTTTGGAAGGATCCATTACCTTGAACAATTCAATATCCCCTACTAAAGGCTCGGTGAGCGACTTGAGCATTATTTTCTTACTAGAGAGATCTTGTAAGAGGATTGGTTCACGACCGTTGGATATGGATCCATGCAAGTAAGAGATCCCCTGAGCTATCCCAACTGCTATACTGTACCTGCTCGTCCAATCAACCACGTCTCCGGTATGGTTGTGTATAACGTCGTAAAGAGTACTACGAGTGTGAGCAAAGTCATAGAAGAGCAAGAATCCCTCAGAGTACAGCACATAAGCTAGTGGAACCATTACGTTCGGGTGATGCAGCTTCCCCAACATCTCTAAGTCTAGCTCTAGCTGCTGCTCGCTGCTTGCTTGCTTGAAAACCCTATCTCTCGTCTTTAGCTTCTTGATCAAGTAACTCGAACCACAGGGCATGACTACTCTGTAGTAACTCCAGAACATTGTCTGGAACAAGGCGTTCTCTTGCCGAGCAACAGCTTCCACAGCTTTGGCGAAACTGATGTTTGATCTGTGTAGAGAGTTTGGGGTGAGAAGCTTGCCACGGACGACCTCTGGAAGCTCCATTGATCTTTCTTCTTCAACCGAGCCGACTTGCATCTTGTTAACCCCTTGCCTTGAAAATCTCAACGCGATGACAGTTATGATCACTGACACAAGAGCAACAACTCCAACGGCAACCAAAACTAGTTTTCTCTTCCTCTTCCCTTGTGACCTTTTCTTGATAGGACCATTCTCCTCATTTACCTTTGTGATGATCCCAGGGTTTCCGCTGATGTTGAGTTTAACATTCTTGGTGAAGCTTGGAATGTCTCCGGTAAGCTGGTTGTTGGAGAGAATGAGCTGTGAAAGAGATACTAAACTGGTTAGAGAATCAGGGATCTCTCCTGAAAATCTGTTGGTGGACAGATCAAGAACTTCCAAGCGGTCAAGTTGAGACAATGAAGTGGGGATAGGTCCGTCAAACATGTTGTAACTGAGATTCAAAGAGATTTGTAACTTTCTTGGCATTACCGGAATCTTCCCTCTTAGCATGTTTTGACCTAGCTGGAGCTCTATCAGACCATCAAGATCTCCAATCTTGTCAGGTATAGTACCGGTTAGGTTATTACCTTGCAAGTTTATGTTGGTGAGCTTTGTTAGGTTTGAAAGCGAAGACGGTATGGATCCACTCAGAGAATTCCAGCTCAAGTCAAGAATCAGGAGGTTGCTTAACTGTTTGACCTCGTCTGGGATTGCTCCGGTAAGCTTGTTCTGCTGCAGTTTCATCACTCGAAGCTTGGTGAGGTTACCAAACGCAGGAGGTATGATTCCAGTGAACTTGTTCATTGCCAAGTTCATGAGATTCAAGCTCGGACACGAAGCGAGATCACTAGGTATGTAGCCGGTGAAACTGTTGTTGTCCATCTCCAGATAGGTTAGGTTCTCAAGCGATTGAAACGCGGAAGAAGGCACAGGACCTGATAGCTTGTTGCTTCCTAGTCTCAGCCTAACAAGACTAGGAGAAACGTGTCGCGGAGGTAACCATCCATGGAGTTGATTAAACGACAAGTCAACAGAGACTAGGTGAAGCTGCTGGGACAAAAGATCAACTGGAATCGTCCCTTTTAGATTGTTGTAGCTGAGATCAAGATTCTTGACGTGTCTTGTGATCGCAGAAGGGATTTCTCCGGTGAAACGGTTACGGTTCGCTGCGAATCTTTGCAGTGTTTGGATTCTTGAGAGTGATTCAGGGATTGGGCCAAGAAGATGGTTGTTTGAGAGAAGTAAAGTTTCCAACTTTGAGAGGTTTCCTAAGGAACTTGGGATTGATCCGTTGAGCTGGTTGTCACTGAGATCCAACAGCTTTAGTTCTTGATAATCTTGGATGCTCTCAGGAACAGTACCGCTCAAGGAATTGTTTGTGATCTCGAGCTTGTCAAGAGTTTTGGACAAATTGCTCGGAACAGAACCTGTTAGGTTGTTGAAGTTGAGATTCAGAGTTCTCAACTGAACTAACCCATCTAAACCGTAGTCTCCGATGTTCCCACTTAACAGGTTGTAAGAGAAATCAAGATCTTCCAATTTGGAGAAATAGCGTAAACCAGGGGAAGAAGAAGAAGAAGAAGAAGAAGAAGAAGAAGAAAGTTGGTTCATGCTGAAGTTGAGATGCTTCAATCCAACGAGAGTTTCGCAGTTTGTCGTCATGAAGCCATCTGGGATTGAGCTCAAGCTGTTGTTGGAGACATCAAGAGACTCCAGAGTCTGGATTTGGCAGAGAAGAGGTAAAAATGAAGAATTGGTGAGGTCGAAGCCAGAGAGAGTCAGGCTTATCACAGAGCCGTTGTCTGGTTGGCTGCAGAGAACGCCTCTCCATAAACATGGGTTTCTCTCAGAACCAGGAAGATTCCAGTCTGAGATATTGAGGATTCTTGAGAGCTCGATCATTGTGCTTGTCTGGTTCGTAGACAGCTCGGAGAAACAGACATGGAAACAAGACAAGAAGAAGAAGAAAAAACAGAACATGATGGACTTGCCTGTTTCTGAAGGACCATCATGTATCTTCTTCATATTTTTTGTGCCAGAGTGATTGGATTTTCTTTCTCCAGGCAAAAAAAGAAAGAAAAAAGCTTGATGAAAAAAACAGAGTGATTTCTCTTAGAAAATTCGATGAGAAAAAAAGAGGTCAAGGAAGGAAAGTGAAGAGAAATTTGGTGTGGGCACTGTTACAGTGTGTCTACTAGTGGCGTGATGATTGGGTTGAAGGCGTTGACTGATGTGTTTTTATGACACAAAGACTTTATCAAAGTCTTTTTGATTTTCTGTTCTCACTCGTCATCGTCTTCTATTTTGATTTATTTATAAAATGTGTTTTATGACTTTATGATTTATCTATCATTTTTCGACACAAAACAGAGAAGAGTCTCTGACTAATCATCTAATTCTCAAGGAATTGCTTCCAACTATTTTGTCAGGGACTACCATTAGAATCCTGCAGGGTTTGCTTGCTAAAATGCTCGATGGACCTTTCTCAATGTTCAGAAAATTTGCCAAAAACCTAGAAAAGTGTAACGATCCAACAGCTTCTCATAAAACACAGAAAAGAGTCTATGACTTGACTTATGATATTTATTTTGGTACTTTTATGTTCTTCTCATAGTCATAGACTCTTATTTGATTTGCGTCATTTACATTAGCCCATATTTAAGCCCACTCCCAAAAAGAAATGATCCATGAATAAACCATTAAACATTTCGACAAAACGTCTGTGGATATTGAAATTAACTGAAAGTAAAACGAGAAGAAACGCAGAGGTTGAAGATGATGATGATGACAACATTAGGATTTGCTCATCCTCTCCTGTTCTTCAGAAACAAACCCACCGAAAAATCACATAATCCTCGAACCAAATGTGTCTCTTCTTCTTCTTCTTCTGCTTCTCCATCGTCGTCCTCTTCCACTGAGACATTTCATCGAACACATAACGGACAAGTTATTCACAAGGACGCTCTTCTCTGTGACGGAATCAGCGAAGGAATCACGAAGAAAAAGAAAAGGGTCTTCTTCTTAGACGTCAGTCCCCTTTGCTACGAAGGAAACAAACCTAGCTCACACGCTTTCGGTCACTGGGTCTCACTCTTCTTCTCTCAAGTCAGCCTCAACGATCCTGTTATAGCGGTAACAAAAACAAACACTTTCCTTTCTTCGATCTCTTCCAACAAAAAGCTTTCTTTTTCCTTTTCTCTTCTCCGATCATGAAAAAGGTTGTTTCTTTGCAGGTTATCGATGGAGAAGAAGGTAACCAGAGACGTCGAGCATTGCTCCCTTCGTATAAATCACATAGAAAATCACCAAATCCTGGAAGATACTCCAAAAGGCCACACCAATTCGTCGACGAAATTCTCAGGAAATGCAATGTGCCAGTGGGTAAAACTATACAAGATCATCAAAGTATTTGACTTTAGCTATTAGAGAAGTTGGATGGATGATAAATGATCTGACTTTGATGTACAAACACAAAGGTTGTTAGAATGCAAGGGCATGAAGCAGACGATGTGGTGGCTACGTTGATGGAACAAGCACTGCAAAGAGGACATCGCGCGGTGATTGCATCGCCTGACAAAGACTTTAAGCAGCTGATCTCAGAGAATGTTCAGATTGTTATTCCATTGGCTGATCTCAGGAGATGGTCTTTTTATACCTTGAAACACTACGTTGCTCAATACAACTGTGATCCACAGTCTGATTTGAGCTTTCGTAAGTGCCTTAAACCGAAGGAGAAAATGTTCTCTTTATGCTTAAATTGTTCTCTTGGCTATACATTACTGAACAGGACAATGGGTTTTTGGTGAGATAGGATGTATAATGGGCGATGAAGTCGATGGAGTTCCGGGGATTCAGCAAGTCGTCCCGGCGTTTGGAAAGAAAACGGCGATGAAACTTGTGAGAAAGCATGGATCTTTGGAGAGTTTACTAAGCGCGGCAGCTGTGAGAACCGTGGGGAGACCATATGCACAAGAGGCCCTTACGAAACACGCAGATTACTTGAGAAGAAACTATCAAGTTCTTGCCTTGAAAAGGTTGGTTATAATCTTTCTCACTGTTATACCACTTTCAACTTTTGGATTCTCATTCTGTAACTGTAATCATTCTTTATAGAGATGTGAAGGTGCAAATTCAAGAGGAATGGTTGGTGGAGAGAGATTCAAGCAATGATTCAGAAGTTTTGTCAAGCTTTTTCTCAACCTTGCATGGATGAATCCTGCAAAAAAAAAAAAAAAAAAAAAAAGTGGAAAGCTTTAAGCTCACCATTGCATCTTTCTCTTAACCATTCAAGAACAGTTGATAGCAAGTTTTAGTAGGGGACCTTCAAATTAATTATCGATATTGTAGTTACATATAATGACTTGGTTATGTTCTTCCATAGATATGAGTACTAGTATAGATTATCTAATTTGGTTGTGTATTACCAGAGAGAGAGAGAGAGAATATCAAAACTTCTTCCTAATTTTGTCGTCGCCATGAGTATAATCATTATGGACCATACTAGGTAAGAAAAAAAGAATCTAACTTTGTTCCTAATAAATGAGAATCTAACTTTCTTGTATACATTAGCAAACAGATTTTAAAGAAAGGAAACCATTTTTTTTTGCTTTCCTTTGATGATTATTCCGGCGATAACAAATTACAGAGACACGAAGGAGCTGCCTAAAGGGCTAAAAAAGCTAGAAGCATCTTAAATAACTTAAGAGACATTTATATGAGCAAATGCCACTTAGAGACTAGTATTTGAAACAGAGCCACCAGTACCACCACCATTCCTTGGTGAGAAACCACAAGCACTCGAAATAAGCATTTGAAATGAAGTCTCTGAGTCATCAAACATGGGTCGTGGGAACTCATGGAACCCTCCAAAATTACACGTATCGAAGCTCAGCGGCGAGAAAGACTCCTCAAAGCTTATCTTCTCCTCCATGAACTCAGAATGCTGCTGCAGCGCGGTTTCTTGGTTCAGGTTACTCGCAGAACCGAGATCGAAGCCAACCATTCCCGCGTCGCTGTTGCTGTTGTTGTTGTTGTTGTTTGCATTCTCTCTCTGAGTAGATGCAACAGCCGAAAGCTTGGTGTCCTCGACAAGGATCGCAGGGGTGTGTCCTTGGAAGAGAGCAATGTGGCCAAAGAGCTTGTCTTTCCTCGAGAACGTCGTGCCGCAGGAGCAGAGCCACTTGTTCTTCCCGCAGTGCTTCTCGTGTGTTTTCAGGTCGGCAATGACGGAGAACTTCTTGGTGTGGCAGCGGCTGCAAGTGAAGCTCTTGTCGCAGTGCGTGCGTTTGTAGTGGTTCTTGACGCACAGGATCGTCTTCAAAGGCTGGAACTTTTTGTGCTCCTTGTTACGTTTGCAACCCGGGAATGGGCACGAGTACCGTTTGATCAGCACCGGCTCAGACCCGGGTAGCGATTCCTTGTTGGGTTTGGCGAGAGCGGCGGGGGTCTTGTACTCGTCTCCGTGGCCTCTCATGTGCATCCTCAGGTTAGCGTCTCTCTTGAAACCTTTCCCGCAAATGGTGCAGAAGTGCGTGTGCGGCGCAAGAATCTCCTCTTTCTCAAGCTGCAAGATCTCGTACGAGCCTGGAGGAAGGTTCTCTCCTTCCTCCGCGTCATCTTCATCTTTCATCTCATGCTCTTCCCTCTCAACATCAGCAACAAGAGCAGCAGCAAGCGGCGGCTGCGGCTTAGGCAAATCGATGGATTGGGTCTGTGAAGCAACGTTATTAGCCTCCCTGGGGTAAGGGAACATGGCCGAGGAAGAACCACCGGGCTGTCCAGTGAATAATGGACCCGGTGCTGTTGACATATTATGCTTAACAGATGGAAGAAGACTACCTGCGGTTGATATCAGCTGTATGATTATGGAAGTTAGATCGGTGGTTATGAGTTCTTGCTGCTGCTGCTGAGCAGCGAGCTCGCCGTTTCGTCCTCCGACGATCAGATGGACAAGGTCTTGGAGCTGGTGGATCTTCTGCTCCATGAAAGATAGGTTGCTGAGCATCGTTCTTGGATCCCATGCTTGAGCTCTAACGCCTTGCAAGAAATCAGCGTTGACTTGAGTGTTGTTGTTGTTGTTATCTTGACCTGAAGATTTCATCTGTTGGAAGACTTGCAAGCTAGGTGGCTCCATATCCATCTCGTAGTCCAAGATTGAAGCATCTTCCCACTTTTGGTTTGCTCTTGTGAAAGTTTGGTTTCCCAGTTTCGAAGAGCTTCTTCCCCAATTGCTCTGGCACAGATCGTCTTCTGTTTCCATGTTTGATCTCAAGTGACAATTTCTACAACCATAGAAATTCAAAAGTTTTGAAAAACATCAAAAATCTTCATCAGAATCAGAATTTGGACCAACGAGGCAAAATACAGACGCACAAACGGATATTTCACAGAATCAAATTCAAGGAAAAAAGCTTCAATTCTCGTACTTAGAGTCAAAAATCAAACACACAATTTTGCCCAAAATCAGACGACTATTAAGATCTGCAAACGATGATAAGGTATTAAAGCTTAACTTTCATAAGAAAAACGATTACAGTCAAAGAAAATTCGAAAAATTCCTCACAGACATCGAATGAAAATAATTTATCAAATCAAATCATCACTAGCGGACAACAAATTAGACAGAAGAAAACCTCCCCATAATCATATAACGCTTTCTCGAGAAAATCGGTTTCCGAGAGAATTGAACTTACAGACGTAAAATTCACTGAATTAAAGTCGAAAAAATCACCAGAAGTATAGCTTCAAGTGGTTCCTCGAGAGCTCCAATGGCCGCTTTAAAGGATAGAGAGATAGAGAGAGAGAGGAATGGAGAAAGAGAGAGAAGCAGAGCATGAGAGGGGAGGCTCATGTATATTAGCAAAATCTCATTTTGGTGCTCTTCCACTTTCTGAATTTTTTTTTACCATAAGTAAAAGTCAACGCAATGATCTCAGCCGTTGGAATTATATCTGCGATCAGCATCGGTTGGATCGGACGGTGTTCAGGCATTTTATCGCATCGAACAACAGTAACGATACACTAGAGCCGTTGATTAATGGGACAAAAAGAAAGATGACGAGACGATAGAGAAGGGGTGTGGTGGGGTCCACATGACAATTAGTCGTATAGTAAAGTTAATTTGAATATATTTATTCCAATTACTCTAATTACCTCTGTCTGTCTCTCTTTTTCCATGCGCTTCATTTGCATATGAAGTATTTGACTTGGCAATTCGAAATATAAAATGAAAACGAATTTCTTAACATAGTTTTTTTTCTATTTTTTATAACGTTTACCTTTTTTTGTAGTTTAGTAACCATCAAAATTTACCATTAATTGTGAAGTAGTTTTTTGTTTAGATAAAGATAAGGCTATTTAGTTAGTTGACGACAAAAAAAAGAGAGAAAAAGTTACTTAAATTTTGAGGAACTTCCAAGTTCAATGACAACTGCCAAGTGGAGTAGCCTGCCACGAAGGTTCGTTCATGCACTCACTGGAATGCCAAAATTGAAAAATGAAAACTTATGTCCATAGCAAAAAAGAAACAAATTTTTTAATAAAATTCATGGATCGTTGATTGGGGAAACACAAGATTCCCACATGCCACAAATCCCTTATGAGACTACTTAAAGATTGTCACCGTTAATAGCAACAACATTCACCATTTTCAAAATCCAATAGCTTCCCTTTATTATTGCTTTCGCATTTCTCGATACTTACAACCCCAAATTATTAGTTAATGCTCTTTAATCAATTTTAGTTAACAAGAAAAATATGGCACCATAATTTGATAAACAAAAATGAATTTGCGTGGATCAATTGGCAAAAAAATAAAAAATACTCCACGCAAATTGGGATTAGTAAGTAGAAGAAGAGTTCAAAACCAATTGGGATTTTGATAAACAGGGAACGAACAAAAAAAAGTATTTAATTGTGTTTGTGCAAAGTGGGCAACTATGATTACATCCAACAAAAGTGGTGGGAACCTCTTTAACTGTAGTTTCTATGACTCTCTATTACATCAAGTTCCTTTTTAAGACAAAGTGGAAGCAACCATTTATATTTTGATTTATCAACCTTAACTCCAATTAAGAAATACCACTTCCACTTGCAAATTCTTAAATTTGTAATCACAACAAATTATCAAATGCGAAGAACTAACTACATCTCTTCTTATCATATATATAAACACGATCAAAAATTTCCAGAAGACGCCACTTTAATTCCAAGAATTTGTTGAAAGAAAATACGATTTGATCACATAAAACGGTATTGACGTATTGTTGTGTATGAAGAATACTCTTCTGTTCAACTCTCCAATTTTGTTTTTGTTTTCCCTTTCTTATCAAGTAAAACCACACACAACCACGTGTCGCAGATTTATCGAGCCACAATGGGTGGAATATGCGTAAGTTGTTGCATAGGGCATAGCATAGTGCAAATGCTAACATCTGTATAGACACATTATGCAAACTTTAATAATTGGGTTGAAAATGCCCCTTCAACTATTATATTTCTTCATGATTTGAAGAGTCATTACCACAATAAACAGTAACTCAGTGATTATTTCATCAAACAGTGTGGTCTATATTTAAAAAGCTTAACGATTTTACCCAATATTCTAATTTGTTCGTGGGGATGAACGACGAATCATTACATCGGAAGACAAATGCAAATTCCACAATAACAAAAACAGTCATAATAATAATAATACGAGAATGTCAATAATTCTTCAAGAAAAGTACTCCGTATTAGCAGGTAAGCGAGTTGAGTTTATTTGGCTTACTTTGGGAAGAAGAAACAACAATGTATGTTGCATGATGATGATGATGATGATGATGCAGCATCATTGTTGAATATGACCATAGTGAGAGTTATGAAGCAATATGAGTTTCAAGCCTTTTGCTGCTACTGCACCACTTCCTCCTCCATTGTACGTTGTTCGGTTGTTGTACCTTTCTTTCAACACGACGTCGTCCAGATGACTCCAAGTTCGTCCTCTCGGCAAGCTCTCTGGCCACATAAACCTCTCCGAGAACGGATTCTTCAGAGACTCGTAAAACTCATTCGCCGTCTCGCAAATCACACCCTTAAAATCCAAACCAAAAGCGTTACTACACAGTTTTCAAATAAGGAACACAAAAAGTAACCTTTGTTATCATTTTTACCTCTGCCATGGCTTTGACCTTGAGAGTTACATCGTTGCTAAGAAGAACGAGTTTTTCGTCAATGTTACGGTTTCGGTAAAGAAGTGCGCATTCGAGAACTTGATCTTCTGATGTAGGAGAATCGATCTCTGGTGCGTTATTATTATTGTTCCAGTGAAGTGAAAACGGGAACGGTGAGCTATATGACAGAGGAGTGACTGGTGGTGTTGGTGCATTTGCTTTGGTTTCTTCTGATGAGCACTGGAGTTGAATCCACCATTTGGTATTAACCTTACACTCTTCGATCCATTCCAGAGCTGAGGAAGCAGTTTCTGCTGTTCTTCTATAGAGAAGACTGCGAGTGCGCTTAGTCTCATTTAGTTCCCTTAACACTGAACAGTGAAAACCAAATGGGTGAGAGATGTTTCTAATGGTAAAAATTGTCTAAAACCAAAAGTGAATAATTAATATAGGAAACAAAGATTTGGGTGATTAAGGCAAAAATGTCAGCCACAGATGCATATTGGTTTTATCCTAAGACTAACAAGAACTTATATTATCACAGAAATCCTTCAAGTTCTGTATGCATTTGCAGCTTTGTCGAATAGAAATGGCTTTAACACAAACTTGTATTATCCTAAGACTTGACAAGTAAACGGCTTTATGGTTTGTATTTAGAGCCTATTATCAGGGTATGTTAGAATAAACAAGCCGGGATTTTTTTACCTGTTCTTGGTACGACCAAATGTGTACCCTTGAGACCTTGTAGAAGGTGCAGTGGCTTTCTAGACTCTTTGTCGAGGAGTGAAGAAGTGTCCAACACAATGGTCCACTTCATCTTGCTTCCACCAGAAAGGTTCTAAACACAGAGAAGTAATGATTAAAATAAGAGCTACACAAAGAATTTAGGACAATCAAATTGTTTAGGACTTACAGAAGAAGAACGAATGCCCCTAGAAACGTTGCTTCTTACTGATGCAATAGAAGAAGCCTCAGTGTATGATTGGCTCTGAGATGAAGATTTTTCAAGTAGAGGTTGAAAAGGTGGTCTTTCGACTTTCTTCTTCAGTGCCACAGGCTCATCATGGCGCTTCACCTTTGATTTGCTGCTCAAGATCTGTAGATTTGGTTTCCGTTCCGCCATCACGTTTTCTTCCGCATGAACATCAAAGAATGGTTTACGTGTTGCTTTAGAGGAGGACCCTTTAGTATCCTTAATATCACCGACTTCTCGCAAACGTTTTAGCATATGAGAGTTTGGGGTAAGATTCTCCTTATCTGGGGTGAAGATTTCTGGCTCTGTCAATGCCCCTGAAGTAGTAACAATAGCAGCAATGCTGTAAGGAGTCTTTAACGAGCACGACGATTTTCCCGAAAGCTTTGAAGAGCTCTTGCTGTCTTTTATGTCGCCAATATCTTGTAATCTTTTCAACATATGAGAGCTTGGTGTGAGATTCTCCTTGTCAGGAGTAAAGATCTCCGGTGGTTCCAGATTCTCTGCACCATAATGAACATTCAGAGAAGTAGACTTGTTGTCACTTAGAGCTAGTTTTCTCTGCAACTGGGCTTTTGGTTGATTCCCAATATGCTTTTGCTTTCCTTTGCTACTGTTGGTCCGCACCTGAAGAACAGAAGCAGCTTTTCCCCTCCTAGACCAAATGTTGCATGTGCTCAATGTTCTCGACGAGGTTATTGAGCTATCCAGCTCAGACAGGACATCATCTCTGACAGCATGTGTTTGCGGGGTCTGGTTCTCTCGACTTCCAGCATAATCAGTAAGCAATTCTTCAGCCAGTGTATCCTCAGCCAATGTCGAAAGAATTGGACTCGCCGTATCAGTATTTCCTTCTCCCTCTATTTCCGGTTGGCTGTAAGATTCTTCAGATCTCCCAGAGCCAATTGACAATTCTGTTCTGGGCTTCTGATGTTTTGGTGTTAACAAGAAACTTTGTTTAAGGTTCTCAGAAAGGCACGAGCTGCTGCTCCCTTCATCAAATATATTCTCAGTCTCCCTCTTCGTTGCTGATATTTGATTATGATCTCCTGCAGGACTCACTTCACTCGGAATCTCAGATGGAGCCTCGGCTTGCGGCTGCCAACTCGACCATAAACTTTCGAGATCTTCTGTATCGATTCGTGAAAGATATTCGTTACTAGCAAACAAACAATCAGATACTGCACCGGCTTGCCTTGAAACGATCTTGGTTTCTTCATTCCTTGTTTGATGTAGGTTCTCACTATCGGTCTCTGTGGCCACTTCAGAACCTAAGAGGCATCGGTCATCTCCTGTTAACGTTGGCTCAGTTTGAGGGAAGGATATGGGAGACACTGCAACGACTTGCCTCGAGACCTCACTTTCTCCACCGTCTTCGTGACTCTGAATTTCAGCTTTAGTTAGTGGTTCTGCAGATGCTTCCGTTCCTTGCTCTGTGACAAACTCAGTCTCTCCACTGATTTCTTGGTGAAGGCTAAGAATCTCAACCTCTGCAGCCAATTCAAATGCAGAACAACCTGAGAGTTCAAGTAATGTAACAGAAGCAGCCATTCCCTTCCTAGAGATATCCATCTCAGAGAGTGCATCCTCTCTAACAGCATGTGGTTGCTGGGTCTGGTTTTCTTGACTCTCAGTATAACAAGAAGGCAGCTCTTCAATCCGTATTATATCCTCAAATGTTTCTGCAGCCAGTGTTGATCGAACTGGAACCTCCTTATCAGTAATTTCTTCGTCCCCTATTTCACTTAGGTTGTAAGAGTCTCCAGATCTCTCAGAGACAATTGACATTTCTGTTTCGGATTTCAGATTTGCTAATGACAAGAAACTTTGTGTACCACTCTGTTGAAGGTACTCATAAAGGCACGAGCTGCTCCCTTCATCCAATACTTTTTCAGGCTCTCTGTCTCCTGCAGGACTCACTTCATTGCTCTTTTGATGTAGGTTCTCACTATTAATCTCTATGGACACTTCACTCTGGATTTCAGAACCTAAGAGGCATAGGGCATCTTCAGTTAAAATTTGTAGCAGTCGCTCAGCTTGCCCTGAGACCTCAGTGTCTCCAGTGTCTACGTGATTCCAAATTTCAGGCTGAGTTAGTGGTTCCGCAGATGCTACCATTAGCTCTTTGAAAAACTCAGTTTCTTTACTGACGTCTTGATGAAGGCTCAGAATCTCGGCCTCTGAAGCCAATTCAAATGCGGTACAGCCGGAGGCTTCAAAGCAACCATCAATTTGTCCCTTACTTGGAGAGCAGCTGCTAAGCCCACTACGTAGATTTTCTGCTTTGACTTGTATAACATCTACGGCCAACTCTGGTGAAGCCTGGATATCTTCTGTGAGCTGTAGCTTTTCTATCTCAAAAGAATCTCTTGGGAGTGGAAACGATGAAGTCTTCTTTGCACCTAGAAATGGATTCTCATCCTCGTTAGGGACTGGTGACTCCATCATATCAGACATCACATCCAGATCATGCAGAAATCCATCTCCTCTTGCATTCCATTCATCACCCTCTGCAGAATCTTCATCATCAAAACAACCTAAGCCTTCCAGGTAGCCACCACTCTGCTGCTTACTTGAGGGACAGCTGCTACTTGGCTTCTCTGCTGCAGCTTCTACAACATCTACGTCCCACTTTGTTAAAGTCTGCACATGTTCCTCAAATTGTAGCTTTTGTGTCTTGACAGAATCTCTAGATAGTGGAGATGCAAGTGGCAACGACAACTCCCTTGTATCCTCATCCTCACTAGGGACTGATGATCCACTTCCTTCTGACGTCACATCCAGATGCAGATCTCCGTCATCACCTGATGCAGTATTCGCTTGTGACTGCAAAGGCAAATTACACTTTCAGGTTAAGCAAATCACATCATATAAGCATAAGCATAGAGCTAAGCAAAACAAGGAGAGCTAAACTAACAAGAAAGATTCACTGCAGTGAGGGATATAGCAAACACATTTCAAATGTTAAAAGCAAGAAAACATAAGAGAGAAGGTTGAGCGAACCTGATCCAGATTTTCTGCTTCGAGGATTCTATTCTCTTCGTCTTGCTCCATCACTATAGATGCATCGAGTGGTGAAACAAATGGATTGTCGATATCATATGCACGGCTCAGGGGAATCCAATGCAGCCTATAGATCCTTGTTGAACCACCGATCCTGATTACATCACCTTCCTTCACCTCTACACAAGCATCTGGGTCAACTTTCTGATCCGTAACCCAGGTTCCATGCACTAAAACAAGTAACAAATCCAATCAAAAACCAGAACGCATACTCCGAGATCCAAATGAAATCGACGGAAAAAATGGAATAAAAATCTAATTGCAGATTCGAGAAATACAAACAGCGACGAGAAATCCCTAGAAATCGAAACGGATGAAGAGATGATTCGTACCAGAGGACAGATCGGTGACGAAGAGTTTCTGACGAGAGGGAACAGAGCGGATTTGCAAGTGGTATCTGCTGATGCTAGGGTGCGTTAGCAGAATATCACAGTCTGGATGTCGACCGACTAACAGAATCTCCTCTACCTCGTCGTCATCGGATATAGCATCGCCGTTTTTCACCGGCGACGAGAAATCGCGACTGTTGACGACGAAGATGTTCTTCAGAATCGAACCGTTTTTCAGCACGGTGAACACGGGAATCGTCTTCTCACGGACTTGTAGCTTCTCCTCCATCGGTTTCTCTTCCTTGACCTCCATGGATGATAAGTCTAAGATGCGAAAGAGAAAGAGAGAGAGATTGACAGGTTTTTCGAGACGAAGAAGATGAAGAAAGCCAAATCTATAAAATATAGTCTTCAAATGTTGTACTCTTCGCAATTTTCTCTCTCTATCTCTTCGTGATTTGGGCGAAATTTGGATTTTGAAAAGAAGAAGGCCGTTGAAGAGAGACAAATCCACGACCCCTCAATTTACTCGTAACGGCTAATTATTTTAATTTCTTGTTACGGAATTTCAAATTTATAAAACCCTTTAAGTACCATTTAGGTTTCATAAGCATAATGTCGGTTCAATTCGAGGTTTCCGAACTTACCAAAACAAACCGAAATTTCTTACACTCATTTCTTAATCGTGACTTAAAGACACCGGTTAGGGTATATACTTTTCGATTTCAATTCGGTGTTTTCAAATTTTTAACCAAATTAAACCGAAACAGAATAATCTGGTTTAGTTTGGGTTGGTTCGGTTCAATTTAAAACGAAACAGAGCAGCTTTTGCTAAAACTCAAAATAGTTGCTTGCAAATACAGTGAGAGTAGCTTTTGCTAATACATAAATGTGAAAAAGGATGTGAAAAGAGAGAGAGAGAGAGAGAGAGAGAGAGAGAGAGAGAGAGAGAGAGAGAGAGAGAGAGAGAGAGAGAGATGAAATAAATCTATTCCTGCTTGGTACGAGCAAGCCTTGCACGATGCCTGAGCTCAGCTCTTTTCCATTTTACAATTAGGTAGCAAAGCGAAAAGAGAGTGTTTATCTGTAAAAAAAATAACACAAAACCACCATCAGATTTTCCATGTTTTATATACACAAGGATTATAAACATGATTTTCTTAATAGATCCTCGAATTCTTAGTTACTACTGTCTGTTAAATCAAACTATATTTTATACATCTTCTAGATGGAGGATGTACTTGAGAACAATTTATGAAGCACTGATAACTATATCTGTTTCATGAAACAAGTTTATTCTTATATAGTAATCCAGAGACGGAAGGGAAAGAGAGCGAGAGAGGGTACTGGTGAACACATTACCAGGATTATCATTGCAATGACCAGAAGTGGTCCAGACCAGAGGGTTGATAGGAAGACTCCGTGCGGGTCAAAGTAGTTTTGTGTTGAGAAGCTCTTCCAGTTTTTCCTCAAGAGCCGGTTGAGATTCTCTGCAAAGTATACCCCAGCCACTGCAAAAAAATTTTTTTTGTCACATCATCATTCTCAATAACGTAAACATACTCGAACTGATGCAATGACGACTAATAAGAGAAAACATTAAAATGTTACTTATAGGGATGTCAGTCATTAACGTCATGGTTTGAACTGTTTCCTAGCGAAATATCATATGTTCTTATAAACGATCATATTCTCCGAGACTTTCCTTGTTTATCTATGTAACATTGTTGGTTTATTATGTTTTAAGTCACTAGTGGAATGCTAATGGTAGCAAAAAGTGGTATCTATGGATATAGGAGATAAAGGCATAGTGATTACATCTTCCTTGTATTATTCGAGGGCACTTACTTACTTACTAACCCAGGGAGTAGAAATGATTATTGAGAAATTGTGGATTATACTCAACCTAAGAGAATGTTAATTTTTTCAGTTTCTGAAACCTCCAAGTAACACATACTAACTTATAGACCCACGTAACTAATCTCGGTGATGGTGTAACTCTCTAACCATGGATCCTGATATGTCTCAAAATTTCTATTGTACTCAAGAAGAAACAACGCCTAGAACAGAGGTTAAAGAATCTCAAAATCAAAGACTTGCTAATCTGAAAAAGGGTTACTGCATAGAAGCCTCTACAATGTAGATAAAAAGAAAGCTTACATGCCAATAAGAACAAGAACATATGGAAGTTGAGACGCCTTCTAGTAAGAAGAGTCACCAGTAGCACCGAAGCATGAAACGCCATTAATCCCATAATCCATGGTTCCTAACAAAACACCAATCCAAATTGTTAGCCAATTAACCCATAATGGATACGAGTATAGAGTATCGGAATCTCAAATTATTGTTCTCATCATCAGTATCACAGAACAAAACGTAACCCTAACAATACCGAGAATGCAGGACTGATGATTCGGAAAATTCCTCAGATCAACGGAGATAATCGATCGAACTCAGCAACAAAACCCGATTCAAAATAGCTACCGTGAGGGAACCAAACAGAAAATTCAAAAAGGGAAAACGGACTCATCACCTTCCAATCAATCGCGTGGAAAAACCCCAGGAAATTATCGTAAGCAGGTTGTAATCCCGTTCGTAGCTCTCCGGAGATTTTCTGGACCAGATCCGCCACGAGATCCATCTGCTGCTCCATCGCCGATCTTATATCCTCCATTGTCTACTCAAAATTCACCGAAGAAGAAAACCAGATTCAAGTTTGAAATCGTAGCGCTGACACCTATACTCACACTCTCCGAGTAAAACCCAAATCCCTTATTCTTCTTCGATTTTCGCAGTTTCTAGTTCTCAAATCTCAACCTCTTCTCGTGCTCTCGCCAAAAAAAAATTTAAGAGTTTTTGCTTAATGCTCTCGAAGTTGCCATATATGTGAAAAAAAAAAAAAAAGCAATCGCCGCCATCTCATAATGCCCTCCAGGTTTCGTATATTTACAATAATACCACAGTGATATTCTGAAAATCTGGGTAATATGATTTTTCGGGAATCATCATCATCTAAACTAATAGAAACGATTAAAACTAATGACATTTCTATTAGTCGTTTCTATTAGTTTAGATGATGATGATTCCCGGAAAATCATATTACCCAGATCGTTGGTAATAATTTTACTGATATTAAATCTTTACTTCTTTTAGGGGTAATAATTTTACTGATATTAAATCTAGATAACATTCTGTACTAATAAAGAACCCGGACGTTTATGCGGTGTGATGTTGTAGTTTGTGCGGTGTGACGTTGTGGTTTAATGAAGAAAATATAATACCTTAATCACGAAAAATCAATCTCAGAATATACCAGTTCATGAAATTCTATCAATAATTTTTATCTTAAGGAAACAAAATGGGTATTTGTACTACTAAAATTGAAGTATTTGTGGTTTTTCATGAAACCTTGGAAAAATCAACAAAACCTGTTAAAAATCATTCTGGTTTTTATATCTGTAAATCCAAAAAACCTAAAATCTGAAACCCTTTAAGATTTTTAAAAGTTTTTAAAAACTCAAAAACCTAGAAAAAAAAACTGGAAAAGTTCGTACTGAACCCGAACCAAAAAGTTTAGAAAATGGAACGTTTTTATACCTCTAAATACGAAAACCCAAAAACAAAAAAAACTGACCCAAAACCAATGCGAGACCCAAACTGATTTAAAAAAAAAAAAAAACAAATTGTTTTTATATTTCTGAAAATCCGAAAAATCTTCAAAAAAACCTAAAAAATCCAGAAAAAAAATTCGAACTGAACCCAGAAAAACATAAACCGAACCTAAACCAAAATATAGAAAAACCGTCTAGTTACATTTGTTGAAAATTGAAACCAATGATTAAAAAATCGGATCGGACCGGGCGGTCAAACCGGTTAAACCGGGCCCGGTGCCTATCCCGGTCCGATTTTAATGAAAGACCGTAATTGTAATTGACCCAATAAAACCGATAAAAAACCGGAAAAAACTCGGAAACCGGCCGGTTTGGTTTGATTAAAAAACCGGTTTCTATTCTTTTTGCATTCTTAAAACTAACACATATAACCGGTTCTATGATTTGGTAATCTCAAGAATCTTTCACCCACGTTTATTCCTTTTGTCCATTCCAAACTTGATCGAACAATCTTATATATAATTAGGGAGTTGCTCTCTCCATTTGAGAGTGTCCACATCAGCACAAAAACATTAAATTGTATTTAAAATATTTAATAAATATATGACTATTCATATTTCTTTACATTTATTCATATTTAATAAAAATATACAAATAAATTGATTAATTAATAGAAAGTATGTGATAATTTGATGTTAAAAGTTATCAAAAAGTTGGAATATAAAATAGAGATGGAGTAAAGAAATATTCAACTTCAAATAGTATATATTTACTTTATTATTCAAAGGGTTTATCCTACTTAAAAATGTTAGAATGTGTTTACAAGTTAAAAAGTTGAATATAAATTAATTAAGACAATAGAAAGCTAATGAAACATTAGAGTTAGAGTTTGTTTTTCTAAACAAATAGAAATAGAGTTTTATATGTAAATTTAATTGTAGTGAAAAACAAGAATATGTTTACAAATTTTAACCTTCAGTCAAATGCATATACATATTTATAAATTTTAACCTTCAATCAAATACATATACATGTTTACCGTCTAATAGAAGTAAACATAATACTTATAACATGATAAAATTTTAGAAATAGAAAACTCAAGATAAAGCAGAGTGTTAATATCCTAATAAATTAAAATAAAAACAAATTATTCATATTTTTTAGTGTTAGTGGTTTAGTTAACTCAAAACATAACAAAAACATGAAAGTTAACACAAAACCATCATATTCAAATCACGAGTATAAATAAAATTAAACAGAAAAACTATCGTAAACAACCCCGCGCTTGCGCGGGGCTTCAAACCTAGTTTTTCTAATATGTGTCTTTGATCGAACAGTTCCTGTTCAAGAGTTTTTATTTTCTTTCCTATATATATGATTTTTCGTTTTTACCTTTTTCTTCCTATAAAACTGAAACATATTAAAGAAAACCAATATTAAATGATAATCTAACTGTGAGAAACACAAAGAATTATATGAACAAAACGTGAATAAAGAGAAAGGAGTAAGGAAGAGAAGAAAGAGGGAGGAGAGTAATAGAGTTTGATGAGATGGGCGGCGGCTTGAAGAAGAAAAATAGGGTTTTTAATGACACATTTAATTGAGAATTTCTCTGATTCATTTTTACAGTGAAATATTCTCTATTTTCTTTTTTTGGCTCATAAAATATTCTTTATTTAATAAACAAAATGTAAAGTAGCAAAACATTGATAGGTAATATACAGTTACATATTATTTGCTATATATATTATATATTAATAAATAAAATAAAATAAAATATATATTAAAAACCCGGTTGAACTGGTTGGACCAAATTGACCTATGATCCAAAAGGTTTTCCGGTTCGGTCCGGTTTTAAAAATATTAATTGAAACATAAAGATGAAGTTTATTTTGATATCATCTCGTTGTTTCTCTTGTGTTTTCTACTGAAAAAAAAAAGTTGTGTAATAAATCACTATCACTTTATATTTAAAAAAAGTTTTACAAATGAAAAAAACAAAGAAAGACTCGTGTTCTCCTTTTATCCAGCTTAGAAACCTCTTCACTTCTCCTTCTCGTTTCTCCACCGAAAAAATATTTACTTTACGTTCTTTCTCTAATTGAGTTTATACATACATATTTTGATCCTATCTTCTCCATCAACCCATCTCTACATATACTTTGATCCTTTGAGTAACAAAACAATCTTGCCTTCTTTCAAGTGTATCATCTTCTTCTCCGTTTTTCTTCTCCAGAAAAAACAATCAATATGGCTAAGGAACTTGCGTCCAAGGCTCATGAGGCTTTCGACTTTCGTAGACGACGACTTCGATATTGATGGGGACTTGTACTCAAAAGCCATTGAATTGGATCCTAATTGTGCCGATTGTGCTCAAGCTAACATCAAACTCCAAAACTTCTTCCTTCTGTAATAAAAAACGATACTTTGTTGAAGAACATAAATCTTCGTCATTGAGCTTCTGGGTTGTCATGTCCTGGGTTTCTTGTTTCGTTTTGCTGTATGGAGATTCTGCAAATTGACATTTTAATAGCATGTGTTTAGTAGATTCAGTTTTCTGTTCTGTTCAACCCTTCTGGCGACACTTGAAATCGGACTCCACCTGGTTTGGGAAAGCCGAGGTAATTGTCTTTACCTCATCCTCAGTCTCTCTTCCGAAACAATTTTGATAATTTCTTCTCCATCATCCTATTCTTGAGGTCTTTTTTGATTGCCGGGGAAAATTTGTTTCGGCTTATGGTTCATTGATCATTTGACTCACACTTATATAGCAGTAGGTATGTAGGGTTTCTCATTCGGTTTATTGCTATTTCACAATTGGAAAATTTCCAAATATTATTGGATCATATTTCTTAAGTATCAAGGCTCTTTTGATTTGATATTATCGTTTTTATGCTTTCTCGTTTATGGAATTGAAGTGATTAAGACGTGAAATATATTCCGATTTTATTGCCTTTTTTTTTTGAACGACCCGATTTTATTGCCTAAATTGTTATTTTCTATTAAACTTGTTTGATTCCATTTAATTGTTTCCAAGATTTGGTGTTATCCATAATATTAATTTCGGTTTCATTTAACAAATTTATGGCATTATCTTCTTTTTTGGAAATATGATCGATATATTACCTTTTTAAGGAGACGAACCGACTTACAAAAAGAATGGTTTCGGTTTGACAGAACCGTTAATCAGATTCTCATCTCAACATATGGTTTAATTTAAGTGAACAAAGATCCGCGTCCTATTCAGTGGGTTAATGGGTGGGTTATTCGCGATTTAATGCTGTTTGGGTGGGTTATTCGCGAGTCACCGAGTTAACTCAGCCGAGTTGACTGTTTTTTTACTAAATTACCCCTCCTTATACCTGTTGCCAAACACTTTTTCTTCATAAAGGATTGGTTTTTTGGTCCAAAAATTGTCAATGTACTTCTCAATTAATAATAAAGAGATATCCTAGGCAAAGAAATTTGCTATAATGAAAAAGATTCTAGTTGAGAGAGATTTTAAATGGATAGTTTCTCTCTTTCTCCTTAACAATGCTAGCAAATCATTTTAATGATCTCATTAAAACACAAACGATTACAAGAATCCAAACATACTTACTTTCTAGATGTTGCCAAAGATTTAAAAATCTTGTTCTACACAGATTCATGAACCCTTCTTCTTTCCTCTAATACTAGTCGAGGAATAGGAAGTATGAGATTATTAACAACATCAAATATCAATGTTTGAAAATAATTAGGCCAGATATGTATAAGATGCATCTGCAAATGGAGTTGGTGAGAGGCTAAAAAGAAGCAACTTCAGGATTTGGATGTTTTGGTGGGTCGTTGCTTCTTACGGAAGAGGTAATTTACGAGCATCCCAAGTAAAGGAAACCCTGTTACCACGCCTATGTAACCAAGCCACCACACGGACCGTTTTGTCTGCCTACACAGCGCTTTAAAGCTTCTCTTCGTTACATCATCCTCAGGCTTTGGTCCTCTTTGGTTCGCTTCTCCTGACGGTGTGGTGGTATTGGTGTCCTGCTCGTAGGTGACTGCTGCCACTAACCCGTCTTCTGCGATGTTTAAGTACGGCCCTTGGTTTATCGATGGCTCCTCCTGCTTTTCTGCTCCTGAGCTACTTCTCTCTTGAATCTGCAACATTTTGATTGGTTACTTTCGGTTTGAGTGTATGTAAGTAAGCCGCGCGCATGAGAACAAACAGAAACTTACTTTCTGTATATGCATATAACGACTGCAGCTAAGAGCACCAAGAAACTCGTTGGTGGCTCGAACCCACCTGTACACAACATATATAAAGACAGTAAGAACAAGAAGTATGAATCAGATCTTTTGTTAGAATCTGAGAGATACTAACCACAAGCTAGATCCAGTTAATCCTTCGAAGAAAGCTAAATGTCCTCCGTGATTTGTTGTCGCCAAGACAATGTTTTTGTTTGCCCTTTTCCAAAGAAAACTTCAAGTTATTAATCTCTTTTTAACAGGATTCATTGATTCCAGATTTAAGGAGATCGTGTGTTTACCGGCATTCGTCCCAAGGAATAGCTTCCTTTGTGCATAATGGATCATCTAGAGCACTTATACAGAGTAGCGGAATCGCCACATTGCCTATGTATTGAGTACTGCTAGATTTTCGGTAATACGTATCCACTGTCTGCATAAGGGTACAACAGTTTGTAAAATCAACAGAGAACTTGATGCTGATTATGAAGAGAAACGCAAAGATCTAGAGGAAACTAACATCAGAAGTTAAGAATAATTAGTAGGAGAACTAATACCTCAAATTTTCCGACAAGACAGGTAGCATGGTTGTCAAAATCTCGGATGGAACGTGACTGATGAAGCAATAAACAGAAAACGTTAATCTTGAAAGAAAGATGAAAGTTTCTCTGGATGAATTTTTTATGTTTACGTTATTTGCACTACAACGCTGCTTCGTTCAGTGTATCTACCAAGTAGACTGTTGGTTACAGTACTAACCTTTTTAATGCCTTCCCAATTAGCAAGCCGTGTATACTGAGGCTCATGCCTGCAAATGAAACTAGAGTTATAACTGAAACCTGACTTCTCAAAGTAGTGTATCTGAAATGTTTCCTCTCAACCTATCTAGGAGGTTCTTGAGCAAAGAGGTGGACATACAATTGGGCATAACCTTGGAGTCCGATGCAGAGAGCTTTGTCGTATAACTTTTGTTTCAACGTTCGACAGATAAACCTGTCACCAATCTTGTTGGGAGAAGACAAAGGAAAAGAAAGCATAATGAGGAAAGTTATAACCCAATGAAGAAAAACGAAGAATTATTAATTCCAGAAAATGTTGGTTTCAATCTACCTAGAAGATGACAGGTATGAAAAAAAAAAAAAGCTCACCAAGAGGTCCCATGGAGAGCAAATCGCTACAGCGCCCCTAAGAGGAGTCTTTTCACCCTCTTCCCCAAGGTATTTGACCTGAAACATGAGATAGATTCAGGCTTTATGTTGTATATTAGATGAACCTCTTCCTGCATATACGTACGGTATTGAAAATCCAAAATAGGCAAGCTACTCTTTTAGCCTGAAATCTCTGTTTGAATATAGCCAACTAAGTAATATAAAATATAAGTTCCATGGAAGACACGCACATTTCAACATAATTCAAAGCTAAGCATAGTTTCTTAAGAAACCAAAATTGTAAAACACTTAGTTCCTGATTTAGTACCAGAACATTTGCTCCAATGCTAGTTCCAATAGCAAAAAGAGGAGCCATTGGGTATTCCTGTTGAAGATGAGCAAGAACTATCCGTACATCCTCTGTCCATCCAGCATTATAGAAGCGATCAGACTGCATATGCATTTACAAGATAACAAGATTATAGAAGATTAATACGTATATAAGTAAGCACAAAATTTCTTTTTAAAACATGGAAAACAAAAAAAAAAATGCTAGAAAGCAAAGTGGAAGGCACAGACTAAAGAAAACTCACAGTAACAGAAACACCACCTAATCCTCTATGGTTGCTAATAACAACATTCCAACCTGATTTTGCAGTGTTGTAGGCAAGATGCTTTAGATACTGCAAAAAAATCACCAAATGCAAGTCAAATATACATTAAACTTCATGCCTCATAATACACACTGTATAAAGCACAGTCCTAGACTAGACTTACGGCAGATGAAGAATCACTAGTTAACCCTGGAATAACGACAGCGATGGGAGTCGTATCTTCCTTTGTGATTTCAGTCTGATTGTGATGAGAGCCATCAAGAACTGCACAAAATCAAACAAGATTCAATCAAAGATGGTTTACAAAAAAAATCACAGTCACTAAAATTGTATACCATCAGAGTTCGTCAGCCAATCCAGTGCAATGGTTCCACCATCAGAAGCACGAAAGAGATGTCTAACACATACAAAAAAAAGTATCACTCATCAGCTTAACACGAGACTAATTACGATCTCAATCGCACACAAAATCAAAATCACACCTTCTGTAGGTGAAAACCGGAGGCAATCCGTTGAAATTAAGGAAGCAAGTCTGAAGATGAGGACTCGCTAGCCATGGCGTCGCTACATATCTAAATCATACAGATGAATTCAAAATCAAAATTCACGAAATCTTATCCTCACAAAGCCTAATTTCAAATGTTGGTACGGTCCGGATAATCGTTCTCACCGGCCGTGAAGGATCCGACAGCGAGAAACGACGCCGTGGTAAAGAGGCGAATCGGGATTGTAGATGAGATTGACGCGGCATTTGAAAAACCGAAGAATCGTATCGCCAAGGAAATGGAACTCGAGGAAATGGTAGAAGAAGACGGACCAGAGAAAGAAGAGAGCGTAGAGGTAGTGACGAATCGGGATGAGGGAGAGAGCTTGAAAGAGAAGCTCGTACGGAGATGGAGATAGGATTGGAATCGAATCGTCCATTGATGTGTCCTGTGTGTGTTTTCCAGATCCGGCGATAGGAATTAGAGGAGGAATTTCTTCATGGTTGGTTAAGAGGCGAACGCCAACAGAGTGGCGGGGCGGGTGCAGATTTTATTAGTATGACGGACTAATTTTTTTTAATTATTATTTAATTCATATTTGAAATTCTTGGTATGAATATCATTATACACGCCGACGCTTTCGCTTGTTCACGTGTATATATTGATTTGTTGCACAAAAGTTTAGGCTTATTCATTTGGGGATTTCAGATCGGAATTTTTGGGTAGGAGAACTGGAGAAGGAAACATATAATAACTGGGAATTGAAAATTCATCACTCAGATTGGCACCAAGAAATATTAATGCTCTATTATTGTTGTTCATACGTTTTGATTTTCTCCATCTTGTTACACTTCCGTTTGCAAATTTAATACTTCCTTTAGTTCATAATAAATGTCATTTTAGTCTTGATTTAGATTTATTATAAGTGCCATTTTAGATTTTTAATGCATAATTTAGAGTAAATTTCCAGTTTTATTTTTATTTATTTAGTGTATTATTATCAAGGATCTAAAAAGCGTTTAGGCGGCAGTCATAGACCGTACCGATTACCTTTTCGGCGCCTAGGCATTTATAGACGGCGTGTTTACCTAAATTTTTTTTTTATAATTTAACAAAATCCATTTTTTGGATATTTTATCTAATATGAATATATTATATTTTTTATAATTTAGTTTTAATACTTCTTTAAACTTTTGAGTGTATTTTGAACTTAATATATTTAAAATTTGTATAATAACATTTATTTCGTAAATTTATAGAAATCGCCTAGGCTCACCGCCTGCTTAGCGCTTTTTTTTTAACACTGATTATTATATAATAAGAAAATTAAATGATGATTGTATTAATAAGAGGTATTTCAAAAATCATAATTTGTGTGTAATAACTTTAAACCACACTTATAATGAAACAGAAGGAGTAGCTAACTTTCATTAAAAAAAAAGAAACCTAAACTTTAACTGTTTAACACCTTTGTCTATGTCACACTAGTATCGCGTGTATGTAGTCTTGTTCTAGTTGTTGTTCGATCATCGTTGTCTACATCTTAGAATTAGAACTCTCACTGCACCATTAAGTTCACTTTGTCAAATCAACAACCTATTACACCTTACTCTTTTTTAAAACGTGTGAAAACTAAAGCAAAGAAATCTTTCTTACCATTCAAATCAAAGTTACAAAAAACAAACACACAACACACTTAAAATAAATTTTACATAAACTTATATAAAGACCAAACTCCAAAACGAATCACATTCAGAAACTTCATTTCAGCAAATAAACTGAGCATTCAGATAACTATCGGTGCAATACAGCCCCGGGCGCTGAGTATATTCACCTTTCTCAAGAAGCATTCTGGACTTGGAAACCAGTTCTTTGTAGCTTATCTTACCTTTTGTCTCAGCGAGTATCTTCTGTATAGAATCAGTAAATGCTCCAAAGGCTTCCTCTTTAGTGTCTCCCATGTCCTTGGACTTTTGATAACTCTGGCATCCACTAAGCAGAACACCATTGTCTACAAGTCCACCATTACTCGCCCCTGCATAAACCTCTTTCTTGTTCTTGACTTGTGTCTGCATGGCGGGTTTCAAATACTCCTCATCTTTCAGCTTGTCCCCTAGAAAATCCGTTGCCACTTTCCCTATATGTCCCAATATCAAACCCTCACCTAGACTCTGTCCCAATGACAAAACCCCACCAACACTCTTCTGCATGTTGCTTAGAATCACTTTCATGAACTTTTTCACTTTTGGGGATGCATCTTCTCCAAATACATCAAAAAGGGTCAGCCTGATGTTTCCCAGCTTGATATCATCTCTTCCTGTTTTCTGCTTCAACATGTTGATTGAAGTCTGAAGTGGTAGAAGTCTGCTTCTGCCACCAGTTTCTTCTTCGATCTTGTTAGTCTTGGCTGATGTTTCTGCTTCTACCATGGTATCACGGGTGGAGCCTTTGGAACTGAAAAGTCCAAATGGGAGTTTGAATTCTTTCTTGGGCTTCTTTTTGAAGCTGTCTCCTATTTGCTCTTTGGATGAGTCAATGAGACCACCACTGTGACAAGAGTCGGAGACGATTGTAATTGAGCAGTCTTTAGGCACCTTACTCACAATTTCCCTGATATCATCATCTGACAACATTTTCAACACCCACACAGAAACGAAATTAGATAAACATGAAATGAAAAACCTTTGATTAGCAAGTCAACACTTTTGGAGTGAGGAAAGATTGAGGTACTGATTAGCGTTTGGACTGTCAGGACTTTTAGAGTTTTAAAGCCCTCAAAGTTATAATTTTACCAATCAGACTTTTAAAACTGTATATTTTTCTAAAGTCTTTAAAGTCTTTTCGACAGTTTTTTTTATTTTTCCTTCTTTATTTCTGAAAGACACCTACGATGCTTTTATTCTCTCTCCTCTTCACTTTTTTTTATTGTTTTCTTTTTTAATTATTGTTATTCTTATTTCACACCCCCAATTAATTGAAACTACTTTTTTAACCATTATGTTAATCTTATAAAAACGAAACTTTTACAAATTAACAATTATTACATTTTTCTCATTCTTTTAAGATCCATTTTTCATATATTTTATATATATATAATTAGTATTAGTTTTCATGAAAAGAATAAAAAATATTAATAAAAAAAATAAAAAACAACAGTCACAAGTCACAGTTCTTCTTACAGTTTTTATTACAAATCAGACTTTTATAAATATTAAAAGTAATAGTCACAATCTTTAAAGTCAAATTCTCTACAGCCAAAAGTGACAACCTAAAGCCTAAAGCCAAAGTCCTAAACAATCAGGCCCTGACTTCTCACAAAAATGTATTTCATTGGTTTTTTAGTTCATTCTTTCATTAAAATATACTTCCTCCGTTTATAAAATCAAGATTTTATAACTTTTTTTTCACAAAGATAAGAAGTTAATAGTTTTCTATGCCGTTTTACTATTTAAAATGATTATAATTTAGTTAGTTGAATCATATTGGTTTTGAGTTGTAAGAAATTACTATTTAGTAACAAAACATGCACTTATAGTCAAGTTTAATTTTGTTTCTAACTATCTGAAATTTCGAAAAAACACTTTTTATTCGAGTTTAGTAGTTACAGTTTTGGTTTTTACTTTTTACAGGTATTAAAGAAAAAAATCATTTTAAACAAATTTAGAGCAGATTTGCATGGTTACGTTTATCTAATATTTTGTCGGAATAAATTGTCACAACAATAATAAAGAAACCGTTTATTTTTCATTTGATTTGGAATGGATCGGTCAATTTCTCGAATTACTAAAATGATTGTATTTTAACGAATTAAAATTTCACCAAAAAGAAGAAGAAAATAACAAAACAATAACAGACAAGAAAATGTTTTGTTTATGTTTATGTTTAATTTAAGTTACTACGTACCAGTGATGTAATTGTTATCGGAGGGAACAATACACTCATCGAACCCAGTATCATCTTTTTCTCCGGTCTCCGCCGGCAACCTTGTCCCGTGTCCACTGTAATGAACAAAGAGGACATCACCGGATTTAGCTGACGTAACAAGACCCAACAAAGCCTGTCGGATGTTCTTGCCGGTTGGTTGGGTTTCGGACAAGTCGGTATCAATCAGCTCAGTGATGTTCTCCTCCGAGAATCCGAACAGTTCGACGAGTGATTTATGCGTCCGCTTGACATCATTGACGCAACCCAATAGCTCTCCCTCGGTTCCTATGTAATTGATTCCTATCAATACTGCCTTCTTCACCATTGATGCTGATGAATAAATTTTTAAACTTGTCTGTGTTCTTTTTTGGTAATTGTTTGATGGTGATAGATCGCTTTGTCCTGATGATGCTTTTATAATCAAGTTTTATTATTAAGTTAATGAATGATGCCTCTTATTCATGTTTTTATATTCTTCCGGACATGTTAAACGTGGAGTAGATAGAAAATAAGCCTGGTTATAATTTAGTATGCGCTGTCTATGCATGATTTTCACTTTATAACAATCATCATGTATGAATACTCTAAAATTTGGAACTAAAGTACTTTATCAATATATATAGTATTAGTACTAAAGTAAATGTTTTTGGGTTGGTAGATAACCAAATCTCTAATATATTAAAAGAGAAAACACTAACTAAATAACCTTTGTCTAATGTGTTATTAACAAGAATGTCATTGCTTAGGTGTCATCACTAGGTTCACTCTTAGAGCAATTTCTAATTAAGACAAGCTTTACTAGACAAATTACAATATATGCCATTGCATATTATGCTTACAACCAAATAATGAAATTAAATTTATCATTCTCTTTCCTTAATTGGCAACTACGAAAATTAGTAAATAAGGAAGATATGAGATTCAATTTAATTCATCATAATAATTTCTTTTAAAATCAGTATACATCTTCTATCATCTTTGTTTAAATTTATTTAATAAAATAATTTGAATCACAATATAAAAAATCTATCAAAAAAAATCTAAAACTTTTTCTGTACATGTTATGATTTGAATTTTTAAAAACAAAATAATATAAATTGTTTCGTATATAACCTCATTTAGTAGGTATCCAAATGTAATTTTTTTTCATTTAATATGGTTTTTTAATTAAAATCTATAATAAATCGAATAAAAAAGTTCTTTTTATAAATATTTTATTTTGATTAAACTTTTGAATATTACTCTATCTGTTTCAACTTTCTATACAAAATTAATTATATTTTTGCTGTTTTGACAATTTGGATTCTGCATATTATTTTCTGATTGGTTGGATTGTTTTGAAATTATAATAAAGCATGTTTTAGTTTTGAAAGAAAGAAAAAAATTAGTTCTAATCCGTGTCCACACAGCTAAAACTTTTTATCTTATGAAATACATGATGTATAATTTTTCTAAAGAATAATGTTTTATTTTCAATTTTTTTCTTTAAACTATCTTATTATATTATAGTTATTTGAGTTTTATGTATCTCGGTTAAATCTATCATATTTAATCTGTGGTTACGATCAATGCTTTAATTTATTTCTTTTTTTTAAATGGATTAAAATGCCTAATTTTCATACTATAAACGAATAACAAAGTTAAAAATCTCTCGCATAAAATGTCGAAATATTTAAATAAACATTTTTAATAAAAATACAAATTCAGAAACTATCACCCCGTGCTGGGCACGGGTCAAACCCTAGTGCATAACTAATTGACAGAACAAAGTGAGAGCGATTACATCAACGGCATATACATTACTTTATTTATAGGAAAGGAGAAAACGGTCAATTAAATACTGAACTTACACGTTTTTGCCAAAAGAAATACGAACTCTTCGTTAAGCCAAAAAAATCACCAAGTTGTGTTGACCTAGCCAATTAGAATACCAAATTAGTCAACTAAATCTGAAGATTAATGAGTATTAAGCGCCGTTTAGTGTTTACGTCAAAACAAAACATCCTCGTTTCTGAAACAAATGGAAACACTAAAAATCCCAATTATCCTTCTCAAATCCCTAATTTCTTGTCAGCAATTCGATTTTTCTGGGTTCTTCTCTTCTCCAGTTCTCTCGTTTACTCTTCTTTTATATTTATCACTTCGCTTCTCCAGATCTTAAATTTCAAAGGTGATGACGAAAAATCAGGTTATTTCTGCTCTATAGTTTATATCGCATTCTGTTTTGCTTCCACTACTAGTTAGAGTCTTGGAATTTTTTTAAAAGACTGAAATAGTTGTTTAAATATTATACATTACTTGGTCTGAAGGAAGGAGGATCACAGAGAAGATCACACGGAGGAGCACAAGTAGGATCACAAGGATAATTCAGCATCCTCTTGAGAAGATACTTAAATGTTTTTTTTTGTCTTATTAAACTTTTAAACTTTGTTGATTTTGGTTTTCTGTAATCGTCTAGAAACAGAAAAGGTTGTTGGTCACATTTTTTCATATAAATGGAGTTTCCTTGTCATAAGAGTTGTTCATGCATTTTTTTTTTTGTTTGTTATCTTGGCAAAATATATAAAAAAAAAAAACAAGATAGCAAAAGATATGAGATACGATTGAAAATGTGTCAATGCAGCCAAAGTTGCATAATGCTTTCAAATCCTTTTCCATGTCTTCTTGAAGAGATGATATTCTTGATGTCCTTGTCAAGAATTCCGAAGAGCGTTGATGGCGGAATGGAACATTTGTTATGTAGAATGTTATTACTCTGTTTCCAAAGGTGAAAAACTGTAGCATGAGCCACTAGTTTTCTTAGGATCGCTGGTGCACGTGTGAACCATACGGCTTTAGCCCAACGCTGCTCCGCTGCATGCCCTCGGCCGTAAAGCATTCCAGGTCTATTTAGAAGAGAAACCACTGCATTTGAAGCCCTCCACAACCCATCAATAGTAATAGTGGTGTGCAGAGCTATTTCTGATCTTGGAGGAGGTAGATTCCACCCTTCATTGTTGCAAACAGAAGCTACAGTTGCGTTGCATTTTCATGCATTCTTTTAAAGCTCTTCAGCGAGTTTGAAGAAGAGAGAGAGGTAACAAAATTAGGGGTTTTGTATTGAGAGAATTAGGGATTTTCTGTTTTTGTGTTTAAAAGAAACTACAACGTATTAGTTAACAGCTACAATTAACGGAGTTTAAAACTAGTTTTGGTTGACTAATTTGGTATTCTAAATGGCTAGGTCAACACAACTTGGTGATTTTTTTGGCTTAATGAAGAGTTTGTATTTCTTTTGGCAAAAACGTGTAAGTTCAGTATTTAATTGACCGTTTTCTCGAAAGAGAAAGTAACCTTTTAAAATTTAAGATGGTGTTTGCTTTATTTCGATGAAGGTTTTAATTTATTAATAACAACTTTGAGCATGTGGAAGAATAATTGATTTATTTTCAATATTCTCATCGAAAAAATCTGAACACTACATTGATTGGGTGTTGTTATTGGACGTTCTGCTGCTTCTTACTTTACATCAAAGTCTCGTGTCTTCTAATTGATTAAATTATAAACTCCACATATATGTGGAGCACAATTTTGTTTTTTAAAATCATCAAAATGATGGTTATAATGTTGGCATCATAACTTATGTATGTTGGTGCATGTCACCAATGATAGTTATGGTGTTGGCAGTGGAACCATAACTTATGTTTGTTGGTGCAAGTCACCATGCATTATCAATTGATGACACGGTTTGCTCGGCTCTTATGCTGTGGCGGGAGCGTAAACTTCGCGGTAGGATGAGTACCTTCCTGAGCCGCTCCTTTCCTCTTATCAAAATCTGGTATGCAACAACATGACTTGATAGACTTCATTGGAAGTTTATGAAAGGCAACAGTTCCAAAAGTTTCAGAAACACAGATATGCCGTATTCCAGAGCATACACAAGGGTTTTTTGAATCACTACCATGAAAGTCACCAGCATAAAACAGACAGAATTAAAAAAAAAAAACCAAAGAACACACTCAAGACTTGAACAAAAATCAACACAAACACTGTGAATCCACCACTATAAATGAGCATTCACTTGGAGGAAAAGCTTTTTTCATATATTATTATTCTCCAAATGATCATATGCAGTAACATCTCTTGTATGTACACAATACAACTACAAGAAGAAGAAGAAAAAAAGAAAAAAGAACAACAATACAAAGGAAAATGCTGCAAAACCAAACCAAATTACACCCACAAAACAAAAAGAGTACAAAGTTACTAACCTCTGCCATATTTTTAACCCGAATCATTACCTATAAAGGGTTTCAATGGCATCCGTGGGATCAATCGCAGCCACATTCTTCATATCATTCCAATCCCAGTTCTGAACTCAGATGGTGTTGTGTGGAAAGTAGCTAACTACAAGCTCCGAATGGTGTCCACACGATCAATCACATCGAGGGCTTTCATGCGATCAATGTCAAAATCGATGATGGGAACAGAGGAAGGTCTTCTGGTTGAGAAAGTATCCTTCTTGCTGCTCTTCATCACCTCGCCCATCATCGGCGAGTGGCTACTGCTCTTGCTCAGCCTGTGATGTTTACAAAGCCGTGTTTTAGCCACCGTTTGAAACTCTTGGCTCTTGCTGATCCCTGGCGTTTTTCTCCTCTTGCTCACGTCTCTAAGCATCTCTTGATCCTCCACTGTCAGCAACGGAGAGCCCATACTCGGGTTGTGTGAGCCGCCGCTGGAGAGTTGGATTGTTTTCTGGTTAGGTGATCTGATTGGAGACTTAACCGGAGATCTCAGGCCACAACCGGTGGTGGCCCTGACTTGTGTAACGAGATGATGAAGCCACACCACCAGGTCTAATATGTAAGCCTCAGTTTTTTCTTTATCTGCATGGTGAAGTGTGTCTATCCTCAGTATTGTCTGACCTGCAGGTCTCTGGTTCGTGTCCGACCTGAAATTAAATTGCATCATTTAAGTAACATTTAGTAAGTTACACAACTGTATGCATATATATACACAGCAGCACAAACAGACAACAGCCTAAGAATCAAGCTTGTCCTCAGGGCTTACCCGGAACTTGCCCATTCTCCAACCCATCCAAACCCGTGATGCGCCCTGGTAGAAAGAAAAGAGAGAAGAATAAGTCTGATTTACTTAGATGATTAAAGTTAAGCTACGGATGAAATGATGACACAATGCCAAGATAATGAGAAAGATAACATCACAAGCTTACTTGGTTGTGTTTGTAGCAACAGGGACGAGCCACTGCAACGTCTTTTCCATCTCGGCTTTTATTTGAGGAACAGTTAGCTTGGTATAACAAAACAAGTAGCGTGGTGAGCAGGCATACAAATAACATTTCAAGTGAGAGTGCATGTTATAATAATACCTCTTCCTTAACTTGGAAGGACTGTATTCTGGAGCGTAAAGCAGATTTTATACTTGGGGGTAAACCTTGGTACAAAGCATCTCTTGTGCTTGTAGGCATAGTGCTAGACCGGGACACCTACTCATAGAAATGAGAAGATAACATATTATACCAAATTCCACGAACCAGCATCGATATGACATCCAATCATATTGTTAATACTTAATAGTAGGTTATTATTGAGATCCGGTAACCAATGGATACGAGGAACATACGATTCATATTGGCAAGCAACCACGGAAAGTTTTTAGAGATGGATGAAAGAATAATAACTTACAAGAGTGTCAATTTGAGTGATAATGTTTGCGTAATGTAAGGCAAGACCAGCAGAGCCCAACTTTTTCTGGTTGATTGGTGGGTCATTTGCAGGCTTATCATGATCTGTATATTATTAAGTAGAATGATGATCATGATTTGAAAGCACAATATACTAAGACGTGTAACCCAATAATCGAGCATCACCTGCACCACCAAAGGCTTCGTGAATCTCCAAATGCAAGAAATGAACAACGTCTACAAGTTTCTCCATCACCTACACATTATTTAATACTCTCAAGAATTAACAAAGGAATCCAGGAGAGTAAAGAAACTTCTACAATAGAGGAAATAATTTGCAGGCCTTACTTCTTCCAAGATCCTAGACCAAAGAGATTTCTTCTTTAAGTTCCTTACATGCTTCTTCTGACTCTTTAACTCAGTTCTCAGGATAGCGAGGGTATCTCCCACACCTTGCATAGAAATAGCACAAACGGAACAGAAGTTAGAACCGTAACCAACACAATAATATCCATTTCCAAATAAATACTAATGGACTTAGTCAATTAGAACATACCTCGTTGAGCTGTACTTGGATTCTCTTCTTCCTGAATCTTACGTTGGTAATCTTGTTCAAACCTATCCAGTGCATGAAGTTCATGATACAAGTCCTAAAACATAGCAGATAAACAGAGTAAACCGTCATCGAGATAGTCAAGCAGGACTGAATAGTAAGTACCAATAATTTGAATGAAAATACTTACAGCTGTAAAATGAACAAATGACATCAGCTGGTGCATTATGGTTTCTGCTTCCTGTTTCAAATGTTTCTGTGGTGTAAACTCAGAGCCCAACCTGAATCATAAACACAGAACTAATGAAAAGTCAGATCATTTCCGAAAAAGAACAGATCCATTCGTGTGACCAAAGTGACAGGATCGCATTGGAACCTGTCAAAGAAGCGATCCAAGTTGTGGTATTGAGGATCTTTGCAACGATTCCCAAACCGCACCACCTCTCCAGAAAAAATCCTCAACTCGTCCCTGCAAAACGATTAATCATTTTCACCATCGCTTATCTCCAAAACTACAATTAGAAAACAGTGTAAAGAGTACACTGTGGAATACTGTTTACCTTTTATCTGCAGCAGCTATTCTCAAAAGCTCATCCATGTCTTTAGATATTAGATTCTGTACACCTTCTGAAGGCAATACCACTTCTTTCAAATGTGCGATACTATCTTTCGAAAGAGAATGCATAAGATTGGCTCCTTTAACAATGGTGTTAGCAACTTCAAAAGACAAGATCGAGATCTTGTTCCCTTTCGTCGTCGTCGCAGAAGAGAATCCCCCATTAAGGTTCAGATTCGTCATGCTACTCCCAAGCGTGTCCAACACATCCACAGCTTTACCAAGTCCCATAGTGCCCGCCCTGCCCAATAAAGAGCTTACTTCTGAAACCTATACACAAGAAAACACTCAAAGTCAAAGTCACCATAAAAGAGACAAACTTTTGACACAAAAATGCAAACTTTTCTTTACCTTAGCCACAGCAGCTTGCCTAGACTTGGTGGATCTTGATTTCTGAGATAAAACCCTCGATAACCGGGGAATCCCATCCTCGATATTCTGAGGATGAGATCCAGCAGAAGCTGTGTGCAGATGAGGAAACGAAAACGACTCTGATGTAGGCTTATTATCATCTACTACACTCTCCTCCCTCACCGGAGAAGGATCAGCAGCGTCTTTGTCACCGGACTGAAGATTCACCTCAGGCTCAGAACCATTACTGAGATGACCATTGACATGTGGGAAGCTTACACCAGGAGCGTTATTTACAGAGGAACTCCTCGAGCAAAGCCCACCCATTTACGGCAAGAAAATTGCTCTGATAACCAAATTTATTATCGAATTAAGATCTCTCGAAGCTCTCCATAACTCTAAAGCGCTCTCTCGATCTCGAGACTTTTATTAGCACAAGAAGGTACAAAAAGCTCTACGAAACTTCAAATTGATGAACAATGTAACCAGCAAAGCTCTGAAATCGCAAATCCTGATCCGTATGAAAGCAGCAGTCCATTAATGGAGCAAATAACCTTGGTACTCATATAAAACCTGCCATGAATCCAAAAACAGATTTTTAACAAAACCCAGTTTCTGAATCAAAGTCAATCCAAGAGAAGAGCAATAACAAAAGCTGAAATCGAGAACCCTAGCAAATCACCTAAGAAATCAGAAGAAGTTATTCAATCAGTACTGCTGTAGCTTTAAGTCGAGAATACAAACGGTAGAAGCAAGAGAAGTTACCTTAGAGACGGAAACTCGGATCTGAGAGTCAGATTAAGGATAAATCAGATTCTTCGCCACCACTTGGGCTTCGTTTCTGCTCCAACCATGAGCAGAGCTCCGAGAAGTGATAAGTTCAGCTGAGGAACCAAGAAGAAACGCGACTCGAGGGAAGAGAGAGAGAGAGAGAGAGAGATTAATCAAAATTTTGGTCTCAGGTTTTGTTGAGAGTTGGAGAGAGAGAGTGTGAGAGATGGGTAAACGAAGTTGCCAAAATCAACCAGAAAGGGCTTTTTCTCGCTTAATTCAAAGTCTTTCCTCAAAACACATTACTTACCTCTTTTTGTTTTTCATGTAGTTTTTTTATTAACAAGTTGCAATCTAAATAATAAATATGAAGGATCAAACTTTGTTTTAGTTTTTTTCAGGTTTGTTTAAAAATATAATTTTAGGATTATATAAACGAAACAACAAGGTACGACTTTTGTTTTTATTTTTCAAATGGTAAAAAAAGTACTATCGAGTATCGAAGGTATTTGACAATATTATTGTAGATTCCAGAAACAAAAAAGTGAAAAATCAGGTAACATGTGTGTGTATGCATCTCTAGCCTTCCTTTATTTAAAAAGAGAGTTTTAGGTTTGTGATCACATGGAAAATGGAAAATGAGAATTTTATGAAATACATCTGTAAATTTTCAAAACTACACCTATAGTGTGGAAATTTTCAAAAATACACTTTTCTCCAATTTTAATATATATGTTTGGGTTCACTAATCCTATATTAGGGTTTAGATTTTGGGGTTTAGGGTTTAGATTTAAGGTTCAATGTTAGATTTTAGGGTTTTGGATTTATATTTTAGGGTTTAGAGTTCTTTTACTAAATGAAAAAAGTGTAGTTTTGAAAATTGACACCATAGAGGTGTAGTTTTGAAATTTCCCCATGGAAAATTGCTAAAACAAGGGGAACAAAATAACAGTTTAATTGGGATTTATCTAAAAATTAAGGGAAAAAATAAGAGATGTATTTTTAGACTCAACTTTTTTAAAAGAGATGGTTATTAGTGTCTCAATTTTATCGTATCAAATGATTCAAATCCGATGGGAAAGATCAAAGATCGAAAGGCTTGCCACTTTGTTGGTTTTCCCACTGCACCGCCAATGCTTCCAATGAATGTTGCACATACCTTTCAATAACCCAAGTATGAGTTTTAAAACTTTTTCACTTCTTCCGAACTATCCACGGAACTAAAAGCATGATGACTACGTGCTAGAACCGTTCCCGTACTATCTCTTAAACCGTTCCCAATCTTTTCCTCTTAGACTATGAGCAGTGCCGGCCCGACCCAATTTTACGCCTAAAGCCAAAAAAAATAAATAGGTCTATTAAAAAATTCGGTTTTAATTAAATGAACAAAATACGTTACACCTCAAACTGCTTATCTTGTCTTACATTTCGGGAGATACAACTACTACACTACTATAAATATTACAGATTTTAGCGCCCCTAAAAGTTGATATTATTTTGGCGCCTAAAGCAGCCGCTTTACGAGCCTTAGGTCCGGGCCGGCCCTGACTATGAATATGAACAGGAACCAGTATTACATTTGATCCAATTATATTCTCTTGAGGAGCTTTCCATGGTGAAGCACAAACATCCTCTGAACGAATTAATCCATTGATTCACATATATATTCGATAATCTTATCAACCATTTTATTCATTTTAAATTGTTTTCGCTCGAATGATCACTTACTCCAAAGTGTTATTTAAGCATCTTTTACGAACAAGTTGCAATAAATTTGCCCCAAGTTGTTAAATAACAAAAGTATTTTCAAGTAATTATTTTGGTTTTATTAATTTTACCGTTTTATTTTTCATAGGTAAATTCAATATAGTCTTGCTAATAACAATTGTAGATCCCTTGAAGAAAGTGGAATCAATCAATCAACATGTGTATGCACAGACCAAACGTAAAGAAAAGTTTCAGCTGAAAAAGGAAAGGAAAGTTGACCATATGGTTTCGGCTGAAAAAGGAAAGTAGACCATATGGTATTTACCAAAAGAAGGACGACAACACGAAATAGGCTTGGATTAACAAAATTTACCAAGTTACCTTTCGTGGCAAAAGATAATATGCCATAACAGCATTATAGTCTGGTCATGGGAAGCTTGAAAATAGTAAGTTGTTTACATAATTAATCTACATAAAGAATTGTTATCGTGTTTCATTCTCTCTCCGTTTCAAATTAGTTGTCGTTTTGACAAAATGTTTTTGCAATTATTATTTGGATGTATTAAACTCTAAACACATTCAAATACATCTAAATAATTGCAGATACATTTTGTCAAAATGACAAATAATTTGAAAAGGAGAAGTATCATTTATTTCATTTTATAAATCGAATGTGGTGGCCATGGTCCATAGCTTATTTATTACATAAAAGCTATGAATGATTTCGAACGTCAAACAGTATATGATCATGACTTTTTGGAATGTAACTTGTATTGCTCATTACTCAAAGAAAACAAAACAAAAATTACACGAGAGATACTCATAAGGAAATCATATGGAGTCGATGAGTCGCTATACTCAAAACGAACATGTGAGAGTGAGACCATCACAAACCTTGTTTTGAATAAATGATCCTAAATACGTATCAATGATAAATCCTGATCAATATATAATATTTAAAGAATATTTTGTCTAGTGGTTGATAAAAAGAAAAAAACTTATCCTATAGTATTAAATTTTATTGCAAGTGATGTTTTGAAGTTAATGGAAGCTACGTACAAGCATCAAACTCGAATTATGGTACGAGTTTAGTAGGATATCAGCAGCTTAAAAATAGAGCATGGTACGAGTTTGATCATATATTACGAATTCTGCTGACTGTATGTGAATATATTATATATCATTGTGTGTAATAAATCTCCTAGAGGCTACAGTACTACCAAAATGAGATGAAAATTCGATGGAGCTAGCTGAAGATGAAGTTTGACCAATGTGAACTTGTTGAATTGGTCCAAAAGAGAGGCCATCCTTCCGACCAACTAACTAATATAGCCTATATATTTGATTCCACATTTTAATTTATAGGATTTTTTTGTAAATATTTATCCGCCCCCACAGACAAATCAATTCAAAAAAAAAGAAAAAGAAAAAAGAGAGTCACCTGACAGTTTATCCAAAAACGCGTTCTATATATTTATTAGATAGATGAATCATGAATGTTTTGTTGAAAATATGTGGGTGACTAATACTTATGAATAAATACATATATAAATTAATATAGTATTATGGGTGTAGGTGTTGGAGTTTGATGATCAAACAAACAAACGCGACAAACCATCTTTGACGAAAAATATGTTCGTGAAGATCAAAATTTACTTACGGCTAATGATGGAGACTAGACTCCCTTCGTTGAATACAATACTGTTTGGTTATTTTAAACTAATCCTCGTTTAAACTGCTAATATAGTCTCAGTTGGATACTTGGATTTGAAAACACTTGATTGATTTCAGGAACATGTGTGTCGTCTTGAAGACTAAATTCAAGAGTCAGTTTGATATCATGAATAAGTGCATCGTCAACAAGAGGTCAAGAGCGCACTAGTTCTAAGAGAAAGTCGTCATATTTAGAGTATTGGATAATATATTGGAGAATCTTGTATTTGTTTTATGCTAATAAGACTAATTTTGCTTTGGAGTCGCACACAATATATTTCAGACATCAGTTAATCTTAATAATAATATATACTAGACTAATGTCCGCGCATACGCGCGAATTTTTCTTTAGTTACAAAGTACTGGAAAACAACTATAAATTTGTGTTTAATATTATAAACTCTTAGCCAAATACCTTGTATGATTAGTGACTGTTTTCAAATGTATTTTCTTTTTTGCATTATATCACACATTTATATGCCATCAATTCTATTTTTTTTATCCAATATCACATTGAACATACTTTATTTTCCCGCTATTGCTATTTGTTGGATCCGTATCTCTGTTTATTCGGAGAATTTAGATGTTTGATAATTATTCAAGATGAAAAAGAAATACAATAGTTTTTTTAACAAATATAATAGTTTTAAAGTAATAAAGTTGTTTTAAATATAATAATTGAAAAGTTTGGCAAACAAATAAGAGTTAAAAGTATTAATTGAAAGGAAAATGAAAAGTCATACCACATGTTAATTATAGGAGTGTCCACATGTCACATAAAGGGAGAAAGTTGGCCTCTTTTCATATATATGATTCTTAGACTCAATGATATATATATTGAAGAAGCTTGTATTTGTTTTATTTTATGCTAATAAGATTTTCGCTATGGAGTCAGCACACAATATATTTCAGACATCAGTTAGTTTTAATAATGATATATATTCTTAGACTATATGATATATCTCCTCCACTCAGTTGGATTCGTAGGACAAACAGTCAACTTCAAGACGAATGTGTCCAGGCATCCCATCCATGGTTCTCCTTACAACCGCTTGGTATTCGACAAGCATACCGCTCGGATCACCATTGCCCTTGAAACTAATGTAGAAGATGGCGTTCTTCGCCTTAAGCGGTGACTCTTGTCCGTTTTCTTTAGTTCGTATAGTTACCTTGTTTATCTGTAGCGGTAGATATGACTTCAATGCTTTCTGAAAAACAATAACTGAAGTTCAATATCCCATCAAATGTTTACAATGAATCCGCTTTAGTTAAAAAAAAAAGCCATACCCCATATGTAATCCACTTCAAGGCAAAGCCAAACTCCGCATACAGGTGAAGCCACTCGTATTCTTGCACTTCTGATTCTTTCAACTGTGATTCCACAAATCAGATCTCATGTATCAAATCCCAAAAAGAAACAAGAAAGAAGAAAATCAACACATGTACCTCATAAAATTGTGCCATGTCTTTTTGGGTCAACCAGCTGGGCATTTTGCCTTTGTAGAACTCATCTACTTCACTCTCTTCAAATCCCCTCTCAAGACCAATAGGACTAGCACGAGGGCCAATAGGAACTGATAACAAGAACATAAAAAAAAATGTTAGATGCATGAGACAGCAATACAGTCTCTTTGATGGAGCAATCTCTGACTCTACGTACCTCTTAATCTGGAAAGCTCAGTCTGCACCAGTAAGGATGCATCTTCACTACTTATATATTTGCAAACACAAGTCTGGAACACGCAAGGAGAGTTGTTGGATGTGTCCATAGCCTCCAGCGTTATGTATTTCACGTAAACCCCAGTCCACTCAGAGTTGTATTTGTTTATACCAATCAATTTGAGGTTGGTTCCCTATAACATGTACATACAAATGTAAATCCAAAGCAAAGCAATCAAATAACAAGTCCGTCAATTCAGGAAAATATTATAAGCCCCTGAGTCATCAAATACCTTCTCAAGATTATAGCAGTGAAGTCCAAGTCTACCATAAAGGCCAACGTCCAACTTATAATCATACTTATCATCAAATACGTACGGACGTATTCCACCATCCGGAAGAGGACATTCATCAACATCGAAACCCTGTCACAGTTCCACGATATATATAACAAAACTGAGCTCAAAGATGATTGAAATGCAAATTGAAAATCTGATCACAGTAATTGAATCTTCTCAGATGAACTAACCTAAGACTAAACTCTATCCACCCAGATCAAAATCAAGACAGGATCGTCGATGATAAAATTGGAAAGTAGAACAATTTTTACGATAAGATGGAGAATATTACGTCGGACTCTCGAACTTGACGCTTGTATCCCTCCTCGGCGGCAGGATCAACGTAATCGTCATCGTACACAGCCTCTGAAGCAACTGCCGATAGACGTTTCAGTTTCCGTATAATCTGCGGCGGACCATCCCCATTCCTTCGAACCACGATCTTAGACACGAACATTTCCCCCCAGTTTCGCTTTAAAACCACAGTCTCTGGAGTCTGGATATTCCTGCAAAAGCAAAATATGTGCCACGAGAGCTAGACGGAAACATTTGTTACTTTTCATATAAATAAAGGAAAAGGAGCGAGCTCTCTTGTGTATGTTTCTATCTGTATGTGTAAAAATTATTAATAATAAAATTTACTTTTTTTTCTAGAACATTTATTTTAATTTTCCAAAGATTATGTTACATCTAAAACATAAAATATTATTAACATATTTGTAATATCTCTTATCCTGAAAATAAAAAGAATAAACTAATTCTGTCACTATACCTATATTTTATATGTATAATTCAACTTTCATTTTCGAAAAATCTGCACCACTTTATATGAAATTATAATCCACTTCTGACTTTTGAAAAAGAAGGTAAAAATCATGTTTTATATGTTTTTAAAATTTTAAACTTCAGAAAAGAATGTTAATAGTAATCAATCATATTATACAGCACAAATTTTAAGATATAACAAAAACTTCCTTTTTTTTGCTAGATAATAATGCTTATATGATTGAGATTCTATTACAATATTCTAACACCCCCTAAATTCTTATAATTTCTTGGCGCCTAAAGCAAGCTTTATGTGTTTTAGGCCAGAGCCCTGAGTGTAAGTGATTGAATTAACTCAGAATATGATTAAAAGTTAAGACAAAATCATTATATTTTAAATTAACGAATATAAATATAATTAAACGGAAAATATATCACAAACAACCCGCGCATGCAGGTGGCTTCAATACCTAGTTTTCTAAACTACAAAAATAATTAACGGCTTAATTTTGAAAATATATACAGTCCTCTATAGACATTTTTTTAGTCCTGTAAGATATAGATTGTCTAGCTAATTTCTTATATTTAATTGAGTTAAGAAATGGACAAATTGTGGAGCTTTTGCATTATTATTTTTTTCTTTCCAAGACAAGTTTCTCATGATAGAAATGCTAATTTGCCACAAATTGTCGAACCAGAGGCCATTTTGCCACACTCCTAATATTAATTTCTTTTTCATTTTATTTTAAATTGAAAAGCTCAGCAAATACAACAAAGTCCTTAACAACTTAAACTATTTACAGACCCAACCAGCTATATCCACCCGATCCGTTATCTATCCATTGAATTTGGGTCAAAATTAATTTAAAAAAAAATTACAATTAAAAAAAAAATCATTATTTTTCTTCTTTCTTCTTCTTCTCGACGAAGAATGCTCTTCTTCTTCCAGATTTGTCTAACAAACCAGAAATCCATGTGTTCAAGGGAATTAGTAAAAGAAGAATCGTTTTTCTCCATTGAGAAATTGTGTTCTTTCTCAGCTCAAAGCCCATCGCTTCCATTACTCTATTTTCTCCATCGCTTCCATTACTCTATTTTCGGATCTGAGTCAATAGTTCCCAATGTGAGAATTTTGATGTTCATTCTTCCATTACTTCATTGCTTTGTCATTGGGGGGCTCAGATATACACATAACATCGAAGGATTTGGCAAATTGGTCTCCAAAATCTGGCTAAGCACTTACGCCACGCCGCCAATCGCGACTGCTCTCACCATTAAAGGAACCTCCGCCGTTCGCGTGCCTATAGACGGTTTATTGTATTTGTTCTCCTCTTGTACAAACTGATATGTTGGTGTTGAAGATACTTCAAGCATCGTCTACTAAATCCATTTCTTCTCTATTCCGCTTCCTCGCCTCCTCGGCTCCGAATGTCAGAGATTCACTCATTGAAATGAAATGTGGCTTTGGTATCCGTAGGGTATTGAATCCGAACACCATGATTCTTTCAGCTATGAGAACTTGCTCAATCTTTGGTTTATGAAATTCAATTTCTTTGCCAAAGAGGTTTAGTAAAATATGTCACTGTCTTTTTCCACCGCTTCTTCTTCACCACTCATCTCTCAAACTCAAACAAGTCCACTCTTTCTTCTTCCTCGTTCATCAGTAGTTGTCTCAAATCTTTTTCTCCCTTTTCATTTGTTTTTGATTCCTCTTGAGTGCTTTTGGATCATTGAACAATTGGAGAATGTATAAGGATTGTCGATTTTAGCATCATAAATCCCATGTGAACAAAAGAACTTATGGATCACTTTTGCTTTTTTACGTGTTCTGTCTGCATATTCTTTTCAGTTTCAGTTTTTCAAGAAAATATTACTAGGTTCAACTACGTATTACTAGGTTCATAACTAGGTTCAACTACGTATTACTAGGTTCAACTATTAACTAAAATTGTTTGAATTTGCAGGATAAAGATGTTGATACACAACCAATACAACAAGAGAAATTGTTTTTTGCTCTTCTTTTTCTGTTATTAAAACAGAACATATAATTCTAATAATGGTTATGTGTAGGTCAAAGCAAAAGAAAGAATTGGTTGTCATCACATATAGAATAGGAGTAATTGATTGTAATGATATGATATGGTACAACTGAGTTTGTTTACGTACAACTAAGAACATTTGGTACAATTTTGCTTTAAAACAAATTAAATTAAAAAAAAAAAAAAAAAACACGTGTTAAAAAAGGATGGCGCCGCCACAAAAAAAAATTTTTGACGTGGCGCCGCCAAAAAAAACGTGGCCCTGCCAAAAACCACATAGTTGTACCCTTGCCAACAGTGGAACCAAAATTGGTAATAGTTGAACATCTGCGATTTTTGTGTATTTGTAGTTGAACCATATCTAGCTTGTAATGATACAGTTGAACAACTGATATTTGATACTCTTTTATCATTCTAAACATGTTTATATCATCATTTAAAAGGAATCTAATATTGTTGTTAATTTGCTTCATATTGTAGACATATTACTTATATGTTCCATATATTGTAAAGGGTACTTATGACTAAACCATTATCTGCTACCATAATTTTATAATTCCAATTTATTGATCTTTTTATTAATTACTAAGACATGAACATGTATTTATCTTACTTAATTGTCTAAATTGCATATCATAAAGATATTTGTTTAGTATTTATTGGTTATAAATATTTAGTTCCGAGTAGTCGAACCAATGTGAACCAGTTGTACAAAGTGAATGAGAAACCAAAATACGTCCACATTCAGATGTCCACGTTCATACATGAAATAAATATCTGGAAACACAAACACATGACCTTCAACATTTGTACGTACTTGAACCTCGTAGAACCTGAACATTTGTACATACTTGAACAGAACCAATCTCTAAAAGTCAAACATAATTTAAACAATATAATTATATTCAATACATAACAAAAGTAAAAATACAAATAAAATATGATAAATACAAACTGACAATAATTTTTAGTTATATTTAATTTAACCTAGTAGTACAAAACCAACAAATACAAATCCATAATTATTTATAGTTAAACCAAATTTAACCTAGTAGTGAAAAATTAAATGCAAATCCAAAAAATACATATACATGACAAGAATCAGAAATTCTTGTATCACGACAAATAACATAAATGTGTTATGAATACTAAATTTACATATTTACAAAAATAAATAAAATGTATTTTTTTGTTTGAGAGTAATTCGCCAATAACATCAAGTAATTTATCTTTTCCATAGATTATGTTTGGTAAATGTGATATTCTCTTCAATCCATTGATACTCATATAGTTTTTGATTAGTATCCTCCATAACCAAAATATATGTTTGTGGAACGGTTGTTGTTCATTACCTCCTGAAAAATAGAATAAAAATATTCAGTTAACAATCAATTCATATTGCACAATTATACCATTTGCATTAGTTGTCTATTATTTCTCAATTGTACCCATTTGTACCAGTTGTACACTATTTGTCAGTTGTACCCATTTGTACCAGTTGTACATGCAGCTATGGCAATTTCTGGTTCAATCTACCTGAGAATCACTATGATTTAACAACTAAAATCGACAAATTATTGCATCAAAACCTTAATATATCCAGAAAATATGGTTATCAACCCACTAAAACAACCAATTTTAATATCCAAACTCTAAATTGTGAATCCCAAAATAAATTTATAGATTAAGGAAGAAGAAAAGCTTACCTCTTGAAGCTTTAACAATGGTGAAAGAGAGAAAAAATCAATTGCAGAAGGAAGAGAATGAGGTAGAATGGAGGTGATCAGGTAATGGCGGATCTATGCCGGGCCGCCGGCAATGAGCTTCACCGAAACAAATGTCGACGGGAGAAGAAAGTGAATCAGTTTTTTTTTTTTTTTAATTTTATCCGAATTTTTTTTATTATTAAAATGATTTGGTTTTCTTTTATTTTATTAAAGTGATTTTTTTTATTTTCTAAAATTATTTTTTTAATCAGATTTCATTAAGGAGTAAATTGGAATTTCACATAGATTTTAATTTAAATCTATACTATATAAAAGTTGAGGCTATAAGCCTCTGAGAGCGTCCACATAGGATTAAAAGACGCGATTTTATTGGTCCACATAAGCATCTCCAAAATTAAGTAATTTTCCAATTTTATACAACCAATAGTTTCATTCCACATCATCATATAAATTTTAATTATAGTATTTGTAAAATTAATTGATTTCCTTTTTATATTTTCAGAAAATTTCCTAATTTAAGGGCATTATTTATTTTCGTATTAACTAATTTATTAAATAAGGAAATTATATTTTCAAATACCAATGAAAAGAAACTAATATATAAACAATTTTTAAATTTGTAATATTTTTTTAATAACTCTAATATATAACTGATTTTAAATTAAGAAACCTCACAGTTCCAAAATAATTAAACAAAGTGCTTCGATTTTTGTTAAAACTTAAATTCGATTTAGTAATATATTTGAAAGATTTATACAAAAATATTTTAAGAGAATATAAAAGTTGAGGCTATAAGCCTCTAAAAGTGTCCACATAAGATTTAAAGACGCGATTTAATTGGTCCACATTAACATCTCCAAAATTAAGTAATTTTTCCAATTTTAAACAATCAATAGTTTCATTCCACATCATCATATAAATTTAATTACAGTCTTTGTAAAATTAATTGATTTCCTTTTTATATTTTCAGATAATTTCCGAATTTAAGGGAATTATTTATTTTCGTATTAAATAATTTATTAAATAAAGAAATTATATTTTCTAAACCAATAAAAAGAAACTAATATATAAACGATTTTGTAAATTTGTAATATTAATTTTTTAGTAACTCTAATATATAACCGATTTTAAATTATTAAACTTCAAATTCCAAAATAATTAAATAAAGTGCTTCAATTTTTGTTAAAATAGTAACTATATTTGAAAGATTTATACAAAAATATTTTAAGGGAACTACTATATTAATTATGAAAAATTATATGGTGAGTTTTCTTTTTTAGCTAACTTAAAAAAAAAAAAACAAAAAGAGAAAGTTACACCCTAATAAGTAATAACTGAAAGATTTGTTCAAAGTAAATATAGCCAACTTTGCAAGTGAGTGGATATTAACATTACATAATCTAGATATGAAATAATAAAAAAAGATAAAAAATAATAATAATAAAGACGGCTAATGTCATGAAGAAGACATTTAAATTCATGTGTAGTTCCTTTGAGATGATAAGAGAGATCAAGTTTTGCGAGATCCAACTTACATTGGGAAAAGAAAAATATGCATATAGCCCACTAAATTACACTTTATTTATCACAAGAATTTCAACAATATTGGTCAAACAAGTAAAGACTAGACTTGCATTGCAAAGGAGAGTTCTTGGGAGATTTGATAATCCATCTCATACTACATTTGTCCAAGGAAACATTCCAAGTTGCATTATCACAACAAGATTTTCCATTTCAGATTATAATGCATGCCAAATAGAGAGGGTAAAGAGAGTCTGCTTTCTTAGCTGAACTTCGGGCATCACTCATTCATGGGCAATTGGGCATTATTCACAACTTTAAAGAGGATTTTATCTTTATGTAAATCACAATATTCAAATAGGAAAAGTTTATGGGCCTTCTACAAATGCAAAAAAATCCAAAGGTAGAGAGGAGTAGATAATAAAACTATTGGAGACAGAGTAGTCATCTTTTTTGCACCTTGAAGAAGTTTCAATGAAAGGTGTTCGCTTGCCGCAACTTCGTTGAAAAAAAGACTGAATCACAAATTCATATTATAAAATACCATATGAAGAAGATATGGAATAAGAACAATAAGAAGATAAAAATGAAGAACATCGAAGACGAAGATACCAAAATAGAAAGACAAAAAAAAAAACCAAAGAAGAATAAAGTAGAAGATGGAAACACCGAATCTGAAACCACGTAGATGAAATTGATATATAAGGAATCAAATAAGAACAGAGGAGAATAAACCAAACAAGAACGAAAAAGAAGAAGCAAGACGAGCAAATACGAAGAAGATCAAAGTAGATGATGAGTGTAGATGAGTGAATATAAGTGAAGATGAAGAAAAAACGAAGTAATTAGTATACTTACACTTCTACGGAGAAGATTTGATAATCCATCTCATACCACATTTGTCTAAAGAAGAAGCAAGACGAGCAAATACGAAGAAGATCAAAGTAGATGATGAGTGTGGATGAGTGAATATAAGTGAAGAGGAAGAAAAAACGAAGTAATTAGTATACTTGCACTTCTACGGAGCAGATGAGAGTTCAAGGGAGATTTGATAATCCATATCATACCACATTTTTCTAAGAAAATATTCCAAGTTGCATTACAAAAACAATATTTTGTGTTCCATATTCTAATGCATGCCAAACAGAGGATAAAAAGAGGCTGCTTTCTTAGCTGAACTTCGGGCATTCATTCATGGACATCTTTCACAGCCTTAAGGAAGATTTTATTTTACTGTAACTCACAATATTCAAATAGGAAGAGAGTACCAGCCTTCTACGGATGCCAAAAAATCCAAGGGTGGAAAGGAGTAGACAATAAAACTATTGGAGACAAAGTAATCATCTTTGTTGCACCTTGAAGGATTTACAGTGAAGAGTTCTCATTTGCCACAAGTTTGTTGAAGAAAATGGCTGAATCATATACTCAGACTGAAAAATGACATATGAAGAGGATATGAAAGAAGAACATTAAGAAGATAAAATTAAAAATTATCGAAGACGAAGATACCAAAGTAGAAAGAAAAAAAAAGACCCAAAGAATAACAAAGTTGAAGACGGAAACACCGAATAAGAAACCACGAAGATGAAATTGAAAATTAAGAATTAATCAAAGAAGAAAGGAGGAGAAGAAACCAAAAGAGGAAGCAAGACGAGCGAAGACGAAGAAGAGCAAAGAAGATGAGTGAAGATGACCAAAAAAACGAATAAGAATAAATAAAAAGAAAAAGAAGCTACCAATTTAGAACAAAGACGACAAGCCAAATTATAAGGTTTTTTTTTTCACAAGTTTCTAATACGGTTCACTTAAAAACAATGTTGGTTCAGGCTGATCATGTTGTCATAATATTGAAAAAGAAAAGTTTGGGATCTATTCTTATGTCGAATTTTATGAAGCAATTGACAAAACATATAAATATTAAGAAATGTGAGGATAGGGCTATTGTATGTTTTTTACAGAAAATACGTTTTTAAAAAGTACCTTACTTATTATGATTAATTATAAAATAATTAAATTGGTAAAGTAAAAAAATAATTAAAAAGTATATTACAAAGATAAGTTTATAAAAAAACAGCAAAAAATAAAAAATTGTGAAGCTTTGGAAGAAAATAAATTTAAATATAACAATTTAAAAAATCATTAGAACAGACCGCGCGTGCGCGGGTTAAAAACCTAGTTAAAAAGAAAAATGGTATTAGATCATGTTGTGGCACACTAGATTAAATTTTCCTAATCAGTGGCAAATTGGCCTCCGCTCGTTTCTCATGCTCCCACCGTCCCAGGAGACGACGACGTACACGCAACAATATCGAAAGAAATTGAGATCTTAAATTTGTTTCAACTTTCAGTCCCAGGATATTATAATTATATAATATACCAATGTTAAACACTGTCTGCAATTTTACTTGAACATTTTTTGTTTTTGAGCAAAAAACATGAAGATTTCTAATGTGTAAAATGTCATAGTAAACTTTAATTTAGATCTTCTTAGAATAATTCCGATCACAATCTCTATATACGCATATCATTTTGATTACTAATGATCCCAGAAACAATTACAACGTATTAAATAAGTAATCACAATACAACACCTTGAGATCCAAGCAACGAACCTTCACTAATCCTTGTGGAAGCCGGTCCAGACGACGTGATCCCCATCGTCTGAAACGACCGCGTAGCAGACGAAGAAGACGATCGAGTCGGACCCGAACCACCCAACATCGACCCATGGCTCGTGCCCACACTGTTCCCCGAAAACGAAGCTTCGCTTAACGTCTTTGGACGTGGCGGCTTGTTCATCGCCGTGATTCCTTCCAACATCTGAACCACTTTCCCCATCGTCGGCCTCTGCAACGGCTGCTCTTGTATGCACCAGAAGCTCGTCTGAACCATCCTCCTCACTTGCTCCATATCAACCGTTTGATCCGCGGCTAAACGTCTGTCCAAAACCGCCTCCGTGTTCCCCTTTTCGAACTCATCGTAAGCCCAAATCGAGAACTTCTTGTGGTTTGTTTTCTCCGAGACGTCAAAGTTCCTTCTCCCGCTGACTATCTCCAGCAGAACCATCCCGTAGCTATAAACATCCGATTTCGAGGTCACAGCAAGATTCGCGAGCCACTCTGGTGCTAAATACCCTCTTGTTCCTCTCACGCTGCTCATGTTCTTGTTGTACCTGTTGTCTTTCGGGTTCAAGAGCTTGGCGAGTCCAAAATCCGAGACTTTGGCAGTGTGATTGTCATCAACGAGAATATTCTCCGGTTTAATATCGCAATGAACAATACAGTCGCGACACTCTTCGTGTAGGTAAGTGATTCCTTTCGCCGTGCCAAGCGCAATGTTAAACCGATACTCCCAAGTCAACAACTTCCCTGAATCAGTGTTAAACAAGAAGCTATCAAGAGATCCGTTTCTCATGAACTCGTAAACAAGAAGCCTGTGTCTTCCTTCAGAGCAAAAACCAATCAGCCTCACTAGATTCAGATGGTGCGTGCTGCTAATGGTTGCAACCTCCATCCTAAACTGCTTCTCTCCTTGCTCTATTCCTTCAAGCTGCTTCACCGCAACAACGGTTCGATTCGCGAGCACGCCTCTGTACACAACACCAAAACCTCCACCTCCAAGCTTCTCTTTGAAAGTTTTGGTACACCGTTGCAGCTCCTTGTACGAGAACTGCACCGGCGCACCAGAGGCGTACTCGAGGAGAGTGTAGTGTGGCGATAAAGCTCCAAACGATGAATCTTTCCTGCAGCAGCACCACCATAGACACACCTCCACAACAACCAAACCAACAAGTCCAACAACCACAGCGACTGCAACAATCCACAACTCCACTCTCGAGCTGTTACCATCTCCTCCTCTCCGTGGAACCAAAGGCCGGTTAAGCAGCACCGGACCACACACTTTGATATAAGAAGTGCTCGGAACCGACGAGTTCTGATAACCGGTAAAGAAAGAGCCAGGCTGCTTCTGCCAACAGTTCCCTGAACCATCAGACGTCGAGACTGAAGCTACGCAAGAGCCATTAGCAAGACAATTCGACCTACAAGACGAGCCACCAGCGAAGGAAACCGAGTCATCGTCTACGTTTGTAATCAACCTCGTGTGATCAAGAGTCATCATTGTTGCACTAACAGAGCAATCACTAAGCTCAATTTTTCTCTTGCAGCCTTTTCTTCTATCACTCACATCAATAACATCAAAGTTACGAGACGGGCACGAGCAAATCGGATTCGTATCATTGTAGCTACAAATCCCAAAGCTACCACAATATCCATAAACGAGGCATTGGTTAGCGAGAGCTGACCAATGAGACGTCACAAGGCCGTTGTTTCTGATCCCAGAGCTGTAGATTCTCAAATTCCCATCATCGTCTAGCTTCAGGAACCTAAACGTGTTGTTGTTACCTTCGCCGTAATCGTCGCTGTAAATGGTTTCAGCTCCGCCGCCGCCACGGAGAGTGGAATCGAAGATTGAAACAGCTCCGTTAGTCTGTAGCCCTAAGCTCGGTGACGATAGATTCGAGGAATTAAGCTCTTGATTCCAGTAGATTGTGCTATTGTTCCATCGAAGCGTGAGATTTCCGGATTTCTCTAACTGAAACGAGTAAGGACCAGATCGGAGAAGTTGACCGGCGGTGAGATTCTGCGATTGGACGATTGTGTCCGTCGGGTGGTCGAAGGAAGACCAGACTGTGATGTTACGGCTGTTGAGGAGTATAAAGTTGCCGGAATCTTCAATCGAGGCGGAGACGACGCCGAGAGTGTCGGTTCCGGAATCCCAGACGGTGGTGTTGGAGCCATTGGTGAGGCGGAGGGAGCCGGATGGGAAAAGGCGGAGGGATCCTCGAGAGTCCACGGTTCCTGCTGACCAAATGGGAACGTTTCCGGCGAAGGAAATGGCGGCGAGGAAGGAGTTAGGAGAAGACGATGGAAGAAAGGAGACTGAGAAATTGTCATTGGGAGAGGACCAAGACTGGTTCTGGTTGGAGCCGAATGCGTAAAGAACAGAGCCGATAGGTATTATAGAAGCTGAAAAAGGGAAGTGGAGGAGGAGAAGAAGAAGAGGAAGAGGAAGAAGTTTCGGATATGGCGTCTCCGCCATTGTTGTGAATGTGAACAGAGCCGAGAGGTATGGTAGAAGTCTAAGCTAAATTATTAACAAACGCGCACTCTTTTTTTGTTTTTCTTATTAATTGATTAATTTCTCTCAGATATTTTAATTTTCTAAAGTTGATATTTAAAATGAGCGTTATTACAAATTTATTCTTTAATTTACAAATATATACATGTATTTATTTTAAGATTTTTATAATAAATCACGAAACTGTTAAACAAATTTTGGTCATTCGAAGTAAATAAAATAATATTAAAAATCCTATAACAAATCTATAAATAAAATAAGATTGATTTTTTTTTTCTTATTTTATAATCTGAAAAATGAATTAAACCTTTTAATTTTTATTGTTATCTGAAATAGAAAGACTTACATATATTTTAATTTTATTGACAAATTAATTAATTTGTGAAACTTTTATAATTCTATTCAAGCGATTTCATCTATTTAACTTTTTAAAAATATATTTTTACCTAATTAACAAAAATTAGAATATCGGTCCATCATCAAAAAATATTTTAATATTAGTTAGTTTGTACTTGATAATTATGTTGTTAGTTTTCTATTTATATATTTTTTTTGTTCATTTTTTATTTTGCCTCAGATAATCATAAATTTTTCTTTTCATTATTAGTTAGTTGTTTTACAATTATAATATTAGTTTTTTTATTTCCGTTGATAATTATTTTGTAAGTTTTCTATCTATATTATTTCTTTTTCAAATTTTGTTTTCCCTCATACCATTAAAAAAAATCATTATTAATAGTTGTTTTACAATTAATTTGTTAATTTTGATGTATGTTATTACATTTTTCCAATTTTTTTGTGTTAACACATGTCATATCTAATGTCGACAAAAAAAAAGAAAAAAAAAAGCACATGTCATGATCAAATATTAAACACACATAGCAACAATAATTTTGATCCTGATCTTGAGTTATATATTTGCATTGGTATCTTGAACTTTCAAATATATTGTTTTTTATTTTTTAATCCTACCTTTGTTTTATATAGTTTTAAGATTTTACGAAAGTGACGAAAGCAAGACAATAAATTATTTGTTGATTAAAGAATACAATAACATGAATATGATAGATGCATCTTTGTAGATTTAAAATCGTCTACTATGCATTGTTCAAGCGTCTAGGTGGATGGGGTAGTGGTAGTAATTGTGGTGGACGTTTACATCTTGTCCCCGTTTCACATCCCCGACTGTATGGACTCGCCTGTTGTGGGGGTCGAGGCAAGCCAGTACCGCCACGCGCTAATGCTGGATATCCAATTACTGTTCGGGCTGTCACGTTTATGTTACTGATAAACACACATGCTATAATTATTGCCACCAGCATACAGTTGCTTGCTCTTCTTAAGCTGCTCATGATGAATTCTGTGTTTTGTTTGTGTGAGAAAATGTGTGTTTGTGTACGCAGTTGGTATAAAGGGGATGTATATATATAGCGAGTAAAATCATATGAAAGATAATTCATGCATAAGCATACTTGTCATACAATTTCATGTACGGAATTGATCGGTAATGGTCAGAATTTAGGGGGAACTTTAGTTTGTTTCAAGCTGTAAATGAATTGGGTCATGAACCTACTAGCTGGTCGTGTTTTCTTTTTTTTTGTAACATACAATATATAAAGGGAAAACAACAGCTGCCAAAAAAGAGAGATCAGAACAGGATGTGGATTTCCATTTTTGTATTTCCATTTTTGTGGTAATAATATCTTTCATTTCTATATATATAGTTTTTCTTTTGTAATAAAAAAGATGTGTGATTCGTCAAGGATGAGGTGTTGAATCCAGGTTGTAGAAATCCACGCACCCATACCGTTCACCATATATATGTTCAAAAAAATTCAGAAATACTATAAAAGTGAAAAACATAATACTATTTGCTAAATTTGCCGGGTTTCTAAAACACACTTGCCGTCGAATGAAAATTGAATCTACCTACCAAAAGTGTGGTAGAAATTGTGTTAGACTTGAAATCCACGTGTGGACGTCAAAATGTTACTTGCTTCTTTTTTTTTTTTTTTTGTAATTTTCGTATATGCAGATTTATTTTAAGATTTTTGAAATCATTAAAAAAGTTTTCTTTTTATTAAAAACCCGATAAAAATTTATAATTTTTATTATATTAACATTTTGTGAATCCATGAAATGGAATTTTTTTTTCTTTTTTATCTAATATAGAAAGATTTATATGTGTCTAAATCTGATCAACTAATTAATTCGTACAAAATTTCTTATTCAATTTAAGAAATTTTAAACTAAATTCCCATCTCAATGTAAGTGTATATGCTGACTGGTTTGAGAAGATACATAAACAGGATGTGCTACAGCTTAAGGCAGTACTTGTTGCAAGTGCTGATGCAGTATTGATCGAGTTCTAGAACATGCATAACAATCAAGATGCAGTTGACTGAAGCACTTAGCGTATCCGTCACGAAGTAGTACAGAGAGTCGTGTTCAGCAAAAGGGCTTAAGGAATCGATCTGATGGGCTGGACATTTGCTTGTAGCTGATGAGGACGAGTCTAGAAGATTCTAGAAGAGTCAAGAGCTGAGTTGGACGAAGATATTAGCAGCTATCAAGCAAGTAGGAATATTTCCTTTTCCTAGAGAAAAATAAGGAAAGAAATATTCTCTTGGAGATTTGGAGTGGTCACCAAGGGAGAAACCTTGTAGGGTTTCAAGGCGTGCCTATTGTGGATAAATAGGGCGTGGAGAGCATTGGATGTGTTAACCCATACACAACGAAAAGATGCCTTAGCGAAAGGCTTTGGGGTCCTATGAAGATCGCAGCCGTTGAGAGGTTCTAAGATCGTGGATAGATCAGAACAAGACGGTGTTGCTCCGGTGCTGCCGGATGATAGTCAATCATGCGGGGTTGATATCTATCTTCATAGCTTATCCATCTAGAAAAGAATGGTAGGCATTGTAGTGTTGGATACCATATACAATTGTAATTGTAATCTTGTTCTAGTGGATTTGATCTGGACTAGGTCCCGGGGATGTAGGAAACGAACCTCGATAAAAAACTCTATGTGTTCTTTACCTTTATGCTAGCACATACTCATTACACACTTGAACATATAGAGATAGGCACAAATACGAACTTTCACTCAAGAGTCGAGTTGACGGTTCATGCTGACCAAATGGGAAAGTTTCCAGCAAGGGAAACAGCGGCAAGGAAGGAATTAGGGGCAGACAATGGAAGAAAGGAGAAGGAAAAATTGTCACTGGGAGAAGACCAAGGCTGGTTCTCGTTGGAGCCGGATGCGTAAAGGACAGTATTGTAGAAGCTAAAAGAGGGAAGTGGAGGAGGAGAAGAACAAGAGCAAGAGGAAGAAGTTTTGGATATGGTGTCTCCACCATTGTTGTAAATGTGAACATATATGGTAGAAGTAAGAAGTCTAAATTAAATTATTAACAAAGACTGAAACGCGTATTTTGTCTTTAATTACTAATCTGTATATATACGAATTTATTTTAAGATTTTGAAATCATTATTAAAATTAAGTTGAATAATATTTAAAATCCGATAAAAATATCTAAAAAAATAAGATTGGTAACCTTTTTGAATTTTTATTATATTGACATTTTTTTGAATTCATGAAATGAATAATTAATTAATTTGTTTTCTTTTTATTTCTATCTAAAATAGAAAGACTTACATGTGTGTCTAATTCTGATAGACTTATTAGTTTGTGAAAAAAAATATTATTCAATTCAAAAGATTTTAAATTGATAAAATCTTTTTCTAATCTTGTTTTACCTAAAAACCTGTAAATTAAACTATTTAAAATTAGAATATTGCTCTATTATAAAATTTTCTTTTTAAAATTAATCAATTGTTTGATAATTAATTTATTAGTTTTCTGTTTATATTGTTTCTTTCTCAGTTTTTTTTTTTTGCCTCAAACCATTTTTTTTTTATTCTTTGTCTATTGTTATCAATTATTTTGTTAGTTTTTTTCTATTTCTATTATTACATTTTTCAAGTTTTATTGTATTAACACATATCATCACTTGATCAAATATTAGACACATGTAGCAACAATAATTTACATTTCAATCCACGTGATTTAGAGTTAAATATTCTTCACTGATATTTTTAATTTTCAATAACTAAAAGGTTAAACAAAATAGAAAAACATACAATTAAAATATGAATGTAGTAACTTATTATATATTGGGTTTTTTTCCTCATCGTAACGGGAATAAGTTTTTTCCATTTTCTTAATGAATGTAACAACTTTTTATAATTATTTGTTTCACATGTTTTTCTGATTTTCGTTTTGTTGTTCTTTTCCGTACTGGGGATATGTTTTTGTCCTTTTCTTAATGGTTATAAAAATTGCTTTAATTATTTGTTTATTTTTCTGATTTTTTTTCCTTTTTATAATGGGAATATGTTTTTTTTTTCCTTTTTTTCTTAGTGGGTATAACAATTTTTTTCTAATTATTTATTTGATGTTTTCTGATTTTTTTTTTCGTAATGAGGATTTTTTTTCCTTTTTCGATCTTGTTTTTCTGATTTTTTATGGTCTTTTATAAATATTTTTTTTTTCTTTTTCCATGACACATGTCACGTTTTTAATACTTTCAAAATTAAAAAAAAAACACATGTCGCTGGATCCAGCGAGTTATAAAAGTTATACATGTTGCAACCAACATCGCGCACATCCAGTTTTATATAATACAATTTAATTGATTAATTTCTCTCGGATATTGTAATTTTATATAGTTGGTATTTATTGAAAAAAATACTCTTTGTAAAAAATGAGTGATACATTTCATATTGAGATAAACCTCGTTATACATTTTCAAAATTTTATGGAGATTGGGTGACAAAAGCAAAACCACAAAGATTTTATTCATATTGATTAAAGAATACAGTAACATGAATATGATCGATACATCTTTGTAGATTTACAGTCGTCTACTATGCATTGTTCAAGCGTCAAGGTGGATAGGGTAGTGGTAAGGATTGTGGTGGACCACGTTTACATCTGGTCACCGTTGAACATCCCCGACTGTATGGACTCGCCTGTTGTGGGGGATGACACAAAGGACGTGGACCATAACATCTACGAGCAATACCGCCACGTCTTAATGCTGGATATCCAATTACTGTTCCGGCTGTCACGTTTATGTTACTGATAAACACACATACTATAATTATTGCCACGAGCATACAGTTGCTTGCTCTTCTTAAGCTGCTCATGATGAATCCTATGTTTTGTTTGTGTGAGAAAATGTGTGTTTGTGTACGCAGTTGGTATAAAGGGGATATATATAGATATAGTGACTAGAATCATATGAAAGATAATTCATGCATAGCATACTTGTTATACAATTTCATGTAAGGAATTGATCGTTAAAAGATGGTAAAGGTAGTTGGTATAAAGGAGTGTTTTCTTCTTTGTAACATACAATATAAAAAGGGAATACAACAGATGCCAACAGAAAAAGAGATGAGAACAGGATGTGGAATTCCATTTTCGTGGTAATAATGTCCTTCACTTCTATATATATAGTTTAGGTGTTATCTATTATTGATGTCTGGAAATGAAAAACATAATACTATTTGCTTATAGTTATCTGAAAAATTAGTTATTAATTTTTCTAAAACACACTTGCCGTCGAATGAAAATTGAATCTACCTACCAAAAGTGTTGTAGAAATAGTGACTTGGGACTTGGTATCCACGGTGTGGACGTCAAAATGTTACTTGCTTCTTCTTCTTCTTTTTTTTTTCTTTTTTTTTGTATTTTTGGAGTCAAATTATGTAACTCATGTATAATTTTCTCTTACAGAAAAAAATCAAGTACAAGAAGGGGTCTACATGTATTTATTCCAAAAATAAACAAACGATCTTTTCTATCTCGTTGACTTGGCCTCAAGATTTCCTTTTCATCTTGCTTAATACTTTCCTTATAATTTAACAGAAAGATCTATTTTTAGTGTGTGTTTCGTATATATATTGCAAAGAAAAAGTATATAGCTCTACGAGATAAAGAAAAGCAAGAATTTTCTGCAGTTAACAACTTCCACGTAACTTTTGGAATTATGAAACCTGCTACTTTATTTATAGTTGTATGTGTCTCCGTGTTCTTCGTTTTGAACTATGTTAAAGGTAATCTATTATTCTTCTTTTGATTTGAATATTATTTATGAAAAAAATTGATTATTCTTTTATGAAAACAACGGCCTGTGTGTTGAAAAGTAATCTATTAAAAATGAAAATATAACGTTACAAAATTGGTTCTATCAACTGTTCAGCTAAGAATTTTATCTACCATTTATTTGTTTTTTTTTTGTGATTGTTTGAAAACCGTACTAGAGGTGAATGCACAGCTTCCTCCGCCTCAGTGCAGACATTATAGTTATGGTGCTGGAAAATGTGGCCCTAATGGAAGTAAGATGTGTCTAAACAAAATGAAGTCACCAGAGTTTCCAAAATTTGTTCGTTGTGACTGTACTAATTTCGTGGACTACCTAAAGAGAGATCGCCATGATTGCTACTGTTATATTCGTTTTCCTTGCAGTATGTAAGCTCATATACCAAAAGTATACTCTCTCTGCAAAATTATAATGTTTTCACAACATATAATGTTTTAGAGATTGTTTTTATTACTCCCTCTCTTCTCTAATAAGAGTCTTTTAAACTTGTGCACACAATAAGTGTTTTTTAATCTTGTGCACGCAGATTAAGATATTATTGAATTTTTAGTTTTAAAAAAAAAAAAAAAAACATGTTTTGTCATCAAATTCAATACTACAATTCAACTAATAAAAAACCAATCTGCAAAATTTAAACAGTCAAAATAAGAAAAATATATTAACTTTTGCATTGATTTGTGAGAAAACTGAAAACCACTTATTTTTTTAATTAAAAAAATTATCTAAAATGACACTTATTAGAGAACAAAGATAATATTATTTTAAGTGATGTTTTCAAACTTTTATGAAAAATTAATTGTGTTTTTGATAGTTTAAATTATGCCGATATTTTTTATTGATTGAACTGTTTTAAAATTGATGATAAAACATATTTTAATTTGAAAAAATGACTTATTAATCTATGAGCAGAAACCTTAAACAATGTTTATTGCAGTTACTACTACTTTAAAAAACATGGAAATGGTTGTTTTCATGCGTATATGAGTGACTTTATATATGTCAGTCAGTTTTGTTTTTACCAAACTAAATTAACATTCTCTATTCTTGTAAAAATAAGAATACTTGTTAGTTTATACTAGGATAAAGCCCGCGCTATGAGTATGTGGTATTATTACTTTTTCTCGTATAATTTGTTTTTCCATATTCATAAAGCTTGTTTAAAACTTGGAAAATGTAGAATAATATAAGTCAGACAATTCTCAAAGGTTAGACCTTTTAAGTTTAAACCCTACTTCATTTAATTTTTTATATTGGCCTTTTAAAAAGCAACAACGCAGCTTTATATTTACCCTTTTATGTGTATCTCACAACGAAAGACTTACAGAAAGTAAAGTTACGACTGTTGGATTTTTGGTAATTGCAGAGTGTGTTTTAAAGCTTCTATGATTTCATATACTGAACCAAATAAAAAAATGTATATATAAAAATCAGTTTCTTTCTGGTATTTACTCTACAAATACATTTACATAACAACTTTGCATTCTTGATAAAGAGCAACAAAGAACTTTGAATTCAAGGTCATATCATGTTCGCTTTCATAACTATAAGCTTCTCGAATGGATCATGTTCCTTCTGGGTTTCCAACTCGATGAAATCTCAATGTTGAGCTACATTTCTTAACCAACAATAAGCTTCTGAATCAACTCTTTTTTTTTAACACTTTTATCATTCCAAAATGAGACGCAAACAGAGTTTCAGGTCGCCAATACCAATAGGTACCAATACCATAAAGAGCAGACCAAACAAAGACAAAAGCAGAAACCCATAACAGGAAAAGATATTCAAGCGTACAGCACAGAAAGTTAGTACGCAAAGAGACAGGATATGGCCAACTTGTCATTGAAAATCCATCTCAGCTTCTGCAAACAGGATCGCGTGAAGCCAAGAAGGTCCAGATTGGTATCGCTGGTCTCTGGTGACACCTACAGCAATGGCATTTGCCGCATGATTACTCTCAGGCCGAACATAGTCCAGACTCCAAGAACTAATGCCAGCCAGCAACTCCATTATCTTGGCAATCAAGTGACGACAAAACATAAAGCTATGGGGATGTAGAAGAACCTCTTTCGCCGATATAAAGTATAAAGGAAGACTCAAAGATGATATCCGACATATTCATGTTTCTCAGAGATTCAGCTGCCGAGAGGATCGCCATTAGCTCCGCCTTGGTCTGGGAAGGGACAAAGGTATAAGATCTGCGGCTATGAATCAGAGCCGTACCATTAAAATCTCGCAGAATCCAGGAGACTCCACAGTGTCTATTCGGGCCAACCCATGACAACACTCCGATATTACACTTGCTCATGTTTAGCGGAGGCTTCTTCCAAGTTGTAGCTGGAACAGTAGGAGGGTTCCAATGGGCATATAAGTTTTGATCCTGGGAGTTAACTCTTAGCCACACATCTGTTTCATCCAGTGCTTTGGTGCATATCGAATCTGCTCAAAAACCAGACGGTTCCTTGCTTTCCAAATATGCCACAGGATCGAGGGGAAAGCGTTTCTTGTCTGTAGCGGTATGACCCTATTTTTGGACCAGGATATCAGGTAATGGAGGTTTAAAAACACCGAGTTAGGGGAGAAGCCAGCTGGTTGAGGAGGAAATTGTGAGAGTTCCCATACTCGTTTTGCCGTCCTGCATTCGAAGAAAACATGGCATATTGTTTCCAAGGCGGAAACACAGGTGGCATTAACAGGGATCCTGTAGCCTTTCTTTGACCGCCAAAGCTCCAGCAAGAGCTTTCCATAGGAAGTGCTTGAGTTTGGGGGGAGCGTTGATTCTCCACAAGTTACTCCATAGCTTCTTCTCAACCGGCGGTAAGGTGTGCGTGTGCTCCTCCTGCATCTCCTTTAAAGATTCCAATAGTTGGTATCCACTTTTAGAAGTGTAGATACCTTCTTTGGTAAGGCTCCATATCAACTTGTCTCGTTGGCCCTGAACTGGTTTAATCTGAAGAATACGTCTAGCATCAGCTTCTGTGAAGTTTTGGCGCACTAAGTTCTTCCAGCGGCCTGTATGCTCGTCCAATTGATCAGACACACCAGACACACGTAATGTGAGGTCAACAATGCTATTCTGATTATAGGTGTTCTTGAGCAGCCGTCAAGGATCCAGTTCTCAAGCCACACCTTGGTATCCTTACCATCACCAATGAATTTAACCAATCCCTGAAGGAGCACTTCCCTGCCAAACATGATACTCCGCCAACTCCATATTACATTTACAAAATAGACCTTTAAAAATAGCCTAACAAAGAGTTGATTCATAAGACAAGTTCATCAATCTTCTTGGTTAATCTACTTTTAGGAAACCGATGAACACAAACATTTGAAGAGATGAATAGAGCGTTACTTCTTGCTTCTCGATAAAGGCCCTGCTCGAGTTTCTTAATCCTTTACTGAAAATGTCAAACATGTGATGTGACGGTGAATATCAGGAAAAAGTTAACAATGATAATGGTTAAAAGCCTACTATTCTAATCATATATCATTTACCTTCGTTGCTTAAGCTTTCCGTGTGACAACAGGAGCATCTTTTGGAGTGGGAATGGGACCAAACGCAGAGAATGTCTCATGGAGTGCTTTGTGATCGATTGCTCTGCCAAGATTCTGCAACACGGATAAACAAATTTCCAGCAATGAATGTATAGAAGCTCAAATATGGACAATGAGAATAATAGATTTCAAAATCTGTACCTTGATAAAGATATTACCAACTCCGCTTGGATCACGAACATAGTACATAACTCTTATAGCTCTTCCATTGAGAGCCATGAAATTCAGCTCATTTAAGGCCCTGGAAGCTGTTACCAACTAAGAATGTTATTAAGAAGCATGAACAATACCACAATCTTGAGTTATGTTTTGTTTAATAAATCGTAAGACTTAAGTCATATAATGATATAGACACAGAAGGCACAATGTAGCTCTCCTCACACAACACTAAAACCCAACAATGTTATCAAATGTAATTACTCTGCAAATTAGCCTTAAAAGCTTACACATTTCAATAGAGATTTCCCAAATTCAGATTAGCATTCCAATAAGGATCTCACAAACATGATTTAGAAAATTCATTAAAACAAAGAGACACAATTTAACGCAAAATCCCCAATTCAATTAAGAAGCTAAAACGATTAAATCCCCAAATTATAAGCAAATGTAGAGAATGTTACCATCTTGAGTGGCGTAGTTAACGTAGCCGTAGCCATAGCCAAGAGATCTCTGAGTGGTCATATCCCTACAAACACGAACGGAAACCACCTGACCCGCTTGGCTAAACGCCTCAAACATCTGCGAACCCGTCACGGTCACGTCCAGATCGCCGACGTACAGAGACGTCGTCCCTGGCTGCACCGTTCCAGCCGCAACCGCCGCAGCAGCACCGGAAACCGCCATTCCACCGCATTGGGACCCTGGTGCTGAGTCTGATGCTGAAACCGCCACTCCACCGTTTGCATTGGGACCGATTGCTATAATGTATAGTTTGAACGAATTCACCAAGGTTTCATCGGCGGCTCGAGTCTGGAGGTGTTGGTCATCGCCGGTAAGTAACCATTGAAGGATGCTGATGCTAAGTCCGCAGTTCGAAATCTGGTGTTTGTGCGTCTTTTCACCACATATGAGAGCCAAACGATGTTAACTTGACTACATTTTCATTAGTATCGTCTAATTTGTCTTTTCAACTTGACTACATTCTCAAGCGTATGAAACAAAAGAAAAATAAAATAAAATAAAAATTAGGCAGAAATTAAAAGAAGGCTAAATTATTTGGGAGAGCCACGTGGCAGACGTGTTAATCGTTTCCCTCCCTATTCATGCTCGACTAGGCTAATACCCACGCATACGCGCGGGTTTTTGTTTAATACAATATATTTTTTTATGTCTGATAAGATACTTTTATCAGATAATAATGAATAATTGTAACCTTGAAAAATTTTAAATCTCTGAAATTATTATTGATTTGAAATTATAAGAAATTGTTACATACAAAATGATAAGTTTTAATATGTGTGAAAACTTCAGAACATTTTTTAATGTAATATGTGAAAACAAGTTTTGAGCTGCCTTGGAGTTTTCCCACCACCATGAGCTGCCTACATCATATTTCATATCATCAAAATGTTTGAGAGCTAAGTTTACGACAGCTGTTTTTGTTTGGAACTAACCACATGAGATCATTCGAATAGTGCCAAGCTAAAATTTGACAGAGAAAACAAATTAGTTCCTTGAAATGCCTAGACTCTACTCTTCATTGCATTGGTATTCAGGTATGTAGATGCTATAAATTCCCAAGCATCATCAAAGGAAGCAATTGCTTATAAGAAATTATACACCTGAGGGTGCAGATTGAAGAAGGCTTGCGAAGCATAAAAAGCCTTATAGAGTGGATGGTGCGGACTGGAAAAAAAATAATAGACTAAGAACTTAAAATAAGTTATTTCCAAGGTACAACGCTTGTATAAGAAAACAACTCTTAAGAGATGTTTACAATCCTCGAAAAAGAAAACAAATTAATTACAGTTTCATTTGCTTGGCTATGGAGGAACTGATCGTTTTAGTTAAGAAGAGGATAAGAGCAAAAATAATTATTGTAATAAATAATTATTGCAAAGAAGAAGATGAGAGCCATTTTCTCCTCTCGTTAGTCCATTTTTGCAGCTTCTTGAGATCCTCAGACTTATGGTAGACATTATAGAGTATCAACTAAATTTCATAAGAATATATAATATCAATGTAATCAACAAAGGTTGTAAACATAGATAAATCTTCATCTATTCCATTAAATTCACACATACAACACTATCAATTGAGCTGAATGCAGTAAACAATAACTTGCTTAGTTCAAAGAACATCGAAGTACAAACAGATGTGCTAAACGGAATCATGCTTGGTTCAAACAATATCGAAGTACAAACAGATGTGCGTGAGTTGATTTGAATAACAGGTGGGGAAAGGAGAGAAGTAGAGGTGAAGAGAAAAATATGAAAGGTCAATAAACTTCAATGGGAATTCTAGATCCTTAAACTATTAAAAGTCTTAATTAAGTTTTGTGGAGTTAGAAGAAGGAGAAGAGAAGCCGTAAAGCTCTACAGATTACTCAAGACATGAAAGGGAAATCGGAAGGTCAAGATGTAAGACGATGTTTGTTATTTTATTTTCTAAAATTAAATGAATGCCATGTGTCACATTTTGAAGTGTCCATGTGTCACAAATATGGAGAGGGTCGGCCCCTAATTCATATATATGATTAATGTGAAGCTGTAATATTAGACGATACTAATCAAAACTTAAATAGAAAAAAACTAAAAAGAGTATGAATTAAGTAGATTTTTGTTTTTTTAAACAAGAAAAGAAGAGAAATGAAATTGACTTTTTAAAGACATTGCATGCATGCAAACAAAGACTTGTGGAAATATGCGCACGATCTTTAACAAAAAGAAAAAGAAATATATATGCGTAAGATAAAAAGTTTTTCCAAATCTTCCTATAAGAAATTGATTGCGTCTTCGTATCTTTATTGAGCACAATCTAATTAGCGGAGAATGTTGCACAATTCAACTGCATGTTGATGTTTTGAAAACACTTTTTTCTGCGCCTGATTACTGTCAGCCTCGTCCTGAGATCATGGATTCAAACATATTAGCAAAAATTATATGCAAAGCAGATCAACTACATTATTTAACAAGTACAGTTTAGTTTGGTCTTTTACTTAGGGTTTGCATATTACCCGTAAACGGCTTCCCTTTAGTATTCCTGTAAACTGTTTCGACGTGGGCCAGAAGCTCCTGAACTTGCTTGTCCTTCTCGACTTTATCCTTAGTCTTGTTATCAAACATAATCTTTCTGCCGTCACACATTCTGAGAACTGCCTGAGGTTGCACAATCTAATTAATATATATATATATATATATATATATATATATATTTATATAAAAGAGGAAACCTTCAAAATGTTTGAACAATATATAATCCAAAGAAGCCAAACCTTCAAAAATTCAGGGCAACCTTCAGACAGGTATTCTTCCAATGTAGAATTATCCTCTTTCAGCTCATCACCGCCAGTGAATACAACGATCATGTAATCAAACATTTTACTTCCGAAAATGACCTGTAATGCATTAATTGTGGATTCATCTTCCTGTGAAATTCGAGTTCTTGCAGATAGAACAAACAGCACAGCATGCAATCCTTCTTCCGCCATATCTAAGCATTTGGTGATTTCCCTGCTGAGGAAATCGGCAGACACTGCAAAGTCGAACAAACCTGTATCACGAACCATAGCAAAATCATACTTTGATCAAGGTCAATTTCGAATTTTCTTAATTGCTATATACAAAATCCAATTTCTAGATAACTAAGCGTGGATCTTAATGAAGAGTCGGATCATAATTATAGGAATGATATAAGTTTATATATATGCATATATCAAGCCGATCCTAGAACAATCAAGTTAATATATATGTATAAGAAAAATCATGAGAACAAGTTCAAAAGAATCACATACGTACCAGGAGTATCAATGACATTGATTATTGAGCCATCTTGTATGGCAGCTGTACGCATCTCACATCTCAAGGTAACACCAGCCGCTTGTCTTTTCGCCAAAAACATTTTTTCTCCAAGGAGGGAGTTCCCGGTGGAGCTTTTACCGTTTCCAGTACGTCCTACCAAAACTATGTTTCTGTCCGGCTCTGATGCTGGACGCAAACCCAAAGCAGTCGTATTCATATCGCTCGCCATCTGTAAAAATCCATGAAATCATTGACAAAAAAAAAAAAAAAAAAAAAAAAAACTAAACAACTAAAAGGCATAAACGCCTCAATTCAGGCGATAGTTATTTCATACCACAAGCTGTTGTCATGCTTTTTAAAAATCGGTAAAAACAGTTTTTGGCTTTGCGTGAATTACACGTATCTAAGAGCAACATAGTTTAAAATAAGATGCTTATGATATGGAACAGAAAATTCATGAGACGAAATATCAACTCACAGTTTTGTCTTTAATCTCTTTCAGTACTTGACGATCAGAGCAGAAACGGACAGCAAACTCAGAGTGAATGTCAAGTCAATATATGATAGAGTTGAAGCTTGGGCGATGGCTTGCCCAATAATGTGTGCAACCAATAACGCACATTGTTATATCAACTAGCTTTATTTTCTTATATAAATAGTGTAAATTGCTCTTTTTATATATGAAGTTTGAAACGGTAAACGAACCAGAAAGGTTAAGACGACTCTTTTAGACGGCTTATGGTTTTGGGGATTGACTTTGGTTGGCTATTTCCCAACCAAAGATTTTCCGAGGCTCAAGGAGGGCTAACGTTTCTCGGTTTGAGAAATTTTATGAAATACACCTCTTCAGCTGCAAATTTTCAAAACTACACCTATAGTGTGGAAATTTTCAAAAATACACTTTTTACTAATTTTAATATATATGTTTGGGTTCACTAATCCTAGATTAGGGTTTAGATTTTGGGGTTTAGGGTTTAAATTTAAGGGTTCAATGTTAGATTTTAGGGTTTTGGATTTATATTTTAGGGTTTAGAGTTCTTTTACTCAATGAAAAAAATATAGTTTTGAAAATGGACACCATAGAGGTGTATTTTTGAAAATTGGCATCTCAAGAGTTGTAGTTTTGAAGCTAGATGCATCCTTATCAAATATCTAATTAGTAGTAATTATATCAATACTCCCCTCAAATTGGAAGTATATGATTGCCAACATTCAGTAGAAACTCTATAAATTAATAGAGTTGGGGATTAATATTTTATTAATTTATATATAGAGATATTGAATTATCGATTTTTGGAATAAAACAACTTTTTATTAATAATTAATTAAACTACAAATTAAATTAATAAATTTTAAAAAGTTTATTATATTTTGTATAGTTTTATTTTAAAATTATGGATGAATTCTAAATATATTTGAACATATTTGAGTTCCAATAAAAAAATAAGGTAAAATTATATTTCTATTTTAGTATATTATCATAGATATGAATTTACTTAAGATTATTTGTGATAATTATTAGTTTATGATATTAATGAGACCATATATTTACATATGAATTTCAAAAATATTATCAATTTATTATCTTATCGGATTTTACTAATTTTTATACTAATCTGACATGAGACCGGAAAAAATATATTTTATAGAGTTTATTAACTTATAGAGTTTAACATATTATTAAGATGAAGTGTTGGAAATGCTTTTGTTAGTATGTCCTTGACATGCTCTTTTGGTATCATAGTTTGGAACGATGGATATGCGGAGCCATCCAACTATCATCGAATTAGTAGCTAGCCAACGAGATAAATGAGTTTGAAATATTGTTTAACAATAGAAATTTTCATAAATACATCTTTTGGGTTATAAATTTTCAAAACTACACTTTTATGGTGTTAATTTTCAAAATTACATTTTTTCTAAAATTTAGCATCTAAGTTTGGGTTCACTAATAACTAACCAGGGTTTAGAGTTTAGATTTTGGGTTTAGAGTTATTTTACTCAATGAAAAAAAAATGTAGTTTTGAAAATAGATACCATAGTGGTGTAGTTTTGAAAAAGGGTTTTGTGCAAAAAGACCCTCCAACTAATTTTATTTTTGCAAATCAAACCATCAGTTAAAAACTGTGCAAAATAAACACTGAAATCAAAAGAACCCGCAATATAGAACCTCCGTATATTTATCACAAAATTAAAAATGATTTTTTGCAAAGAAACCCACCAACTAAATTCTTTTTTGCAAATTTAACCCACAACTTAAAAAATATGCAAGCCAAAGCTGGAATGTCGAAAGTCACCGTTAAAACCATGTGCATTTCGGGTTTTGGGACGGAGATTGACGGAAACAAAACATTCGGGAATCAAATTATACTACCCAAAATATTCCCTTACACTAACGAGATGGAAAATGACGGAAACAGAAAGTTTAGGACATAGATCTATGCATTCCGGAAAGAGAATCTCGTTCCCTCTAAGACAGGCCTATGCATTTCAGAAAGGGAATCTCGTTCCCTCCAAGACTAATATGGAAAAATACCGAAAATTTTGGGAAAATGCAAGAAATATTCAGATTTTTTCAAAAAATATTAATAATATTTGAATATTTGTTGCATTTCCCCAAAATTTCCCGTATTTTTCCATATTTTCTCGAAATCTTTTCAATTTTCTCGATTTTAGTAAGCCTTACAATTTTCTCGATTTTAGTAAGACTTACAATTTTCTCGATTTTAGTAAGGTTTACAATTTTTAGTTCCAAACTTCCCGTTCCCGTCATTTCTCGTACAAAAGATTCAAAAATCCTTTTGAAATTGTACACCCTTTTGGAAATAGATGTCCTAGAGGTGTAGTTTTGAAAATGTACATCCAAGAAGATGTTGTTTTGAAATTTCTTCGTTTAACAATTGATCTGTTGATGAAACCAAAAAAATATCGCTTGCAAAGAGCTGGAGAGCTTGGTTCCCCATTCCGAGTAGTTGTCATCGTGAAGTAAAGCGGGGGTGATAAAAACACTGGGATTATTGGATGGAGGTACGGCGATGCACCATTGATGTAGTTGAAGCCTTGAAGGAGAAGTGATAGTAATAGAAAAATAAATAGTAGTAGTAGAAAATAAGTTTGTATAGAACTTGTAATAGTAAGTTACTCGACCACCACCACTTTGTTTAATTAATTAAAAAAATTGCTGTTAATAAATCCATGTAGAGTTTCATAATACTTACTTACAAAGGGTTGACAAAAGAAGGAAGCCCACAAAAGAATAAAGAAAGAAAAAAACTCAAATGGAGGTTGTAGTCTCTTGATTTTTATACTCGTACTACATATACAACTAGCATAATATTCCATATTTTTTGGATCTTGCTCGTTGGCGTTCCCATGATGTTAATAAGGATCGACGACTTGACTTCTTCACGATATTACCAACAAATTCCAGGCTGGTGAATCTTTTGTTTTTTAGGTTATTTTATTTACGTTTTGGATAATCTTATAGTAGTGCAAAGTTGACAAAGTATTTCTTTTCCTTTTCACATCTTCGTTCTTAATTGGCAAATCGCATGCAAGTAAGCTTCCTTGGTTGCATTGTGAAAATCTCTCTCTCTCAAACGCACCATATGGGTAATTTTATCGCTTTGAATATATCATGCGATCAAGTGCTGAACGGTTTCAGTAGCTGCTTTTGCGGCAAAGTCAATTATATTCGTAACCTCAAGAAGAACCTTGGAGATCTGAAGACGGCCATGGAACTACTCAGTGCTAAGCGAAAAGATGTGTTGCGAAGGGTAGAACGGGAAGAAAGAAACGGTCAAAGAAGGCTCAACGTAGTTCAGGTATGGCTTAACAGTGTCCTTGATATCGAAATCAAGTTCGATGAATTGCATGCTGCCTGTCCTCTTGAGCTTCAAAGGTTGTGTCTCTGTGGTGTTTGCTACAAAAATTTAAGACCGAGGTATAGGCATGGAAAAAAAGTTTTCTTGATGTTGGAAAAGATTAACATCTACTACTCTCAAGTTTTTGAAGTGGTGACTGAAAAAGATATAGATGTGGTAGATGTGGTAGAGGAAAGGAATTTAAAGCCAGATATTATTGGTCAGGAAACAATGCTCGAAAAGGCTTGGAACCACCTCATGGATGAGAAAACCAAGACTATGGGTCTATACGGTATGGGAGGAGTAGGAAAAACAACTCTTCTTCAACAGATGAACAATAAGTTTCGTGGCGAGAATGTTGAGTTTGACATTGTGATTTGGATCACGGTGCCTAAGGACGATAAACGTGTGGAGAAGATTCAAAATGAGATTGCCGGGAGACTAAGACTAACTGGAGGGGATTGGGATCGGAAATCCAAAAGCCAGAAAGAAAGTAGTATACACAAGTCAATGAAACCCATGAGATTTGTGTTGTTAATGGATGACTTATGGAGCAAAGTGGATCTAACGGAGATTGGAGTCCCTTCTCCAACAAGGGAAAACAAATGCAAGATAGTATTCACCACTCGTTCTAAGGAAGTGTGTGGGCGCATGGGGGTAGATGATCCAGTCGAAGTCAAATGTTTGGGATCAGATGATGCTTGGGATCTGTTTCAAAATAAAGTCGGAAAAACCACATTAGAATCACATCCAGGAATTCCCGAGCTCGCACGCAAAGTTGCTGAGAAATGTCGTGGCCTACCACTTGCTTTGAATGTTATTGGGGAGACTATGGCATCCAAGAGGACATTACAAGGATGGCATGATGCAGTGGAAGGCTTGACCTCATTCGATATTCTTTCGATTTTGAAGTATAGCTACGATAGTTTGAAGGACGAGCATGTCAAGTCGTGTTTCTTGTATTGTGCTTTATTTCCGGAAGGTTTTCAGATAAATAAAGGCAAGCTAATCGACTACTGGATATGCGAGGGCTTTACGCTGAAAAAGGAACATGGAGAAAGGGCAATAAACCAAGGTTATGAGTTAGTTGATACCCTTGTACGTGGATGCTTGTTGATGGAGGACGTGAAGGACAAAACATATGTGAGTATGCATGATGTAGTTCGTGAAATGGCGCTATGGATAGCATCTGATCTTGGAGTTCATGAAAAACGATGTATTGTGCAAGCCGGAGTTGGATTATCTGAAGTGCCAAGAAACGAAGACTGGAGAGCTGTGAGAAGAATGTCATTGTTTCAAAACAAAATCGTGGAGATATCTAGCTGCCCAATTTGTCCTGAACTTACAACTCTCTTCCTCCAAGAAAACAAACTGGAAAATATCTCTGGAAAGTTCTTTACGTCCATGCCTAAGCTTGTCGTGTTGGATCTTTCATGGAACCGCGCACTCGATAGATTGCCAGAGGAGATATCAAGGTTAGTATCCTTGCGCTATCTTGACTTGTCGCGGACAGAGATAGCGCAGCTGCCTATTGGCTTACAAAAGCTGAAAAAGCTAGCACATCTGAATCTAGAGTTTATGATGAGGCTTGAGAGTATCTCTGGGATATCACATTTGTCGAGCTTGAGGACGTTGAAGCTTAAAGACTCAAAGATGTCCTTGGATACGAGCACAATGCAAGATCTGAAGCTCTTAGAATATCTAGAAGTATTAACGCTTGACATCACGTCAAGTTTGGTTATGGAGCAGTTGTTACAAGATTCAAGGTTGGTGAGATGTATTAAGGATATCTCTATGGCAAAGCTTCCAGAAGAATCGTTTAAGATGTTGACTTTACCAAGTATGGTTAGTCTCCGTAACCTCATCATACAAAGTTGTGGGATGTTGGAGATCAAGATAGAAGAGATGATCATAAATACATGCTTCTTCCCAAACCTCTCCAAAGTGTATATACAACAGTGTAATGGTCTTAAAGATTTGACGTGGCTTTTGTTTGCTTCAAACCTTACTCATCTTGAAGTTGGTTTCTCAAGGGAACTAGAGGATATAATAAGCAAAGAAAAAGCCACGAGTGTTACAGGTACGATCGCTCCTTTTCAGAAACTAGAACATATCAAGTTGCTTGATCTACCTATGCTGAAAAACATCTTCAAGAGTCCTCTGCCTTTTCCGAAACTGAAGTATGTCTATGTGAGGAATTCTCCGAAACTGAAAAAGCTTCCGCTGGATTCCAATAGTGTCGATTCGGTTAAAGCACTTGTCATATACTACTGCGAACAAGAATGGAGTGATGGGATTGAATGGGAAGACGAAGCAACTCGATGTCGTTTTGATCCTTCTTTCAAGCCGTGGTATATAACAAGATGAAGCCAAAGTTGGTCTTCTATATCTTCCAAAACGTCTTGTCCTATTGCTCTCGTCTCGTCTTCATCGGCCTCCTCTTTGTTTTACCACCACTCTATCTTTCCTTTATTGAGTGATTAGGTAATTCTTTGCTTTCGAGGAATTGGCCTCACTAACAAAGCAACTCTTCCTAAAATGGGAACCAAAACACCACTTGGTAAAGTGATATATTTGTTTCACGCTGAATTTTTTTTTGAGTTTTTTTTCCCTGAAATTTGTGTGACGAAAAAACTATATTTGGTTCGTTTACGAAGTAAATGGACGAGTTATTTGGAATTTTGAATGATTTTTAATTAGCTCTCTTTTTTTGAATTGAATGTAAAATTTAGTCAAGATCAAAAGTCACTTTTGTACATCAAGTGCAGCTAGAGTTTGAATCGACGATAGAACCATGTAATAGAGATGTTTTGATTAAACCCTTGGGCCAAACCAAGTTTGGAGAGCTTCTTCATACTTTGTGTCACTCATTGCTCTCATAGATTGAACGCGGTTCCTGACGTGTTTATGGATAAAGGTTAGAAGACAAGTCGAGGAGGTAGGTGGATCGCCATGACGACGAGCATTCCTCTCCCTCCAACGGCTGTGTAAAGTGACTTGAAACACATACCTAGTGAGGAGGAGGGGAATCCGGGCTAGTGTTGTGGTCGAAATGATGGAGATGATTTTTGTCCAGTTTGTTGTGTACTGATTTACGAGAAGGCCTTTGCTAAGTGCACTCCATATTTCTGCCGAAACCTACAGGAGAAGAAATGATGATCTCTGGTCTCCATGGGTTGATGACAGAACACACACTTAGTAATAGCTCTCCACTGTTCCAAGCACTCATACCGTCTCCCGTCGATAAGCTGTTGTGGATCGCTAACCACGCCATTAATATAGAATTTTTGAGTCTTTGTTTGGTTTTAAAAAATTACGAAGATGCAAGACGTAAAATAAGGTAAAAATATAGAACCATGGGATCAACTTAGGGTTTGAATGGTATAAATCTCCAAGAACCATCTTTAAAAGAAATCATTTTATACTATTAAGTTTTTCAACGATAAAATGCAAATACAAGAAAAGATTAATTTTCTGAAACCATCTAAGAAAGAAATCACTTTATACTACTTAAGTGGAACTATTTTCTAAAGCTGAACGGTACGTAACCAATTTCCATGCTGAAAGTGAATGGTAACTTCAGTCCGTACTGTATAAGTACTATTTAAACGGCAGGTAGTTCTCGAAACCGTTGCCTAAAACGGCAGGCTTTTTGTTTTCTTTTCCTTTTAGTACCTCTGATCCATCCAGAAGGTTTTAACTTACAAAAACCAATCATCTTCCCCTGAAGAAAAAGAGTGAAGCGAAAGCTCAGAGATCTTAAGCAATCGATGGTTCCTAAGATCACATCCATGGCGGTTACTAGACCTCTCTTCTCCGTATCTTGCTCATTCCTCTCCTTCTCTCTACTCTTCGTCGTCTCGCTTCTCTTCTTCTTCTCCAATTCCTTCATATCCGACCCAAATCCGAGAATTTCACACGATACTTTCCAAAACGGCATCAATGTCTACGTCGCCGAGCTTCCAAGATCCCTGAATTACGGTCTTCTCGAGAAATACTGGTCCTCCTCTTCTCCAGATTCTCGTATACCCAGCGACCCGGATCACCCGACCCGACGAACCAATTCACCCAAACCCGGTAAGTACCCACCGTACTCGGAGAATCCGCTGATTAAGCAATACAGCGCCGAGTACTGGATCATGGGAGACCTCGAGACTCCACCGGAGAAACGAATCGGATCTTTCGCTAAAAGAGTTTTCACTGAATCAGACGCCGATGTAGTCTTCGTACCGTTCTTCGCCACTCTAAGCGCGGAGATGGAGCTTGGAAACGGCAAAGGCTCCTTTCGGAAGAAATCTGGAAACGAAGATTATCAGAGGCAGAGACAAGTTCTCGATTTCGTCAAGAACACTAGAGCTTGGAACCGATCCAGAGGCCGTGATCACGTTTTCGTTCTCACCGGTAATCAAAATTTCCCCTCTTTCTCTTTGGAAATTTCACGTCTTTTGTAGCTTGTTTTGGATCTTGTGCATAGCTATAGATTTGTCTCTAGTAAAAGAAGGATTCTTTGGATTTTTGTCAGGTTAGTAAAATGTTGAAGCGTTCTTTGGCAGACCCAGTTGCAATGTGGCACGTTCGTGAGGAGATTGCTTTGTCGATTCTCTTAGTGGTGGATTTCGGAGGATGGTTCAGGCTAGATTCCAAATCATCCAATGGAACTAGCAGCTTCCCTCCCGAGAGGATAGAGCATACTCAAGTCTCTGTCATCAAGGATGTGATTGTTCCATACACTCATCTTCTTCCTCGACTTGATCTGTCTCAGAACAAGAAACGTCACAACCTTCTTTATTTCAAAGGCGCCAAGCACAGACATCGGGTAACAATCATTTACATTGGTTTATGCAGAGGCTCTTTGTGTAGTGTGTAAGTTTTATGATCTTGTGTGTTGACAGGGAGGATTGATTAGAGAGAAGCTATGGGACTTGCTGGTGGATGAAGACGGAGTTGTGATGGAAGAAGGTTTCCCAAACGCGACGGGAAGAGAACAGTCGATAAGAGGAATGAGGAGCTCAGAGTTCTGCTTGCATCCAGCTGGTGACACTCCAACTTCATGCCGTCTCTTTGACGCCATACAAAGCCTATGCATCCCTGTGATTGTCAGCGACATTATAGAGCTTCCCTTTGAGGGGATCATCGATTACTCGGAGTTCTCGGTGTTCGTCTCTGTCAGCGACGCGTTGACGCCTAAATGGTTGGCGAATCACCTCAGGAGGTTCTCTGAGAGAGAGAAGGAAACGTTGAGAAGTAGAATGGCTAAGGTTCAGACGGTTTTCGTGTTTGATAATGGTCGAGGAGCCGGTGGGATTGGACCGGTAGAGCCTGATGGTGCGGTGAATCACATATGGAGGAAGGTTATGCAGAAAGTGCCAATGGTGAAGGAAGCAGTGGTTAGAGAGATGAGAAAACCAGCTGGTGCTTCTGTTCCTCTTCGATGTCAATGTATCTGAATCATGGAGCTTTCTTTTGTTTTTGTTTTCATTATGGCCTTTCCACTATAAAATACATGTTTCAAGCAAAACAAATGTAACAATAATCATTCTTTTTTTTTCTTTCTTATACAAAAGCAATACTGTTACAAGTACCAACTGACACTTTTTGTTATTTTGGTACAGACTTGTTTGAATCTGCCTTTCAGTGAAATATAAAACGACAAAGAGACAATCCAAACACTAGGATCCACCCCAGGAACTTGCTAAAAACTGCACATGAACAGGGTGAAATAAAAACTGGAGCTTGTCTCTATATACAAGTGAAGTTTTAATCAAATGAAAGAATAAGATTTAGAAACCTTTGCTTTTTATATATATGATGATAACAATCAATAATTTCTTCTGTTTCCAAGCTAAAACCTTTTTCCTTTTTATCCTCCAAGAAGTCATCAGTCTCCTTGGTTGTTGCACCATTGGTCAGGTACGCACAAGAAATGTGTCTTCATGAATTTCCTGAACCTCGTCTTGTAATCAATGGGACTGATCACTGTCGGCTGTACATTCTTCGGAACCACCAAAGACGCTTTCACCCACGTCTCTAATTGCTTGTCCCATGTGTATTGTCTCAAGTAGTCGATGATCCCACAAACCAGCTCATGCTTCTCATCATCTACTCCAACCAGCAACGAGTAGTCCATCACGTTTATGCTCTGCAATCACGATAAGCGGATTGTGTAAGCTGAAGTATGTGTGTCATGAAATACAGAGAGAGATGAAGAAAACTCACGGTGAGGAAGCTGGTGTCGTTATAAACCGCTCTTTGGAGATTCTGTTTCGATGTTTTGCTGACGTAAAGCGGGGATTGGTTCATGTCGTTGACAAAGTTCTGATCCAACAGAACATCTTCCGCGCCATTAGCGATAAACCGAGCATGTAGAGCGCCTTTGAGATCATACTGGCGAGTCACTTTTCTTCCGAAACTGAGATTCTCCATCACCATCAGGTCGTGCCGTATCTCTTTCCCGCTCTTTGGCTGCCTTACGGTTACCTGTAAAGATCCTATCCGTTATATAACGAACCATACGAAATGATAACGATTGAATGCTCAAATGATGATTGTAGAGACATTAACCTGATAGATCCCAAGGACTTTGGAGAGACAAGTTTGGTTGCCTTCATACGACTCCTTCATGTATTTGAAATACTCTGGAGCAAACTTGACGAACGACTCGTACTCCGTCTTCTTGATCTCTTTCACGATGAACCTATCGTCCAGAGTCTTAGCAAACACGGATTTGCTCTTCCCACCTTTAGCATCCCACGGCTTACATCGGCTCAACGAAGCTATGTAATCAAGCTCCGAGGAGCAACAACGCTTCCTGAGGTCACGGAAATCGTCTGGATATAGGCAGACGATAGAGTATTTTGGTTTGCCAACTGATTTGAGCGAACCAAAAGTAACAAGAACCTCTGGAGGAGGTAACGTCTCCAAACGATTTGTGCTCTCACTAGCGAAACGTGGAGCCTCCACAGTTTGCTTTGAATCTTGATCTTTTTCCAAGAACCCTTCAAGAGATCCATGTATGCACCTCGAAAGAGGCAGTCTGTTGCTTTCTTCACTGCTCAGATGCGCGAGCGCGCAGGCAATGAGGCTCGAGAGCTCGTCTTCGTAGTCTGACAAGATGAAATCGTCGTCCCTCAGAGAGATGCGCAGACGAGAACCTTCCTCGGCGATGATCTGGTTCACCGTCTGTAGGTTTTCTTGGGTGAAGTTGTTGACGTACTCGAATTTCAACAAGTATTCTTTCTCAACCTCGACGATGGGCTTCAAGCGTATCTCTTCAAACGGACGCCAAAACCATTCTTCCCACCCTAAAATCTGTGACACATTAGAGGCAGCAACCTCGTTGCCATTCAGTGAATCTCCTCCGGTGACTGGAACTGATTTGTCCGCTTCTTGTTCATTGGTTGAATGGATATTAACAGCCAAATGAGTGTCAAAATGATTGTTGGTGGACATAGTTTGCATTTCTTCCACGTGATCATTGTCTCCACCAAAGATTGGTATTTCCTTGCCTTCCACGTCTCCATTGTTTTCATATCTGGTCATGCCGGCCTCGGAAGCGGTCTTGGCACCTTCTTCATTTCTCTTCTTCTCGCCACTTGGTAGCAAACGGTCAGATAAAACCAGCGACTGCAACCGGTAGTTCCAGATGAGAGCTTGAAGCAGAAGCTCCCACCTCATTCGGTTTAACCGGAGCAGTTTGTGCGACACGTCATCGATGGTTTTGGCCTTGTCAAAAGAAACACTGATGGTTTCCTGTTTTTAGGCAGTAATGAAATATATATTAGTACGCTTGTCTCATGAAAATATATGTATTAGAAAATGAAACTGTTGCCAAGCTAACCTCAAATACGGTCCGCTCCTGCTTCAGCAACGCATCGATGTTAGAGAGCAGTTTGAGTGCATGCTGATAGCTGAGATCTGAATTTGTGAACTGTGATCTTAGTCTCTTCAAGAAACTAGCAGCGTCCTCGAACAAGGAGATCCCTTTTGTGAACACCTGAACAAGAAACCAAACAATCAGCACAAATCATCTTGAGCCTTCGTTTCACATTTTCAGGACATAAATATTTGTTTCACACACCATGTATCAGAAATTTAGCTGCAATACTCAAAAAAAAAAAAAAAAAAACTTACTTTTTGAAATTCTTTCTCAAGCCAACCCACTTTTATCAAAATGCTAGACTCTAGCTTCATGCGCGGCAAAGACACTGTGTAAGATGATACTGGGGAGTAACTGAGCATAGCAACCATAGAGCCTAATCTGTAGTTATATACAAGTTTCAAGATTTATTATTAGACACACATATAATCCATGTAACAAAAATGCCAAAATTCAAGATGTTTACGTTGCACCATTAGAACCAAGAAGAGACCTTCAGGAAAACTATGCCTTAAACTAAAATATGTGAATGTCACTATTTCAAGAATATATGAAGCTGCAAGAAGCTAAGCAAAATAGGGTAAAAACCATACCCAAAGAAGTGAAGGAAGTCTCTATCGAAAGAGTGACCACAGCTACACAACCTATTCAGAAAAGTCTGCTGAGTAAAGCTGAGCTCCAGGAATTTCCCAAACGACAAGGTACGAGCAGCGGTCGATATCAGCACTCGTTTTGTGGATCTCCGGTTCCCAGTCTTCTTCTTACACTTCCCACAACGACTCCACATCCATATTTTTCCTTTTTCCCCGCCAGGCAAACACTTCGTTAGAGGAAGTGTCTTGATTTGGATCGTTAGTTGCTTGTTGCGATGATTATAATAGTAAAAATGTGCTTCGGGAAACTCCTCACACGTTTTGCATCGGCTTCTCTGCATCGGTGAAACACAAAAATTTGAGCCTTTCAAAGAACAGCACATACTTTTATCAAAACTTAGACAAAGAGAAGCAGAGCCAAACCTGATAAAACATATCTCTCAGGAAGCTTTCCAAGGGAACATCAAAGTGCTTGTAAAACTTTATGTGCGAAAAATGACTTTGGTCACACATTATCCCTTTGGCGGCATTCCTCTTGGACAGCAAGACCAATATACCATCAGCATCATTATCCAAAGTGGTCGTCTCAACATCATTCTCCATTTGAGACCTGTCTCCATCATCTGAATTCGAAGTGCTTACCGGGAGCTCAGGGTCAAGTAACAAAGACTGTTGGTTTTCTTCATCCTTTTCTGCAGTATCTTCACTTATGGAAGCAAGATTGCTGATTGTATCCACAGAAACCGGAACTGATTCCGGATTCTGAACAAAGCCTAGGTATTTACTTAGCTTGGCAGATAAAGACGAGAAGCCGGTGAAAATAACTGGATTATATGGCTCGTGAGAGAAGACATGATGATCTCCATCCGAGTCCCAGCTCTCAGCTTTCTCACCATCTGCTTCGCCATCAGACTGTTCATCGAATCCGTTAGACAGAGGAAGCTCAACTGCTTCAGAGGCAGATTCTCCAGGAGAAGGAGAAGGAGATAGTGGAAGCTTCTCTGTTTCCGCAGCAAAGGAGATTGGTTCCTTTGTAAGAATGGTTGAGAACATTGTTTGCCGATCAGCTAGGAAAGAAGCCTCCAAGATCAGACGATACGCAAGAATATACGAATACTGCACTACTTCTTTGACCTTTTTCAGCTTCTCACTGTGGCTTCCTTTCAGTAATATCTGTGAAACAGATCACATTGTTAAAAATCACATTATCGTAAAACTGCAAGAAAGTCTTGATAGTCAATCAAGAACTCACCGTGCAGCCAAGGCGTGTAGGGCAACCTTCTATGAACATGAGCGTTTTAGTAGGCTTCTTCTCGGCATCGCCAACAGCATTATGCTCCTCAACGATTTTCTCAATTCGAAAAGATTCACAGTGCTTTAACTTCTGACTAGAGAGAGCGTCCAATGGAACAATCGGCGAGCCAATGCAGCGAGAAACTCTCTGTAGACGGTGGTGCTTCATGTCAAGCACCAGCGTGACCTTTTTGTCAAGAATAGACAGTTGGATCTCACGTGCCACAGATTTTTCCACCAGCATCACGTCAGGCTTAAGAGCTTCTATGACAGCAACAACAGGCGCCACATACTTTAAGTCCTGATCCATTGATTGGAAAGAAGATAATCCACTTAATGGCTGTCCCAATACTCCTTCAATTAACATTATCTTCGGATGATCGTACTTAGTAGCCATGTGTTTAAGAGCAGCATGTTTTTTGAAAACCAGTCCTTTAAAAACTTCACTGCATTACATGAACAAAATCATTAGATGAGTGTATAGTCAAATGGAAGCTAAAACAAGAACTCATGTTTATCATACCTTTCATTGCAAGAACCAGTTGCTATGCATTTCACTTTGATGTACTCAGTTGGATCAATCGGTTTGCCGTTAATAACCGGTTTCAGCAGTGAAGCAGCCTCCCAACATAACCGGTAAACAATCTCCACCCAATTCTCACCTTCTTCCATTGAAGACAAGCCACCTGACTTAACAAGCTGACTCACAATGAACTTAAACTTCGAATCTGCTCCTTCAAGCATCGCTCTTCTGTTCTCTTCATAAGACTTCCTCTTTTGACTGCCTTCATCTTTCAACTCCCCTGAGAAACTTGATTTAGCCCACTTAGACCCATCACCGCATTCTTCATCATCATCGTCGATATCCGCAACACTTTCTTCTACTTCGTCTTCTGAGTTCTCTGGCTCCGGCGGTTCCCAAATCGGAGCATCGTCCGTTTCAGCACCGTCATCTTCACGGTCAGACAGGAACTGCACGCTCTCAACACCGTTCTCTTTCGATCTTTCTCCCAAAATCTCTATGTCCCTTTGAATGTCACTTGGCATGCTCTTGGACTTACGCTCTAACGTATATTGCCGATCCACCTTCGGCTTCACATCATCTTGACTACCATTACTTGAACATTCATCTTCATTACCTCTGGCAATAATAAACAGATAAAAAAAAAAACATATTAATATGCTGTTTATAAGCATTATGAAAATCAAAAAAAAAAAAAAAAGTGATGTTGGTCTTACCTTTCATAAGAGTTTCCATCAACCGAACACTCACCTAGCGAAAAAGATTATATGTATAAAGATACGATTAGATCAGCATTTGTATGATTTTTTCTGTCACATGAATTTTAGCTACAGAACAAGAAATTACCTGAGAGAGGATTTTCAGTCGTCATCAATGGAGTTTTTAAGTGTTTTTGCTAAATCTAGAAGATTCGGTCACGAGCTCACTCTCCGATCTCAGAGGATGTTTATTCTCCTTTTTATCATTCTCCGATTTACCAAGATCTGTGTACAAACACTGGAACCAAGAACACGCCACCTACTTTTTGAGTCAAAGAAGACGCGTAAATTAACATCAAAGCAAATAAGATCCTGAAAAAGGAAAACAAAATATCGTCTGAAAGAGATTTGAAATCGAGCATGACGGAATTAAAGGAGGAAAATTATTCGCGAAGATCTAGGATTTTATGAAAAAAAAAATCCATTCAGATTTTGAATTTCTGCGAACAAACTCTACTGCGAAATCATTTCTCCCATAATTAGAAAAATCAACAATCCACGACCTGATTCGGAAATTAAATCTCCGGAATAAGTCAAGTCGGAGAGGAATCAAACCAAACAGCTTCAGTCCAGAAATTCGATAATCTTCAAAATTTCCGAGAAACAAAAAACAAACGAAGATGATGAAAACAAAAGGCGGAGATTATCCGTTGAAGTAAGGTTTCAAAATTCGCCGGAGAAGAAACAAACAAGACGAAGTTAAAGAGAGAATGTCTCACCGGGGAAGCAAAATGAAATTCACAGAGAAATTTGGGTTTATGATGAGCTTGAAGAAACGGTAAACAAATTGCAGATTCGTTTGTGACTTTCAGTGAAAGGGAAAAGCGCGAGGGAGAGAAAGAGAAGTTTATTGATTTCGTCTTCTTCCCCGGAAATGAAACGAGTCCACGAAGAGTTGTGTCGATGGTGAAGAGAAAGAATGGAGACGAAGTTTGAAGAAGAGAAGGAGAATATTTCATTTTTATTCTATTTAAAACAGTGGGGTCCACACTTCTATATCTACCGTTCTCTTCGACAAAGTCGATTATTTGTATTTCTCATTTTTATATTTTCTTACATGAAATAAAAATTTATATTTCTGTCTTTAACAAAAAAAAAAAAGACATAGTAAACTTTTCAATGTTGAACATTTTTTACTATTTTTATTCTGGTCTAAGACCATAATGAGTTTCCATATGTGAAATACAAAAAAGGGACATTTAGATTTTTTTTTTTTTTAGAAAAGGGTGGGACAATTAGATTTCTTACTTTTAATCGGGAATAAAATCAAATTGAATAAATAAATAAAGAAGTTAAAAGGTTATAACTATTTATGAATTTTTTTACCGTTTATATTCAGAATTTTAAACTAATAAATCTAAATAGAAGATTAATAGATTTGTAATTTAATTTGGTTAGATAAATTAATAAAACAAAAATGAGAAGTTTAGTCGGATTAAGTTTGAAACAGGTTTTTTTCATTACAGACCAATAAGAGGAAATTTTGATAATTTGGGCTCGTTTTATCTTTTTCATTTAATTTTTATGAGACATATGTGATTATTTCTATAAAATGTTGTTTTCTTACATAGGTTTTCATCTGGTTTTATTTACACCATCTAATATTGTAAGAACACATGATATTCTTATGTGTCCAGCTATTATTATGTAGAAATTTCATTTATAAAATAATTGGATTTGTAAATATTTTCACAAACTTGGAAGAAAAAAAAATTCAAAAAACGAATATATTATTGATTTTTGTAATATACAGAAAAGTATTTGTATTTTTTAAGTCTTTTAGCTAACTACCAAAACATCAAATGTTTATTAGTCATTGACGCTAACAAAGAGAGAAATAAACTAAAAGCGACAAAATATTCTTAAATGTTTAGAAGCGTTTCTTAAAACAAACAAAAAGCTAGTTTAAAGTAAGCCAGAAGCTCACGTGAACGGAGTGGGTTAACATATACAATGCTTATGTCGTTTGCAGTTGTTTACGTTATATTTTACAATGATTTGCTATTTTATTATAATTTATATCGAAGTTTGGTTTGATATAAACGATGACAAGAAGATTACAAAGGAGAGTTAATGATAGAAAGAGTTTCGGAAATGTTAAATGTTTTAGATTTAATCTTTACTAGGATAATACCGTGCTATTAAACAGTTCATTCTTAATCGTTAATTGCTTTAATATGTGTTTTAATATATATTTATAAGCATTTTTTTCTGAACATAAGCATATACATAAGTAATTAACTATGGAATAAGTAAAATCGAGCAATTGTAGACATAAGTAAAACTGATATTCTACTGTTTAGTAAAAAACTCAACTGGAATTTTGAATTATTATATGCGTTTGAGATTCAATTGTGTATATTCAAATTTGAATGAGTTTAACCCGTGAAATAATTTAAAATTTGGTTTTATAATAAGAAGTTAATTTTCTTATTAAAATATATTTTAAATGATATTATATTTTTTCCGTCAATGTTCTCTTTTTATTATATAGGATTAAATATTATACTTTTGAAAAATATTTTTGATAAGTTTCAAAATATTCAAATGTGTTTGTAATAGGAATTAGAGTAATCAAAATATTTAACAATGAATATAAAAGAATTAAATAATTCAAAAATAAAATCAAAAAGCTGAAACATTGTGAGAGTGACACTCCAGCAAAAGTGATGTTCAATATTCCTCTTTAATATATAGAGGATTAGTTTCTGAATTAGGATATTTAAAAAATATATATAGTTTATAAAGTATGGCATTTTTATATTAGTGTTAGTGTTATTAGTCTGATAACTTTAAAATTTCATTCAAAATCTATTATTATCAGGAAAAAAAACTTTTTTTTACTAATTTTGTACTTCTATTAAATCTATTATAAAAAGTTTCAAAACTTGCGGATATATATATATATATATATTTTAATGGGTTTGCTTGAATATAATTAATAAAGTTTACAAAGGGAAAAATGACTCCACCCATCTATTACAATTATAGTAACAACCAACACGAGAACAAGATAAGAAGAAGGGGATAATGCGAAGAGAAATCCACACAAATTACCCAACACCGGTGGAGCAGAAACACAGCGGTGAAATGCTGTGAAATGTCGTTTCTACCTCACAGCCCCAACGTTGAGACGATGATCCAAAGTGGGGTTGCGATTGAGCACAAATAACCAAGCTGTGAAAGTTTTTGAAATATTGCGGATATCCATTGGGTTCTTAAAGTTTGTTATAGTGAAAAAAAAATGGATAAGTTTTTGAATGAACAAAACTCTGGTGTATGTAGTTTCGCCACTGTAAATGAGTAATTAATCTCTAGTTTCATAGGACTACGACTTCTTGCATGTTGGTCATGCAATTCTTAAATTTGCAATATTGAGTTATGATATCATTTAAGCATATTGCATACAGGCTATAATTGACATTATAGTCTTATTGGATCAACATTACTAATCTCTTTTGTCTTTTAGATTTGCATATTTTCTTTTGCGGTTTACATTAAATCCAGATTTCTCTTCCTATTCCTATTCCTAAATCAAGGTATGTTGATTCTTGTGGTGATAATGTTGATTCACTAACACTATAACGTCAATTAAATAAAACAAGTTTTGCAAAATTTAATCATCAATAAGATTTAATTTTGCGGTGTATGCGTATACCGACGATGGACTTAGACAGTTCTTAGCTGTATTCTAAAACTTGTTAGGCGGTACTCCAGCGCTCTGTCTCCTTCTAGCGATTTTCTCAAAAATCGGAAATAATCGGAGAGTACTCGGAAATTAATTTTAAATACATTTTTATATTTTTTCAAACATTTTTAATTTTTTTATATATAATACATCAAAGTCGACTTTAATGTATTGCAAAAATCCGATAGAATTTCATACGGATATGTATGTTTATTTATCTAGTTTCATTTGATAACAGATAACCTATGGAAATGTTTTCAATCGAATTCTCACATTACTTTGGTCGGAAAACATGAATATTCCTCGAATAATCCTCACATATAGTATAATAAATGTACACATATTTAAAATGAATCAATGAATGATTCATTTATATATATATATATGTATATATACTTTTTTTAAATATACAATTTTGAATCTTGATGGTAACGCAACACCTATGCTAATAACAATCATTAGTCCTTAATACGAGCAAAACTAAAGAGAGCAAAGTATTAATTGTATTGTATTGCTCGAATCCAGAATTAGTTGCGAGACCTAACACATTATTAGGTTCGATCTTGTTTCCTGCCTTCCAATTTTAGGCGGATACTTCTAACATTATATCAGTTCTCGTTTAATTTTGATACGTTATCTCAATTGCTGTTTAATATATTGATGACAAATAGAGAGAACAAAAAAAGGAACACTCTTTCATATTTGTGTAAGCAAAAATTTCAAACGTATGCGTAGGATAATAGTATAATACTCTTTCAACTCGGATTCTGAAAGTGAAAAGCAGAAATTCCAGATTGAGATGTTTCATGTTGACTTTACCCAAAATATCTTGAATTATTCCACATTCATATGCTATTTATGTAAATAAAATAAAACCAAAGTGGAATATAGTGTATACGGTTAGGTTGGTTAATAGTTTTACGTCATTCTCATAAGTTCATTATCCATTAATATGTGTCATTTATACATTTAGCAATCCTGCAAGTTGCATCTCTTTATCTATTTTTCTTCGGCTATTGTCCCTTCTTTTCTTCTTCTTGGGATCTTTATTCGACCTTTCTTTAATCACTTTTTATTTTATACGAGTTAAGAACTTTTTTATTTGTCAAACATCATCGCCTGGTCTTAATTTTTTTGTTCTCTTTTGTCATTGATTATAATAAAATTAAGTAAAAGCTTCCGTTGCCCAAACCTAAAATACTGGAATGATTTCATAACCGAACGAGCCAAAAGCTTAAGAAATCAAAATGCATTTAATAATAGACAAGGAACTTATCAAGGTGCGTCGCAAGATCGAGTTTTAATTTTAAAAACCTACACGAAACAGCTCTTATTTATTTTTGGAATAAAACATAATTTTGTGACTTAATAATAACTTTTACTATATTTTTAGAATTTAATAACTTAAGACCAGAAAACTTATCTATTTTACCAAAACAAAACTCAAGACCTTTTAGATTTTTTTTACTCTGCAAACAATGGAACAAAACGTTAGTCTATACTCTCTAGTGATTGTGTTAAGGAACTAAAATTAAACATTCAGCTACATATGTAATGCCTATCCGATTAATTAGTATAAGGAAAAAATATAGTCTATTGACCGAAACATTTGACTTTACTTTGAACTTGTATGATTCGGTCGTGACATTCAACGCGCATTAAAAAGCCTTATTATAAAGGCCCAATAATAAATATAGGACTTTAAAGTGGGCCCATAACTTCATTAAACAAAATTGTACAAAATAGATAGTTTCGCCGCCACCGCCAAAACTGATATTTTTAATCACAGACGTTAAAAAACGAGAAAAGTAAAGAGACGGCGGAGATTCAAGCTCTGGATGGCACGTGATAGTATCTTCCTCTGCATGTGCATCTGTAGATGACGCTGCATGATTCGGCGACGGAGCACTGAAAGCTTATCATGACACGTTTACACGGCGAGCATGCGCCGCACGCGTATGAACAGTCCGGCAAACTCGATCCTGTCGGATACATTTCCATTTCTACCCCTCCCTTTTCTTTTATTTCCTTCTTCACCACAAAAAAAGAAAAAGATTTAAACAAGAATTTCAAAAGACATCAAATTAAGAGGACCAAAGTATTATGAAAATGAGGTTGCAGTGAGCATCAAATCACACTTTTAGTATTAAAATCTAATTTAGGTAAAATAAAAAACATTATTAGATCATACAAGGCCGTGCTTAAGATGAACGGAACAAAATAACGTTTTCGTATATTATGCGATAAGATATGTAATGTGAATAAAATTTTAATTTTCTTACAAGAATGTTAGATATATATGATATTTAATGATGTTTTCTTAGTCTATGAAATGGAGTTTTTAAACCAAGAATAATCACACTAAAAATACAGATTTTAAAATGCAGTACCTAATGAAATTTAAAAGTTTAGAATTCTAAATTTAGCTTAATATCTAGGAGTGTAAGACAAATGTTATTTTTTGTTCACTAGACACGACCATTTTTTGGTAGAGTTCATTTGATAGGAGTCTAAGACAAATGTTATTTTTGTTCACTAGACACGACCATTTTTTTGTAGAGTTCATTAGACACGACCTTGTACATGTATTCGAATAGTGTGCACCGTACAAGACTTGACCTACCTTGTGGTGCGATTGAGCTTGTTCTATCTCGGCGTTTTTCTTTTCTCCATTGACCAAAATTTCTACAATAAAAAAGCAGAAAGTGAAATGTTAATTATATATTAATATGAAAAAAATATTATAACAAAAAGAGTGAGATATTGATGTGACGGACTTAGTGGCGGCGTGCGAATGCAGTTAACGACCAAAGAACACGCGGCGAAGACTACGACAAGAGAAAACACTAACGTGCGGGGAGACTTCTTCATGTTTATAATTTTATCTTTAACAAGAATAAAAAAAAGGAAACCTTCTGTTTGAGACAGTGGTTTTGTAGGAGAAGCTTCTAAAAGATGAGAGGAGAAGACAAATGCTACGTGTGTTGTGTGATATATGTTGAAGGTGGCACAATCTAAAATGCAAGTGATATATGTGTCTATATATAGTTGGGGAAAAGATGAGAATAATTGGTATTACAATTAATAAAGGAAAAAGAAGTTGTACACCTGATATATAGGTCACATGATTCTTGTCGATTTTATGATTTTGTCCTACAAAAAAAAAAGAGAATTTATATCAACGTACATGTTCGCTATCATTTACATTCAATTTGTTCATTTGAATATTTTTGAATCTTAGAACTGTGCAAATCTAGCAACAAGCCCTGAGATACGGTTGTGCATTTGTTTCACTTCCTGTTTCCAAAGTCTATATGTATATATAATATATTTAACTACAAATCGTAGCTCAGCATCCAAAAGACTTAGCATCGATTAAAGACCAATATGGACATATCTATGCACAAAGTGTTGCCATTAAAAGGCCATAATTAACATTTTTCACTTGAGTAGAAGAAATGGGTTGTTAACTCGATGAAATTTTCATACTTAGTTGGTGCAATTTTCATAATCCTATTACAAACTATCGTTAAACATGTATATTTAGAAAAGCACGCATTGAATTGAATGTAGGTGTCAGTGGTATGTTACATACGTATGTAGAGAGAAGTTATATGTATAGATAAGGTATATTGTGGTGTGGGACCGAAAACGAAGTTACGAAGAGAATAGTTAGTAATTGCAGTCATAAGGTTCACAATGGGAGAGAGAGCACCAGAAGCAGCCAAAAAAGTGTTCAGACATCTTGGAAAGTAACCTGTCACGCAAACGTGAACCTTGCCATTGGTTTTAATGATCTTTAGCACCAAAAGTGAGATTGTTGCATAATTTTCATTATTGGATATAATGATCTTTAGCACCAAAAGTGAGATTGTTGCATAATTTTCATTATTGGTTTTAATGATCTTTAGCACCAAAAGTGAGATTGTTGCAAGTTTTAAATGTCAGTATGTCACATTTTGTAATCATGCATGTGTTTGTCTCTTCTTACATTAGGTACGCTATTGGCTGTTATTTATTGGTTTAGAGATTGGTGTGTAGCATAATTGGGAAAACATGCGTACATGAGCTTATTTATATTTCATATTTTAACAGATGGTAATAAAAAGATCAGCAGTGGTTTTCTATGAAGAGCTCTAATGCTCTATGACCATGACCTCTAGTATTTCAAATGCTTTGTTCTAGCCATATAGTACTAATGAGGATAACAATTGTCTATAGCCTATGGAGAGATATAGAAACTCATGTTAGTATGTTACCTTTGACCCGAATAAACTTCTCCAGTATGTATTAGTTATTACCAGATTTAAGTCCGTTTGTGATTCTTTCTTTAGTCGCTATACCGAGTTGCTTAACTTTTGTTATGACTTGTCACGTTCCTTTTTTTGTAGTAAAATTTACATATCACCAGAAAAAAACGAGAGAACTCATTGTCAACAAGATTAGCATAGGTGGAGTCTAAGAGAGGAGGCCCATATCTAAAGCCCAATTTTACCGACGTGGTTTAGTTAGTTGCTAACCAACTTCACTTTAATAACACAAAACGCATCGTTTTTCTTCTTGCGATATTTTCTTTATTTGTTTTTTCTCCAGGAAAAAGGAAAACAAAAAAAAAAAGAAACATATTATTAACCAAGGAAATTAAAAAAATCCTTCGGTGAGAAGCAAGATCTTTTGTAATCTTCTTCGTTTTCTCTTTGATTTTCCTCTGTTCCGACTCTTTACGATCGATCTTCAGTGATCTAATCGTTACCAGTAATAATTGATCATGTCGATGCTCGATTCGTTCTTCAATAAGGGCTTCAAAGCTGCAAAGTGGTATTTCTCTGAATTTTCATCCGTTTTTTCGGAATTGCCAATTATCAATCTGGAAAACGGAAGAAGATTCTCTGTGGATTTGTTTGTAATTGGATGAGTTGGTGTACCAATTCTCTGCTTTGCTCTGACTCAATCGTGTGTTGGGTTTTTTTGTAATGGATACACAGCAAAACCTTGCTCAAGTTAACGATCCCTCGGATAAAGCTAATTCGGAATAGAAGAGAGGCGCAGCTTAAGCAAATGCGCCGTGAAATCGCTAAGCTTCTCGAGACTGGTCAAGAAGCCACTGCTCGAATTCGGGTATTGGTTTGTTTGTTTGTTTATTTTTGCTTAATCCATGGCCTTTGATTTTGTGTGAAGAATCCTTTTAACTCTTGCGTTTGTTCAACTAGGTTGAGCATATTATAAGGGAAGAGAAGATGATGGCTGCTCAAGAGATCCTTGAGCTCTTCTGTGAGCTCATAGCTGTTCGTCTTCCTATCATCGAGGCTCAAAGGTTATAACTTCTTCAAGTCAGAAAATTCGGAAACTTGAAAGTCCTCTGTGTGTTTCTGAGTCTATTGTAATCGACCATTGTTGCTGAGAGTATTCTGAATCCTTCTTTCCGAAATTCTGTAGGGAATGTCCTTTAGATCTTAAAGAAGCAATATCAAGTGTATGTTTTGCTGCGCCGAGGTGCTCTGACTTGACGGAGCTGCAGCAGGTTCAGATGCTATTTGTTTCCAAGTATGGAAAAGAATTCGTTGCAGCTGCATCTGAGCTCAAGCCGGATTCTGGTGTCAATCGCAAGGTAAACCGGAGTGCATTGGTTGCGAAACTAGTGAATATGAACTTAAACATGTGTGCTACTGAAAAAGAATCTATATAAATCTTCCAGCTTTAGTATCTGTAAATCCTTAGGATTACATGCCTATCTGTAGAACTAGATTTTAACTGGTATTCTTAGCAACAATAAATGTGTCCATGTTTTTCTCTTTTTCCCAAATCAATTTTACAGATAGTGGAGTTGCTGTCTGTGCGTGCACCTTCCCCAGAAGTTAAACTGAATCTTCTCAAGGAAATTGCAGAAGAACATGAGCTTGATTGGGACCCTACTTCTACAGAAACTGATCTCTTCAAATCGCATGAAGATCTCCTTGTCAGTAACTTCTCTCTTCATATTTCTTTATATTATCTCTTCTCTGGCTACATATAAGCAGGTTTAGTCAGAACATGTCAGGTGCTTTTTTTGTGTTTGTGTTTGCGTCAAACCTATTATATAGCATTAAACACAGAATCTGCACTTCCAATGTATACCTCCATGGTTGTTTTGTGTCAAATGTTTTTTTATCTAAATTGTCTTCTTTACTTTCAGGATGGACCAAAGCAATTTGGTGGGGGATCTAAGCTGCCACTAGAGGAGGAAAAAGACGAAAGGGCACACGTGACGATGACATCTTTTGCACGCCCAGAGGAGCAATCTGATTCTGACTCAGAGTATGAAAAACTGGACTTTCCCGAGGTCCCAAATGTGCGGCCGACTTCTGGTGTTAATCCTGTGAATGCACCGGAGGCAGCAAAACCTGCCGGTTATGAGCATACCTTTCCCGACTTGCCCTCTGAGCCAGAGAAGGCAGGAGACGAAAAACCGACTTCCAAAAGAGAAGAACATCCTGCAAAAGCAAGCACCACTTTCGTGGAAGGCCAACAGTCTTCACAGTACGTGACAGAATCTGATTCGGTGAAACGGAACAGTTATTCTCCACCACCTGTTGATGTAGTAGGAACCTTCTCTACAAAAGAGAGTGGGGCTTCAAGGGATGCTCCAAGGAAAATATCTGAAGGTGACTTGCAGGATGTCCTAACGGCTGCTCAAAATGCTGCTGACTCAGCGGAACGTGCAGCAGCAGCTGCCCGTTCAGCTGCAAGTCTTGCACAACTCAGGATCAACGAGCTTACAAAGAAGACGACTGACCAGTCTCCAGAGAGTCCGAATGAGAACCCTTTCCATTCAAACCCATCACAGACGATGGAGAACCGGCAATTTGATCATCAGGATTCTTCCGTCAGCAGCTACGGTGATCTCACAGACTTCCATTCAAACCCACCTCAGACGATGGAGAAACCGCAATTTGATCATCAGAATTCTTCCGTCAGCAGCTACGGAGACCTTACAGACTTCCAAATGGCTGACACTGCATCGTCACATTTCAGCCACGAGAGGAACAACCACCAAGCAGAGAGATTCCCTTCATTGGAGAAACCTCGTTTTGATCACCAGAACTCATCCGACAGCAGCTATGGCAATTTTACAGAGTTCCAAAGACCAGAGACGTCATCATTTGACAGACGCAGCCCTGACCAGGACCACCAGCAAATGAGACTGCCTTCCATGGAAGATGATCCCTATTACTCATATCCTAATCTGTTCACATCGCAGAAGCCTGATCGCTCTCCTTCATTCTCAGACAATACAAAACCTGCCCATGATTCTTGACTCTTTTACCTGCAAATGTTATAATCCAAGCTTGCGCTTTTCGGTGTGTTTCATTTCTGCTGTTCCTTTTCTTATGGAACAAAGGCTTCAAACGTTTCTTGAAGAGCCTCTTCTTCCTCTTTATGCAGTGGAAGACATGTTGTGTAATGTATAGAACTTGATGCGATTGTCTATGTTAAATTTAAATCCCTTGGTTTGCTTAAGAATGCTATTGTCTAAGATTCGAGACTACTTTTTATTTTCCACCAAAGAAATAAAGAATACAGAGAAGTGATTTTTTTCTTAATTTTCTCTGTTCTTTCAGGTTTCTGTTAGACAAATTACATAAGTCTTTATCTAGGACCAGACAACTCAACCGCATGAAGGTTATCTGTAGAATCAAGGATCCAATCAGAGGTGGGATGAGAAGAGAGCTCCACTTCTTGCCTAAGAACTTCTACTTTCTGCCACTCGTCCCATTTCTCAGCCAAACCATCACCCTCAAGCATTCGAACAACATCAGACATCTTAGGTCGTTCCATAGGTGAGCCCTGTGTGCAGAGGAGAGCCACTTGTATGAGCTGTTCTACTTCTGCTTCTGTGTAATTACTCTGCAGATCAGGATCCACAAGCATCTCCAGTTTCTTCTCCTTCAAAAGCCCTTTCACCTGAGAAGAGGATCAAATGAAACAGAGAGATTAGCTTTGAGAGTAGATACAGAAACCACACAAGTATGTGGCTAAGAGATCTTTGTTATACCCAATCTAGAAGCATAACGTCATCGTCATTCGCCAGTCTTGCAAGATCAAAAGCTCTCTGACCTGTGATCAGTTCCAAAAGCATGATCCCGTAGCCAAAAACATCGGTTTTCTCTGAAGATTTCCCGGTTGAAAGATACTCAGGAGCAATGTGTCCAATAGTCCCACGCACAGCCGTTGTCACATGCGTGTCTTTGTAATCCATAAGCCTAGCCAACCCGAAATCGCCTACCACCGCCTCAAATTCCTCGTCCAACAGAATGTTAGCAGCTTTCACATCCCGGTGAATGATCTTCGGATCGCAATGATCATGAAGATAAGACAAACCCCTCGCTGATCCTAACGCAATTTGCTGTCTTATTGGCCAGGGTAAAGGCAACTGCGATGGAGGACGTTCTGCAATCATTTCAAGAAAGCTCACTCACTGACATCCGAAAATGAACAGACAGATATTCACAAAATATTTGTACTTTATGACACAAAACTGTTCAGATTCTGAAGTTACCTCTCAAACAGGAAGCAACACTTCCGTTAGCCATGTAAGGGTAAACAAGCAATCTCTCGGTAGGGGTCATACAGAAACCACGTAACCTGAGAAGATTTCTGTGAACGGCCATGCTTATCATCTCCACTTCTGTCTGAAACTGGAGCTCACCACCTGGTGTGCGTTCTTCTTTAAGACGTTTGACAGCGACAAGTGTTCCATCAGCGAGACGGCCTTTGTAGACTTTTCCAAACCCACCTCGCCCCAAGATGTTCTTGTTGCTGAAGCTATCAGTTGCTACTTGAAGTTCTCGTAGAGAGAACCGCTTAAGCTGCCCCAAGTGAACCTCAGGGTCCTCTTCGGCTGCATCACAGAACCACAAAATTGATAAACTACATACTAAACAAATGCTCCAACGTAACAAAGCTTGGATATTGCAGACTCATTGACTAACCAGGAACATCAAAGAAGAACTCTTGAGGTTTTCTTCTACGCCACCAAGCAAACGCTAAAGCAGGGGCAGCAAATAGTAAAGCGGCACCAGCAGCAACTCCTCCAGCAATGGCTCCAGTAGCACTATACCCGCCTTTGATCAAATTTACAAAAAAAAAACAGTCAACAACCAATATTCTACCATAGAAGTTGATCATCAGCTTCTAAAATCTGTAAGATAGACTGTTTCCAGTCAAAATCCACTTAAAAATTCTGCGAAAACCTAACATAGCCGTCCACTATGTTTCCAAGCATGAGCGAATGTAAAAGATCCAAACTTCACTGTCTACTTAGTTTCATTACCTTGAGTAGGAACTGTGTGTGGTGGGATAAAAGGTGGAGGAGGAGAAAATGGGGGAGATCCAGGGCAAGGACGGCTAGTAACTGGGCCGCATAGATCCAAGTTGTTAGCAAAACTGTGCAGAAAGAACACAACTTGTGAGGTTCCTTTCATATTCACCAATAATCAAGTATAAGTCAATTGACAAAATTTACTTGAGATAATCAAAAGAAACTTGGGTTCAGACTTTTAAGTTTGATCCTAAATTATTAGATCTCTTTAATCTAGTATGCAGAACAGAAAGAAGTAGAGAAATCTATACAGCCTTGGTTCACTATAAGATATATTAATGTTCAATAGTATGGATTCCATCAAACCTGATGGGAGTGAAGAGCGAGAAGGAACCATTATCAGGAACGGATCCAGACAATTGGTTGTTCGACAGATCCCTGCATTTTACAAGAGATTAAGCAAAAGTCAGGGGACCAAATAGGAACTGAGAAGTTCAAAAGAGAAGATAGTGAAGTTGATTAAGTGACACTCACAGAACTTGAAGAGTGGTGATATTAGTCAATGACATTGGAATTGGTCCAGAGAGACTGTTATTGTTGAGCCGACTATCCTCGCAACAAAAACATCATACCACATTACCATCAACAAAAATCATTTTAAAAGACAAAGCCAATTCTAAGATGTTCTTACAGAAAGCGCAGCTTGAAGAGCTTTCCCAGAGATTCTGGAATTGGACCAGTGAATTTGTTCAAGTACAGATCCAAGCTCACTAAGTTTGTCAGATTCCCAAGATCGCTTGGAACCGACCCGGTTATGTTGTTACTATACAGTTCCCTGCATTAAAGAGTATCAGCCCCTCAGAAGAATATTATCAATCTACAAAGACAAATGGCTATCAAATAAGTCTCTGAGCTTATCTATGAAGCACCAGCTACCAATTTAACTTCCATTTTTGATGTTAAAGCAAAAACTTACAAGTACTGCAAGTTCTTGAGCTGGCCAAGCTGAGGAACTAAATGACCAGACAATTCTGCATTCCCGAGATCGCTGAAAAAGCAAACAACAAACAAAGATTATATAAGCTAAACGCAAGGAACAATGGGGGGTTTAGGTGCAGGCAGAGAGAAACACTCACACTCTTATAACACTGTTATCATTGTTGCAGGTTACATGAAACCAAGTACACGGATTAACGAGTGTAGGATCCCAGCTTTGCAATACATTGTTCGGATCATTCAGATTAGCTCTCAAACTGTGCAGTGCATCACCTGTTACAATCATACACACCAAAAGCCTTAGCCTTTCACAAAGAAATCAAACTTACCAAACAAACAGACAAAAAAGGTAACGAATTTAGATTTCCGAGTAAGTTAAGCAACCATTTTACTTTGTGTTTTACAAGCAAACTCTGCTTTCTAGTAAATTTTCGCAGATGTATCTAACACCATTAAGACTAGCATTCAATTATATTCAGTTCAAATTCTTAATGTGATGCTAGTGACAGAAATCTAATTTCCCAGTCTTTTTATGATAAAAGGGCATTGTGATTTCTAAAGGAGAAATGGACAAAAATCTCTAAAAATTGTAACTTTCAAACAGAATCAGATTCTTAGGAGAGAAAAAAAAAAAAGTCTTTTTTAAGAACAGCGACAGTGCCAGATGAATTTTCTGTTCTTATGTACCCACCGAAAGTGATAAGCCGGCAAAAGCAATTACATAAAAACAAAAAAAAAATACCAAAAATAAGAAAAGTTGAAAATTTGAAGATAAGAGAAGAGGAAATAACCTTCCATGTTAGAGGAGGCAAGCCATAATGGATTTAAGAGAAGCAGCGAGATCAAGCAGACAGCACCAAAAGCTTCAAACTTTTTTAGCTCCATTTTCGACAAAAGAAAGTAATTCACTCTCAGATCCAAGCAAAACCCAGAACCGCCATGAAAACCCAACAAAGAGGATAAAAAACCCTAACTTCCAGAATCAAACCATGATCTCTCCAAAATTCGAGTTTCAGTAGAGAGAGATTGAGATAGAGAAGTTACAGTTGATTTACTCACATTAATGACAAACCCAGAAAAATGCCAAAGGAAAAACAAGTGGTAACAGGCTTTTTCTAACAGCCTACAATAGAAGTAAAAAAGGTGTGAGATTTATTTTTCTTTTTTTTATTGAAATAGAAAACAAAAAAAAAAATTAAGAGAAACCCTTTTTGAAATCTTTCCGTTGCTTTTGAGAGCAAAAAGGTTTGGACTTTCTCATTTGTTAACGCTTTTGCGTCTGTGGTTCTCTTTCAACAGCCGTCTCTCTCTAAAGCCTACTCTACGAGTGATGGGCTCATTCTCTCTCGATGGAGAGAGTAGTGACTAGTGACCAGTGACTAGAGTGACTAGTGGAGACAGAGAGAGGAAGAGAGAAACCAAAACTCACCACTTGAAAATCAAGTCCTATCACATTTTTTTGTTTTGGATTTTTTTTATTGTGTGAAGTTGTTTGGTTTTAAATTATTCATTATTATCAGTAGTTTTGTTTACAAAAGAAGGAATTAAAAAGTATATTATAATCATAATTTGTTGGACAATCTCCTTTTCTTTCGTCAAAGATTGAATTAGCACAGGAGAAAAAATCCATTATAGGCTACAAACAAACCTTCCCATAGGTAATTCTTTCTTTGTTAACAAACTCCATTTATAAAGTCAGATTTAGCCAATAAGACGATTGCCCTCAAAGACTAACCATATGATTCATAAAAAGTAGTTTATTTAAGCGAAGGAGCTTACCCATCCTAATATATATGGGATTAAAAAAACAAGCCGTTACAACCAGACTCGGAGAGTTCACACTATTGAAATTGCAATTTTAATGTCAACATGTGATACTGTGATAGTGTGAATAGTGTGACATTTGCAACATTTAAAATTTTACTGGGAGCTGAACCGGTTTTTTAACGAACTGATAGTGTGAACACTCCGAGTCTGGTTGAGCTTATTTTTGTAATCCCACATATATTTGGATAAGCTCCATCGTTAAACCGGTTTAGTTCCGAGTTTACAAATTGCAATTTTTAATTTCTCATTTGCAACATTGGAATTTTAACTGGTTTCAATAGAGAACTGATAACATTAACAAATCCGGTTTAGCTCCTCTGTTTTTGATTTCTCCAACTAATGGAGCTAACTCTATAAACGCCTCTTGGCCTTGTGGAAAACGTTTAGCATTTTAAAGAAACATCATTTTGTCAGTTACGTACAGACGCAAAAATTTGCGTCTGAAACAATCATCAATGCTCGACGTTAAGCAATAATCAATTTCAGTAAACTCTGGTCAACAACAATACCTTTTTTTTTTTTTTTAATAACAATCAACAACAGTACTTACAAATATAGAGATCGAGTAATTGAGATTAAATTTATATCCGAAAGCGATATATACAAGATGAAGACACTTCCCATTAATCAAAAGTTTCAAACAAAAAGTTTTAACAAAGCAATCAACATGATCAACAACAATATTTAGCAGACAAATATAGAGATCGAGTAAATTGAGATAAATTTGATATATTTAAATCTAAAAAGCGATACAATATGAAGATAGTCATACGCAAATACCAAATACACACTTAAAAACTGACCCATAATGTTTAACTTGCACAACAAGTCAGGACACAATTTCAATTGAACCCTAAAATATGATGACTCTGAACAAACCAAACCCTAATGAAACAACCGGCTTCACCGGACACTCCTCTCTATCTCCAACGTTGATCTCAGTAGATCAAATCTTGAGGTCTTGGCATCATCTTCATCATTGGTCCTCCTCTTTGTCTTCTTGAACAGTCTTCCATCACACTGTTCCTCGTGACAGAAGGACATGGACCCGTCGACTCTCGCCGTGGTGTTACACCGATCACTTTCTGCGCAACAAAGGGATGTTTCAACAGCTCCTCAACAGTAGCTCTCCGTGAAGGTAGCAAAGCTAAACACCGCTTCAAGAAATCGTCGGCCATCGGAGACACAATTTTCGGAAGCCTCCACGTGTAGCAATGTCCCATCTTCTTTGGGCATCCTCCGAACATCTCGAGAACAACGCATCCTAGCGACCAAACATCAACGGCTGATCCAATCACTTTGTTTGGTCCCAAAGTTTCCGGCGGCATGTACGGCTTCGTCCCAGCGAGCAAAGATCTAGAATCCGTGCAAGGCTCTTTGGACATACCGAAGTCAGCAAGCTTGAGATCCCACGGCTCTCCAACGGCCTTAGAAGGAAACACGAGGACGTTCGCTGGCTTGAGATCGCAGTGAACGTAGCCATGCGAGTGAAGAGCTTGGAGTCCTTGTAGAATCATGAGAGCAACGTGTCCGATCGTGTTCTCAGGCATCGGTCTTCCTCTCTCACGAAACTCGGAGATCATGTTGTGGAGAGTGCCTTTCGAGGCAAACTCCATGTAGATGTAACATCTCTCGGGATTGGTCTCTATGTGAAGATTAGGGCTCCTGGTTTGAACGATGCGTGGATGATCATGGAAACGTTGCATGATTCTATGTTCTTTCTCGAGACTCCTCAAGTCATCGAACGAAGAAGACTTCTCTGCGAACAAGCGGAGGTTGGAATCTCTCATGAGAGTTACAGAGCCGTAACCTCCTCTGCCAAGAACAGAGACAAACTTCAGTGATGATTCGTCAATGATCTGTGGTTCTCTTTCTCTAAACATCTTCGCCATGGTTACTCTAGGGTTTTGTTTCGAACGATCTGTTTCTTTTCTTTTTTAGGTTGAGAAGAAGAAATAAGATATCGAAATCAGGTGATGATTCGTTATCGAGTGTGAAGCTCTATTTATAATGCAGATTGAGTCGGTGCATCACTCTCTATTTCCTTTTTTTCTTCCATAATCAGATAGGTTTTCGTTTTCGCTAGTTTCCTTTTTTGTTAATTGTTCGGTATCTGATTTCCTTTTTATTTCTTAAAATTATTAAAAAAGACAAATATATATTGTCGTTGAAGTTAGATCTTCTCACAACATTCTATTAGACCACATTGTTAGTAGAAGTTTCTTTTTCTTAACTACTCGAATCAAAGGTATAGAAAGATATTGTGTTTGAATATTAACATTAACATTAGTAAATTAGAAGAAAAAACATTTATCTACTAAACTAAAAAAAAATCAGTAAAGATAATATAATTCCTTTCATCCTAGTTCTTGTTTAATAAAAGCATCGAGAGAACAAGATTGTGTTATGAGCTCTTTGTTCACCTGAGAGAAAAACCGGTTTAAGGCTAATTTGCCAAGCCAAAAACCATCCGGTTTAGCTCCTCTGTTTTTGATTTTTCCAAAGAACCGAGCAAACTCTATCACCCCATATCATCTTGTGGAACTTTTAGCATTTTGTCAATTACAAAGACAAACGCAAACATTGGTTTTTTAATATTTCTGTTGTGTTTTGAGTAACCTCAAATGATGCAAAAGAGAGAAAGAAATTAAAAAAAGAGACAGTGTAGTCTCTTAAAGCTATATATATATATATATATATATAAAATAGACAAAGTTTGTTGTCACTACAAAATAAGGAGACCGACAACATGTCTATTTCAAGGCCTAAATACGACCTTAAACCACAAAACAACATTTTTGTTACTAATGAAAGTCACTTCTTCAAAACGAAAAGAGCAAGTGTCTTTCTTTTAAGGCCTAATCCGATATTGAAACACAAAACAACAACAACAACAAGATTTATTCAGATTTCTGAGTCACTTCTTCACGAAGTTCTTTGTGAATATCTTCCTGCAATAAGGACTCGACTTCAGCTTCCCAAACCTATACACTTTCTCCACCAGCCTCGAACGTATAGGACCCTGTTTCAAACCCCCAAAAATCTCATGTCAAGTTCTGTTTCTTAAAAGCCTTTTGTTGTATCGTATAAAAAAGAATCCGTTTTGATTCTAGACATACCTTGACTACAGAGAGAGCTGTCTGGATAACGTAGTTGCCAAAAGGATCCTGCAAGAGATGTTCAAAGTTTTGAACACAGAGAAGCTCACGGACAATCTCAGCTCGACTCTCTGGATACTTCCTCAGACACTTCTCAACCACATGGCTACTGAACTTCTGAGTCGCTAGCTCCGCGTAATGCATCCTAAACTTCATCAGTAACTTCCCTGCGGATACGTTGCTCTCTATCAGGTACTGCACCACATAGTTCCTGCACAATTCCACAAGGAGAGGTTCTTCTTCATACTAGCTAGTTCCAAATCATGTTGAGTCTAAGGGTCAGAGATTAAAACTTTACCCGTAAGGATCCTGAGAAAGGCGAAGTGAGTTTCTTGCTATCTCATCAACGAGTCTCTCACGTTGATATCCAACAGAGTTTGAGATGCAGCATTGAAGCACACAGCAGCCGTGGCGATGTGTTGCAATCTCAGCACAGTGCCTTGTAGCTGCGTCTAGCACAAACTGCACAACATTTTGAGACATTAATCAGAGAGTTATTAAGTTAAGAAACAGAGAAGATTCAGATTTAATTATGTGAAACATTAATCAAAACCTTGTTGTCGTATTGACCAAGAGAAGTCAAGCAAGTCTGAATCACATGATTCCCATTCAAATCGTTGACAAGAGCAAGAAATCCAGGTTTGAGACCTGACTTGACCATCTCGATCTGATGTTTTGTTTTCACCGTCTCTATCATCTTCTGGACGACTCGTGTCCTGTTTAATCCAAAAAAGACGCAGAAAGCATAAATCAAATCAGATGAGAAACAGAAACAGCAGATTTCTAGGCTTTTGGCTAAAGGTCTCAGCTTTCTATAGCTCACATGTTTGCAGCTTTGATTAGTCCAAAAACAGCAAAAGGTAAAAGAAAGTTAATTCCTCATTTTTTTTTCTACCAAATGTTGCCTTCTTTTATACCAAAACTTTGCAGAGATTTCGAAACTTTCCATATATAGTAAATTTTTCTCCTTTCTCATAAAACAATAAAGATTTTCAATCCTAGTCCACTACTGAAAACTCGTGGACTTGTGAGAATTTCAAATATTGACTAAATTAATTCAGTAGAAGAAGCACTGTTTCTTGTTACCAAATTAGCAAAAATTTGATGAAACTAAAGAAACAAAATTTTAAAAAGCTTACCCATAATTGTTGAGAGACATTTTGATGAGCTCCCTTGGTTTTGATGTTAACACGTTCACAAGCACCGTTCTCTCTTCTTCATCACAACCATCAAACAGCTTCTGCACAAAGTAATTGCCAAACGGATCCATAGAAAGCTCAACAACATGGTTGAAGATCTCATGGAATAAAACCTTGTAGTCAAGAAACGTTCCTTCATCGAGCAGTTTCTGCAAAACTCTGCAACCGATTTGATCTTTCGCCATCCGCTTCACAGATCCATAGATGTCGACCATGGAAGCTAGACTCTTTGGCAAACTATCACATTCCTTTAGACTCATACGAGAACCTCCAGAAGCTTCCATGGCGGCTAGAGATCTAGAAACCCTTTTCCCCTCAAACATCAACGCTTCGTTCTCAAGAGAGACGTCCATGGCGGCGAGAGATCGAGAAACCCTTTTCCCCTCAAACATCAACGCTTCGTTCCCAAGAGAGACGTCCATGGCGGCTAGAGATCGAGAAACCCTTTTCTCCTCAAACATCAACGCTTCGTTCCCACCTCTGGCTCGAAGACTAAACTCAGGATGAGAAGAAGGTCGAAGCTCTCTAGAAGCTTCCATGGCGGATAGGGTACGAGAATGAGAAACTCTGTCTCCTTCAAACATGAATGGACCCATAAACGCATCGTCCCTGAAAGAGACGGCTCTGAGAGAAGGAGAAGAGCGCTTTATGGGTCGATCCATATGATCAAAGAGAAACTCTCTGTGATTCTCAAAAGCCATCATCTCTTCGAATCCGTTTTGGTTAACGCTAAGTAATCGGAGCTCCGCCGGAGAAACTCCATGGCCATGAGAGGTGTTTTGAAGAAAACCAGAGGAAACGCCGCGAAACCCATTTTGAATCCGAGGAGCTCCTCCACCCAGATTCTGCTCGAACCCAGAAGAAAACCCATGGAGTACTGTTGTTGTTCTTCGAGACCCGAAATCTCCTGGGTCGATCCGGATCGGTTCGGGTCTGCTCCAGATACTCATGTCGCAGGCGATACCCATTTTGCTGAGCTTTTTGCAGAGATCGAGACCGTTCCCCACCATATCGCTCTTCGTGTTCAGCTTCTGATTCTTCAGAAACGGGTTTGCGTCGAGACTGTTTAGAAACCCATCGGGGAGACGACGATCGGAAGGAGCTCGCTGTATGTTGAAATCGCCGTGGAAACCTCCGAAACCCGAAAATCTGTCTTCAAACATCGTCGATGCAAGCGAGAAGAGGAAGATGGAAAAAGTGATTTCACAGACGAAGAAGAAGAAGATGAGAAAAGTGATTTCACAGACGAAGAAGAAGAAGATGATGCAGAGAAATGGAGAAAGAGAAAAGAGAGAGAGAGAGAGTATGAGAGAGTAGAGCCAAGGGAACAATACGGAAGAGGGAGAGAGGGAGAGGTTGGTGGATATAACAGGAAATGGGTGGGGAGAGAGAATGTTGTGCTCTCCTCTCTGTGAGAGAACGTACGGAGAGCCTCAGGCTGGTTTGTCTCTTTTGTCGTTTTTCAGTCACATTCGCCATTAATGTGCACCAGAGTCCAGAGAAGAGACGCTACACTACTGCTGCTTTTTCTGCTTTATTCTCAACCTGCGGAAGAATTTTAAGGAAATTACATCTCTGTCCCGTTTTTTGTTTCTATTATTTCACCTTTTTGTTGAGCAAAATATCTCTCATTTAATTCGTTTGCTTATTTTTGGCCATGTTTTATGTTTTTATTTATTTCACTTTTTGTTTCGCCAAATACCTTCATTTAATTCGTTTGCTTATTTTTGGCCATGTTTTGTACTTTCGTTCTCTATAATCAGATTTGAAAATGCCAAAAAAACACAATAATACTTCTGGAGTATGTGATTAAATACAAAAAAAACACCTGGAGTGAAGCAGTAATCAATTTCACACTTTGTATATTTATCACATACTCAACTTCACTGCTCTTTAATTAGTCTCATCTTCCCATAGGATCCGAGAATCTCCAGAAGCAGCAGTAATCAATTTTTTACTTTTCTTTTGGCAATTCTTTTTTCTTCTGTATCACATCATTATTGGATCATCTAATCTAAATTTAATATGGTTATTTAAATTATAATAGACGACTGATGATTTCTTGTGTAACTATCAGTAAACATCGTGATATTTTTTATTTCAAGCATAGACGCAAGGAAGCTGATCTTATCTGAGAGAAAAAAGAACCGGTTCACAATGTTAATTATCAATCACCGGTCTGAGAGAAAAAACCGATTCAAGGTTATCATTATCAATCACCGGTCTGAGAGAGAAACCGGTTCAAGGTTATTATCAATCGATTCTTTCACAGCATCAACAAGAAGCTGTGTTTTCCGGCTAACGCTTAACCAAAAACCATCCGGTTTAGCTCCTCTGCTTTTAATTTCTCCAACTAACCGAGCAAACTCAGTCACCATACAAGCCTCTTGTGGAAGCTCATTCACAACTCTGTGCTCTTTATAACACGCCCTACTGCTTGTCGTAGTAAACGACGACTCTGTTTCTTGAAACGGGATAACAAAGTCGTGCACACGGAGAGTACCATTCGTACCGATCGCGGTTATCTCCATTGTTAGATTCGCCAAGAAAGAGCAGTAGATTGTTCCGGTTATCCCTTCTTCTTCCCACTCGAGCAATGCACCGCAAGAGAGAACGATTCCTGCGTCGTTTAGGATCGAACCAGGCAAGGCCGTGACGGTTTTCGGAAGTTTGAAGTTGTTGGCGAGAAGAGCCGCTTGGATTGTGTACCATCCTGCATCGCCGAGGGCTCCAAGTCCGTCGAGTCCAGGCTTTACACGAACGTCGTTTTTAAGGAAGTTCTCGTTCGCTGCAAATGAGAAACAACTATGCACCTGAGGAACAAATCATCACACTTTTAGTAACTTCTTTGATCAATAATAAACGCAAACGCAAAAATTAGCGTCTGGAACAATCATCACACCGCTTTTCCACAAGCAACAAATGTCAAAATCTCAATCATCGATTTCAAGCTCAATCCGAAGAAACGCGATTGAGAAATCTGAGATTACTTACGGTTTTGAGGTGGCCAAAGCTCACTGGATCGTTGACAAACTCCTTAATCTCGGCCGTTCGAGGATTGTGCATCCACTGAGTCCCATCCATAAACTGAATCCGATTAGCCTCACAAGCCTCGACGATCTGATCGAACTCGGATACGTTGAGAGCGACGGGTTTATCAAGCAGGATGTGTTTGCCGTTCTGGGCGGCGCGTACGGCCCACTCGACGTGGAGGCTGGCGGGGATAGGGAAGTAGACGGCGTCGAGATCGGGATCTTCTAGAAGCGACTCGTAAGAGCTATGGATCTTCGCCGTCGGAGGGAAATTGTTAGATGCGGCGAACGATTTCGTTTCTTCGATGGAGTTGTTAATGCTGGCTATAGCTGCGATAGTAGCGTTTGGAGCTAGATTGATGGCTCGAGAGACTTTTCGGACGATGTTTGAGCAGCTCAATATTCCGATGCGGATCTGGCTATCGCCGGCCATTTTCTCCGGTAACAGAGAAGTATAAGAGACTGAGAGTCAAATCTTTGGTCATCTTTGGTCAACACTGTTCGAAGTTGATGTTAAGCATTTTTTTCCGTTAATTTCTACATTTAGTAATTAACAATAGTTTGTTAAAAAAGAGTTATTCATTTTAAAAAAAAACATATCAATAACAATAAAAATGTAAAAGATTATCAATAACATTTTATTTAAATATTTGTTATCAAATTTTGAATATTATTCTGCTTATTTTTAAAAGTGATCAAATATTGTTTAATATTTTTGGTAATTTTTATTATAAAATCTTAAAATAAATTAAAATATATCTGCGTACACAGGGGATTTAATTTAGTAATACATAAAACTTATACTCATTTAATTTCCATAAAAATTTCATTACTTACTATGGTGTATTTGATTTATCATAAAAAATTGAACCAATATCATTTGAGAACTGATGCTCATGTTTTTATTGCGACTTGGTGCACAAGAGTTTACATATTGTTACATTAGAAACAAAAAGGCTTTGGCTTTGCCGATAAGAATTGAGTTTTATTGGTCACTCACTTACTTCATTGCATGTACATTGGAAAATAGTAAGGTCGTTGCTCAAAGAATATATCTCTGAAGCTATGTATTACAGTATTAGCGTTAATGGAACGGTACTTGTGTTTCTGATTTCTTCATATTTATTCGCGTATTCTTGAAGACACAACTTGTAAAATATTTGGACTGCATAAATTAATTCATAGAAATCGTTTCTCAACTTAATAGATTCAACTAATACCTAGACAAAACATAACATCGAAAGGGTTGCACTTCCATTGTATGAGATCTGTCTATTCCTCCGACACTAAAACCTCAACAGTAACCACAATGGCCATGACCGCCACAACGACCACCGCCTAAACGACCACCGACAAAAAGACCACGAACAGGGCCAAAACGAGTATCAATCCCTTTTTCATCAGATTCCTCGCAAGAATCATCACTAGTGCTCTCCTCTCTAGGAGTCTTGCTATCTTCTTTAGCCTTTTTCTTGGCAGGCTCATCATCAGAAGATGCTTCGTCATCAGGAGATGATTCGTCATCAGACGAACTGCTTTCTGACTCAGCTTCTACGGAACCAGTTTTAACAGCTGCAGCAACTCCATTACTTGAACTACTCGATGATATTAGCATATCAACCTTTTCTTCGTTCCGTTGAATACTATCAGCTATTCCTTTTATCATCTCCTTCGTATCGGATTGTTCCTTCTCAATCACGTCTCTCTTCAAAGGCGTCGTGGCCTTAACCACAGCAGGAGCTGCTTTAACTTTGGTGTTGGAACGCTTTTTCATGGAGAAGATGAGAAGAGCAGCGACTCTCTAGGTTAACGAGACGACAGTGGAGACAAGAGGCATAAACCCTAGACAGCTTCTCATGAAGAAGAATTATTGAGATATGACAACCTCGAACCGACTAATATTTTTTAATATATAAAAAAGTAAATCTAAATTTTAAATTGGAAAAGACCAATTTAAAATTTAATATAATTCAATTGGACTAAAACATTTACAAAACAATTTGTACTACTTTATAGATTTTAATAATTAATAATTAATAAATTTGATGTGCTAGATTTTCAACAATTTTTATCATCCCAAAATAGAATAAAAAAAATCTTATAAAATTCGACAAAGTTTATATTGTAGTCGGCCACTTGAATTTCATTAACGAGTGACGAATGGAACACAACCGCCTTAGCGATCATTAAGAGAGGATGTTAAGGAAGATGGCTTATCTTGGAAGAAACTATGAGTAGAACAGAGGAAACTTCAGCAGCTGGTTGCCTTGTCGGAATCTGCTCTCTGGTTTCCCAAGCTTGCAGATTCCTACGGATCATACTCTCTTTGCTCAGTGACGGTTCCTCAAATCGAGAACGCAATCACCGTCGTAAAGATAATGACAGAGATTACCAGAGCTCAGCCTGAAAGCTGCTTCGACAGGAAAGAGTTTTGGTTTGTTCTTTGATATACAGTGAGTGGATTTAGAGCAGGTTCTTTTATAAAATGAAAACGAGTATTTGAAGTCTGTGTGTGACACAAAAGCATTTGACAATCGAGAAGAAAATAAACCCTGGCTTATATCAAGAATTATATTATACTCTTTACTCATTTCAACAACCTCTGTACATCTTCCTTCATAGATTCATATATTAGAATAGGTCAATAATATCACCAACACTAATACGGATGACGTTTTCATCTCTTAACTTACCTATAATTAAGAATCTTGGTTTCAAGAAAACCACAACTAGTCTTTCACGAGAAGACGGGTCTTCCCGAGACTCGAACTGTGGCTATGAACACCCAGAAGATGGCACACAAGGCACCCACAATTGATAGGAGAATAAAACCTCTGTTTCTGCTACGATTCTTCGCTACGGTAGCAGCCACTGGCGCTCCATTATCTTTTCCATTGAATCTGAGACGGCTGAAGCTAGACATACGCACAAAGGTCCGGTTAATAGGACCCTCACACGCAGAGGCTGGCGTTGAAGGTATTGAATCCATGAATGCCCACAGAGCCGATGAGAACGGGCTCGTTCCACCACCGCCTTCCTCGTCTTGGGCATTCACACTCATAGTAGGATTTGTGGAATCAAGAATCACACCTAAGCAAATAGTATTCCAAAAGTATCAGAGGAAAGCTAAGACGTTCAAAGATCATAACAAGAAGGGTTTTGATAAGCAACAAGTATCATATAAACATGTTCTGGTTCAGGTCAAAGACAAATACAGAGAAAGTATTCGTGCTTAGTGGGAAATAAACTTGACATACAACAAAGGTGAATGTTCGAGAATGAGTCTTAAGTACCTGATGAGGGTGAAGCAGATGCTCCAGATATAGATTGTGGCTGATCAAAGAGAACAGCTTGATCATCATCGTGAAACCACATATCGTCAGTCAACTGAATCAGGCTAGGATCCATGATGTTGTTCAGCTGGTCCTCAGGGGTCGGGTCCTGGAACTGCTGGTTCTGGTCGGATGTGTTGTCGACGAAATTATTCAGAGAAGAGGGACTTGACGAAGTTCCCTGACCAACAGGTTCCATATCCAAAGACATGGAAACGTCATGGAACAACTGGTCAAAGTCATTAAAGTCTCCAAATTCACCAGCGGGTTTCTCGGACCCGACTTCAGGGATGAGAAGATCATCCATTTCAATGTAATCCTCCTTCTCAAACACTAGAGGTCCCATACCAGAGGTGTTGGGAGCTGACGTGACCTCAACAGACTCAAAACTTGATGGCCTGTTGCAAAGCTGGTTGTCTTGCAAGAACTCTTCGATATCCCGGAGGGCAAGGAACTCTCCAGAAGAATTATTCACCAGCGTGCTCTGCAGCTCTTCCTCGCTATTAACCTACCAAGTACAATTATCTACGAAGTGAGTAAAAGCACAACAATAAAGGCCTAATCCACTAGATTCGTAGAAAAACAACCAGAGAGAAGAAACTGACCTGAGGAATACTAGAGGCAAGGCCATTAATACATCTTTGAGGAACCCCAGGTGCATCTGGGATTCCTTGGAGAAGCTCATCGAGATCATCCAACTGAAGATTTACAGGTTTGAAAAGCCTACCACCATCTCCAGTATCCTCAAAAGGTTCCTCTGGTACAGCAATCTCATCATTATCATCATCATCGACCCATTCTTCTTCTTGAAACGGAGCACCATAGTCTTCACCATTCTTGGGACCAGACCCACTTTTCTTGTACAGCTTATAAACAGCATAATAATCCTAAACAGAAAAAACATAATAAGATCAATAAAGAAGAAACAAGTTTATAAGTATATTATGAGGTATGAGTATATAATGATATACCTTGGCGTTCTTACATCTATCGAGCTCGTCTTCGTCCATGGTGTACTCATGCATCACCCAGTCTGTGCGTTCGCCTTTAGGTGCTCGACCTCTATAGAAAACAAGAGTCTTTTTGAGTCCTACGGATCTTGAATTGTACTCTATCACTCGATCTTTCCCTGTTGCTTTCCAGTAACCACTTGTAGTGCATCTGCCTGACCTAGCTGCGTTTGGATACTTCCTACTCCTTGGAGTGAAGTAGAACCACTGCCGATCTCCAGTCTTCAGCAGCGATTGACCTGTGTTCACACAGATGGACGTATGAGTAAATATGAAAGACTGAGAAAAAAAAAACGCAAGAGGGCATCCAAAATGAAAGCTTAAATGATCTCAAGCTTCAGCTGCAACATATAAGTAGAAGAAAGATACGATTTTGATATAGTCAAATCTGATTGATCAGGTAAAAGAACAAAATTTAAACGAAATTAAGTATCGGTGACGTTCAAAATTAAGCTACAAACAGTCAACGGAATCGAAATCGAAAGTGCGCTAAGAGAATCAAATAAGTAAGGTTAAGAAAAAAGGAGAGATGAAAAGGGCTTTACCAGGCAATTCCTCAGGATCCATTTTGTAAACATCAACGACGCCGATGGCATTGAATCTAAGCCTTCGCCTACAAATCTTCCTCTTGAGATAATACATGACAAGCTCCTCATCAGTGGGGTGGAATCGAAACCCTGGTGCTGTGAATTTACCCTCCTTGAAACACGTATCTCGAGAACAATCCGCCATAGACGCTAAGCAATCAGAACTCAACCGATTCCTTGTACAAGTTTTAGAAATGGAAAAAGAAGAAAAAAATTCCGGAAAAAACCGATCGGGTCAACGAGGAGAAAATGAAAAAACTCTCTCAGAAACCCTCTCAGATCTCTCTCTCTCTCTCTCTCTCTCTACTCTTTGGCCTCACAAAATTTTTGGTTAGCTTTCTGACTGTCTCAGCTTTTCTGCTACTTCGCAGTCGTTTTGTTCATTTGGGCTCGAAATACGCTTGTTCAAGCCCATTTAACACATGGGCCCGTATAATTTTCGTGAAAAACTTCTAAGAAATTCAGCACCTACTACTCTACTCGAGATTTAACTCATCTCCAGAGGCTGTGAATCTGATAACTCAAGAAGATATGCAATCAAAATCATTGAGAATCGAATAAATATTCAAAAACAAAAACCTTTGGTCAAGAAATATCTTTCTCAACTCTTTCAAACTCTATACATAATCAAAGATTCATCATATATCAAACTCCATGATCACAAAAATGTGTGGATCAAGCTTTCTTTCTAACTTATCCTGAACCAAAAGAGTCTACGAAGTCACGAGAAGACAGGTCTCCCCAAGACTCCAACTGTGGCTACGATGACCACCCAGAAGATGGCACACAAAGCACCCATAACCGATAAAACAAGAAATCCTCTGTTTCCGGTACGCTTCTTTGCCATGGTGCCTTTGCTAGTAGTACTAGTCACTGACATTGCGTTGAACCTGATTCGGCTCAAGCTAGACATACGCACAAAGGTCCGGTTAATAGGACCTTCACTCGCAGAGGCTGGTGTCGAAGGTATTGAATCCATAAATGCCCACAGAGCTGATGAGAACTGGCTCCTTGTTCCACCACCATTTTGTCCTTCCTGCTCTTGGGCATTTACGGTCATAGTAGGACTCGTAGACTCAGGCATCACACCTAAAGAAAATTGGTATTCATTCACAAAGTATCAGCGGAAACGCTTAAGGATATTAACAAGAGGGGTTTGATACACAATGATTAACAAAAAGAAGTATCATATTTACATGTTTTTGGTTCAGGTCAAAGACAAGTGCAGAAAAATATATTTGTGCTCAGTGGAAAATAACATAGGTATTCGAACTGTTCCGGGATGAGCATGAGTTTTAAGTACCTGATGAAGGTGAAGAAGAAGATAGTGGTTGATGAAAGAGATCCGTCTGAGCATCTTTAAACCAAAAATCGTCAGTGAATTGGTTGAGAGGTGTACTAGGATCCACGAAGTTGTTCAGCTGCATCTGAGTCTGAGGGGTTTGGTCCTGAAACTGCTGATAAATGTATTGCAGTCTTTGGTCAGATGATGTGTTGTTGTTGTTACCATAATTACTCATCAGAGAAGAGGTTCCCTGAAAAACAGGTTCAACAACATCCAAAGACATGGAAACGTCGTGGAACAATTGGTCAAACTCATTAACGTCTCCTAATTCACCAGTGTTTAAGAACTGTCCGGAGTTCTCAGTTGAAGAAGCTCCGAATTCAGGGATCAGCAGATCATTCATTTCAATGTAATCCTCTTTCTCAAACACTAGAGGTCCCATACCAGAGGTGTTGAAAGCTGACTTGGCCTCATTAGCGTTTGCTGATCTCACCTGTGACTGAAAACTCGACTGCCTGTTGTACGTCTGGCTATTTGGCAAGAAATCTCCGTAAAACTGTGGAGAAGAATGATTCGGCAACATGCTCTGTATCACTTCTTCGCTATTACCCTGCAGAACACCAGAAAGCTCATTAACTTGCCTTGAGGCAACCCCGGGCGCATCTGGGATTCCGTTGAGAAGCTTCTCGAAATCATCCAAGTGAACATTGACAGGATGGCAAAGTATATTATCTTCCACACGAAGACGGTTCTCACAGGGCACCAATCGATTATCCGGTACAGGGACGACATCATCTGCCTCCTCTTCACTATCATCATCAACCCATTCTTCTTCTTGGAACGGAGCACCATACTCTTCACCATTCTTGGGACCAGCCCCACTTTTCTTGTACAGCTTATAAAGCGCATAATACTCCTGAATCAATGACAAAATAAGCGAACAAAGATTAGCTAACTACAAAAAAGCAAACAAACATATAGTTATGGTATAGTAATAATCATATACCTTGGCGTTCTTGCATCTCCCGAGCTCTTCTTCGTCCATCGTGTACTCGTGCATCACCCAATCAGTGCGTTCGCCGTTAGGTGCACGGCCTCTATAGAAAACAAGAGTCTTTTTGAGTCCCACAGATCTTGAGTTGTACACTATGACTCGATCTTTTCCTGTTGCCTTCCAGTAACCAGTTGCAGTGCCTCTACCTGACCTAGCTGCGTTCGGGTACTTACGGTTCCTTGGAGTAAAGAAGAACCATTGTCGATCTCCAGACTTCAACACCGATAGGCCTGCATCAGAACGTGTGTTAGAGAACTAATTCAAACGCAGATCTTAGTTTGCATAATATGAAACCCAAAAACATTGTGAATCATTACGGTGACAGAACAAAACATTGCTACAAAATGAAAATCATTTTATCATAATCGTCAAAAATCAGCTACACACAAAACTAACCTAACAAAATCGAAAGCGAAATCAAGCAGTAAGTATTGAGGGAGATGAAAATTTTACCAGGCAATTCGGAAGGATCGACTTTGTAAACATCAACGACGCCAATGACATTGACTCTAAGCTTTTTACAACAGATCTTCCTCTTGAGGTAATACACCACAAGCTCTTCATCGGTCGGGTGAAATCGGAAACCCGGTGCACTGAATTTCCCACCTTTGAGACACGAATCAGGAGAATAATTCGCCATCGACGCAGAAAGTGAATGAAAACAAGATCTTCCCTAAATCAGAAAAAAACAAAAATCGATCGGGTCAACGAGAAGGAAACCCTTTAAAGAACACCTCTTTGTCTTCGCCTCTCACGATCAAGTGGAGAGCACGAAACAAAACCTACATAACAAGGGGAGAAAACCGCAGCGATCGAACGAAAACGAAAGCGAGAATTGAAAGTCTAGGATTTGATCGGCGAGACAAAAATTAGGGAAAATAGAAAAAAAGAGAGAGATTTTGATTGAGTCAGAGAAAATATTCGGTTAGTTGTGTGATATCTCTTACTCAGCTTTTCGACTGACAATCCGAAGTTTCCACGAACCTGCTGGGCTTTGAATTTACGCCTGGTAGGCTGACACCCATTCAACCACGGGCCCACAGTTTTAATTTTAATTTATTTTTTACCGACGGATAAACTTGAATATTCTTTACTTGTGGAAGAAAGAGTTAGTAATAAAATAATACTCAAGCCAAGGAGAAAATTTGTATCAATCTAATTATTTTTTTGTATGAAAAGAAGCAAACGTACGAATCGCTAGTGTTACCAATAATCTCCGCAAGAACAAGAACCATCTTTAAACCTATGAAACCTTACTCGATCCCTAACAATGATCTCTCTCTTATAAATCTTCGAGATATGTTTGAAGACAACGTGACAGTCCCCACATATCCTCAGATTCTTTATCACTCTCACCGGACTCTCCTCTTCCGCACCACCAACCATCATCAGTCCATAAGCCACCGCCAGTTTCTCGCTGTGATAACACAAAGCATTCTCTTTCTCTTCCTCTCCAATGTCGTGCAGCACAAGTCCCGTCTGCGCCACGTAACCATCCTCCCTTATCTTCAACCTAATCTCATCAATCAAAACACACAAAAAAAATCAAAACCCAAAACCATTAACATTATATTTGTGTTTGAACTTGTTCTATTACCAACCTGATCTCCTCGATCTTCTCATAAATCTCTCTCCACTGTTCATGACTCTTGTCGCTGTTATAGAATTTATGAATCGTCCCTTCCGATTCAATGTAGCTAAGACCTGGAATCTTCTTCACTTGTTTAGTCTCCATAGCATCTCTCACTCGTCCCACGTCCTTCCACCGACCCTGCGCCGCATAAACATTCGACATCAACACGAAATCGCCATCGTTGTCAACACCCATTTCAATCAGTTTCCTAGAAGCTATCTCAGCCATTTCAACGTTCTTGTGAATCTCCGAAGCTCCAAGAAGACTCTGCCACAAAACAGGATCCGGAACCGTCGACATGGAGCATATAATGTCATGAGCTTCTCTCAGCTTCCCTGCACGGCCCAACAGATCAACAACACAACCGTGATGCTTCATATTAGGCTCAACTCCGTTACAAGCCATGTTGCTGAATATCTTTATACCGTAATCTACTAATCCCGCGTGTCTACACGCGGTTAAAGCAGCTAGGTACGAGACATCGTCAGGCTTGATGCTATTCTGGTCAAGTTTCTCGAAGATCGCTAACGCTTTGTGTGCTTCTCCGTGCACTGCAAATCCCATGATCATCGTGTTCCATGTAACAATGCTCTTCTTGACTGTGATTTGCTCGAAAACGCCGAAAGCTTTATCCACAAACCCGCATTTCGTATACATATCGATTGTCGCGTTGCTAACGATCACGTTTCGATCCAAGTTTGAGTCTTTTATGTATCCATGGATCTTCTCACCTTCTTTAATAGCACCCAAATGAGAACAAGCTCCAAGAGCAGCAACAACAGTGATTTCGTTTCTTCGGATTCCTTCAGTTTCCATTCGTTTATAGAGCTCCAACGCCTCGTGCGCTCGATTTCCAGACGCTAATCCAGCGATCAACGCGTTCCACGACGCGACATCTCTCACAGGCATTTCGTCGAACAGTTTCTGCGCGCTGATTAAATCTCCGGTTTTGGAGTACGCGTCGACCAACGTGGTGCAGAGAAGTGCGTCTGCGAATAATCCACGACTAGTTGTTTGGCCGTGGAGCTGCGACGTGGCGGAGGAGCAGAGCGCGCGCGCGCATGCTTTTAAAGTGAAAGAGCAAGTGAGAGCATCGACTCTACACAGAGACGGCGATGAGGAAGCTTGCGACAGCATGGAGCGATACCATGAGAACGCGAACGACGGCTGAGAACTGGCGGCGAATCCGCGGATGATTGCGTTCCAGTCATTGGTCAGTGGTTTAGGGATGTGACGGAAAATCAGTACGGCGAAGGAAAGGTCTCCGAAGGGAGCGATTGCGCAGCGGTCGAGAAGACGTGAACGGAGAAATGAAGATTGGAAATGGCCGGCGGTGAGAAAATGGGACTGGAGCTGTTTGATTTGAGAGAAAGTGACGCATTTTTGTATCAGCGTCTCCATGTAAACACGAGCCATTCCATTGACGCTGCTCGCAATCTAAAGAAGCTCGCTTAAAATTTTGAATCTTTGTACATTATTAAGAGAATAAACAAATTCAAGAAATCATGAGTTTCGAATTTAAATTTAAAGAATCAATTCTTCTTTATATATAAAATCAAAAATTTAAATCATGAATCGATTAACAAACGCTCAAATCAACTGTTACAAGTTACAACAACAAACAAACAGAGAAGCTTTCTCTGTTCTTGAATGGTCGCTGAGATATCAAGCTTACTCTAACACCGAACATGTTTCTTCTTGTCTGGATTTCAATTTCGAAGATCGTTCTTCATATGAAGCTGCAGAACAAAAAAGAAAAAAAACACGAGAGGATCAATATATGAGATCTTCATCGTTACATCTGTTATATGTTGCAGTGAGAGAAGATATCAGAAGACTTACGCTCTGTTGGTCGAGATAACAGAGGAGCGTGTATTGCTGGTTTCTTCTTCTTTTCTACGCTTTTGCACGTACTTTTCTCTGTTATATTGAAACTTTTATAAGCACTTTCATGTAACTCATGCTACTACTTTAGGTAAAGGATGAAACTGAAATTATACCATTTGTTAAAGGTAAACAGTTCTTGAGAGCTTCTTGGAAAATCACAGACTCTAACTGGTACCTCAGTGACTCATTCTTGAAATGAGTCTGTAGTGACTGTGCAGCGCCTTATAGACATGAAGAGAGGTTGATATTATCATTAGCTTCTGGATCTGAAATCAGTTCCAAGATATCTCGAACAAGCTTTTAATTACCTGAAGAACAAATGAAGTTGATGTTTTCAAATTCGCATGTGCGGAGGACTAAGGGGATCTCCGAGGCTAAGAGGTATTGAGGTTTTCTTGGGGTGGTCTTGGTGTCCAACAATGTATCTATCAACTGCGTAAGTAACGAAAAGTTCAAGCAGAAATCAACATACGAAGAAAATATAAACCGGTGGGAAAAAAAGAAACTGGAACAAACATGGGAGGCGTCCAAGAAACTTACATCAACCGATTCAACGCCCTGCCCAATCATGAATAGCACAGCGACCATGGCGCGGACCTGGTGCCACAGGAAAGCACTGCCTCTCATTGTAAATGTGCAAAGCTGAGCTCCCTCATGACTTCACAAGAAGAAAAACAAGTACATCCGAGGTTTTAGGACCAAAATATAAAGGAAATTATCAGAAAGACAGGCGTGTGTTGAACAACGGCCAATGTGCCCAAGAGGATGCAATGTTCAGATGATCTCTAGGACATGATAACCTTCAAAACTATACAATTTTACTAGTCACAACCTATAATCCTAGTGGTCTACCATTAGTTCCTCAAAAATCATATGGTCTTAAGCAAGAATCTTAGCCTTTATAGCATCTAAAGTCAGTATCAAGAATACTAATGCAGTCAGCAGTCAAAATGGGGAAACTAGAAAGTTTGCTAAAATGTGGTTTTTTACCAAAGCCGACCTATTTTGACAAGGAGAGACTTCAAAGAAAGTAACTCGTCGTGTATAGACATGCACATTTGCCACGTCCATCTTGCAAAAGTTCCTGAAATCATGCTCCCCAAGAAACTTCTTACCAGCAGTGTCCATAGCCTACAGGAAAATGCGAATCAATATAAGCGTCTATATTGCTTCAATTTTGAAGTGCTTTAACTTTATAAACGTGTGTAGAGAGAATCACAGTACCGAAAGATCCAGGTTTTGTCTCCAGAAGAAATATTTGTATTCTCTAGCAGAGCAACTGAACCTGTACGCAGGGAAACAAAAAGGGGTATCCAATAATAGTTAATAAAGCATTCTGGAGTCTCAAGGGCAGAATAGCGCACACAAGAATGGAAGGAAGCTAAAAATAGGGAACACACAGACCTTGCATGAAAGTCAATAGGAACAGGAGACCATCCAATAACTCGGATGTCATCAGGAAGAGCACGATTCAGAACTCTTACATAATCATATTCTCCTTCTAACCCTGAGAAAAGCATATGATTACAACAAACACCATTAAGAGGGGAGATACCACTAAACAGAATTACATCTGAAGAGCAAACTTAATCTCACCCATTTTCTCATCAACAAGGGCTTCTCCTGGAGGTGTCTTCAGTCTGGATCTTAAAAACAAAGCAACCACCTATCAACAATCAAATGCGTATACGTTAGAGATATCAAGGAATGCTCCTAATACAATCTTTTGGAAGAACACCAGCACAATTGATGAGATTAGATCATTTGCTTCAGACAACTAGTGATCAACAAGGATTTTAAGTGAGGCCAAGAGAAATGATCTACAAGGATTTCAAGTGAGGCATAAAATGCAAGAGAAACTACGTAATACAGTCAGGAGATGCTCAAGCAATCCACCTGTCCTGTCGACGAAACACCTTTATCAGTTCTCCCACATCTCGAGTAATTACAGTCTTTCTTGTCACCAACTAAAAGCCGTGTCCTTTCAAAAGCTTTAAAAATCTCTGACTGCAGGAAAAAAAAAGACAAGTTACTTACTCATTGTGTAAATGCAAAAATATGTCATTCGTAAAACAAAGAGAAACATAACCACACCTCAATACTTGGTTCCATTTGTGCTTCAGCCGAAAAGCCATAGAATCTATAACAGGGAAAAGTCTTATTCAATTATACGATTAGGAAATGGCATTGCATCAGAGGAAGAGAAGTAGACGCTAAAAACATATACACAAGCATACCTCTTACCAAAATACATGATTTTAAGAGCAATATATCTCTTTGAGATAAGATGACTCGGTATGCTCTTCTCAGCTTTTCTTCTACCTCTTTTGCTTCTCCTAACTAAGCTTCCCGATTCTAACACAGACAATTCATGCTTCACTCCCATCTACAACGTAAACATAGAACACAAGAAGATTCATATTCATGGCACTTTCGTACCAAAAGACAGTTAAAAGTCAAAATCAAGGGTATGAACATTGTTCACCTGTTGGCATTGACAGCATGAAATCTGGGATAACAATTTAGCATTTTCCGCCTCTAACTCCTGTTGAGATATAGAATAAACAAGGAGCAGATCAACGAATCTGTGGTACTTCACCAAAAAGCCAAAATACCATCTACCAAGTGGAATTGAAACTTCTATATGAGAATCAGTCGAAGATTGACGACGATATCAAATTCGATTTCAAACACTGTGTGTTCGAATCGTTCCACTAACAAATCGATTAATACGGAGAGCAGGAAATTCGAAGCTGCGAAGATGACAGGAAGTACGGAGATTCTACCTTGACGCGATTACGGAGAGACTCTAATTCGATTGCTATATCGGATTCAGAGTTTCGCCCATCGCCGCCGGGATCCGCTTTCCCGCAGGACATAGTCATTTTAACAGCGGCGGAAGTACGACGGCGACGAACGTTCGAAATCGGCCGAGACTCGACGCCAGTTGAAAAATGTTCCAAAACGGCGCCGTTGGAAGAAACAGTTTGGGTTTTCGGATGGTCAGAGAGATACATACAGTATTTACAATTACTATGATTAAGAAAAAAAAAAAAGAAATCAATAAAAAATGTCATTGTAAATAAAAAATGATGGTCCAATTGGAGTCGGGTCATTGGGTCATAGTGGGCTCAGAAGGCACCGGCCCGTAATCCTTCCACCGTCGAAAGCGGGAGGTGGACGCTGCTCTGTGAAACCAGCCTCACGCAGTCTCCTCCGCTCTAAGAGAAACCGAACCACAAGCCTTCGCTCGGGTCCGAACTCTCAACTCCCGACTTGGAATGGGCAGGCCAGTAGAAAGCCCAAACCGAACCCGGCCAAATGAAATCGACCCAAAGTCCCATCACCTTATAGTCTCCACATGGATCACAAGCCCGCGTTACTGAGCTCGACGTACAACATGTTCCAACTAAACATATATATACAACAAGTAAACGCCTCTTTCTTCCGATGTGGGACTTTCGGTGCCTGAACTAAACACATATCTATATACAAATTCCTCTTATCGAAAAAAAACTTTCAATATAAACTCCTTGCCAGAAGCTTATTCCGCCGCTCCGGCTTACAAAGCCCTAATGTTCTTCCGGCGCTCTCTGCCACCGGAGTCCTTCTTTATCACGTCCACGGTTTCGAGAAGATTTTTGGGGAGTTTTTGCGGTGGACCCGGTCTAATCTAGTTCCGGCTAATATACTGCTCATAACCGGTAATGAGCTAGTGGAAATCCATTACCAATGGTTTTCAACCCTACAACTTCAGGGATTCACCATTCTTCACGCAAACCCTCAGGGATATCCTCAAGCTAATGAAGACAGCTATCTCTGGGAAAGCTTACTCAAAGTACCAACGGAGGAAAGCGAAACGAGTCGCTGTTTATCGGCTGGTGGTGAATATTGTTTCAAGTTTTTTTGCTCAGTGTGTTGTGATACATGTACTGGCAAAAGCTTTCGAGACTTCACCAAGCATCTCAACAGTAGAGCTCATGTACTTTGTGAGTTTGACAAGTCTCATGAGCAGAGCTCATGCCCTTTAATCTTTCTGAGTTCTTTAACAAAAAAAGAAACGCTTCTTCGTTGTTTGAAGATGACCGAAGGAGCCTCTAGAGGATGACCAAGAAAAAGAAGAAGAAGAAGAGTACATGTCGGTGCTGTGTTTGTTCTTCTTCTCTATGACATTTTCTATATGGTGAAGTACTGTTTGTTCAAGTCGAAATTATAGGTTAATTTTTTTTAATTGTTATTTTTCGATGTGATATATATGATTTTGTCTATGTTCCATTATCTAACTTATTTTCTAGAAAAATTTAGCAAACTAGTAAAAAGGAGCCTATTTTTTTCACACAAAAAAAAAGTTAATTAAAGTACTTTATGTTTGATGTTAGAAACTACTAATTTTACTCATACTTCTACTAGAAGAAGAAAAAAGAAAATTTCCTATTTCTGTTAGAACTTAGAATAAGGAAAGTGACTGTTCTATAAATACACAAACGTATGATAGAAGTTACATCTTGCTCACTCGTGATCGTCGAGCAAACCTCCTTCTTCTCGGACCTTTTTTCGTCAAGTTTTAGCTATGGGAGCTGTTGTTGAAGATAACGACATGTTCTTAGAAAACGAATTTGGGAAGTTATCTTTATACGTAGGAGATCTTGATTCGAGCGTTGAAGAATTTGATTTATACAACAAATTCAATGCCAACGGCGAGGTTTCCTCAGTTAGAATCTGTCGTGACCGAATCAGCGGCTCGTCTCTTGGATACGCATATGTCAATTTCCACCGTAGCTCTGATGGTAAGTCACAATCCCATATGTTACTCTTTTCCCCCTCTTAATTTAGGGTTTTGAGAGAAGAAGGGTTTAGTTTTTATTATTCGTTTATTTTGGAACTAAAATCTGAATTTCTTTTGTCTATTTTGACAGCTGAGAAGGCGATGAAAGAGATGAATTTCGTGGAGGTGAAGGGAAAGCCGATGAGGATAATGTTCTCGAACCATGATCCTAGCATGAGAAGAAGCGGGAGAGGTAACGTGTTCGTCAAGAATCTAGACAAGTCTTTCGATAACAAGCAGCTCTTCGACCTATTCTCTTCGTTTGGATCGGTTCTCTCTTGCAAAGTGGCTCGTGATGCTTATGGAGTTTCAAAGGGATACGGCTTCGTCCAATTCGAGTCCGAATCTTCGCTCATATCCGCTGTTAAAACCCTCAACGGCTCGTTCGTCGGTGAACAATACCTACACGTTTGTCCATTCGTGAGCCGTCGTCAATGGGACGCGTCTCCGGTTTTCACCAACGTATATGTTAAAAACTTGGCTAAGAAGGCAACGGATGATGATTTGAAGACGGTTTTCGGAGAATTCGGATCGATTAGTAGCGCGGTTGTGATGAGAGACGGAAAAGGCAAGTCTAGAAGATTTGGATTTGTGAGCTTTGAAAAATCTGAGGCTGCGGCTACTGCGGTAGAGAAGATGAACGGGACGGTCGTCGATGAAAAGGAATTGTACGTTGCTAGGGCACAGAGGAAAAAGAACAGAGTTGAGAGTTTGAAAGCTGAGTTCAAATCGAACAAGGTCAAACCAGATGTGAGAGTGGTTAAAGGTGTGAATCTTTACGTGAAGAATCTTGATGATGGTGTTAACGATGAGAAGCTCCAAGATTTGTTTTCTGAGTTTGGAACCGTCACTTCTTGCAAGGTCATGGTTCACTTGAATGGTATGAGCAAAGGTGTTGGGTTTGTTGAGCTTTCAACTAGCGAGGAAGCTTCTGCAGCGGTAAGTTTGTAAACCAATTTCTTTAGTGTTGCTTTATGATCAAGGAACTTGAGGCTAATTATTTTGTCTCCTTTTTTCTTATGCAGATGCTCAAAATGAATGGGAAGATGGTGGGGAAAAAACCTATTTATGTTTCTTTGGCGCAACGTAAAGAGGAACGTAAACTTCATCTTCAACCTCAATTTAGTGACGTGGTTTTGCCAACTCCACTACCATATCTTCATCAACATCCTCCAATCTTCAGTCAAGCAGCCACTTCGACGACAGCATTATTGCCTCCATTCAGAGGATACAACAATTTTCAACCACAGATCATGTTTCCACCAAGATTTTCAAACGGTTTCCCAACAATGCACGTCCCTAACTTCATGGTACCGCAACATTTTCCACCTCCTCCTCCGAGCGCGTTCCTGTTACCGCAGTCGCGACAGGTGCTATGGAACCAGTACTAGCTTATAGGGTCTTTCGCTTTTAGAAGATGAACTTGTTCGGATTGATATTGCTTCTTTTTTATTGTCATTCTGGTTTTGACTTGCTTTGGTTGTAAGTCATGATTAGGATTCTATCTACCATATTATTATCGATCTCGTTGGTTTTTAATCTTATATGGGTTCAAGCCGCGATTTAGATTTCAGAAATGGATAAACAAAATGCAAACAGGTTTCAAACTTTCAAGCTCATGCACTGCGTAAAAATAAAACCAAGTCCAAGAAAAATCCGAAATTGTATAATTCCTCCTTAAAAAACTACCAACTATCTAACAGAGAAACAACTTTTGTGAGATGGAAGCTACTCAAAAGGTCACAACCTGTTCGTGGGAGGTTTGACTCTGTAAATACGAACAATCCAGTTTGATGTTGTGTAGGCTTCTTCCAAGTGTTCCAGTTTTATGTCTTTGTTCCCTATTTCAAACCATCTTGCTCTATCATACCTGCCAATCATTTCACAAAACGCATTTAATTTCTTTATCATATCAAAAAGTTAAATCAAACACACTTGAACAAAATTAGATGAAGAACCAACCAGTTTAACTTATAACTTTAATTCTAAATCCTATCTATCAAACCATGAAGTCTCCTTAAAAATACTCCTAGTTGCAACAAGAGAACGATGCAGACATGATAAACGAAATCAAAACAATAAAAACTGAATCATAATCATTGATAGAAAAGTAACAGGGATCGGATAAGCTTCGCTAATCGCAAATATTTTATCAAATATTCGTAGTCATTTTGGATTCTAAAATGACAGGGGTTTTTATATACAGAATAAATCAACATTCGGATGCTATCAATATTATTAAAAAATTTGACATAATTCTTGCAATCGATGGTGTTGCTATAGGAAATGATGGTGTAGATATTAGCTGATATGATCAATGTGGAATACTACATATGTTCAAGAATTCGCAGGTAAGGAAGGATCACATTATATAGTTATAAATTTGACTACAATAAGACTATTTGGGCTTATATAAATATTTTTGTGATGAAATCAGGTGAAGAGCTAGTGTCAACTAAGTCAAGGTCAAGAATCCAAAGCATTTGTTTGAACTCATAGAGAAATTACGACAAAAATAGAGTTAGGAGATGGTCGAGTTATATTTTTTTTATCAGTCGGCGAAAAGTTCCACTTCTTTGATCTTGGAACGCATCGCACCATCGGCAATGTCCAAAGATCTCGTGATTGATCAATCGTAGACATGTTCCAGTACGAGGGTATAAAATCGAATTTCAGTTTATTCATACGGGTTATACATTCGGTTTAATTGACTCTCTACAAAATAATATTGTATATTTTAAAGACTATTTTTCCTTAGTATAACAAATTTATTTTTAAATAAATATTTGTAATATTTTAACGAACAAAGAAAACAAATTTGATTTTGTTCGGTTCATTTATTCGGTATGTGAATACAAACTATGTAGTATTATATATTTGTCTAGCTAGTACCTTCCTTCTTTGAAGCTAATCAAAATTTGATATCAAACTTATACAATCTTGTTTATACTAAGCTTTGAATTAAACTTAAGTCTTAGATGATATTATTGATCTTTGTATTGTAATGATATTGACCATTTAGAAGCTACTTTCTAGCTCTGTGTTTTGCTTTTTAGACGTTAACCTAGTTGACTTTCATAAGCTTTTGTTCTAAATAGAGTTGCAAAACAAGATATTTAGCTACTGAAATAAGCTACTTTTTTTTTTTGGATATAAAAGTGAAATTGAGCTAGTTTTTTATGAATCAATGCGTGTGACTGAGCCTAATTTTCAAACCCAAGCATTTTATGAATGTGCCAACCTTCTTAACTCTCACTGATTTTACGTTTGATCCTTGGGCTAAATTAGTTTCTCTGTGTAAGGCTACTTGTTTGATTGGGAAATTGATGGTTGGCTTGATTTCATCACTCTCTACTCAGTGAATTGCTTTAAAAGTTTTTTTTTTTGTGTTGGAAGGAGTGAAGGACTAGGACGCTATATCATTATCTTCTGTTTTGTTGTTGTTGATTTTTTACAAGATTAGACGAGGAGATCTGGAAGACAAGGTCGTCCCTTTCCGCCAGCTAGTTGATTGGCACGCCATGCAACTCTCCTATACAGCAGTAGCTGCAGCTTTGCTCGCCTTCATGCTCGCGCCAGCATTTCTCTACTATTCTTCCCAGCTACTCCATGCAGTTTTCGTTGAGAAGCAACTCAGCGTCATCTTCTTTCTTCTCTGCATAGGCGCAGCGGGATGGTACCTCTGTCCGTCCATGGAGGAGAGTATGGCGAGTCTGGAGAGAGAGCGTGCAGAGCTGCAGCATTTCGGACATGTGGTTCCCACGTCTCCAGCTGCTTTGGATCCGCCATTTTCTTCCGCGCCATTGTCTGTGACGGATCCGACGTCGTCTCCAGCTACTTCCAGTCCCCCAGATTCGCCATTTTCTTCCGTGCCATTGTTTCCGGCGGATCCGACATGGTCTCCAGCTGCTTCCGGTTCATCAAGGAGTTCAAGAACCGACTCAACCTGCAGACGAGAAAGACGCGTATGGAGTAAAAGTTAGAGAGTATGCTTGTTCTCTCTTTGGTTTAGCTATGAGATGTGTATAGGAAAATATTTAAAACATAATTTTTGCTCATTTTTTGCTAAACTATGTCTAAATTAATGCTAAATTTATGCAGAATATTATATAAGAAAATTTAAACAATGTTTTCATCACATAATATTTCTCTTATTTTTCATGTGGTTGTAAACTTTCTCTGATTCTCACTTCGTAATATTAACATTTACAAATCACAAAAATAATCAACAATCTTCTTTTTTATCAAATATAGTCTACAATATTCTCCGGCGGCATTTACTTATCCACCATCATTTTTGGTGGAGTTTCCATCGTATCCCATCCAAGGTAAAAGATTCAATTGTGGAACGAATTATAGAACCCATTAATTATTTATATCGGTTAGAACTTAGAAGACATCCCTTATGATAATCATTAAAAGGCTCTGTTTAAAATATTGGTAATCGTTAATCGGGGGATTTGAGATTTAAAAAAAAAAGAGATTAAGTGGGGATGAAATTGTAACTATAATTTATATATTTTTCAAACATTTTTATATATGTAACTCAATAACATATATTGAATCATGATCACATTTCAAAAGATTATATATTGTTATTTTGCCAATTCACATCTATTACAAAAGGGTTCGAGGTTTGTGCTTACATAAAAATCCCCAATTCAATTTCATGACACTAAGCTTTTCTTGGTCCATATATTTTTTTTTTTTTGTCAAAAACGACGTGGCATGAAGATTTAGTGGGCCAATTTAAACAAGAATTAGCAATTAGGCCCAAACAATTAAACAAATTGTACGCTGCTTTTTGTAAAAGAACGTTTACTCTCGGTCAACCAACCTTTCACAAATTGCTCCCGATGAGCGCTTTTTGTTCCAATGTTTCACAAAAAGCGGCGCTTTTTTTAACACACTACAAAGATGCGTTGGAGCATCAATCAATGAATCCACAACATCTCAATTTCAACATCTCAATCGAAAGTAAATCTACAAGTATCGAAAATGAAAAACAGAATGAGTATATTTGTGCTATAAAAAAAAAACTACTTGTGCCAAAATATTCTCGCTCACCTACAAATTAAAAGGACATGAGACGAACTACATCCAAACGTGTGTTATTTTAAGCTATTTTTTTTTCTATCACATGCCATTCATTACAAAAAGAAAGTTTTGTTCTCGCGTCTTCTTTTTCATTGGAAAGTTATCAAGTATGTTTTAAGGTTACTACCTTAATATGAAGCGTGGTTTTTGGCTTTTAAAACATTCAAGTTCCAATTTTGTTAGATATTTGGGTCTCTAGTTTATATAAGCAAATTTGGGGATTTAAGTTCATGACCGGATCTGACTAGGTCATATAAAAATTATAGACACGGATAGATCACTAATTGGATAGAGTTTAAGATGAACTTACTAGCTAGGTATATATAATATATTAATCAATTTACCACACTAACTTTCCTAAGAAATTACAAATCAAGAAGAAATGCAAAGATTGTATTATCTAACCATACCAAGAAATCAAGATCACAATCCTTCTTAAAAAAGTACAAAGAATGGCCTATAGACGATCAAACAAGACCAATGATCAACAAATCAAAATGCAAGAACTATATAATATAACCTAGCTAAAGCATTATTTATCGACATAGTAACATGGAAATTCAAAGCACATATGCCACATGCATACGATGGATGGCGATGATAAAATTAGAATCCAAATTCACTGTTCACTTCTAGTTTCTTGGTTTTGAGTTGACATTAACCTTACGAAAATGTATGTAAAGCAACAAAAAAGCATATGGTAGGGAATCAAAGAAAGATCCATTGCACATTCTAAAATATATGCAAAGGTTATTCAATACATCTTTCAAGCTCCATCAACTTTGTTAAGACTAAGAGACCAAGTGACATACATGCACTAGTACCGTAACAGAAATATTTTCAATCAATAGATCGTAAAAACTCGAGTCAATGGTTAGTCTAGTAAAATAATCATTAGAAGCATGATGAAATAATCCATAATTGCTCAGACAATACTATTTAAATGTAGGATAGTGAGAATGTCATTCCACATGTTTAAACTGATTGTCAAAGGTGTTAGGACATGACAGAAAACAAATACATTCAAGATCAAGCAAATTATTACGAGAATCAGTCCCTTGCTTGCACTAAAAGCAAATGGCTACAAGAAACTCCATGATATATATTATCCGTTTCATAAAATAAGAAACCTTATGATACACACAAGCACCAAAACAGAGATAATATGCATTTTCTAATCAAGACTCAAGAGACAGAAATACATTTCAGTTTCAAAGAAATTACTACCATAGTCTGTAGCTTGCTCACATTCAAAATAACTATCTACAAAAAATCCAAGATATATCAATTCCATAAATTGAGATAACTTATAAAGCATACAAGCACCAAAACACTTTTTTCTCGTCAAAAGAGGTAAATACATTCAAGATTCAAAGAAATGACTACTATAGCCTGCAAGAGTCTCACTTACATTTAAAATAATTATCTACAAAGACCATATGTTGGATCTTGAATGCATATACTGAGAGACCTTATGATGCATACAAGCACAAAAACAGATAAATACCAATTTCTAGTCAAGAGAGATAAATACAATCAAGATTAGCCTGGAAAATTCTTGCTGTCATTCAAAATAATGATCTACAGAGAGTCTAATATATATCCATTTCATAAAATGAGAGACGTGATGTAGAGAAGCACCAAAACAGAGAAATACACATTTTCTATTCAAGAGAGATAGATACATTCAAGATTCAAAGAAATTACTTCTATCGCATACAAAAGTCACACTTACATTCAAACTAATTATCTACAAAGACTCTAAAATATATCCATTTCATAAAATGAGAGACCTTCTGACATTGTGAACACACAATGTGATGTACCAATACGGAAAGCAAAATCTACCCTTTTATCAATGGGTTATATTAGCAATATGTTTCTACAATCTGATGGATACTAGAACAAGGATAGTAATCTAAAAATCATACGATCAGACAAGACCAATGATCAACAAACCATAGCTAAAATATTATTTATCGACATAAATAACATGGAAATTCAAACCACATAGGCCACATGCCTAAGATGGCGATGATAAAATTAGAAAACTCGCTGCTAGTTTCTTGATTTTGACATTAACCTTAGGAAAATGTTCTTAAAGCAACAACAAAAAAAACATGGTAGGGAATTAAAGAAAGATCCATTGCACATTCTAACATATATACACAAGTTATTCAATAGATCTTTCAAGATCCATCAACTCTGTTAAGATCAAGTGACATACACTAGTACCGTACACAGAAATATTTTCAATCAACAGATTTTAAAAACTCAAGTCAATTGTTTACAATATATAGGATCTAGTAAAATAATCATCAGACGCATGATGAAGAATCCATAATTTCTCCGAAAATACTATTTAAATGTAGGATAGTGAGGATGTCATTCCACATGTTTAAATTGATCGCCAAAGGTGTTAGACGTGACAGAAAACACATATATTCAAGATCAAGAAAATTACTACGAGATCTGAAGGAGTCTCTTGCTTGCACTAAAAAAAATGCCTACAAGAACCATAGTCTGCATCTTGCTTACATTCAAAATATCTATCTACAAAGACTCCAAGATATATCAACTGCATAAAATGAGAGACCTTATAAAGCCTACAAGCACCAAAACAGAGAAATTCACATTTCTGGTCAAGAGAGGTAGATAGAAACTACAACTATAGCCTGCGAGAGTTTCACTTACATTTAAAATAATTATCTACAAAGACGCCAAGATAGGCACCAAAACAGGGGAAGTAGGAGGATATTTGAAGCACCAAAACAAATAAACAACACATTTTCTAGTCAATAGAGATGGATACTTTAAAGATTCAAAGAATACTATCGCCTGCAAGAGTAACATTTACAATCAAACTAATTAATTACAGAGATATATCCATTTCATAAAATATGAGACCTCAAGATGCAGAGAAGCACCAAAAGAGGGAAATACAGAATCTCTAGTCAAGAGAGATTGCAACATTCAAGATTCAAAGAAATTACTACTATAACCTTCAAAATAAATATCTACAGAGACTCGACTATATATATCCATTTCATAAAATGAGAGACCTAATTAGTAATTATGCAAAGAAGCACCAAGACAGAGAAATGCACATTTCCTGGTCAAGAGAGATAGGTACATTAAAGATTCTACAAAACTACTACTACTGCCTGCAAAAAGTCACATTTACATTCAAACTTATTATCTACAGATACTCTAAGGTATGTCCATTTCATAAAAAATGAGACCTTAGGATGCAGAGAAACACCAAAAGAGAGAAAAACACATTTCCTGGTCAAATAGATAAATGCATTCAAGATTTAAAGATCTACAAAGACTCTATCCATTTCCTAAAATGAGAGGCCTTAGGATGCATAGAAGCACCAAAACAGAGAAAATAAACATTTTGTAATCACTGACCTTATGATCACTGAACACGCAAAATCTACACTTTTATCAATGGTTATTAGCAATATGTTTCTACAGTCTGATGGATACTAGAACAAGGATAGTAATGTTTTAAAGACAGCTACTTAAGAAACGTTAAGTTCCAATTATAAATGGCGCTTAGATCTGTATTTCTAACTTAAGGAAAGAAACTAACAGGTACTTGTTTCAGTATTGTAGAAATTTCTGAGATAGCTATACCAGAGAGAAGTCTTCCAGCGGTTGCAGGACTCAAATCTATAACGTAGCCTTCACCTTTACGTTCTGTTGCCGACTCCGCATTCACAGAAAGTAAACACCTTATGAAGTACATACCTGAAAAAATTAAATAAAAAAATCCTTATTCAAGCGGTTACAGAAATATGCTAAAACTTAGAAATATCCAAAGAATTTTGGAAGCTTATCTAAGCACCTGTCAGAAGTGAAAATCAAAATTAGTATGTTTCTCTTACTTGTGATTTTCATAATCAACTAAATACAAAGAAGTTTTGAAAAGCACATACCTTTGATAGAAATCTGATCACTTGACATCTCCTCAAAGTCTCTAACAATTTGAACACCTTCTGAAGCACATACCTAAAGAAATCAGAATTAATTAGTCTCTGTCTCACCATATATTACATGGGGTAGTGTAAAGAATCGGTTGCATAGTCTTTCAGGCTGGTTGTTCACATTATATAGTCTTTGTCTAAAGACTTTTATTTACAGCCTTGTGGTTGAGTAAACCACAGTCTTTGTCTAAAGACTTTTACTTGCAGCCTTGTGGTTGAGTCAAGTTTTCGATTCATAGTCTTAAGTCATGAGACTTGTGAAATCGTTAGTTTTTTTTCACCATCCAACAAATCTAAACCGATCCATAGACTTTGTGAAATCGTTAGTTGTTTTTCACCATTCAACAAGTCTAGACCAATCAATAGTCTTTGTTCACAGACTTTGTGAAATCGTTAGTTGTTTTTCACCATCCAATAAGTCTAAACCAATCAATAGTCTTTGTTCACAGACTTTGTGTGAAATCGTTAGTTGTTTTCACCATCCATGTGGTCGTTCCTTTCCACCCAACACCGTCTTTGTCTAATGACTTTTAACCATTGTGGTAATGGTTAAGTAAGAGTCTTTCTTTATGACTTCTCGAAGCCGTTGAAGAATCTTTCTTTCTGTTGTCTTAAAAGACTTTCTCAAGCTGTTGGTTGTTATTATCCATCCAACAAGTTCTCAGTTCATAGTCTTTCTTTATGTTGTCTTAAAGACTTTCTCGAGCTGTTGGTCGTTATTTTCCATCCAACAAGTTCTCGAGTCATAGTCTTTCTTTTTGTTGTCTTAAAGACTTTCTCAAGCTGTTGGTTGTTATTTTCCATCCAACAAGTTCTCGGTTCATAGTCTTTCTTTGGGGTTACTCTTACCTTGGGGTAAGGTTGTTATTTTCCATCCAACAAGTTCTTGGTTCATAGTCTTTCTTTGGGGTTACTCTTACCTTGGGGTAACTGAACATATAGTTCCCTGTTCATAGTCTTTCTTTCTGTTGTCTTATGACTTTCTCAAGCTGTTGGTCGTTATTTTCCATCCAACAAGTTGTTCATAGTCTTTCTTTATGTTGTCTTGAAAAGACTTCCTCAAGCTATTGGTCGTTATATTCCATCCAACAAGTTCTCGGTTCATAGTCCATAGATGATCCGTAGATGTAAAATATTCTCCATAACAGAATTTTCCATTTTCTTCCTGTTCCCACTAAAAGAATAGTCTATAACGTCTAAATTTACTTAACTCTAAATTAGCAGTCGTGTATTATATGTGAAACTGATAGAGACATAGAGTAAATCTGTAAATGCAAAATATAGTTGACAACAAATTTACACTTGAAGGTCATGGTTCACTTGAATGGTATGAGCAAGGTGTTGGGTTTGTTGAGTTTTCAACTACCGATGAAGCTTCTGCAGCGGTAAGTTTGTAAACCAATTTCTTTAGTATTGCTTTTTGACCAAGGAACTTAGGGCTAATTAAATTTTCATTTTTTCTTGTACAGATGCTCAAAATGAATGGGAAGATGGTGGGGAAAAAGCCTATTTATGTTTCTTTGGCGCAACGTAAAGAGGAACGTAAACTTCATCTTCAACCTCAGTTTAGCAACGTTGTTTTGCCGACTTCCCAACCATTCCTTCATCAACATCTACCAGTTTTCAGTCAAGCAGCCACTTCGACGACAGCATTGCCTCCATTCAGAGGATACAACAATTTTCAACCACAGATCATGTTTCCACCAAGAATGCCAAACGGTTTAAAGCATCGGAATATGATATAGAATTGTTAGGAAATATATAAAGCTATGGTCTCTAGCATACCTTGGTAGACCAAATCATGTCATCACTCCTGGAGGCCAACATGCAACTAGCAAGCCTTCATGAAAGGGTAAAAATAAAGAATTAGCCATTTTCGGGTAACACAAAACCAATTAATTAAGCTAGACATCAAAGTGGCAGACGAACCTGTTCTATGAGATGACATTCACATTTGCGTTATGTGCCTTGAAAGATACTACATGAAATATTTTAATCTTAAAATATGAGATATGCAATCTTTTTTTTTTTTTTTTTTCTATTAGAATATGGAAAATATAATATTTTTCCTACGCTTGGTAAGGCATAGAAGAGTATTTTTCCCGTAAGAATATGGATCCTTTTTATCTTACAATATGACGTGCAAAAATATTTTTTATTTTTTCCGTTAGAATATGCAACATTTTTTCACTTTTTCCATTTTTTCCCTTATTCGTTGGAAAATGTACATTTTTTTCTCTTAGACTATAAGACATGAAAAAAAATATGTTTTTTTTTTACTATTTCCGTTAGAATATGGAAAATATATTTTTCCCTTTTTTCATATCTTTTTAATTAGTTTATTCTTTTTTAAATACACATGTCAAGATCTTAATAGTTGTCACATGAAAATTGACATTCGTCGCAATTCTATAAATTATAAAAATCTGAGGCGTCACAACCACGCCGCATCCATCTAACTTTATATAATAACTAGATATACGCGGTTTATTATACAATTTTTGAAATAAATTATGGAAATATATTAAATAAGATTTGACACTTTAAAAGTAAGTAGATTAATATTTAATACCCGATAACAAATCTATAAAATAAAATTAGATTGGTAATCCTTTTACATTTTAATTATAATTAACATATTTTTCTGAATGCATGATACATAAATAAATTAATTTGTTATCTTTTTATTTTTATCTAAAATAGAAATACTTACTCATGTGTAAGTGTGGTCGATTGATTAATTCGTGAAACCTTTATTATTCCATTCAAGATTCCGTTGATGATGAAATCATTTTTAATATTGTTTTACCTAAAAAAATAATATAAAAATTAAACTATTAAAATTAGAATATCCAGTTCGTTATAATTTTTTTAGTATTAGTTAGTTGCTCGATAATTATTTTGTTCGTTTCCTATTTATATTGTTTTTTTTCTGAAACAACCAACATTTTTTTATATAATTAATTACTGAACAATTCTAACGAAGGTCTTTAAAATAAATTAAATAAATAATTTAAATAACAATATCAATTCTGTTCAGCGGAAGCAAACAAATAATTAAACAAGTCTAACAACTTAAACAAGTTCAATGAAATAAAGCAAAACAATAAATCCTATCATTCCCTCTTCAGCCTCGATTCCACAATCACAAGAACTCTTTTACCTGCAACACATTGGAATGAAGTTGCATAAGTATTTAATAAATATTTAGTGAGGCAATCACTATGCCTACAGGCCATTTACTCAATTTACTAGCAATTAAAATAATTATTATAAACTCAATAATTATTAATATATTATCTCTCCATTATTAAATAATTCTCAGTGATTAAAACTTCATTTCTCAATTATTAAATAATTCTCATAATTAAATAATAATTTTTCATATTTTAAAATAATTTAAATAATTATTTCAAGACACTTAAATCACTTAAACATCATCACATAAACCTCATATAATAATCAATTAACGCAGTGCCACGGACTCGGGTGGAGAGATTAATTGGATGGACAGCTCCATCGACCGGCTGGTTTAAATTGAACTCGGACGGTGCATCACGTGGAAACCCGGGTCTCGCGGCGGCAGGAGGGGTTCTGAGAGACGGTAATGGTCGGTGGTATGGTGGTTTCTCTCTCCACATTGGACGTTGTACCGCTCCGTTAGCTGAGTTATGGGGCGTTTATTATGGTCTTGTTATGGCATGGGAGAAGAAGATAACGAAGCTGGAGGTAGAGGTGGATTCGGAGTTGGTGGTGGGGATTTTGAAACAAGGGATTGCTGCGTCACATCCTTTGTCTTTCCTGGCACGCATGTGCCATGGCTTCTTGTTAAAGGACTGGGAAGTCCGAATTTCACATGTGTTCCGGGAAGCAAACCGCGTTGCAGATGGTTTGGCTAACCTTGCTTTTACTCTGTCATTAGGTTTTCATTTGTTTGATGTTGTTCCCTCCTCTCTAGAGTCTCTGTTATGGGAGGATGAGATCGGGGTTACATACCCTAGATTAGTCATGGTGTAGTTCTTTTAATTTTTTCTGAATAAAACCGCGGGAGGCTTTGTCTCCCGTTGCATTACCAAAAAAAAATATATATAATAAGAACACCTCAAGAACAACATTCAATCAATCCAGATCTAGTGATTTTTGGACCTACAGTCATGCACTCACCTTGAATTGAATTGAAAACGGAAGAGGAAGGAAAACAGTGAAGAACAACAACATACATCCGCCTCAGATTCGCTCAAGAACACCACAAATCTCTCCAAAATCGCCCAACTCTCCTCAGGAACTTCTCCTTTTCGCAAAACGACAAAAGTGAGGAAGCAAAACTGCTGCTCCTTCTTTAAACTCGAAAACCAGGGTTTCTAACCCTTAACCGGGCCAAACCGGACCCAAATTCACTTAAATTGAATCGGGTCTGATTTTGAAATTCTTACGTCGGTTGCAACACTTGCATCGCCCGACGCAACCTATAAAACTCACCAAAGAGGGGATGCTACATTTTCAGTTTTTTTTTGCCTCACACCATTATAAAATTTTCCTTTTCATTATTAGTTAGTTTTTTCCAATTATTTTGTTAGTTTTTTGAATCTATTTTATACACTTTTCCAATTTTCTTGTGTTAACACATGTCTTCACCTGATCAACTATCAGACACAAGAACAATAATTTTGATTGGATTCAACTGATTTAGAGCTAAATTTTCTTCATTGATAGCATTAACTTTCAAATATATTATTTTTTATTTCTTAATGAGAGAGAAGTTTAAACAAAAGATAAAATCACACAATTAAATCATGAAGGTTATAGCTTATTATATATTGTTTTTTTCCTTTTCGTATTGGGAATATGTTGTAACAATTTTATTTTCTCTTTTTCTGAATTTTGTTTCCTTTTCTTAATGAGAACATGTTTTTTCTTTCTTTTCCTAATAAGGTATATATCAATATAATATGTTACTAACCTTTTAATCAAGTAATAGAAGCTCAACTCCCATAAGGATAATATTTTCTTTAGGATTTTTAGCTTTCAACTTACGAATAACACGTATAGTACAGCGATAATTTTGATTTCGATCCAATAGACCTAGAGTCAAATAATCTACAATGTTTTCTTAAATTTTCAAAGACATTTTTTAAATTAGAGAAGTATAATCAAAGAGATTTGATGAATTTTCTTTGATAGATTTGTGAATAAGAAAAAAGAGACTGTCATAAATCTCTTCTTATAGGGTTCACGTAACCTATTCCATATAGTGATAGGAAATTTAGTTTACATACCTATTCCATGTACTAATAGGATTTTATTTATTACATTATTTTCAATTTAATATGTGATTAGATAATATAAATTTGATGAATAGAAAACCTTTTTCTATTAGTATATGACAAATATATTTTTTTCCTTTTTACTATAATAGATTAAAATTTCTTTTTTTTTCTCTCTAAATTTTCCTTTTTCTAACATTTTTTAAATTATTATTATTATTTTTCGCTAAAACACGTGTCACGATCTTAACGGATGTAACATAAAAAGTAACACATGTCGCGATCCTATAAATTATAAAAATTCTATGTGTCGCAACCACGTCGCGTGCATCCAGCTATATATAATAAGATAAGATGTATATGTGTATTAGTGCAATATATATCATTTTCTTACTTTTATCTTTTACAACCGTCCATATAAAAAAATGGTTTCCTTTTCAAGTGATAAAAGGTTGAGAGTCATAAACCAACTGGTTTTATATCCCGGTCTGAGTAAACGAGATGATCGCTGGAATATTGGTATAACACTCACGGTTCTGCCAGATCCACCACCGGGATATAAAGAAACCTTCTCTTTATTTTCAAAATTAATAACATAAAAAAAATCATTAATATCTTATTAAATATATATATATATATATATATATACTTTCTTAACTAATTTTCAGGTACTTCACTAGAATTTGAATATGATTTATTCAAGACGTAAAAAACTTGAATATGATTTATTAAACAAGTGACATTATATATTTAAATTTACACATATTAATATTTTAATGTTGTTATTTTACATACAGTATATGATAAGAAACGAAAATTAATAATGGAGATATATATATATTGTTAAATTAATAGCAACGACATATTTGCCTTAAGAAGTAAGAACAACACTATAAATCAATACCAATAAATATCTTATATATAATTAGGGAGTTCCTCTCTCCATCTAGAGGGTCCACACCAGCACAAAAACATTAAATTGTATTTAAAATATTTATTTAAATACATAACTATTCATATTTCTTTACATTTTAAAATAATTAAAGTAAGAAAAAAACACAAACAAATTATTTAATTAATATAAATTATGTGATAATCTGAGGTTAAAAGTTATCAAAAAGTTGGAATAAATAAATATTTAACTTGAAATAGTATATATTTACCTTTTTATTCAAATGATTTATCATATTTAAAAATATTATAATGTGTTTACAAATTAAAAAGTTGAAATATAATTGAATGAAGATAATAGAAAGCTAATGAGAAATTAGAGTTAGAGTTCGTTTTTTAAAACAAATAAAAGTTGAGTTTTTATATGTTGATTTAATTGCAGTGAAAAATATAATTTTTTTAAGGATTATGATATGTTTGTTTCAAAAATATAATTTATATTTACAAAACTAAAATAAGCAATGGTTATGAGGTTCACATGCTACCACAACAAAGTAGATATGTAAAAAAAAAATATATATTATTTTGTTCATCTTATTTCGGGTGAAAATGCGATTTTACATTATATTTACAAATTTTAACGTTTATTGAAATGCATATTCATGTTTATTGTCTAATAGAAGTAAAGAAACATAATACTTAATAAAATGTTAAAATTTTAGAAATAGAAAATTCGAGATAAAATGAGGTGTTAATATCCTAATAAAATAAAATAAAACACAAATTGTTCATATGTTTTAGTTTGAATGGTTGGATTTACTCAAAACATAACAAAAACATAAATTAAAGTAACACAAACCATCATAATTCTAATCAATCAGTATAACTAAAACTAAATAGAAAAATTATCGCAAACAACCCCGCGCTTGCGCGGGGCTTCAAACCTAGTAATTATAATTATAGATTACGCATGTTTTCCTATTTAATCATATCATTCAATAAGAAGACATGCATAATCTATAATTCATAACTACAAAAGTTGGCTACATAAATATATTAATTGTATGAAATCTGAGATTTTGTTTTAAGATTTACAAACAAATGTTTCTTTTAACTTATAAAATATAATTAATATAATATTTGTAAAATAGGAAATTTACTAAAATTAATGTCAAAGTAACAATATTGATGTGGAATAAAAGAAAATATATGGATATTAAAAAAATTGTAAATTTGCTAATAAGAAGAAAAAGGAAATAAAGAAATTAATTATTCAATAAAAAGATAAATTCAGTTTTAGAATGACACCTTAAGAGACCTATAAGGTCAATTTTTATTAGTAATAGATATTTGTATATTTTCTATTTCTTAGATTTCCTTTTGTTCGTAACATCTTGTATAAATATTGACCTCTTTGGTCTCTGAATGATAAGCAAATATTCAGAACCATTTCCTCTTTTACATTAAAAGTATTAGGTTTCATAAAATTTTCGGTGACAAGATTCTTAATTCTTGTGTTTCTAATTTGAAAATCGAGTGTGATGGGTGGTTGCTTTTCAAAGAAGCCACGAGGAAACGCTCTTGACAAGTTGAGTGTCTTATACCTCTGTATATATATCATCTAAATAAGAGTTTTATAATTTTATTTTTTGTTAAAGATTGGGTTTTTGCAATTGATTCGAATCTCGGGAGTGATTTCTGGGTTTTCGATTCCGCAGATGTTTGGTTCTCTGGGTTTGCATTTAGTTTTATGATTTTCTTACGATTCTTCATTTTCTTTGCTTCTTAAAAATTTTCTAGTATTTATCGGGAAGCGGAGTTGGAGGTTGGGATGAATAGTGCTAACAGCGAAACAACAATTAGAGAAGCTGTTTGCTCTGTGGAAGGCAAGAAAATGAGATTTATTATAGACACAATATATTATATGATTTATAATGGTAATGTTGTATTTATGTTGTTTTAATTTTCTGATGATATGTTATTCTTAGGAGTTGAAGAATGTATAACGGATATTGATACTCAAAAAGTTACGATCAGTGGTAGTTTTAATATGGATAAGGTGTTGAAGACGATCAAGAAGAAAACTGGTCAAGAAGCAGAAATTCTGATGTTGGAATGATAGTTCAGAAGTATGAAGATGATGAATTTCAAAGGCCAGTTTGAAAACAAGAAAAAATAATTCTTATACGACCTATATGTCTCTATCTATTACTAATAAAAGTTGACCATATAATTTTCCAAGAACACACATAGGATTTTAAAACTATATTTGATTGGTCTATGTCATTATTATTATTATTTTCATTGAATAATTAATTTTCCAATTTCCTTTTTATTCTTATTAGCAAATTTCCTTTTTTTTCAATATTCATATATTTTCTTTTATTCCACATCAGTATTATTACTTTAACATATTAATTTTAGTAAATTTCCTATTTTATAAATATTTTATTAATTAGATTTTAATAATTGTAATTTTATATAGATTATCTAATAAACAATGACATTGGAAGATGTCTGAAAATTGATTAAAAGCTCATACTATCTATTATCTATTATGGCCCATTCAACCATTCATTTTAATGAAATCTCAGATTTAAACATCTCTATTAAGCATTTTTCATTGCAAATGTACTAAGTAATTAGACAAATAAATTTCTTTTTTAGCAACAAGGTGTTGTGGTGTAGTAAAAGGAAAATAAGAAATTCAATTTGATTGGTATACATAAGCACCTTAAAATAATTTCATTTTATTTGTTATTATGATATTTCTTAATACTTAATTCTATTTTTATTCATATTAAAGTGTTTAGAAAATAGAAAAAAATAAGATTTCTAATGACATAAAAAGGAAAATTACTTCCTATGATTTTTTAATTTTTTTTTCTTAATATAAAATATATATATTTAAAATTATATATTGTTAATATGTTATATATTCATTTTATTATTTTGAACAAAACATTATATTGTATCTAAACATCAACATGTTATTAATTTATTGATTTATATGCACTATATCATATATTATAATGGAAATAATATTTTGTCTTGAAGATACGTAGAAAATAAAAACTGCAACTATCTATAGTCTTTGGAAAGCTATTGAATAACCGAAAAATGGATCATCATAAACGATCACTAGTTGAATTCAAGGACATGCTAAAACAAGAAATCTGATTTTCCAATGATGAAACATGGAGGCTAATTAATTGTAACTAATGGATGTTTGGAAATTATTAGAAAGATTTGGAGTTAAGAGGATTTGGTATGAATCGTGACCTTCAAATACATGTAATCTCTAAAGTTTTGAAACGAAATGTTTGGTAGTGTGCATATAATTAATGCAAAGGACATATAAGGTGATCAGGGTCACCCTGAGGTTCTTGGTAGGCTCAAATTTTAATATATATTATTTTTTTAGTAAATTTATTTAATAATTAAATCAAAAATAATGATAGATTGAAGAGTTTGTTGTTGGAAACTTTCAAACCATCCACGTTGAGAAGAATGAAGTTTCAAACCATCCGTAGATGTAAAATATTCTCCATAACAGAATTGTTCCATTTTCTTCCTGTTCCCACTAAGAATAGCCTATACGTTTAAATTTACGAAACTCTAAATTAGCAGTCGTGTATTAAATGTGAAACAGATAGAGACATAGAGTAAATGCAAAATATAGTTGACAACAAATTTACACTTCTTGCAAGGTCATGGTTCACTTGAATGGTATGACCGTATGAGCAAAGGTGTTGGGTTTGTTGAGTTTTCAACTACCGATGAATCTTCAGCGGTAAGTTTGTAAACCAATTTCTTTAGTGTTGCTTTTTGACCAAGGAACTTAGGGCTAATTAAATTTTCATTTTTCTTGTACAGATGCTCAAAATGAATGGGAAGATGGTGGGGAAAAAAACTATTTATGTTTCATTGGCCCAACGTAAACGTAAAGAGGAACGTAAACTTCATCTTCAGCCTCAATTTAGTAACGTTGTTTTACCAACTCCAATACAATTTCTTCATCAACATCCTCCGATCTTCAGCCAAGCAGCCACTTCGACGACAGCATTGCCTCCATTCAGAGGATACAACAATTTTCAACCACAAATCATGTTTCCACCAAGATTGCCAAACGGTTTCCCAACAATGCACGTCCCTAACTTCATGGTACCGCAACATTTTCCACCTCCTCCGAGCGCGTTCTTGTTACCGCAATCGCGACAGGTGGTATGGAACCAGTACTAGCTTATAGGGTCTTTCGCTTTTAGAAAATGAACTTGTTCGGACTGATTTTGCTTTTTTTTTTTGGTCATCTGGTTTTGACTTGCTTTGGTTGTAAGTCCTGACTCATGACTAGAATTCTATCTACTACCATATTATTATCAAACTCGTTGGTTTTTAATTTTATATGGGCTCAAGCGACGATTTAGATTTCAGAACATGTTTTAAAGATGCAAACAGGTTTCAAACTCTGAAGCCATGTAAAACTACAAAAACTGTCTCTGCGTAAAAATAAAACCGAGTCCAAGAAAAATCCGAAATTGTATAAATTCTCCTTAAAAAACTATCAACTATCTAAATACGCCACAACTTTTGTGAGATGGAAGCTACTCAAAAGGTCACAACCTGTTCGTGGGAGGTTTAACTCTGTAAATACGAACTATCCAGTTTGATGTTGTGTAAGCTTCTTCTAAGTGTTCCAGTTTTATGTCTTTGTTCCCTATCTCAACCCCTCTCGCTCTATCATACCTGCCAATCATTTCACAAAACCCATCTTTTAATTTCTTTATCATCATATCAAAATGTTAAATCAAACACTTGACACGACATCATTCTCAAAATGCAAGACGTACCCTGGTGGCTTGCCGTATTCTGTGACTAGCTCGCCGAACCTGTAATAGCACAACTTGTACCTACAAGAAAACCACACGTTTAAGATTATTCTCTCATTTTCGGGAGATGAGTTTATACATGTGTATGCATAAGATTAGTGTCTTGAGGGTGAAACTTACATGAGACAATTCAGCATCTTCGGCGATGCACCTTTGTCTACACGGAACTCGCCGTTCACAAGGTAATCAGGTTCCTTGATCACCGGGAATACACCGCCTCCAATCCTCACCATCCACAAGAACCTAACCCAAACGGATCAGTACTCAAACCAATTGTCACAAGCAATCAAGTAGAATCCACCTAACTAGTACAAGCAAATTACCACAAACCCACGCTTGTATAACTAAGAAGGTAGCAAGAAAGAGACTTACTTGTTGATATCATCTGAAGAATAACCAGTAACGCCACCAAAGACGACCAATACATAGTTCACATCAAGTGACCTCATGATGTCATACGCCTCGTCTTCATAAGAAGACATGGCACGTCCAACAGTAGCAATATGAGTGTTGTTCCAGGTGTTGTTATCGACGATGACAGTTCTGTTTCCCATGGCGGTGATTTGGTACCCGTAGTCCCACCACGACATGACCTTAGCGTCGGTGGGAGTGTTTTGCCTAAGCCAGTAGTAGGCTTCGCGGTAATCATCAAAGATGATTCTGTTGCCATGAGCTCCTCTTGCAGCTAGGACAATCGAAGGAGACGAATACGCCTCCGATGTCACCCATGTGCAGTGAATAGCATATCTACTGAGCAAATAGAATGCACCGAGAAGAAGAGCAATAGCACCATTCTTCTGAAAAGGTTGAGACTGATCAAGTGAAACCTGTTAGGACATAGGAGATAAGAATTAAATTTTCTCCTTTCACCAGAGAAGCGATTACAGAGACACTAAAGATTCACCTTTGAAGACACTTTTGAGCTACCGGCTCCTTTCGTGGAACCAGTCTGGGGAACCTTTTGTTTTGTTCTCAACAAAGAAGTTAAATTCTTGAGAGTGGCAGAAACAGCTATGGCACTGATAAGGCAAACTGCTGGAGTGGCGACGAGAATAAGCCGAACCATGACACCAGCAAAGTACAAGCTAGTGAGACCATACATGACGATAAATATCGTAGCGTCTGACAAACGCTTGAAACAGAAGTAAAGCCCCGCAGGGAAAAGGAAGAGCAGGATATGGTAGTCAAACATGAAAGACGACCATGCCGTAGGCTGATGCTCAGAAACAGACGCAATAATGGGGATGTGATCCTTTGCGTAAGTCGGATCAAGCAACGAGTAAAATCGACCTGTCCACGGAGATATATAGCCTGATGCTGTTCCTACACCTAAAGCAATACCACCAACCAGAATAGCCGATGTCACAGTTATCCTCAAAAAGGTTTGGAACAACTTGGTGTCATTGAGCTGATACTTCACCCAGTCAAGGAAGTAAAACACCTGTACAAGTAAATCAAATTTAGTAAGGATCAAGATTTGATCTTTATAACAGTATTCTTCAGGAGCAAGATCAACAACAGTTTCTACTTCATATCTCACAATCAACAAGATACGTAGAAACCAAATTACAATATAATGAAATAAAGATGAGTCCGAAGCTTAATCTAATTCTAAACACTCTAAGATAGAGTACTAATATGTCACATTTGATGAGGTAGAAAAAGAACAAACCTGCATCAATAAGAAGACTCCCATTGCACCCATATGCTCACCAGATTGAACATGTTGAAACCCAACGAACCGAATTTGCATCGCAAGAAGCATCCCCAAGATATACATACAGTTATAAGCAATGTATAGCCTCATCGAGTACCTTCCAGTGATCAACAGCACCAAGACGTAAAGAGGAACCAAGTTAATAATAAACACATAGCCTCCCCAAGCCGAAACCATGTAAAAGTAACCAAACGCAGAGCCAAGAGCCCATGCCAACGATCCAGTGTTCACCGCCTTAACAAAGAGATAAAACGTCAGCAAAAGAGCGAAAATCGCGACGGCCTCGTTATCGTACGAGCCAGCGACGGACCGAGATATGTAGCCAGGGCAAATTGCGATCAGAACCGCAGCAACGAGCCCAGCTCCCGTATCCCAAATCTCTTTACCGAAGAAATACGCAACGAGGGTGGTGTTAGACGCGAAGAACGGCGCCGTCAGAACGCAAACCTCACGGATGTGAACGAAGAAGCGGAGAAACCGCAGCGTCCAGTAGATCAAAGCGGCGGTGACCATGAGACCGGGGTAAAGCGTGCCGCCGATGATCCGACCCAGCGGATACCAACTCTCGGAATCGAACCAGTTCCAGAACTCGTAGAAGCCTTTCTCGGTGAGGAAAAGCGTCGTGCGGTAGTTGAAATACGGATCGAACTCGTGGATCATGGATTCGTACCGGAGAACACTGAAGAGACGAGCGATGAAGGCTAATACGTAGACTAGACCGAGGATCGAGACGCGGATCAGTAGTTCCTGCTGCTTCGTCTTTAATTTTAGGGATTTGAAAGAGAGACTGTTGAGTAGATCTGGACTCGCCTTCTTCGCCGCCATGGATTCCGATTTCGGGCTCGCATTCCCCGACTCTGCTTTTCCTCCCATTGTTATGAGGAAATTGAAAAGCAACGAGCGATCTCTATGAGTGGTGTGATCTGAGTCAACTCGTCGTGTTGTGAGAGAGAGTAAGAGAGTTCTCTAAGCTCTGTGATGTTCCATGGGGATTTCGGATTTTCGATTGTTTTTTATTTTACTTTTGGGAAGAAAATGGGACTGAAAAATAATAATTCAGTGAGTGGAAAGAGTGAAGTGAGTGACAAATCGTATTTGGGCTTTGAGAAAATGTTACTGAGCCCATTTATTTACGTCCATTAATCTATTTCTGCGCGCGATTGTGACACGTAAATTTTTTATAATTTATAAAATCGTGACGTATTACTTTTATTGTTACCTCTATGACATATATTTTAGAAAAAAAATTAGAAATTAAAAAAATGTTAGATAAAGGAAAATTAAAAAAATGAAATTTTAATATATTATAATAAAAATAAAATCATATTAGTACATGAAATGGTTTTGTAAACTAATTTTCCTATAACTACATGTAATAGGTTACATGAACCCCTATGAAAAGAGAGTTAATGTAGTTTTTTCTTTCTCATTCACAAACTCATCAAATCTCTTGAATAATCATATGGTAATGGAGTCTTTTCCTATTTTCAATAATTTGTCAAGATAAGTTATTCTTTTTATTGTTAGATTGTTTTTAACAAATATTTTACTTTTAAAGTTTGAGGAGAAAGAGATTTTATGTGAATGTGATGGGTGGAACCATGTAGCATGTTCAGTTTGCGAGAAAAAAATTGAAAAAGTTGGAAGGTTCCATATTCTAATGCTAAAAGGAAAAAATATTTGTGCAAGTTTTATATTTTAAAATAAATATGATCTATATTCTAACGAAAAAAAAAAAATATCTTCTATATCTTATCTAGCCAAAGAAAAAAATTATATTTTCCATATTCTAACGGAAAAAGGAAAAAATTTGCATGCCTAATATTTTACAATAAAAAGGTTCCAAATTCTAACAGGAAAAGGACAAATTATTTTTGCAGGTTTTATATTCTAAAATAAAAAGGTATCACATTCTAACGAAAAAAAAAATAAGTATCTTCTATGCCTCATCAAACCCTATATGATAAGCTATATAACCTTTCAAATTTAATTGTGTACTTTCATCTTTTTTTTTTCTTATCTCTAATTGTTTGATTCCATCTTTTTTTTAGAATAAAGAATTATGTCTTTCAAATTTCAAAAAACCAAAGGAGATTATTTGACCATATATCAAATGGATCAAAATAAAAATTATTGTCGTACTATAGTATGTATTATTTGAAAGTGGGAAGTTAGAAATCTTGAGTTTCTATTACTTGACTATTACTGTTTATTATACAGCGGAATTGATGTATATTATGTTATTAACAGATTTTTGTCTGGTTTTGAATACTATTTTCTTTACATTTAAATGTAGTTATATTTTGTTCAATATTTTTTCATAAATTGTTTCAAAAATCTTAAGATAAACTCCGCGTATACGCGAGGCCTTATCTAGTACTATATAAAAGTTGAGACTATAAGCTATTGAGGACGTCCACATAGAATTATAAAATGCGATTTAATTGGTCCACATAAGCATCTTCAAGATTAAGATTTTCCAAAATTTAAACAACCAATAATATCATTACATAATCATATAAAATTAAGGAAATTTCCAAATTTTAAACAAAAGATGGTATAAATCTATATCATCATATAAAATTAGCTATATTTATTAAATTAGTTAATTTCTTTCTTATATTTCAAGAATATTAATTAGTATAATATGTTTAAATTAGAAACTGCCAAGTCTAAAGTGATTAAATTACTATTTTTTCATAAATTGTTTCTAATAAATATGTTTTTAATATAAAATTTGAGGCTAAATGCATCTAAGAGTATCCATAGAAGATTATAAAACTGCATCTTATTGGTTCACAAAAAAATTTGCATAATTAAATATTTTTCCAAATTTTAAACAACCAATAGTATTAATCCATATCATCATCTCATTTTTTCAAAATTTGAACAGCCACTAATATTAATCTATATTGTCATCTAAAATTAGCTATGTTTTTAAAATTATTTAAGTTATTTTATGTTTCAAGAAAATTAAGTAATAGAGCCGGTTTAAATTAGGAACTCCACAAGCCCAACGTAATTTAAAAAAGATTTTTTAAAAAATTATTTTTCAAAAATATAATTTATTAATTATTTTTTAAATTATATAAAAAAAATTTGTATAACTAAAATTTTAGTTATAAATAATTAAATAAACCTTAATTAGGTGAACTATTTTGACCAAACTTAAGTTTTATGTAACTAACAAATTTTTTGAACAAGAATGTATTTATAAACAGATTTAAGGCGGAAATATTCAAGTAAACATTAATATAAAACTACTTCTAAAAAGAAATGTATACCATAACGCATAAAAACGTGACAAAATTACTAACAAAAAATCAACATTGAACAAACAATGATTTAAGATTTTCTTTAAGCCATAAAAAAGAATATACATAATTTATATTATATAAAAGCTAAATATATACTATTATGATCAAAGTTTATAAACTAATAACACGATGTGTAAGTTAAATGTACTGAAAAATAAATTATATGTTGTTTATAGCATTTTAAGTTCTAACATAACGAATTGAAGTTATTTTAAATAAACATCGTGTTACATACAAATACTGTTGACATCTAATTTTAAGAATTTCACTATACATATTTAAAAATATATTTCTGTTTAGAAAATGACTAACACGTCACAATAGTTCATAAATTAACATTACATTTTACAATACTAATAAACTTTTTCCTATTATAATGATTTGAATATCTTCAAGTAAGTTTTGGTCATTAGACATACACAAACATTTTTGTTACCGGGATATGATCTAAACAATATTTTTGTATGTCAAGATTTGATCTCAACACGATATTGTATATCTAAAAACTTTTGTTTTCAGAGAATTTTGGTATTGAAATATTATTAAATTTTAATTGTTGATTTTTGCAGTTTAAAAAATATTCTTTAAAAATATATTTTAAACCGATTTAAGATACAGACCCGCGCGTGCGGGTGAAAGTCCTAGTTTACATAAATTAAAGTAGGTGGGCACTCTCCAGCTGATACCTCAGCACACCAGAATGTGCCACGTCAGCCTTTTTGTTATCTCACCGTTTCCATTTTTTTTTCGAGTGACGCCAAAACGATGTCGTTTTGATTTTTTTTTTTTTTTTCAAAATTGAAAGCAGGTTGCCAAGTCAGCCCTCTCCATAAAAAAAAACAATGATTAACAAAAACAAAATTAAACTAAACCCCGCATCCCAATCATCTCGCCTACCTTTCTTCTTCGACCGCGCGCTTCAACCCACAACTGTTACAAATCCTCTCTTCATCCCTGCTACCCTATATATAGGTTCGTGCAGTACCCCAATTCCCTTTTTTGCCTATAATAAACAGCCAATAATATTTTTTTTTCTTTTTTTTTGTCAACAGCCTAAGTTCCTAAACCGGTCCGGGAAGCGGAACCGGTGAAATTGAGTTTTAGAATTATGATATATATAATACTTTTACAAGTGTCATATAATAAATACATAAACATATCAATACAAAACATACCAAGTCAAGACCTTCAGTGAGATGCGAGTTGGTTCACGTTGATTTTATTCAACCTTTAGAGGATGTGTAGTCAGTATGCATAAGTTCGGTCAGCAAGAACAAAATGACATTGAAATATTATTGAAAAAGTATCCACGTTACATCTGGACTTGACCATCACATTAAAATCTAAGAATTATCTTTCTTCGTAAGTGTTTTTGATTAATTGTCAATAGGAAAATCATCCGAAAAATTAAATTCAAAATCAAAGGTACCAGAATTATTGTTTTAGAATTATGATAAAACGCACAAGAATACAAAAGATGTTTTTTTTTTTTTTTTTTCGGCATACAAAAGATGTTTTTTCACTGCCATGTGTTATATTTATTCAAGTGTTTATAACATATGAGGTTTTGGTGGGCATCCGGGGGTACCGGGACAATAAGGTGGGAGTGGTAAGATTGGGAACTGCTCCACTGATACCTTCACATCCTGGTTTAGTGGAGAAGGAATTGGCTCAGTTGGGAACTGGATCGGTTTAGACTCGATTTGAAAAAGCTTGGCGGTCCTAGCTTGAGTAAAACCAGATGAGAAAAGAAGTAAAGTGGCCACCATCATTACTGCAAAGAGCTTCATGATCTTGATCATCTTTGTGTTGTGATTGAAAATGTTTAAACCATAGTTTGCTTATTTATATTGTCTCTTTTTTTTGGTCAAAAACTTATCTATATTTCATGTTGTTACCAACACAGTATATGATATGTATCACTGTTTTTGACTAGAATAACACGTAAGAAATATATTTGTATTAATTAGTTGGATATGTGTGTCTTACTTCTATTGGTGATGTATATACAAGTATAACTTAAATCGTAAGAACTGGTCATTATCAAGATAATATATCCATTTGTATGTTTGACCAAACTATATATTCTCAAGCATTCCATATTCTATCACATAGAAAACAAATCTAGAAATTTAGAATATATCAGTCTGTTGGATAAGATTCACCCAAAATAATATTTCTTGTTAATCATTCTATAAATATGGTAGATGATGTCATGTACTTTCTTTTGATAACAACAAGCTGGCCTCTAACATTGTTTTAAATGGTAAAGTCGAAAACTTTTTCATCTTTAGGAATAATGGAAAAAGGAAGTTCGAAAAACTTAGATATCTATGGACCATTTGTCCCTAAAACTATATAGGTGGAAGCACCTTGTATTATAGAATGGTTTCTAATGGGATGAACTGTCTATTGAGGTTACTGAATGTGTTGGATAAAGTGCGACAGAAATGGAATAATATCCGTTTATGTTAACAGACATTAAGATAAATTTATCTTTATTTTACACGCTAACACTAAATTTTATAATATAACGTTGAATGATTAGAAGATTGTGATGCGTTTGTAGATGGACGTGTGTTTGACGAGATTACATGACTTATGGAAAAAATAACACGTGTTGTAGTTTGTATCAATGTTTTCTGGGTAAAAGCTAACATTGACATAACATAAAGGGCAAGTATGATGTATCACAAATTTACACATACATTTTACAATTTTAAATAAAATCATAATATAAAAAATTCCATATAACTAGGGAGAATAGCCAATTTTAGACCACATATTCATTTTTTCTAATCAACTAAACCAGAAATTAAATCAATTGCAAAACTAACTTTCATGGGTAGTAAAATTACCCCACTCCTCTATGACCAAACAAAAAAATGTATACTTCGATTACGATTTTAACCTCCGGACAGTCTACCGGTGAGGTTTACCTTGTAGACAAAATTGGAGATCTACCTCGTAATAACATCTTAAATTTTAATTAATAATTAAATAAAAAATAATTTTATACAAAATGTATGAATAATGAAAAATAGACATTATCATCTACCAAAATTTTTGACCAAAAACAAAAATGCATACAAATGAATTATTTTTAGATAAGTAAATAAATTTAAGTTAATATCTATAAAAACGTTTTGAGATCTACTGAGTAAGTCTACTATGTCACTAAATTTTAATTTTCATTATAAAAAAAATTCATTGTAAAATGTTGGATTTCAGCCTTTAGTTACAGTTTTCATTGTAAGACTTTGTTGCTTCTCAAATTATAAGATTTTCGTTATTATGAAATCATGGTCTCTTTTGGTATTTGCACATATCATTCCAATATATGTTTGGTTTCATCAAATAGATTAGCCCTGGGCATTTCGGGACGGGAATCCCGTTCCCACCCTTACCCGTTTAAAATTTTCCAAACTTTTCTGAAATGGGTATTTGCAATTTCCCGTTTGGGAACATTTATTTTATTCAAACGGGTAAGGGAAGGGTAAGGGATTTTCCAATTTTCCCGTTTAAAAAAAATAAAAATTGAAATTAGATAATTTTTTCTTAAATATATCCCAATTTTTCTCATAATTTTCCGTATTTTCCCATATTTTCCCGTATTTTTTCCGTAATTTCCCATATTATCTTCAATTTTCCGGATTTATTAAGACTTTGGATATTATTTTTTGATTCCCAAATTTCTCATTTCCTTCCCATTCCCGTGATTTCCCGTCACATTATAATAAGGGAATGCTTCGGGAATCATATTTCGTTTCCCGAATTTCCCATTCCCATCCTATATCTGTCAATTCTCGTCCCAAAACCCGAAATGCCCAAAGCTAAAAGAGATCACTTCAATTATCTTTCAAAGTTCAAATTATTAAGGTCACATAAGATTTATGACTAAACTTTTTTTTATCACCAAATTTTCATACATAAAAGAAAATAAATACATATAAAACTTAACTCAATAGTGGTAACGAATACCATAGCTTTAGTAATCGTCTATACCATATAAGTGTTTACAATACATAGTCATTTACAAATAAGCTGTGTTAAAAAAAACGGGCAAAACGCCGTTTAATCGGCAGTAAAAACGTGCGTCGGACGGCCACCGTTTCGTTTAGCTTTAATCGTGTGGCCCAGATTGGTCAACGGTCAACGACCGTTGAAACGCGACTTTGTTTTCAAAACGCTGTTCTTTCTTCTTTCTCTCGCTTCCTTCTCTTCCTCTCTCTCTCTCTCTTCCCTCTTCTTCCTCCTCCTCTCATCCTCACTCTCACTTTCCTAAGAATCAGAGTAATCAGATTCGTAATCGGAGGTGCTGGTCAACCAACCAGTGGCGCCGTCCTCGTCCGGCATCGTGGCATCGTTGCTTCCGGCGCATAACTGCTCGAAGCTTCTTTAAGAAAAGTACAAGATAATCGCCGGGAAGGAGATGACGATGCCGATTCCGAAGATTATGGAGATAGGTTGGACGGGAGCGGTGATATATTGCTGCCGCACGAGTTATTGGGGAAGACAACAATGGTGTCGTTCTCACTTCTCAGACTGCCGATTTTTTTATATTTTTTCTACTTTTTTTTTTTTTTTTTAATTATTTTTATTCTTGGAGATTAATCACTGTAGATGATGTTTTGGAATGAAAACTTTTCCATGATTCATTTTAATAGATAATGTATTAGTTATATATATAAAAATGTTTGAAAAATATATAAAATATAGTCAAAATTTCATTCCCGTTTAATCCCCGCTTAATCTCCGTTTTTTAAAAATCTCAAATTTCGATTCGACCGCCCGATTAACGATTTCCGATGTTTTGAACTGCAAAGTAGACCTTTTACATAGATCTATGATGTAGACCTCCCACATAGATTTTCATCGTCGACCTTATTTTCAGTTTAGCTCTATGAATTAAATCTCATATTCAGTCTATCTCTGCGAGTAGACCTTAGTTTCAATCTACCTCTACGAAGTAGACCCGCAAGTAGAACATTCTCCCTTCTTTTCCTTTATCCACCTCAAAATACCATGACCTATCTTTCATCATCAGCCATTTTCCATAAACGAAAGCTACACAAACCATTTTCTGCAACAAAAACAAACCAAACAACATAAGCGGATTAGTAGACAAAACGCATATACCAAACGCGTAGATCTCCACTTTGGTCTACCACAAAATTAAGCTAGTTAACTAATTAAAAAAAAAACTGAACAGAGCCTCAATTACGCCGAAAGAATATTTGAAACTCATACAGAAGCAAGTTAACGAGTAAAAACAACAAAGTGTTCAAGAAAACTTTCAAAATATTTGATATATTAACCCAAAAAATGACAATAAAAAAACACATAATAACATATTTAATAAGTAGATCTACTTAGTAGACCGCAATTAAGTCGTTAACATAGACCTACATCTAGTTCTACTCCACGTGGAGGGTTAGTTTTGCAATTGATCGAGAAAAATGTTTTTTTTTGTGGTGTACCTTGAGGTCTACTCCACGTGGAGATTAGTTTTGTAATTGACCAAAGTTTGACTTTTTCCGTGGTAGACCTCGTTTTGATTGGTAGACCCCTGAATCGGTCTACCGAGCATAACGAGGTCTACGTTGTAAGTCTACTTTTCATGGTAGACCTCTGAATCGGTCTACCAGGAAAAATCGGTCTACCAGAAAAAGTAGACCTCAGAATCGGTCTACGCCTAAGGTCTACCTACAAAAAGAAAGTTAATTTTCCGTTGACTCAAGTTTGACTTTCCTCTATTAGACTTTGATGGTCGACCTCAGTTTTTTGCGTTGACCAGTAGACCTAAACTACGGTCTACCTGACGGTAGACTTCAATGTCGGAAAATCTTTACTTTTTGAGGAAAGTCAAACTTGTTTCAACTGCGAAACCAACTTTTTTGTTTTAGGTAGACCTAAGAGGTAGACCTCCCAAAAAAACATTTTCCTCGATCAATTGCAAAATTCACGTGGAGTAGATCTCCACGGTACACCTCTAAAATAAATATTTTTCTCGATCAATTGCAAAACTAATCTCCACATGGAGTAGACCTAAATAAAGGTCTACCACTGGTTTATTTATGATAATGTTAATGATTTGTAATTGCTTGATAGGGATAACTTGAGATGCAAGCACCCTTTCTCCACCTAAAATGAGAGGAAGAAACTCGATTTTTACTGGTTCGTAACTGAATCTTTTTCACTGCTATTAACCTAGAAACGCTCGTTCAACATGTTTTTTCACCGAATCATGAACTGAACATATAAGATTTTGCTTATGATTGAACATGCAAGGGCTCGTTTACAAATTTAGAAAGAAGAGAACATCCTTAGACTCGATTTCTCAAACTTAACCATGGATGCGTCAACCTCACGGAACTTAACCGGAAAAGCATTCTCATCATCATCATCATCTTTAATTAAGAACAAGCATGGGTGTATCGAAAAGACCAGTACCGATGGCACCAACAACTTTTACACTTGAGTTACTTTGGGGAACTAGCTGTAAGTGTTTTGTCTGTTTCCATATTTCTGAATCTTAAAGAAGCTCTCTGTCGTGCTGGAGCTACCACCAGTAGTTATATACTTCTCCTCGGTGGAGGTATCGACTTCCCATATCTTTGAAGAAGGGCAAATCCAGAATGGGGACTGGAACTCGATGATTAGTCGGTTTTTTGTCAATATATCACCATTTTGAGACGATCGATCGGAGAAAGTAACAGGTAGGCCACTAGGCCTGGTTGATGTTGTAGGACTGGTTGGACAATATACCAAGTCAACAAACATGTTGAAAGTCGGTGCTTGATGGGACAAGACCGCTTGCTTTCTTGTCTAAACCTGGCTGGATGAAGTCGAACTCAAGACAAAAGATCGGTTTATGCGTTTAAACCAAAGTCGGACCAAATTAACCAAACCTCGATTTGGTTTAGTTTGGAATAAATTAATGCCCTAGGCTCTCCAACTTTGTATTTATAAAGTTGGAGTGTCTGCCCCGATTTGTAATTTTTGAATTCATCACTAAGTTACGACGACGATGATGAATTCCATCCCAACTGATCTCTTTCTCGAGATAATCTCGAGATTGCCTGCAAAGTCAGCCGCGAGGTTTCTCTTCGTGTCGAAGCAATGGGCGTCCATACTTTGCCGTCCAGATTTCACGGAGTTGTTCCTCACCAGGTCCTCTTCTCGTCCGCGTCTCTTATTCGCCATCAAAGGAATTGGAAAAGGTGAGTGGCACTTCTTCTCGTCGCCTCAGCCTCGTAATCCATATGAGAAGTCGTCGCCTCTTGTAGTAGCCCTTGATTCTCATATAAAGTTCTGTGAAGACTTTTGTGGTCATACCTCTGGTTTGTTTTGTTTCCGTTCTGTTCGGATCTCAAAAGGTGTTGAAGAGACGATGCATATGCAGCATGTGATACGTAACCCTAGCACGGGACAGTTTGCCTTCTTACCTAAACTGACAAGTTACATAAACTCAGAAAGTTCTTTAGGGTTTGATCCAAATCATGGCATATACACATACTCAAAAAGTTTTTTAGGGTTTGATCCCGTTGACAAACAGTCCAAAGTATTGTACATCGCTGGTTGTGATGATCATAGAATTCTAACGTTAGGAAGTGGAGAAATGAGGTGGAGGAAGATAAAGGCTCCAACTGGTAACCACAATTGGAATAAAAGGAATGATAAAGAATAGGAACATGAGGAACAATAAGAAACAAATTATAAGGAATAGATTTTAGAGAAGGAATGGAACAAAATATCACTAGAATGGTAACAAAAAAGGAACAAATATTCTGAAAATTAAAATACTCAAATATCACTAGAATAATACCTATATATAACAAATACAAATGATACATGCGTTATATCAAATCATCAATTCATCAATAGACATGTTTCTTAGCTATCGAATAGTTAATCATACAAAAGAAGATCGTGTACCTCTTGTTTTTCTCTTTAGCCGGTGTATTAGGTTAGATGAGAGAAAGATTTTTCACATACATATAATAAAAGCTGTTTATAAAAATGTAAAATTTCGGTCACCAAAAATAAAAGGTAAATTTTATACAATTTTATTATCAATATGTATATTAAAATATGTTATTATCATTTTTTATCTTGTTCCTTTTCATTCCTTGAAAAATTTGGGATGGAATATATTTGTACTATAATTCCTTTTAACTCAAGGAACAAAGGGGAATTATGTGGGTCCCACAGTGAATAAGGATTCCTTACAAATGGTAAATTTTTTTAGGAATGAAGAGGAATGCCTTATTCCCTCTCATTCCATTACGTAATTCTGGTTAACAGTTAGAGAAATGTTCTAAAACCCATTATCCTATGTATTCTATTCAAGAGGGGATATGCATTGATGGGGTTTTGTATTACTCATCTGTAATACCTGACGAAAGGTCTTATGTGTTAGTTTGTTTCAATGTTCGGTCAGAGAAATTCAAGTTTATTGATGTAGGATGGCATTATGGGAAATTGATAAACTATAAGGGTAAAGTGTGTAGCGTTCTTCGTTACGCTAGTAGGGTTCGTGCTTGGAGTCGTGCCCTTGAGTTGCGTATGTTGGTTCTAGAGGATGTCGAAAAAGGGGAATGGTCGGAATATGTACATGTCTACACTTTACGGGATGATGAATTCCTTGATGACCCCAATGATTTCCACGATATTTCCGTCGCTGGAGTGACAGCTACAGGTGAATTTGTTTTGTCACCGAACAATACATATAGACCGTTTTATGTTTATTACTTCAATCCGGAAAGGAATACTCTCCAACGTGTTGAAATCCAAGGCTTTGGAACTATGTTTAGCTGTTGTAACAATGACGCTTACGCGTTTGTAGACCATGTAGAGGATCTTAAGTTTAATATCACCGAGACAACACCTATGAGCCAACCAGGACCAGGACAGAAGCGTAAACCCAAGAGCGTATCAACATCATCTAAGCCTCACCTCCAACAACATCGTGGAACGTTTGAGATCGTTAACAAATTCAATGCTCTGTGTCTTTTAGATGATGATTAGTTTGATGTTTTTTTTTTTTTTTTTTTTTTTTTTGGTAAAAGGTGAAGATAGTCTCCTGCTTCTTTCTTTATCTCTGCATGCATTTTGTTTAATCTACACTGGTGAAGATAAAAGGTAACAGTTTGACTAGCGACGGTGCTAGACGCATTTGTTTTTATGTATAATCCATATGAAACTTTTCTTCTTAGCCTTTACTATAACTCCATTCGCATTTGTTAAGACAAACGAATTTCTTGATCATCACCTAAACTCAATTATACATGTTAATCTGAAACTTTTCTTCTTAGCCTTTACTATAACTCCATACGCATTTGTTAAGACAAACGAATTTCTTGATCATCACCTAAACTCAATTATACATGTTAATCTCTTTAAGTAACCACTGCTTTATCTTATCCAACTTTGCTCTTCTTATTAGTTCTGTTTCCCATATGGGACAATTTTGGTTTACCCTTTTTCCAAGATAGCCCATTTCTGTGTAGACAACAATAGTTAGCTGCAACAGCTTCGTAGTATAGTAATACAATTAACTTGTTTTATAATTAAGGTGAAGCAAAATGAAATGTAATCTTCAATTCAACTCAATTTTTGTGCTTTTGGCGTTCATACTATTATTATACATTCCTTCAATGAGAAGTATGTTCTATACAAATTAATCCACTCTCTCTATACCAAAACGGAGTTTTGTACATATGGATCTGACCTGAGATGTGTATTTTAGGCAACTGTAACAGCTTATTGGCTTTGGATCTCCGAGTAAGTGAGTGCAAGTGCACGATGAAGTTTCCGTGGAGACAAAACCTCAACCTTTGCCAAGAACGTGGCTGTGACAGGACGGTGATCCGATAGTTTAACCTCGTTCCTTCTGTAACTAAGAAGCCTCATTCCCTTACCATTCCAAATGATTCGGTCACACCTAAATCAATCACATTCACTTTTAGCCTTATCAATGTGCTTTCTTATGTGTAATAAGGAAAAAAGCATTGTATCACAGTGTGTGAAAACAGTACCAGGCCGGTTTACGTTTACCGGACTCCGGATCATCCCCGATGTAGTTTTCTGAATCGATTTCGTATTTGTAAGTTGGTGGAAACCCTAAAGCTCCTTCTGACCATCCTTCGAATACGTTCCCTTTAGTCATTTCTCTTGAGAGCTACAAAGGAATAAGAACATGTATATTTCAATCTTAGCTTGGACTCTTCATCAAAACTTAGCCAAAAGAATGCAATGAAACGTACCTGGTCATTCTCAACCAGCCTCTGCCATTCTTTTCTTGCAACAAGCTCATGTGTCTTCTCGTACGACAAGTTAATCCGATAGTTCAAATCTCCAAGCCAGATTATTCTCCTACAGAACGTTCCTCTTACATCTTCATCATCATTTAAGAGAAATTTTTGTCTAGTTTCTGAGAAAGAAAACTTACTCATGATCACGGATGCTTCTTGGAAGTCCATTTGCATTTAAAGATTGCGGAAGAAACTGCGTTCTTCTGTGGATTTCACGCACGTCATCGTTTCTTTTCTGGTGATCTGTATCTTTTTCCCCTGAGGACAGATGCGTGCACAAGAAACAAAACGGTGTTTGATAGATTGTCATGCTCACAGACACAGATCCCTGTAACAACGCAAGAAACCGTAAAGTTATTGCTAACCTTAGGAATAAACTATTTAGAGCAATGTAGATAAGAGAAAATCAAGACCTTGTTACCAATGTAGCCCATGATACCAACACCAACAGTAGACACACAAAGGTTGCTTATATGCTTGCGCAAGCTCCTACGAACCCATATGGTGAGAAACACTCCAACCATCTGTTTGCTCACGATCCGTACATACGATGGTTTTCTCAGATTCTTGATAGTTAGATTCACTGACTTGAAGGAACCACGTTTTCCCAAAACATATTGGTTTAGCAGCTTCAATGGAGGCTCTGGCCAGCTCAAACCAACTCTTTCAGTATAACTAAACCTTTCTTCTCTCTGTGAGTCACTATTAATTCGCACCGAGAGAGAGCTGTCTTGAGTATTTGGTGATGCATTAGTAAGCGAATCTTCACTTACGTTTGGTCTCTCCGTGCTGTCATCGCAAGCATCATTACTTGTTTCAACAAACATATCTTGCACGCTGAAAGAGACCTCTTTGGATGGCTTAAACTTTGACGGAGAAGGAGGATCACTGTGACTAACAATCTTCAGCTTTCTAGGACGAACTCGGTTTAAGGCATCACGTATAATGTTCTCCCATTCAGAAGCAGGCTGGTCATTCTCCATTCCAAAAATGTTTCCAGCATTCAAGGGAACAATCTCCTGAAGACTGGAAACGAAAAAAAACCGCAAATATGCATCTGAATCATAAAACACTGAACACAAGCAAAAACTCGTAGTTATGAAAAACGAAAGATTCAGAGAGAACCAATACCCAAGAACATAAATGTCTGCAGGCTCAACAGTGTCTAGCCAACCATCGATATCCAAGTCAGCTGGTGGAACTCTTCCTCCAACATTCCATGTCCCAGCACAGATTCTGGCTACATCAAAACCACAAAACACCAGGGACTCACTAATGGTGGATTTAACCAACAAGAGAAGTTCTTTTTGCACAGATAAAAACTCGAAATATAGCAAAAACATGACGAGCCAGCAAGAGAAGATTGAGGATTTGCAAGATAAAGCAGAGAAATCAAAAGACCTTATTGCTTGTGTGTCCATATACTGCACCCTGAAAGTTTCAGAATTTCGTCTTCTAAGCTTAGGTACATCTGAGATTAGTCAAGAAAAAAGCATCTTTAGAGAATATATTTCCTCTTATAAAAACGAAAACGCTAAGTCACTGAATTGAGAGTTAACGAATCACATTACCATTAGTATCCACATCTTTCGTAACTCCAGAGCTACTTGGGTCAAATTCTGCTACATCAGGTTCAAATTCAGTCACTAGAGACTAGAGAGTTGCGAAAATTTCTAACTAAAGACTAATTAGTTCCCGGAGAATCAGATTGACCTTGGCTGCCGGAATTGGTGAATCTCTCGTCGTCAGTATCGGCGCTATAATCTGATTCGGTGGAAGAAACGTTGAACCATTTGCGGAGGATAAGACGTGCCCAGTAGAGCTGGAGACAGGAGAAAGCTGAGCAGCATATTGTAGCAAAACTGATCTGCAAAAATTTCAGATTACTTATCCCCAAAGTTCGGCAAATAAACCTAATCAAACCAGACAATACGTAAACGAAACAACGGGGAAGAGAGAGAAAGGTCCAGAAACCTCCGTTCGTCGCGATCGTGATACTACTTCCGCCATATGCTCCGATCACGTCAAATCAAAACCCAGCTGAGAGAGAGAAGAAGAAGAGGTTGAGACTTGAGATTTTAACGACCTTTGGTGGGAGACGGATTGAAAATGTTGATTTTTTATGTTTCTTACGTTAGAACCGGCGGTTTATTAAATTAATCGCATTCCGGTTTTCAATCGGTTAACGAAAAGGTCAAGATCTTATTATATTTTATATATCTTTATATTATATTATTTATATTATATTATTAATTGAGAAGTACATTCTAATGTTTGGATACAAGAATTAGAGAAACATCTATTTGGATAGAAGAATAAATGGAAACAAAAGTTGTTTGGATATAAGAATAAGAGAAAAATCTATTTGGATAGAAGAATAAATGGAAAAAATTGTTTGGATACAAGAATAATAACTTAAAATAAACCGATGGTTTAGAAAACTTCCGTTTTCTCATCTCTTAAAAATCTGCAAAAAAGAAAACTTAACATAATCTAACGATAATTCCAAATCAATAGAATATGCTTTTTGGATTTTCGGGTTTTTATAGACAAGTTCGGGTTTGGGTGAAAATCTGAGACATAATTTTATAGAGATATAGAAATTGTTCGGGTTTCTTTGAAAATTTCTGTTCGGGTTAGGTTCAATTTTTTTTTCAGTTTAGGGTTTTCCGGATTTTTTAGATTTCTGGTTTTCGGGTTTAGATATATTAAAAAAATTGAGTATTTTAAAATTTTGATTAGGTATTGGGGTCGGGTTCCGGGTGAAAAAGTTTCCAGATTTTTTTGTTCAGTCAGGGTTTTCGGGATTTTTTTATTTCGGATTTTCATGTTTAGACCTATTAAAAAAGTTTGGGTTTTTAAATTTTTTGATTAGGGTTTTTTGTCGGGTTCGGATTTAGGGTTTAAATTTTCTACACAAAACAACAACGTCACACCGCACAAACGTGCGGGTACTCTACTAGTCTTATTATATAAAGTTGGATACGCGCGACGTGGTTGCGACACGTAAGATTTTTATAAAATATAAGATCACGACATGTGTCACTTTTAAGGTTATGTCCGTTAAGATCGTGACATGTGTCTTAGAAAAAAATGAAAAAAAATAATAATTAAAAAAAATTAGATAAAGGAAAAAAAACGAAATTTTAATCTTTTATAGTTAAAAGAAAAAAAAATTATATTTTTCATATACTAATAGAAAAGGGTTTCTCATTCATCAAATTTATATTATCCAAACACATATAAGATTCAAATTAATGAAATAAATAAAAATCATATTATTACATGAAATAGGTTAGGTTTTAGTTAATGTTTTATAGTTAAAAGAAAAAAAAATTATATTTGTCATATCCTAATAGAAAAGGGTTTCTCATTCATCAAATTTATATTATCCAAATACATATAAGATTCAAATTAATAAACACATATAAGATTCAAATTAATGAAATAAATAAAAATCATATTATTACATGAAATAAGTTAGGTTTAGTTAATCTTTTATAGTTAAAATAAAAAAAATTATATTTGTCATATCCTAATAGAAAAAGGTTTCTCATTCATCAAATTTATATTATCCAAACACATATAAGATTCAAATTAATAATATAAAGATAAAATACTATTAGTATATGAAATAGATTAGGTAAACTAAATTTCCTATAACTGCATGGAATAAGTTACATGAACCCCTAGTCTTTTTTTTTCTTATTCACAAACTCATCAAAAAGAACAACATGATAGCAATACGTATGATTTTTATAACTCACAAAATTGCGATATGTGTAATAAAATAATGATAATAAAAAAACTAACTAATAATGAAAATGAAAATTTATAATGTTCTGAGTCAAAAACAAAATTGAGAAAGAAACAATATAAATAGAAAACTAACAAATTAATTATCAAGCAACTAACTAATATTAAGAAAATATAATGAACCAATATTCTAATTTTAAATAGGAAACGTGAGAAACCCCGATTAAAACACAACCAATGCAATCTGATACTTCGAATTAAATTCCACATTAATAGAATTCAGCATGGAGACGCATATGTGGCATTTCAAACGAACTTTGAATCTTTTGATTTGGGCGCCACGTTTAGAAATTTTCTTACCCATCTGTACCACATTAACTCGACTAGTTCATTCAATTTTGTTGAGGAAGATAAAAATTCTGTTTTTACCGCATGAGTTGGCGCTTTCCACTGTTACCATTTTGCACCGGTTGAATGTATGCGGTAAAATACATACTAACAAAATTCTTACATGTATGCTTTAATACAACGTGAAAACAAATTGTCACAAATTTTCTTATAATAAATAGTTCCAACTTAGGTTTTTTTTTTTTTTTTTTTTTTTTTTTTTTTTTTTTTTAAGTTCCAGCATAACTTTACAATTACACATGCTATAAAATAATTTCTCTATATTTCGAGATTACATTAATTATGTGTTTATTAATGTTTGTTTAGATGGATCACGAGTAATTAAAAAACAGTTACATTTTCACTTGAGATTAAACAACTTAGTTTGTGTGCCTATAATTTTGGGTTATTTGACAATTTATATATTTGATAAAATACACTCAGCTTGTCAGTTGTCAAAGGCGATCTAAAATAGTGAAATCTAACATCTTAGTTTGTTTTTGTAGATATTTCTCAACAAATTATCTTAATGTTTGAAAAATCAATCGACGTGAAGTTTTACTAGATGGGCATATTTATCACTAGTAAACATTGCTTCAGCAGAAAGTTACGTATTACATTTACATCACATAGAAAACGTTAACCATTATAATGTTGTAAGAACAAACAGTGTCTTTCTTTAATTTTTAGAAGACAAGAAAGTCTTTATTTACTCTTAAGAATCACTAGTATAACAACTAGCAACAGAGATTGTAACTAATGATGGAGTAGTAATTGATTTCGATCGGTTTAAAATTTGGTTACTTTTTTTTGGGTCTTATTAATGTTAAGTAAATTTATTAATTATTTACAAAAAAAAAGTTATTTCATGACAGTCTAAGCGTGAAGCCAGAACCTTCTCTCTCCTATAAATACACCCATTTCATTATCTCAACTCATATCACTAACCAAAAAACAAAGAAAATGGGGTTTATGGGTAAGAGTGTACTGGTGAGTCTCGTAGCACTTTGGTGCTTCACCTCCTCTGCCTTCACTGAGGAAGTGAACTATGTGTCTGAAACCCCTTCCTCTGCTCCGGCGCCTGCTCCTTACCACCACGGCCACCACCACCCACACCCTCCCCATCCCCACCACCCTCATCCTCACCCTCACCCACACCCACCGGCTAAATCTCCGGTTAAGCCACCAGTTTCTCCACCAACCAAAGCTCCAGTTAAGCCCCCGGTTTACCCTCCGACCAAAGCCCCGGTTAAGCCCCCAACGAAACCCCCGGTTAAGCCACCAGTTTCTCCACCAGCCAAACCTCCGGTGAAACCCCCGGTTTACCCTCCGACCAAAGCCCCGGTCAAGCCACCAGTTAAACCCCCGGTTAAACCACCGGTTTCTCCACCAGCCAAACCTCCGGTTAAGCCCCCAGTTTACCCTCCGACCAAAGCCCCGGTCAAACCTCCGACCAAAGCCCCGGTTAAACCTCCGACCAAAGCCCCGGTTAAACCTCCTGTCTCTCCTCCAACCAAGCCACCGGTTTCACCTCCGGCAAAACCACCGGTGTTGCCGCCGGTTTACCCACCAAAGTTCAACAGGAGCCTAGTCGCCGTTCGGGGTACGGTTTTCTGCAAAAGCTGCAAATACGCTTATTCCGACACACTCACTGGCGCTAAGCCCGTCGAAGGTTAGATTTAATACACGTAAATACTACATGAGTAATCTTTGATGCATACGCATTTATTCATTAATGTATACGTATATTTGTATATCGATCCGTACTTGATACCAAATCATGACGTGAACTTCAAAAAAATAATTCAAATTTCAAAAACGTTACAAGTGGGACCATAGGTACGAAACTAGTCAATGTTTCGTAAGAAAAAAAAGAAAGTGACTATATACACTTCTGCACTCATCAGTCACTGTTTTTTACAGTCTGACTCTGTCCCATAAATTACACGACACCCCAAAACAGTATAATTAAAAAAAGCACAGAACTATTTCCATTAGTCCATCAACAAATCCAGTGGATATTAGATTTATGAGTTCATTAATTTCTTTATGGTTTGTTGTAGGTGCTGTGGTGAGACTAGGGTGCAAGGGCAGGAAGTACGTAGTCGCAGAGACAACGACGGACAAGAACGGATATTTCTTGCTGTTGGGTCCGAAGACGGTGACGAACTACGGTTTCAGAGGATGCCGTGTGTATCTGGTGAAATCAAAGGACAGCAAATGCAGCAAAGTCTCCAAGCTCTACGGTGGAGATGTCGGTGCCGTGCTCAGGCCGGAAAAAGTGCCGGGAAAATCTAAAGTGGTCGTCAACAAGGTCGTCTACGGTCTCTTTACCGTCGGTCCGTTTGCGTTCAACCCGGTTTGTCCCAAATGAAGATGAGTGGTGCTCCGGTTTACTTTCTTGATTGCGTCATGTTCAAATGAGTGAAAGAGAGAGAGTTTATGTGTGTGCGTTGAAAATTGTAATCTTAGCTAGTTTCAAGTTAAAAATGCTTTGGGTTTTATGAATGTGTCTTTAAGTGACGTTGGTTTTAACCTTTTTAAGTTTCGTTTGAATAAAATAGTAGCTTCAAGAAGTTTTTCGATTTTACCTAACGTTGTGATCCCTGAAATGAGATGGTTCCATTAAATGTGACACATTGAATGATAAAAAACAAGAAAACAAAACAAAATGTGAAGCCTTGAGTTTGTATCTATGTATCTAAATTTGTGTTTAGAAAATTAGAAGCCGTGATAAATGTGGAGGCATACATATGATTATGGTTTGTGCAAAACAACCCTCAAACTAAATTCTTTTTGCAAATCAAACCCTCAATTTAAAGTTGTGCAAATCAAACCTCTGAAGTCAAAATAACCCTGCAATATAA